TGGGCCGAACCAAAGAAAGAGAGACGTGTTGCCGGGTCGCTAAAAGCCAGCATGTCGTGTCGGGCGACGGCCCTGGCTCCTGTGCTCCGGAACCTGGGCTTCGTTTCGCTGTCGACTTTTACCGCCGTCTTCCTGTGGGGAAAGCAACCGGGGCGTCGTTTTCCAAGCTCTTGCAGGTGCGTCTTCACTTCTAGGCATCAGCTTTGCCCGTGCCTGTGGCCCAATGGTGATCCGCCTTCGACGATGGGGCAGTGCCAACGATGACCCTCAATGCCAACCTCGCGCACGCTTGCGTTTGTCTTCACACGGATTCTTGCACTTGGGGCAAACGTGGTCCGGATACGAATTGACATCGACTCTTATCAAGCACTTTGAGCACCGCCACCATCGCGACGAGAGATTGCGTCCCTGGAGCCAGCTGTCGTCCACGTGGGTGCCCCGCTTGAAAATGTCTTCGTTGTGATAGTCTCGCAGGTGATCTCTGAAGTGGTCCCGTCGTCCGAATGGTTCGCTTCTTCGCGAGCACTTTGGATAGTCGCACTTGTGAGCTTCCTTCTTTGACGGGTCTTGGTGGACTTGTCTATAGTGTCTCTCGAGGTCGGCCTTGCGCTTGAATGGGTTTGCTGTGCATCCCGCCTCGAGGCAGGGGAATTTGTAGTCCACGACTTCTTGCTGCTCTTGGCCACTGCGCACAGCATTGTTAGCACTGCTTGACCATCTCTGTCAGAGGCCTCCGCATTGACTAACCCTTGATGGGGTATCACTGTTGGATACTGCCCTGCAGGGACATATCGTGGTTTCATCTGCCAGTAGCCTCCGTCTTCGGTGGGAACGTAATCGTACTGCGACCAGTCTACGTTTCCATAGTAAGGTTCAGACGCTTGTTGTGCCGATGAAGACGCAGCACTCGCATACTCGTCTGCATAGTATCCTCCATAGCTCTCGTCGTAGCCGTCGCCATAGTCACCCGTAGGAGAGTGGCTCATGTTATGCGTGTATGAGTATGACATACCAGGCGAAGAGCCGTATGAGGATGGTGTAAGAGGACCTCGGGAGCTGATGTCTGAGGGCTGACGAGCAAGTTCCGGAGCCTCTAGGAAAGTAGGGGAGTCAAGGTAGTCTCCTGCCGATACTGGAGACGTTGCGTTAACATGATAGCTTGCTCCGCGGTAATAGTGGCTGTCCATTGTTTCTGACTTAAACAAGTGAAACTGTCGTGCTGTCTAAACCGTTTATATCCCGGCTTCTGGATAGCAGTTCAGTAAAGGGAGGGTGACCTCGCAAGGTTGGGGGGAGCATACAACATTTAAAGGAGAGTAAGCAGTAGCGAGGAATGCCGGGAGCCAAGGAAAATATACCAACTTACATAAATGGGATGCCAGTGTCAGACTCGTGGGGGGAAGGCGGGCTGGTTTCGGAGAGTCAAAAACGTGGCTCACACATCAATACCCATGAAAATAAGGCAGCTTAGATTGTGGATAAGTTGAGTACAGGCAAAAATCCTCGTCGCCGTGGGGTTTATAGTCCAGAAAGGAGTGGAAGCCTGTTCATGAACAGGGTAAGTGTTAGGCAAAGTGCAATACCGAACAACACTAGAGTCCGAGCAGATAAAGGGTTTGTTGAAGTGATTCCCAAATGACAAGCTCACGAATTGGAGGGGGAAGTGGGTGGTTCAAGTATGAGCGGGACAAGGCAAATTCAAGTTTCACCGCCTTGGAGCTGGAAGGAATAAAGGTGGCAGCGAGACGTCAAGCGGCACAGATACACGAGCAGGCGGTAGAATGGGGTCATGGCAACCCACCAGCACAAGGCTTCAACCTCCGTAAGACGGCCTTGGCCATGGGGAGCCTCAAACGAGCGGGCATGTCGAACGTCGTAAAGCTCCATAAGCCCCCGGGCCATTTCCGCGTAGGGTGAAGATGGGATAGAGTTGTCTTGGCCATACGGCGCGAAGCGAGGAAACAACTGCAAGTGCTGGGGTTTCTCCACCAACTTGAACGTCTGATCGAGTGAGAGGCGGTCCTCGGTGAGTGACATGCTTCTAGAAGGGGGCTTAGAATCGCCAGCCACCAAGTCGATGGATTCATGCGGGAAGACATGCATAACTGGCAACCTGGTCTGAAAACAAACCGGCGAGATTCGAGATCAGGTCAGCCCAAGACCCGCCAGATACTCCCATGACGATGCACCCACCTATCACTCGACAGGGCTGGCGGCGGGGTGGTTAAAGAGCGCGGTACGGATACATTCGAGGGGGCCTCAACGGCCATTGACATTAAATCGAAAGGGGGGACCAGTTCCGGCTGGGCAGTCAGCTCTGAGTTACCATGAGTGTTTTTAGGCCGACTTCATTGGTAAAAGGTACTGGCGACCCAAGACATGTCTGGCAGACCCAAAAGATAAACCGGGGCAGAGAAAGGCCCCATTATGGAAATGTTTCTGGTGGTCGGTTTGTACGGCACGGCAGGGTCAAGGTCAGTCAACCCGGAGTTGGGGACTCGAGGTACCGCGTCTAGTGCAGGACCGGACAAGGGGCGCGAAGATAAGCCAGTGAGCTATGAGGCCGACAGTTGCGAGATATGTCATGGATGGCGAGAGATTATCGCTCAGTGGCATAGCAAACTGGATGGTAGCAATTAGGGCGTTGTAGGGCTCGGGCTCGGGGCGGACTTGGCAGGATGCGATGCGGCTGTCTAGATGGACTGAAGATCGGAATCGCGGAGGAGAGGCTTGACTGGTAGAATATCTCGTTGCCTGGCCCCGCACTGCCACACTAGTGTGCGCGTGAACGCTTGCAGTCCCAGCCCTTGCTGCTGTGCAGGGTCCAAATGCTAGAGTGGAATCAGCCAAGAAACAATGGTACCGCAAATCATGAAGCCCTCACTGGTCCAATCGTAACCAGGTAGGTGAGGCCATAGTAAGCCTAGGGGGCGGTTTGGAATCCAATGGAGTCTCTCGCTCTCTGGCGGAGGACCCCTCTGCCCAGCGAAGCGATTCCCTTCTGGGGCAGACATTGAATACGGAGTACCGTTGTACCTCGGTTGCTTTCCTGGGAGCGAGTTCCTGTCATGGCTCATTGATGGATTGTGTGGTGCTGCGCAGCGCAGTTGCAGTGCAACCATTGTCACATCGAGGTATTCCATCGGGGGCCAATCCGCTGGATCCGCCGCAAAGCTGCATGTTGCCCACCGGAATAGCCTGAGACCCAGAAGGACTGATGAGTGATGGCCAACCAAGTGAACCGGTTCCGGGGCGATTCCAGGTCCGATTTCCTGTCTCCTCGGCCAGGTTGCCCTCTCTGAGCGTCCGCCGACCCTGGACGGGGAACAGTGACACAGGCGGTGACGGCCATCATGACTCTGTAGTCTGTAAGATGGTGAAACTTCACCTTTTTTGCGCAAACGACACCTTGCAATGGTCAGGTGTCTTTGGCAAGATAGGTAGGTGCCCAACTTCTGGCGCGGGTACGGAAGAACCGGGAGATAGCGGCGGGCGTGCTTCATGTCCGGCTGACGGTCGATGCAGGTTTGGTTCGGTGAAGCAAGTCAGAGAGGATACGGCGATACGAAAAGGTGCCTTTTTTTGTCATGCTGGTGTAACTCAGAGTCTGTTGGATCTTCAAAAAGGCGCATATCGAGTAGTAGCAGGATCCATTCTGATGGGCCCTTTGCTCGGACGAGCCATTTTCTGGCGTGAGAAAACACGAAGGCCAGGTATGCGATACTGTTGGAAGAAGGTTGAGAGACCTCGAGATGTGGATTCGGTCCAACGTGTTGGAGTCACTTGGAGAGGTGTTCGAGCTTCGTGGATGGTCAGAAGAGACTTTGGTGACTCCAGGAAAAGGTAGTCATCTGAATAAACCGCTCTGCCAACGGGCTTTTGCTGGGTCCTACCCATGACGCTCGACTGGGTTCACGGTTGCTAGTTTGGAAGGAGGCAAGTTGGCAGGTCCGCGACACGCCCCAGGGGGAAGAAAAGGTGGGTCTCAACAACCTTCTAGAAGTCTTCTATCGCTTGTGCAAGCGCGTGTCAACTTTGTCGGAAGGTGGTGATGCATCATGGCCCTCCATTGGGCCTGCCGCTTGCCCCACTAACCTTAAGGAACTTTCTTCTCACGTTTCACCCTCTCGACCTAGGGTACCGGTAGGAGTCTCGTCACGTTGTGACGCTCTACCTACTTGTAGATTTGCAGTACCATGTCAACTTGCTCCTTCACACCTGGCAAATCATTACCACCTTAGCCAACAGGTAGGTAAGCACGCAGATGAGAGACTGCCGCTTTGCCGCCGTCGACTTCCCTTACTCTGCTCTTGCTTCCCTGCACGTATATGCCGCTTCAACAGTACTGGCTACCCTTCCTGGCCCTGGCCTGTCAAGTCATTTCGCTTCATATCGACGTGCCTCATACTTCCTGGCCATGTTCGCCCGGCTTGTGACAACACAAGTGGCGGAGTGGTTTATTGCAGAATGTCAATGGTTTGCGCTGGCTGGAAAGCTTGATTGCAACCCTCCACAGTTCCGTGCTTCGTCATTGTCGCCTCAGCCCTGGCATTGGTTCTGACCATTCGGAACGCCCACCGGCACATCCATAACCCAATTCGTCCTGGGTGGCTACGTACGTCTAAGACTTGGAGAATCGCGGGGGATAAGGTATTCGCCAACCCACCCGCTGGCGGCTATGTTTTGTGTCACGCAGAAACGGATCCACACGGGGCGACTGTCGGGGTGGCCGGAGCTTCCAAGGAGCCTGGAGGTCGTCTTCTCAACTCATTTCGGCCGAGCCTGGATCCGGGCGCCGGGGTGCAAGCCGTCATCGACTGCCCCCAGCTCTTGAGCGTCCAGTGAGGTGGTTGGATGGAGTACTGGAACAGGCCATCTCCGACAGGGCCAGAACACACTGCACCTACCGGGATCTTATTTTGCCTTTATGCTGACCGCCGAGGACAGGGTCCCTGATATCATGGCAGGGCAAACGGCCTTGGCGATGCCGAAAGTGCTCAATCAAAGGTCACGCGCATTGCGAATAGGTTGTTTTGTCTTCATGTGCAAAAGCCGAATTGGAGCGGCCTGTAGCCTCCCCATTTCATAGCCAGTCAATAGTCAGTGTACTTCAACAAAGGTGAGCCAGATAGACCTTGGCTGTATGTTTCCGCAAAAAGAGGCAACGCCGTTCCTCCCGATACCAATGGTTTGAGGCCCCCATCCCAATCCGAGGCTACGCCTGGCATGAAACCCCGTAAACCTTGCTGCCTATTCATACATCGTCCTCGAGGAATTTGTACGCGAACTTGAAGTCCGCCTTTCTTCGGTTCATCCTGCCCGTTGAGTTAGCTTAATTACCTCAGTCTGAAGTCTTCGAGAAAATAACTCACCATGTGCTTTCGTAGTCGAAAAAGCGGTATGTGCCCTGCTCGAATTCCTCGGTGATGTTCTTTGGCTCTTCGTGGCGCTGGAACCAGGTTTGATATTGCTTGTGGAACCGCCAGCTCTGGTCCTTCAACGCCTTGGCGGCCAGGTATTGCTGGGGCGTGCCTTGCTTGTAGTAGAACACGTAGAAGAGCGTGTCAGGGTCGATCCGTGAGTATAGCCGCGGGTCATCAAACAAAGGGAGTGGCTCTTGAGGAAAGCCAACGCCAGTTGATGTCAATCGCAAGTCGGGACGGTACGTTCTGGGCACATCTGCATCCATGATGTCGGGACACGTAGCCTGGCTGGTCTGGAGCATGCGTTGCGTGGATGGCGAGTTGAGAGGCGCCGGGCGCTTGCGGGAAGCTTCAAAAGACTCGACGAGGTCTTGCAAAGATGACGGAAGGTGATATATGGACTCTTCCTCTTCCTCTGCTGTAGGCTTGACCCCATTTGTGGCACCATTTGTTTGAGATGCTAAAGAACATTAGTAAACTATGAGACTGGTCACGGTGTTGGGCGGGCTTACCTTTGGCTGCCCCCGAAGCACTTGCCGCAGCCTGCTCCTTTTTCGCACGCTTCTCTGCCTTGGTAGGGGCCGAGACGGCCTTTGTGCTCGTGCTTGTGCTTGCACTTGCGTTTGCGCTGGCGCTCGCATTTGCGATCGGTGGTTCGCTTGGGGTTGTTGATGGTGGTGGTGGCTGCTTGGGTTCGGGCTCCTTTGCTGCAACAGGGTGCGCTGATGTCGTTGCGGGTGAGCTTGTAGCGCTGGTTTTCGATTGCGAGCCCGGCGTACTGGCAGGGACGGGTGCTGCGCCTGGCGGAGGGGGCAAAGGAGAGATGCCGATCTTGTCTGACGCTGCCGCTGCCGCCGCCGCAGAGGCGTATTTGAGGCCTTCAGCAGGTCTTGCGGGGGCTACCGCTGGCTTCATCGTAGGCCCGGTTGCTGCGCCATTGCCAATGATTGTCGGCATATGCAAGGTAGCTAACGCAGGCAGTGGGGACTTGTTCTGTGAGCTCGACCTGCGTCCTGAAGCAGATGCCTCTGCTACCGCCTTTGGCTTTGGGGGAGCCTTGATGATTTCTGGTTCGGGTGTCGGTTCCTCCGCTATTGACTGAGCATCTTGCGATGAGCCCTTGTCGCCATCTTGAGCTAGGCCAAATGCGCCCTCGTCCTCGTCCAGAGCGAGCTCTTCGTACATCTCCTCGTCCTCGACAAAGTCATCATTCATGCCATCCGAGACGTAATATCGGATCGTCTCTTCAAGTTCAGTAACCTGATCCGTATCGACTCCGCCGTTCTCTAGAGATCTCCGAATAAGCTCTAATTTGCCCTGATGCCACTTATGACGTTCGATGATGCGCTCGATCTCGGCCATTCGTTCCGCCTTGGCAGTTTGGCTCTTGCCCTTCTTCATCGTCGCTTGTATCGATTCGGCCTCGGCTTCTAGGGTTTCGATTTGTTGCTCGAGCTCGTCGACCATGCTATTTAGGAAGTCGCTTGCCTCGGCTTTTGCTTGTTCTTGGGGATCGAGCTTGGCTGAAGAGGCTAACCCTTCCTTGGAGTATGCCTTGGTCTTCATAGCCTTCTCTACGGCCTTGAACTTTTCCATTTGCTGCAGAGGGGATTAGCGGGACCGCGGGGAAGAGCTGCGACCAGGGAGGTGGTAGACCAACCGTCTCGATCAACCTTCGATGCTCCAGCAAAGGAGACTTGTCCTTGATGTCGTTGCTTGCTGCCCATGTCTTGATCTGATCGCGGAGTCTCTGGAGCTTCTTGATTTCGCGCTTGAGGTTGTCCTCCAGCTTCTCTTTTTGGGAGATGTTGTTGGATTGCTCAATCTTTTCGTAAATGGCCTCGAATTCGGCGACGCCTTCCGCCACCTTTTTGAAGCACTTGTCGACTTCTTGTTGGAGTTTGCGTGCCGCCATCTTGTAGGATTGTACGTGGCAGAGATGAAAATGCTGAGCTTAATTACGTGTCTCGATACCGACGGGTTGGGTTTGTCGGTTGTGTCAGGTGTGTCGTGATTGACGCTGGTCTTCGGTGAGCTGTGCTCGTGTCGCAGACGGCCGTCGAAGGGGTGATGGGCGCGATGTGGGTGGATGAATGGGGGGTTTGTCCCTCGCGTGACGACTGCTACGCCGTGTTGACCGGCGTTCGTTGGTTGCGCAATACAGGTTTGCTTGCCGGGAAGTGAGGCGTTTGATGGGTTGAGGATGCGCGCATGCACAAGAAAGAGCTGGATGGAAGATGCTGTGTGGGAGGTGGAGGGCAGAGGTCGCCAGTACCTGAAGACCGATAGATGGTGAAACATGGGAATATTGCAAATAGGCACTTGAAAAGCTATAAAGGGGCCCTTACAATACAAATAATCTCATAAGCACAATATTAATGATATAATCCTTGAAAATCATCAGTTTCACAATACAATGGCCCATTTCGGTAGTATAATAGCATGCAAGACCATCCTCAGTTTCCTTCTATCTATCAGACTGAAGTTCAGGCTACTTCGACTTCGTCACTGAATATGACACGGACCACTGTCAAGCCCAGCCTTGCCAGCTGTTTTCCGCCGTGTTCAGGGATGCGAGACTGGCCACTCTGTAGGATACCTCATTACCGGTAATTCAGATCAGGCAAGGCAATGTGCCAATGCTATTGGTTTTGCCCTGATTCGATGGAAGGAATTTTCAGCAATATTGAAGGGCCACCAGACAGCAGCGCTTGTGACTTGCCAGGCCAAGTACCGATCTGCTGATTGCTTCTTTTCTGTGTGGTTTGCCGCCCGTTTGCCTGTTTGTTCCCGAAGCGCTCGGATTATAGCTTGCATTTTCCCGGGCGAGACAGACAACTCAGCGGTCTCCAGCTGCTCCATTTGTGTTTTGACTTCATTCTCATCCGGGTAACAGTGTCGGAGGGATCCACGTTCCGGCCTATCAGTCGTGTTTGAAGAGCTTGTCACCGAAGCCAGCTTTTGCTACTCTTAGTTGGGTCTTTAAGTCTCAGGTAATTCTGCTGCGTGGTCTCCGATATAGGCAGTGGTGCTGTGCAGTACAAAATGAAAGGTGAGACTGCCTTTCCTCAACTGAGCTTGTGCCTGGTGATGTGAGATAATGATCCCTCCTAGCTATCGTACAGCGGGTGCTGTCTGGGTCAGTGACAGTGGACAACGAAGTGATTTCCTCTATTGGAAAGGGACTTCTTGTTCTTGCTGCTGTGGCTCCCGAAGACACAGAGAAAGATGCCGAGAATCTAGCAAACAAGGTGTTGAAGCTCAGGATGTGGGACGACGATGCCGGCGCAAGGGTGCGTTTGGCCAGTTCCTGACCACTACCACACCTCCATCTAATCTTGTCTCAGTGGAAGAAAACAGTCCCGGACATTGACGGAGAAATTCTCTGCGGTATGTAGGCTGCCGTTCTGGGCTCCTGGGGCAGGCCTTTTCGTGACATCTCATAACCCTCACAGTGTCTCAATTCACGCTTTTCGCCAAGATTGTCAAGAACAAGCCGGATTTTCGCCTCAGCGCAGGAGCCGAGGATGCCAAGAGGCTCTATCACCATTTCTTGCAAAAATTGCAGGATAGCTACGCCGTCGACAAGGTCAAGGATGGACGCTTCCAGGCCATGATGGCTGTGGCCTCCGTCAATGATGGACCGGTCTGTTCCCCTCGAAGCCAACGACAACTGGTGATTCGGTACTAATTCAAATCCAAAGGTCACATTTGAGCTCAACACAGAGCCGACGCCTAAGTCCTGATTGCTCTCGAAGTCTTCCGGGTGCCATTTGCTATGGCCCAAGGTACTAATCCAGCGTCGCCTGACACAAGCCGGGGATTAACTTGAGCGAAATCTAGGTACGCCAGAAGTGCAGCTTGGATTCTGTTCGTTCGAAGCGTCAAGAAGCGATTGCAAACAGCAATGGACCTGACAGGCGGTCCGCTGCGCTTGAAGCTAGATTCGAGTGGTCACAATTCCTTGCCTCAGACATAGAACTCTGCACATAGATGCAACTGCGATGGGCTTGTCATTTTTCATAATACCTCAGAACGCAGGCAGAGATATTGCAACTCGATTACATCAACGCTGCCTGCTTCAACTGCGTAATTTCTTTCTGCCTCATTTCCCCGTTTGCCTCATATTGTCTCTTCAGCCTAGGTACCTCGAGAACATACCTGCCTACCTTACCTAGAAATGCATCACCTAAGGTACACAGCAGCTAAGGCAGGCACCTCATGGAAAAGCCGAGAACAGGGCAGGAAAGGGACATCGGTAAGAATAGCACCCTCTGATTGGCCTATTCTAAAGCTGTTGCTCCTTCCCGGTGAAGCATGCAGGCAGTGAGCAGCGGGTGGTCCGACTGCCCCGCGCACAGGCGTCCGAGCTACCAGAAAGTTCCATCGTACCTTCCCCCACCTTCCAGGTTAGCTCTGGGCTGAAGCATTTATCGTCCACCTCCACCACCAGCGTTCCGAGGGTTAAGCTATACCTTACCTTAGGTACCTTACTTTCCCGACTCAATTGTATGAGCAACACTTCTCACGTTCAACGTAAATCAACGACAACTTCCTACTAGCGTTGGCTCACACGTCGACAACTTTCCAGTCTCGCAAATCTCCTTTGCGGCAACCAAATCTACCCCGCTCTACTGGATCGGCTACAGAATCCCAGCCTGATCAACCTCAACGAGTTCAACTTGCACTTCAGAACTAGTCACAATGTCCGCCGAGGGAACCGAAAACAAGGCCGCGCGCTCGCGCGTGTTCTTTGATATTACAGTCGGCGGTAAGTCCGCTGGCCGTATTACCATGGAGCTCTACAACGACCTCGTCCCCAAGACGGCCGAGAACTTCCGCTGCCTCTGCACCGGCGAGAAGGGTTTGGGCAAGTCCGGCAAGCCTTTGCACTATAAGGGCTCTATCTTCCACCGCGTCATCAAGCAATTCATGATTCAGGGAGGTGATTTCACGGAGGGCAATGGTACAGGCGGCGAGTCCATTTACGGCGCAAAGTTCGAGGATGAGGCTTTCCCTAAGAAGCACGACCGTCCCTTCCTCCTGTCCATGGCCAATGCTGGACCCAGTAAGTACTCTTCTATGCCTGGATGAGGGAGGCTTCTTTCTGACAATGCTACGTACAGACACCAACGGCTCTCAATTCTTCCTCACCACCGTCCCGACGCCTCACCTCGATAACAAGCACGTCGTTTTTGGCGAGGTCCTCAACGGCAAGTCCGTCGTTCGCCAGATCGAGAACCTCCAGACCGAATCAGGCGACAAGCCTCTCAAGGACGCTGTCATTGCAGACTGCGGCGAATTGACCGGAGACGCCGCTCTCGCAGCCGATGTGAAGGCCCCGGACGCCATGGGCGACACCTACGAGGACTTCCCCGAGGACTGTGCAACCCCGCCTGATGCTCAGGAAGTCATCAAGATTGCAGCCGCCTGCAAGGATTACGGCAACAAGGCCTTCAAGGCTGGCGACTTCAACCTCGGTCTCGAGAAGTACCAAAAAGGCCTGCGCTACATCAACGAGGAGCCCGACTTGGAGAAGGAGCCCCCTACTACCAAGGCGGAACTCCAAGCGCTCCGCTTTACCCTCAACAACAACTCGGCCCTGCTTAACATCAAGCTCGAGGTCTGGGATGATGCCGCGAAGACGGCTACGTACGCCCTTGACGTTTCCGGAACCAAGGACGCTGACCGCGCCAAGGCTCTCTACCGCCGCGGCTTTGCCAACGTCCGCCTCAAGGATGAGGAGAACGCCATCAAGGATCTTGAAGAGGCGCACAAGCTCGTGCCGGATGATAAGGTCATTCTCCACGAGCTTAATGCTGTCAAGCAGAAGGCGGCCGCCCGTGCGGCTAAGGAGAAGGCGGCTTACAAGAAGTTCTTCCAATAGATGGAGCCACTCAGCGAGGGCGCTGCACGTACCGTACCGGGAATTGGACCGGGGAACACCGCATGGAAGCAGTGCGACTGTGATGGTATGAGGAAGAGCGAAGACTAGTGGATGACGATTCTATGATCTGGGCGACTAAAAACAAGGGAATTCTCTTAATTCATTGGAACAATTCGGGGCGTAAAGAGAAGCAGGCACTGGAAAACACAAAGAAAATTCATGGGTAGATACCTCGACTGAAAGTTCAATATCATTACATTATACACATTGCTCGTTTCGTTTTGTTCTAAAGGGAAATGAAATATGCTGTGACGAGTCTCGTGGCGTGAGGCTGAGGCAAGACACGTAAATGCTAGTCATGATATGTCTGGGTATATTCATTCGTGGCCCATGTCGCGACGGCTACCTACCCTCCAACCAGCTCAAGAAAAGTTGGCGAGGAAGAAGAGACGAACACGGGATGGGTTTGGATGTAAGAAGAAAGTGAAAAACAAATAGGGCCGACCCTCCCTCCAACCGAATGCATCAACATGTAGAAACATGTAGAAAGGATCCATCCCAAGCAGGCTCCATTGATGAACATTGTGCAAATGGAGAAACGCCCGAGGTAGTTCAGTCGATCCTTGCCCACCCAAGCCTGCCCCTGATTCCGGCGCAGGTGATAGTAATGCAGAAGAGGCGCTGCCCTTCCGCACTCTCTTGACGCTCCAAGCTGGGCGTATCCAGACATCCTCCTTGTTAAGAATGCAAAGACTTTGGCTCGTTATTCGGCCATTGAAGTTTTTTTGGTTTTGATTCGTATGCGTGTGTATCAAAATAGTGATGGACAAAGGAAAATGAGTGGGAAATAAGGCACATCAATAGCCAGTGTTCCATGATCGGTCGAGATTCTTGCCGCGTGATGTTGATGGAGACGACTCAGGTGAATCGCTCCGCGCGAACGGCTTCATGATGCCAGACAGAATATGACGGGTAGCCCTGCCATTTCGCTTGAGCGTAGCCAAATGCGAAGACGCGTGCTCTGAATGTCCAGACGCTTGCCGCAGGGAGCTGAAATCTCGGCCACGGCGGTGCTCACGACTTCTTCGCGTAGGAACATCGATTAATACGTCGCTGCCAGCCGACCCAGGTGGTTGGTAATTGTCTTGGTCAAGCCAAACTGTGGACGTGTTCGCTGAGGTCGGTGCCGAGTGATTGTTGTGATGCGTGGAGAGGCTCATGGAATCCAAGATGGCAGAGTTATGATCCATAGCGTCGGCAAAATCGGAGGCAGGAAGGGACGCAGTCTCGTGAGAAGAGCCATCCAACTTCGAGTAGCATAGGTCGGCGCGCTCCTGCAACACCAGACACATTTCATTGAAAATGAGAATGTCGTCTTCGCCGCCTACAGGTTTGACTACCTCCCCGTTCCCGATAGGATTGGCCTCAGTCCACATCTTGACCAGCGCGGCGAAATTGCGAGCGTGATCAATCAAGTGCGGCAGTGCAGGGAACCCCTCTCGTGCCGTTGGTGATAGTCGTCCAAGAATCGCGATAGGTGTCGAATAGGATGGACCCAGGGCGACCTTGTTGCGTTCGACAGGGATGGCGCAGATCGTATCAATGTAGTCCTTGACCGACTGACGGTTGGAGCCCAGAAATTTGTTCATTGGCTCCATCCAGTCTTCCTTCTTACCAAATGTAGACAGGTTTCCAAGGGCCTGAAGTGCTTTGGCAACCAGTGTGAGCGTTCGCTGTGCTCTGGGTCTTGGGTGATCCCTCAACAGACCAAAGAGCTTGGGGCTCAAAATCGCTGGGCAAATGAAACGGAGGAACAGGAAGCCCGACACACTCGTGTAAGTGACGGTTCGAAGCCAGTCGCCGTAGCGATCTTCAGCCACGGCTCGTACATATTTGAGGATTGACCGAAGTTCCGGTGGGCATTTCGTGGGCTCCTTGCAAATACATTGCCACACCTCCGTCGTCAGCTGAATCAGTCTTGTCCAGTGCTCCTGAATGTTTTCACCAGGTTTGAGCTTGCTCGGGTCGACTTCGCAGTTGGGGTTGCTCTCGTTGATCTCGAAAATCTTGGCTTGCAACATCTGCTCGAGATACTCCTTCCCTGATCTTCTCATGTGAAACTCAAGCGCTTGTGTCAGCAGCGTATTGCCTCGAAACAACAGGTTGGCCTCTCCTGCAAGAGATTTACCCATGTCACGAAGAATTTGCTCTCTGTCACTGGACGACTCCATGGACTCATTCGATTTCAAGCGGCTGCTGAATCGGTACTTCTTCATCTGGTTTTGACTGCCGCCGATGCCGTCGATCTCGTCTTCGACTAGTGTTTGCAGCCATTCATTCGCATGACCAGACACTTGGAAAATGTTGAGAAAGATTTCGGAAAGCCGCCGCAAATTGCCGGGAAGTGCATCAGCAATCTGAGCGGTCAGACCGGACGGAAAGCTGTGAAGCAAAGTTGACAGCGCCTGGTATTCCTTGGAATGAAGAACAACGAGCTCCTCGTGATGGAGCTTCACAAGCATTGTGCCCATGACCTGCTGTCGTTCGTCGTAGATCTCAAGCCACCGCTCGAAGTCTTTGCCGGGTTCGACATGGTCCAAGGGGATGTCAACAGAGCCGCAAAGAATCTCTGTCAAATTTCCCGTCTTGGGCAGACCAAGTGATGCCTGCAGTTGATGGCTGAAACTTTCCAGGTTCCCGTCCACTCTTTTCAGAATAATGGACAGGAATGGCATGGTCGGCGGAAGGTCCGAAAATTGGTAATCTTCCCGCCAGAATGGATTCTTGGTTCCAGTCTTGATAGTTGATCGGGCGCGGACCTCGCCATCCAGTATGACTTCTGTCAGGTAGTTGCCCATCAAAGGGTCTGCGTCCTTAGGCTGTCGGTCGATGAAGCCAACGTCGGGAGAACAAGTCTTCGGTCTCAGTTTTGCCTCCGTCACCCGCAGACTGATCGTCTTCTCAATCCTGAATATCTCGCCGGAAAGCTCTGACTCCAAATCCGTTACCTCCATCGCTCCTTCGGCTGAAGGCGAATCCAGTCGGAAAATGTCCGGCAGCGCGAATGCTCGAAGAAGAACAAACCAGACCTCGAATAACAAGCGGTTGTCCAGAGCAATGTACACAGGACGGAATATGGAAAGCTGTGTAGATATCGGAGAATAGTGTGGGAAAATGCCGATGCAGTACTCTTCGTCCAAAACTGACCGGTTCAGCTGTTGGATAGCGCATCGAGATAGTTGGGATAGTTCGACCACGGCGATGACAGCCTCGCCATCTCTTGTGGTGAGTCGAACCTCTCCATTTTCTTGAAGGAGGAGGGAAACAACCCGCCAAGAAGTAGTCGGCGATCTCAGATCCCTCGTGGATGGTCTTTTCACGATGGCTCTCGGCGAATTTGCCAAGCCCTTGTCCCAAAGTCTCACTTGGCCGACCTTGATGAATGCAGTTGTAGTCTTTGCCGTTCCGTTCTCAGAGCCCCGCCTTCTTACTGCTGGACGCAGGGCGGTAGGCGCAGGACTTCGATTGCCGTTCGAGAGTTTCACTTTCGGAGGTCGAAGTTGTTGCCAGCAGAGCAAAGCTGCAAGCCAAAGGTCTGTTTCTTCCGCCAGAAGCGGATGAATTAGAAGATCCAACGGGGGCTGGATGGGACACGAAACGTCCAAACATCTTTTCCCATCAGGTAATGTGACTGGCGCAACTCGACATCCGCGGAGGTCAGAAATGAGGGGGATATGAAATGGCCCATCATGTCCTGAGTCAAACATCAAACTTCCCTTCTCTTCATCAACGTATGCAATACCAAGCTGCCATGGACCACGGGGGTCAGTCTGAAATTCGATTTCACCTCTCATGCGCCCACATAGATTTTTCATCATGAGCAGAATGTTGTTCGCATTTTCAGTCGGAACGGGAATGGGTAGCGAATCAACAGAAGGCGTTGAGCTTGTTGGCGGAGAAGTTGGCCGGGAAGACTGGCGCTTAATCAGACGTTTCGTCGACAGCTTTTTCTCTTTCAGGCTGTTTGCGACACCTAAGGGAATCTCCGAGTGTCGGGCCGGGATGACCGAGGGAAATCCCAAGGACTCGATGGGAGGCGGTGGAGAGCGAGCATCGTCGTACAAGGGCTGAGATCCAGAAGAAGAAAACGACCCCACACGCTGGCGGCCCTCTCGAGAGGCAGCATTCATGAACTGCTGGCGTAGTGCGCCGTCCATGGTGTGTGTCCTAGGCCGAAAGCTGCTTTGTTGCCTCAGAGGCGGACTAGTCGAATTATTCTCGTAGGAGCTTCCACCGTATGTGTCATTAAACACCATTCCCTGTCGTCTCGAAAAATCTCCCGGGATCGATCTCGGGGAGGTTTGAGGGGAGTTCGACGTGATGCCGCGGGGTATCTGAGGAGGGGCGGTCGGATCGAATACGGCGTTCGCGGACGGCGTCGGCGAGAGGTCCGGATGATGATACTCGGGTGTCACGGCGCGGATCGTGGGGTTCGACGGATGGTTAGAGCGGAATGAGGTGCGTAGATTGGAGATTGAGACGCGTTCCATGCCGCGAGACGACGAGTCTGCGGACAAGTTCTGGTTCTGGGATTGCTGCCAATCGAGGCGCGGCGTAACGTTGTGAACCCCGTTGTGGTAGGTTCGTCCATCCATTCCCGGTGGTGCCATGCTCATTCCATGGTTTGTCCTCATTTGGGGTCCGCCCGCATCTGAGGTTTGGTGATTCTATGTGCGTCCCCGGAATTCGTCGTCTCTTCCAGAGCTGCACCTGAGCGTCCCACCACGTCTTGCTTTCCGTAAACTAGCCAGCACGCCTTTCTGCCTCTTCCAAAATTGAGTGATGGCCGATCAGATTATGTTTCCGAGGATAATGTGTGTGCCACCACGCAACAGCAAGCATACTAGTTGCTGGGCGGTATTCCTGCAAGTCGCAAATCGGGTCTTACAGATGGGAGTCGAGTGCGAAGCCCGTTGATCGGTGGTGACGCTTAATGTCGTTGGGAGGTGGACGACTTTCAGCTCCTGCAGCGAGAAAAGTTGGTGCGCAGCGAAGTCGCTCCAACAGGAATTTCGGCGGGCTTCACAATGCGACACGGAACTGTGGTGGCCAACTGTTACGCCAGCCCTGGGCAAGGCAGAGCGACGAGCGAACGAGCGAGCGGGAAGAGACGTAGAAATGGATCAGCGGCGGGATGAGAGGTTGAGAGCGGGGGATTTCGGTGGTAGATCCACAGGTCCAAGGTGGGATGATGCAGGGTTGCAACGATGAGCGACCGTTAAAGCTCGGGGGCGAGCGCGGGGACAGTTCGGCTTCGTACGGTGTTTGCTGGTGCTGTCAAATGTCGCACAGGTGACGGACGAAAAGGAAGTTTCGTCCCAATGGAAGTGGCAGCAACGGGTGTCGGGAGGCGGCGATGGAGGCGGTAAAGAGGAGACCTCCAACGCGGGGGATGGAAGTTGGGGATGTCTGAGCGAGACGAGAACGGCGCGCGCAGACAAGAAGCGAGGAAATTCGGCAACGGGGCGAAGGGGGAACGCGTTGTTGGTAAATGCAGCGATGGCGCTTTGAGTGGGTTCGAATGGTATTAATTGCTTTTTTCCCTCTCTCTTGCTCTTTCCACTTCTTTTTTTTTTCTTCGTCGCTTCGTTGCAAATTCTTGGGGACCCAGAACGGAGATGGAGCCGGGGAGCTAAGTATTATTGCTGATATTGTATTCGGCGAGGTGGAATCGATCACCAAGGATGTTGCTGCTTGTCCATGGACTTGGTCGGCCAGTGTGCTGCTACGGCTTGCATATTAAGGCTGCTTCAAGCTCCAGGGTAGAACAGGCAATCGGACAGGGCCTGTGGAACCACGGAGGATCAGGGCAGGGAAGATGGCGAAGACTGGGGACGGGGCTAGTTGGCAAGCGAGATACCCAATGTCAGCGGAGGGAGGATTCGACCATGTGCTGGGAAAAGCAAGCGAGAAGATGGCATGGATAAGGGTTGTCTGAAGGAGAGTTGGATGGCTGGGGGGAAGGCAAGGCGAGAAAGAAAAAGGGCTGATGAGGGTGATGTATTGGAGGAAAGGGGTCTAATTGCTGGGCAGGCCGCACTGATAGGAAGGCGAAGTTGTTTGCCTGCTGCCCGTAGTTGGATCCGATGCTGCAAGTTGTCGAGGGAGAATGAGGCCAAGGTGGCGGAGGAAGTGAAGTAGTATTCGGGATGCAATGGAGGCCAGGGGTCGTCGGTCTGTTGCATTTGCTGCCGTGGTTTGCGTGGAGGGTATAAGATGGGAAGACGAGGTGATATTTGCAACAACACAACTGTCACAGAAGCAGGAATCCAGCCAGGCAAGGGGGTGAACGGGAAGACGTGACATGAGCGAGGTGGACGGCGAGGCACGAAGGAGACAATAGAAAGAAGCAATAAAGCAAAAGAGAAGTGACTTACAGACGGGAAATGGGCAGATACGTTTGCGTTGTCTTTTGGGGGCGCCCGTCAAATCCGAGAAGGACGAGGCCCTGGCAGGATACAGGAAGATGATGCTGCTGGACCAGGTGCCGCTGCCAATAGGAATTCAACGGCGTTGCTGCAGGGCATGCAGATGGAACGAGACTATATCGAGCCAGCAAAGAGTTGGTGGTGGTAATGGTGGTGGCAGTCGGTGAGACAAGGCCCCATGGGTTCTTTCTTGCAGTTGCAGCTGTGCACCCCGGGCGAGAGGAGAGCGTGGGTACTGGAGAGGAGGCGGCAGCGAGGCGAGACGAGAGGAGAGGCAAGATATCGACTGCAGACTGCAGACTGCAGATGGGGGATTTGTTGGCCGAACAATCCGCCGATGACAATGATAAGGCGCCGGTAGTTGAAACGAAATGGGGCAGGCTATCGGTAGAAAGTCGTGTGATTCGTCAAGATAAACGGAGTTTTGACCAATTCGTGGTTGGATTGGCGACGGAAGGAGAGTCAGAGAAGTTCTGGTTCCTGAAGCTGTGAGGACGAAGAGGAGAGAGGGAGAGAGAGAAAGACTCGAGTCCCAGGAGGGAGGAGGATGAAGATGGGAGACTCTTGCTGCTGTCAGCACCTAATGTATCCCTAGGTATCTATCTACCTACGCATCTATGGCAAAGTACATTGGCACGTTGAGAAGGAAGGTAAGGTAAGGTGCCTACCTACCTAGGTAAGCCAAAGTAAAGGAAGGCCCCTTCCTCGAGGTGAAGTGATTCGAGGTGAGGTACCTAGGTCAGGAAGGCAGGTGCTGCTCGTTGCTGAGGTACCTGCCTGCCTTACCTAGGTAGGTAGGTATCGCTGTTGCTTCTACCGTTGCCATTGTCATTGCCCGAGTTGCACCTGCTTGCTTATTGCTTCTTGCCGCGTGCTTGGTGCTTGCTCGTTAGGTTGCTTCTATGCTTGCAAACCTACCTCAACTGGCAAGTACCGCATGTCCACCTGGACGTCTTCCATTGTTTTGGGTCATGTCTTAGCACGCACCGCAACTCGCCCTAAGTAGTAAAGCTCGACGGAAAGTACTTTGATACAACTGGATGGTCTTAGATGCGTATATTAAGGGACAGCTACTTTAAGGTAACCAACTTATTCGACGACCGGCTTACTTGCCTTGCCTCAAAATGCATCGAAACGTATCTGTTAATTTGCCAATGGACCCTCCGAGAGGTCGCCGAAAGACTGACAAACGGCAAGCGAACGCCATAGACTCGACACAAAGCAAGGCTCCCAAGACGAGGTCCCCCTCTCCCCAATGATGGACATACGGTACCTACCTACCTTAGGTACGTGTAGGTAGCCTCCATGTCTCTCATCGCACGCAGTCCTTCTTGCACGACCACCTCATGCATGTATCTGACTCCTAGCTGAATAGCATCTTCAGGAACCTAACAAGGGTCAAGCAACCTCCCTACCTCATCTGTGTCTCCCCTTGCAATGCTCAACTTCAAATGCCGGCTTCTCTTTTCACCTTGTTCGTTGTGGCCATCGATTGCGGCGCGTGACCTTGCATCATGACGATCACCTCACTACAAGACCTCAGAAAACAGGCTACGCCCAGCGTCGAGCTCAAGCGCATCAAGCATTATTGGCTGAACCTCATCCCTTGGGACGCGCGAGGCACGGACAATGACGGTGAACAGCATCAGGTGCCGCCCTTTGCTGCTCGACCTTGCCCGGACTGGCCGCTCAATCGCCCAAGGAACAAGCCATGGCTGTTTGTGCTTGCTTTTCTCTCGACTACGTTCGCATGTCTTGTCTCGAAGCTGGCTTACTCTAATGAGCAGGCACTGCAGAGTACAGACCTATTTCGCGGCGTACAACGGGTCAAGGATCATCCCGAGTTCCCTCTATACGCAAGCTTTCAGACAGGGGAATGCGACGAAGCTCAGTGGCCAGGGGACTGGAACCATTCCAAGTTGCCAATTAAAAGGCAATTGCTGATTGACGCTTTAGTGGCATTGACTTCCTTGCCATGACGGAAAGGAACCGACCACCGAGAGATTAACCTCGACTTGAATCTTCTGGAAGAGCGTTTGTCTTCGAGTAAGTACTTTACGGAGTACCTCACGAGGTACCTTACTTTACCTTACGGATAGGCGTGTTATTTTTGCACAGTGGAGCGCAATCAATGGGATGAACTAAATCCCCGGATTTCTGCAAATGTCTCGTGTCTAGTATACAAAGCACGAACTCCTTAATAAGTAAAAGTAAGGTATCTTATGGAGTACCTTATGCGCGTCTCATCTCACGGGCCGCGACTTCGTCCCATTGTCAGCCGGATGATGGGCAGGCACACACGGCACGCAGGTACAGTAACGGCACGCCCTTTGTTCCTGCCGTCTTTCGTCCATTCCATTCCATCCCATCCCGTCCGCCTCCATACCGTGCCAAAAGACCCGTCTGTCTGGTTCATCCATCCCTTCCACCTCCACAGCCACACCCCACAACACGACATCTTCCAATCTGCTCTATTGGCTTCATCTTCCATCCAACCTTTCCTCCCTCTCTCTCTCTCATTTTGGGATGTTAAGAGAACACATTGACCACGATCGCTTTGGGATATTAAATGAACTCATACATGGCCATTCTGACTATCCTCCTTCGACTTGTTTTTGGAAGTACCAGCTGGGTGCCATAACAGAGATACTAAGAACAAATCTGCGGGAGCAATTCCTCCTGGACCCCCCAACCCAGCCTTTCGAGGGCCAAATGTAGCCAGGTAGTCGATCGCCTACCCGGCAACAGCGCGACGCTATGCTACCTCATCCCAGTTCGACCCGTCAGCATCGCCCAGCAATGTTTCCTCCTCTCGGCTCGCGGCCACTGGGCCAGGAACCATTACCAAGATCCATTTGGGCGCTGATCCAACAAGTACCCAAAACGCTCCAAGCGCCGCCTGGAGAGCTTGCTATCTCGAGGCTAAGACGAAAGAAACCCAGCTTGCTGGCCGCCATGCAACGCACGGGTACGGGTCGCAGGCTTGCAGCGGCCTTGTGCACTGATCCTTTCCCTCCGCACCATCGCTCATCAACCGGCCCCCAAGATGTTGCCGGCGGCCGCGTTCCTTCCTTCCAGAGTCTCGAGCAAACCCGAGTCACCGACTAAACAACTCAGTTCGGATGAGATGGACGGTGGGGGCACGGGGCGCTCGGTACCTGCGTCCGTTTATGTTTCTAACGTTATAGGCGCGGAAGTAGCGCAAGACACATTGGCCCAGAACAAAGCTATCAAGACGCTTCTCTACTCATGGCAGGCATCATCAGTCCGTCACGCCCACCCACGTAGCCTCGTCGGTAACCGGTCTCAACTTCTCATTGTAGACAGTGTTCCTCCGCGGACCGTCTCGGTTGCTCACGATCAATGAGTCTCGTCTCTCGTCAGCGGATCATCCCCCAGCACATATTGTGGCCAGAACCACGGTCCACGCTTCTGCAAGCCTGGACTAACCAGCAACAAGTCAAGTGCAACGATGCGAAGGATTCAGTTTTGCTAGTCAAACATAAGCGAACTGGAACCCCACATGGCCCCCCCAAATGTTTATCCAGGCGGAGCATGAACGGTTGGCGGAATCATTGGATTCATTGAGAACACCGGCACACGCATCAGTGGGTGCGCAACGCAATCGCAATCAATGTCCACCCACGTATCATCTACAAGCGAGACCTGAAGAACCAATATCGACTGCATATTTTCAAACCAAAAACCTCCGATGGATAAAGTGAACTGCAACGCAACACAAAGCGGCACAGTACCACGACACATCTCAAACACCACAATCATTTGCAATTGCTCACCTTGCTGATTCAGCCTCCTGACCAATTTCCCGTGCGCCCGAATCTGTGACTTGAACAACTCTTGTCCCTCTCCACAAACCCGGACGGATGATTATTCCATTTGCCGTTGTGCCTGAAGATTGCTCCCCGAAAATTACACTGCTGGGGAGGGTGGCTCTGTGCGGCCGCTCGGTACCGCTGGTTGTGCGACGACCCGCCGCTAAATACAGACTCACGATAATACGGATACGTGCCCCGCGACTACGGGTGTACCTAGCAGCCCGGCACTCGTTCCTGTAAGGTAAACACTCGGGCCTCGACTCCACCTCCCGGAGGCAGTGGATCATTATATCGGTCTCATACTGTCTCGAGATCCAGAAACGGGGTTTGCTGATCACCTTTATCACTAGCGCCTTGTTTTCTTTCGCAAAAAGAGAAGATAGGAGGCATATATCCGGCTATGACCCGCGGCCATCGCACAGACGATGAACCCACTGTCCCATCCCCTGGTGCTTGGAGAATATCCATCTCCCAGAGTTCGGTGGTATTGCTTTTCTCGCCTTGTATCGCGGAATAGGCAAAAAAAAAAAAAAAAAAAAAGCTGTGGTAAAGTGCGGGAGGGGGAGGGGAAGATATCTCATCTTCACTGAGCGGAACGATGGGCGCAAACGGATCCAATACTCTTGATCGTTTCGTCATCTATATCGGTGAGTGGAAAAGAAAGCTCAACGCGGCGGCTTCATGACAAGGACCCCAGGCAAACCCGTGCTACTGTGGGGTCATCTGCGGCAATCTGGAGTGTCTGGTAAGGATGAAGAGACGACGGGACGAATTCGAACCGGGCCCTTGCTGTCACCGTTTGCTTTTTTCTTGCGTCGAAAGACACCTTATTCAGTCCCCTCTCCGTTCGTTGGCTCGTCCGAGTCTCCGAGTTGGGGCTCTGAAGAGACCATCAACCACTTTTGGTCTTTTCAGCCGCCAAGCAGAGATCCGGCAAGTTTGTTTTTTTTTTCCTTTCTTATTTGCTGAGCACTGCATACTAACCAGATCCCGTCGGCGAGCAAAGCCTTGTTTCAAACCCGTTGCTGAATTTTGTGGTTGATGCATGGCTGGTATTTGTAGATTGGTTCTGGCGGCTATGAATATTCTGCGAACGCGCCGCAGCCGCAGCGTAAATTGGAGTTTGAAGACAGACGTTTGGCGAGAACTTCGTGCTTCTCTAAGCATCTGAGGAGTAAGGTTAGGGATGTACTAACTGTGGGAAGTGATGCATCTGGGGATGAGATAATTGCGGTTTCGCTGCCATAGTTCTCGTGAATGGTGCCAAGGCGCCTACTTCGAGAAGTGACGGATAGGCTGGCATACACCATCGCAGAGGACTACATAGCTACATAGCGAGAAGGACATGATACCTCCCACCAGAATATGGAACTGGGAGACAAAAGAGTAGGAGGTTAGACAAGGAGCTCAAGTCCAGGTTGACTTTCTAGGAGCATCTCCTGGCTTCCCGATAGTTGTCTCTGGACGTTCGTCAAGAGTGCATCATCGTTAGACTCCAACTCTCTATAGCGCTTTGCCTATCAACGATATAGAAAGCAGGGGATGAGATGAGGCAAGCAGGGCTCGACGAACTGTCTGCTTGATGACGATACGTGCCCCGGCTTTTCGTCTTTGGCCATATTTCCTCCCCTTTACCTTTGCCTCTCTGAGCCCCTGAGTGACAGATTGTGTGGTTTCTAATGCCGTTCGATGAATACTTTCTAGTTACGTGACGCTAGCTCGTCTCCGAGGTGTTGCTTGAGAGGTAGCACGTTATCAAAACAATGAGCATTCATGTTCAAAATGGCTTGTGCTCCTAGAACGTTTATCATCTACAGGCAGTGTAGTTTAACTCTTATCTGACCCAGTCCCTTGATCTCTTGATAATAACAATGTATATCACATCGACTGGGAAGCGTTTCCAAGAGAGAGATGGCTATCACAAGGATTCTTCAAAGCGCGCCGAGGTAGAGCAACTCTGTCATCTAGGCAGGAGCTTCGGGGCATGAAGGAATGAAAGGTAGTGGTCATAGGAGTCAAGACATCCTTCGACCAGCCAGTATTAAAAGCAAAAGGAGAGAAGCGTGAGGTGTATTTATACTATGTCCTTGCTTCTAAACGGAGACTCGCAACGTGCCGCGCCCTCTTCTTGTCTATACTAGTGCACATATGTATCCGCCCAATGCAATAAACCCATCTAAAATGCACCTGATGCTAGCACTCCTTCCGGTCACCGTATATGATGGTCGTTTTAAGTATGATTCTACTTGGACTGTTCCCGAATCTCTGCCTCAGTCTCGACATGATCCGTCCTCATGGGCCGCTTGAACGGGTGCGCTTCCGTGTTGAGCACCCACTCGTCCAGACTAATCACGTCGGGCGGCGAAAAGATGAGAAAAAAATACTTCAGCGTCTCAGCGAACCAGAAACTCTCCATCGAGTCCGTCTTGGTCGTCTGCCCCGGCTGAACATTGACGTCGGCAATGGAAGAGTACGCCAGCGGCGTCTCCGTCGCGCGCCGGATGCTCTGAAACATGTCCCACGCGACCTCGCGCCACTCGTCATCGCCCGTGATGCGGTACATGTAAAAAATGCTCTCGATGGCCTCGGGGCGGAGCATGTAACGGCTGTCGCGGACCTGCTTGACGCCGCCAGGCACGTCGCTCTTGCTGCCGTGCGTCTTTTGGTCCCACTCGCAGGCGCCGTGGTTCGGCTCGTTGCAGGGGTGGAATGTCATGATCTCGGGCATAATGCCCGTGGGGAAGACTTTGTATGCCCAGGCGCATCCGCGGGAGATCTTTTCGCCAATGGTGACGTACGAGTCCCGGCCCAGGAGCTTGCCAGCAAGGCCGTACATACCGCCGGCGAAGCAGCCCAGGTGCTGCATCTCGGGCGTCAGGTCGACGTTGTCGCCGTGGGCGAAGGCGTTGCCTGGGATGAGGATGTCTGTTTTATTAGGGAGGATGGGCCTGAAGAGAATGTGCTTGTCGATGACGTCGAAAGAGTCCACTGTGAGCTTCCCGTACTCGCTGTCGAGACCGCCTAGCAGGGCATGCATCTTGGGCAGATACTCGTAGAGGGAGTCGGCCTGGGCGCCAATCGTGAAGGAGCTGTCCTCTACCTTCTCATCGCGGTAGTTCATATACATGGGCCACATGCCGGGCAGCTTGCTGCGCGTCTGCGTCCTGACGAGGAACTCCTTTACTCGCTCTGTGGCATCGTAGTATTTCGCGTCGCCCGTCAGCTGGGATAGGCGGGTAAACTCCATGGAGAGCGAGCATCCCGCAGCCGAGGACTCGCGCTCTCCCACCCTTTGCGTGCCGTATTTGGCGTCGGAGAACTTGAACCAGAAAGGCGGCATATGGTTCGGGGTATCAAAGCCCATGTACAGCATGTCACCCAGCTCAACGGCCTTAGCCAGCAAGGCCGGCTCGCCACTCAGGTCGTAGGCGCTGATGAGACCGCCCAGGTGGCGGATCGTCGTCTCAAACATGTTGGCAGCCGTCTCCGTAGTGTTGGACCAGTCGATCAGCGCGACAGTCCTGACGGCCCGGCGGAACTCATCGTGCATTCCCATGATCCATAGAGTATCAAGGCCGTCGACCAGACTGGCCGACCAACCACCAAATGTGGTTTTGCCATGGCCCGATACGGGAGTGAGCTCGTCCCACGTCCACGCATTCTCCTTGTAGCTCGCCCAGCTCCGCCGGAAGGCATGGACCACGGCAGCCCGTCTCGACTCAGTCTGCCTCTCCCGGTCACGGTCGCCGTTCTTATCGTGTGAAAGTTTCTTGCTCGTCTTCTTTCCCGCTTGCTTTTTGCTGCTGTCGAAATCGTACTGGACTCGTGGGAGTTCGACGGGAGTGCCTTTCGGAGGCGTACGCAGCGGCTTCTCTAGTGGATATTCGGGCTTCAGGCTCGCCCAGTCGTAGCTTGACTTGCGGTAGCGGATGCCGTTGTAGTTGAGTGTTCCAGCGCTCCAGCCGGCGGGAAAACCGGTATGCCAGACCAACAACAGTATAAGGGCGATGCCCAGGTAGATTGGTACCCTCGCGGGTCGTCGGCGTATGGTGATCATGTTGGCGGCTCAGGGTACGGGGATAAAGAGGGCAGCGGCAGCATTGCTCGGCGCAACTGGTTACTCATGTCGTTTCCCCGTCAAGACGAGGTGAATGACCGTAGTTTCGAGAAAGAGTTCGTCGGTTCGTCCAGCGGAGGAGGACGGCTTGTAACTAAAAAAACCAACGCTCCGATACGAGGTGAAGTGCGACCTCTTTGGATGAAAAAGAAACGAAACCTTGGCAGTGGACGGTCGGAAGAAGAAGCGGAAGCGCCAAAGCTTCTTCTGACGGTCAAGAACCAAACAATCCTTTGCCAAGGGGGTTACGGAGCCATCGGGGCTTGTTTTCCCACCGCCAAAGAAGGTAAAGGCATTGATGCTCACCTGCTCAACACGTGTACGTAAAAACGCCAAGGAAAGCCGTTCCTGCCCTTCCCAAGCGCACCCAAGTTTCCCCCTCCCTTTTGGTCTTCACCCTTTTCTCGAATCTCGCCAAACTCTGCCGCACGGTGGCTGGCCACTGGCCGCTGGCCGCTTCGCTGCAACTCGAAACTCCATTTGGGGAATCCGCTCGCCAAACGTTTTGCGAAGCCAAGAATCAGACGGATCGTCATAGTGGACCTCCCATCAAATGGCCCGGTCTCGCGAAGAATGCATGTCCGTCAGGACTGTCAGGGGGTGGTGACCTGCTTGTCGTTGTCAGATTGGGTGAGGCTCCCGCGCTTGGACATGGGTGGCCCCCCGTCGCTGCCACGGCTGCCAATCTATTTTCAAGTGTGTGGGGTGCCGGAGCCTGCCCCCTGTCTATCAGTGGATTGGCTGATGCTACGCCATCAGCAAGGAAAAAAAGAGGATACAATTCTTCCACCCTTTGAATCCAAACAAGTACTCCGTAATAAGCAAGGCACCACGGCACTTATCTCGAAAAGGTACCTGAATTCGGAGTGTATCCGATACTCGAGGAACACAGGGTCCGCGTGTGCCATATTGACAAGTTTACCTCTCCGGCCCGGCCAGGCCTGTGGATAAGAATACTGGGAGGGCACCTTAGTCTCGCGATGATTAGCGCATTCGGGGGGCAGAGGACAAGGTGCAAATAAAGACGGTGATTAAACTAAGAAGCTAAACTCTAAGCTGGATCTCGTAGTGCGCTTTCTGCGTGCAGCATAGAAACTGCATGACATCTGTCGTGGGCTTCCTCGCAGTAATTGCAGTGTGCCTTAGAAGACTTATCGCTTCTACGCCTTAGTGCTCGACCGCATTTTGAGTTGCCGCCTCAGACGCTGACCCGTGTCCTCCGCCCGAGCATAACCTCCCATCCCCGCCAGATCTCATCCCCTTGCTAACACTCGACATCTCTCTGATTGACAATCTGCAAAGTACGGGCCGTTGAGGGCGCGCGTGCGACCCCCTCCGTCGGTTGCAGCTCTCGCTGGTCGGGCCATGACCCGCCTGCGGCACGTCGTTGTCGTCGTTGGAAGCCGAATGGTCGACCACGTGGAGTGATTCTCAATGACCGGAGCCGGTATTCCGAGACGCCTCTAGGCTCAGGCACGCTGCCTGTTCCTGTGTACAGCACCGAGCATGGTGCGGCGAGGGCTGAAGCCTTCAGAGGATGAGGTATAAGTAACCCTTGGGTTTGGTAATGCAAGTCCCTGTCCCAATCCATCTCGGCACTCAGTCGAAGCCGCCACCAATCTGGCTGTGGAAGGCGGTGCTGACGCTCTTCTCGTCGTCGTCGTAGCGACGGCCGAAGCCATTGCCAGCCCCCATGCGACCACCACTCTCGACATAATGCTTCAGGCGGTCGCTGTGGCTGTAGGACGCAGGGCGCATACCGTGAATGGCGTCCTGGAGACCGGCGCCCAGGCTGACACCGCCCTGTCCAACACCCTTGGCACCGATGACGCTGGCGCTAGCATCTGTGTACTCAGAGTTTGCGACGCTTTCGCCCGCAATGCTCTCAGTGGCGCGACCTCCTCTCTTGATGCCGGAGCGGCTGGATCCGGGCACTCCAGGGAGGCCAGGCCATTGATCAGGGGTGAAGCTCGAGAAGATGGGAGGGTAAGTGGTGTTCAAGCCGGCCCCGCCCAGAGAGCTATGGATGGAGGAGACGTCGTCGGGAATGTAGGACATCATAGATCCTGAGTCAAAATCGCGAGTGGAGCCAGCACCGTTGAAGCGGTTGCCGCCGCCGTTGGGGAACCCGCCACCGGCGTTGAATTGAGGGGGCTGGCTCATCTTCTGGCGATATGCTGTCTTGGGCTTTCCGAATTGTAAGAGCGAGGTCTGCAAATTGGTCAAAGGTCCCTCAACCAAGCACTTGCGGTCCTTGAAGTGGACAAGGAGGTGGTGCCAAAGCTCATGCTTGGAAAGGACCTTGGGGTTGCCAATAATGACGAGACCGTACTTGGCACGAGTCAAGGCGACGTTGAGACGGCGGGGATCCGAAAGGAAACCGATGCCCTGGTTGTCGTTGGAACGAACACAGGACAGAACAATGAAGTCCTTCTCACGACCCTGGAAGGCGTCAACGGAGGCAACCTCGACTTCCTTGTAGCTCTCCTTCTTGAAAGTGCCAGTGTTCTGCATGGTGCTAACGATGTAGCTTCGCTGACCCTCGTACGGAGTAATAACACCAATGTCCAAAGGCTTTACGCCAGCCTTGAAGAAGCGGGTTACAACCTTCTCCACGTTGGAGGCTTCGGTACGGTTGAGGTAGGACGTTCCGGATGCCGAGATTTCTTCATTGCCGAGGTTGGACCAGAACATCATCGGCATATCAACAACAGGCCAAGGGAAGTCGACATCGCGGCGAACGCGATCCTTGACTGTAACACCGTTCTGGAGAGATCCATCGTAGAACATGTTGGAAGGGAACTCGGACAAGCAAGGGTGCATGCGGTACTGGATGTTGAGGCGAATAGGAACCAAGCGCAAGTTGACGAGGCGCTCGAACAAGGACTGGTTGAGACCAGCCTTGGCAGCCTTCTTGTTCATTATGACAGGGCCCAACTGCTTGTGGTCACCGACGAGGACAACCTGCTTGCATCCGAGAACGAGAGGAATCATACACTCGGGCTCAGCCGATTGAGTCGACTCGTCGATGAGCACATTACGGAACTTCATCTTTGACAGACGAGGATCACCGGCACCAACACAAGTGCAGCAGACGACATCTGCGTTGTGTAGAATATCTCTTTCGGCAGCCTTGGTGAGCTGCTTGAACTTCTTCTCGTCCTGGCTGGACAGTTCGCCGAGCTCGGTCTTCAGCTGCGCAAGCTTGACAAGCTCACCATTGCTGTCGTTCATACGAACCTGCTCATGAAGAGCAAGGAAGCTAACGGAAGACTCCACATCCTCTCGGGACTTGGCTGTAAGACGAACGACCTTGAGGCCAGTGCGGTGGATGCGCTCACAGAGCTGGTCAACGGCGACGTTGGAGGGCGCGCACACGAGGACTTGTCCATTATTCATCTTGCACAGATGGTAGATGATGGTCGCCGAAGTAACAGTCTTGCCAGTGCCCGGAGGTCCCTGAATCAAGCTGAGCGGGGTCGACAGCACAGCCTTAATGGCGGCGATCTGGCTAGTGTTGAGGTCGGGAAGGCCGGGGACGCTGTACTTCTTAGGCATAGTCGTCTTCATCGGCGCGACAGCGACGTCGTGACCCAGGAGCTTGTGGAAAATGTAGCCCGAGACACTCATGTCGTCCACGGCGAAAGTCTTCATGGCATACTGCATGCGATCATACGAGGTAGCCTTCCAGACATAGTCTGCTGAGAAGTTGTGGGTGCATTCAGTCGGGACGGTCTTCTCGTTGCCGGCCTTACGCAGCTCGAGGGTGACTTCGTCAGACTGATTGTTGGGGATCTTGATGACATAGCCAACTCCCTCCCAGGCGGGGCGGAGCTCGCCCTTGTAACGCAGTCGCATTTCGTCGCCAACGGCCAGCTTGACGTCACCCGACTCTATCTTGTGCAGTTCGAAGCTGACCAGGTGCTTGTTGTTCAGACCGTAATCCCAGCGGACCGTAAGTCCATCCTCAGACTGGGCTTCCTTGAGCTTCTTGTCGTAGTCGGATTCCATCTTGACGAGCGGGCCAAAAATGTTCTGGTAATGGTAAGGGTCGTCGTACTTGAGGAGGACGGGATGAGGGTCGTCGTCGATGCTAGCGGCCTTCTCAAGGTCGGCGACCGTAGCAGTCGCATTTTCCTTCCACATCTCCTCCAGCTTGGCAATCATCGGCGGGGTGAGGTGTCTGGCGCGGAGTTGCTCGGCATCGGAGGGCGTCGCGACGAGCCAGGTCAGGAAAGCTCTCTCCTCAATCAGGGGCTGCCATCGAGAGGTATCCCAGCTCATATCCTTGGAAGAGGTGTTTGCAGCACAAGGCTGACGACAAAGCAGCACAACAACAGTGTCCGACTTGGCAGGAATGAAGCCCAAGAGGAAGACGTTCTTGGTTCCACAGTTGTAGCACTCGAGTACAGTGTCACCAAGCGTAGACTCCGGGTGAAGCTGGACTTCCTTGTGTCTCGCCCGGACCAGATGGGAAACAATGTGGCTTGAGGTAGCATTTCCGCGGGCACTGCAGAACCACTTGTTGCAGCCAAGGCACTTGACGACGGAGCTCGGGGAATGAATTCCACAATACCTAAGCCAGTGTTAGATTCAAGAGAGGGCTCGGAAGCTCGGAGGCATGCCATACGCGCAAGCGTGAGGGGGAAGCTTCCTATCTTCCTCCTTGGGTCTTCCAATATTGAGGTCCTTCATAGCCCCAACAGGCATGCTGGTCAGGCTGTCCACATCGTCATCATCGTAAAGCTCGGTTTGGTTGTCGTCATCGTCGGCACGGCGGCGACCGTCGCGGCCGCCAAATTTGCCGTAGAGAAGGCTCTCGTCGGCATCGATACCGGTCAAGACATCGTCGCCTGCCTTGATCGCAGCGGCGCTGTCGGAAACTAGGTGGTTCCCGAGATTCTTGAAGGCGCTCTCCATATTCGCGGTATTCCGAATTTCTACTTCTCTCTGCTGATCTCCCTTCCAAGAGTGTCAGTGGGCTGTCGCATGCGATGTAACTGTAGAAATGTATTTGCATGTGCCGGCGATGGTGTTGGGGACATCATTTTGGTGTTATGGAGAATGCGCAACTTACTTCAGCTTCTTTATGGTTCTCGAATGGTTCGGCGTCGCAGAGCCTCAGTAGGCTCAGGTCGTACGGAAGGGGGATTCGAGGTGGATCGGGGAGGGGGAAGGTCACATCATATCGGTATGTGAAGTTGGGGGATTCGTGCGGAAACCTCAAAGGTACACCAACGGGGCAGAGACTTGTCGGGAGTGGTTGCGTGCCTTTTCGTTGGTGAATCCAAGCACCCAAGAAACATCCAAGGTCCGACAGAGCAGCGGCGAAAGGGTGGTGTTTTGGTGGGATGTAGCTTATCACCACGTGACCGCCATACTGGGGTGCTTGAAAGTGGATACCTGCCACCTGATAAGGTTTTTTTTCTCGATCTGCCTGTTCATGGTACGTTCGATGTATTGCGGAACTCTAGCATTGACATCCCACCTTCTCACATACCAAAAGCCCAATAGCCCAACATGATCCGGAAACAGGCGCGACAACGGCGCGACTACCTCTATCGCAAGGCGCTTATATTGAAAGAGGCGGAGACGACTGAGAAGCGCGCCCAACTACGATCTGCCCTTGCTTCTGGCAAGCCCATCGACCCCGAAATCGCAAAGAACAAGGCGTTGCGGAAAGACTACCAATATGACGAGTCGCGACCCGATCGAACAGTCGATGAGGAGATGGATCTCGACGACGAATACTCCCAGCTGTCGGGAATCTCGGAGCCACGCCTTTTGGTTACAGTTAGTTTATTCTGCTCCCCCAATCCAGGCACATAAGTAAACGCTCATCCTTTCAGACTTCAAGAGACCCGTCCTCAAGGCTTTCAGCCTTCTCCAAAGAGATTAGATTGCTCTTCCCTACATCCGTTCGGCTCAATCGTGGAAATCTGATTCTTCCGGACATTGTGCAGTCTAGCAAGTCCAACGGGCTCACAGACATTGTCCTCCTTCACGAACATCGCGGTGTACCGACTGCCATGACGTACGTCACTCTATATTGAATCCAAGACGAGCCACCAGCTGACGAACCTCTTCAACACAGCATTTCCCATCTTCCACACGGCCCTACGCTATCAATGTCGCTCCACAACGTTGTACTCAGAGCAGATATACCCGGAAGTATCAGAGGATCCGTCTCAGAGGCTTTTCCACGGTTAATATTTGAGGGTTTTAAGAGGTATGCGATGTTGGCTTCGGAGGTCGTTCGATGGTCACTAATCATCACTTAACCCTTCTAGCCGGCTTGGACAGCGGATTGTGAAGATCCTAAAACATCTTTTCCCTCCGCTCGATCCCCCGACCACCAAGGCTAAGGTAGGGTCAAGGGTAGTGACATTTATGAACAATGAAGACTCCATTGAAGTCAGACAGTAAGCTCATTCGAAGCTCCGATCCCCGCCAGACCTTTGCTAACCCCTTGGTAGTCACGTTTTTGTCCGGACTTCGTACGATTCTGTCGAGCTCGCCGAGGTTGGACCTCGGATGACAATGCGCCCCTTCGAGATTCGCGGTGGAACCTTGGAAAACAAGGACGGCGATGTTGAGTGGCACCTTACACAGTACACTCGTACTGGTAGAAAGAAGGAGTATCTGTGAGAGAGGACCACCGAAGAGAACCGACATGACAGATGCGGTCAAATGCTTAGGCGTCGCTGTCGTGAGAGAACACGGGGCAATTAGCCACGATCGGCGCCCAGAAGATCAGCTCGTTGCGTGGGCGAAATGCTGCAACGACGAACAGGACTTGTCAAGTAGTGCGCCACGAACCGGAGCCGGAGGTAACGGGAACGCGGGTTTCCACGAGGCCACAATACCCAGGCGCCGGTCAAGCGGCGTCGGTGGATGCGAGAAGAAGAGAGGCGTGGCAAAGGCACACATGGGACTACACGAAGTGGAAGATGAAGAACGATGTTGGACTGAAGATATCCAAGCCAGAACGCCGTAGTTTCTTGGCGGCTTACAATGGCAAGACGGTGGAGTGTAGAAAATGGAGACTTCCTAAGCTTCAGGAGAAGACAAATCAAGGCAGGCAAAAAAGCATCAAAATCTTGTTGAATAATAAGTATTACATCCGATTGGTTGCGATGAGTGTGGCCGGCCGTTGAGAGCCAGGCAATTTAGTTCTAACCGTTGATTTGCTCATGACAAAGCATATCGACGTCCGTAGCTGGAGGACTCGAGTGCGGCTCATGACCACAAATTGAGTTAGCAACTAAGACCGCTGAATTTGCCGCGGTTCGTAGGGTGCGGTGCCATTCAACAAGGACCGGTGACGCCTCGAGATGGAGACGACAGCTTTCTTTGCAATTGCTACTACGAGCCAATGAACGGTCAGCAGCAGTCAGCCTTGGCGCGTGGTAACGCCAAGATCTATCTCAGTGAAGGAAGGTTGAGCATGGGATGGAATACATCAGATGGTCCCAATGGTCGCTTACAGAGTTCGGTGCCATTGAGGCCCCACCGTGAACATACGCGCAATACGGATACGGACCGGAAGTACGCAGAAGCCGCGGGAGGCACTTTGGTTGTAGTGACTCTCATTGACTAATCGTCGCTGTGGCCTACACTACATCGTCTATGATCGCCTTGTGCGATAGAAGCATGGTGTACGGAGTAGAGGGCCAGAAGGAAAAGGCGAAGTGGGTAAACATAGAGGCAGTACAACACTGAGCACTGCCCGAGGATGCCTCCTAATACGCGGCAAGAGGAACGAGTGGCTTAGGACGTTAACGTTGAGGTGTGTTAACTGCAAGAGTTCGCACAGCCACAAAATGGTGACGATTCCCTGGGCTAGGGACCAGTGTGGTCAGCGAACAAGCCGGCGGACTTTGAGCTTCTGCCTGTCGGTTCTCGGCTTTGGCATCAGGTAGGAAAGGGTCCCGTATGCGATGCAGCTTAGAGCCAATTGGTTCAAAATCACCAAGCAAACTGTGTTGTAGCCGCATTCCGAATCTCAAGGTCTATTTTTGGGGGCGCAGACACGATTTGACATCTGCCGTTGCCGCCGCCGCCACTCAGCAACCCAGGTTCTAAGGTACGCAGCAACGCTCCCCATTCCATTGCGATTCTGCTGCTCAGCTGTCAATCGTCACTTTTTCCGCAGCGGGGTGGCTGGGCGTTGCTCGCCAAGCGAGGGTGGGAAAGGACAGGAGTGAGAAGGAAACGGACAGGCATGGCCGGACCCCCGGAGAGAACGAGGGGCAGCTCCAGCCTCCAGCCTCCCGACAGCACCAAAGGCCCGTCGGACGGCGGTGGGCAGACACAGAGCAGAGCACCTAAAAATTAACCTCTGTGAGGTGGTGTGTGTGAGACCCGACTGCTGCCCACCTCACCTTGAGCGAGAGAAGAAGACAGACCCTTGGGACTCGCTGGGGGTGGGTGAGACCGTCCGTCCGTCCCTAAGGTACCTTGCCGCTACAGAGAGGAACATGCGTCCCGGGTATAATAAGCTTCGCCCCGCCCTTCGGCGCAACATGTTCTGATGTCACTGACCTGGTGTTCGCTTCATCCAGTCTTTCACTGTTCGCGGCCGACGTCTTGGGAATCGAGTAAAGTACCGAGTCTGACTAAGATCTGAAAGGTGCGGTGGACAGCCTCGAATCCCTTCCCATCTCTGGGTTCATTTTAAAAGAAGGAATTTCCTTCGTAAAGCTTGTTTATTGTTTTCCTCCTGGTCAGAACTTAACAGGAAGAAGGCAACGAGAAAAAAAAAGGGACCCCGGAAAGCAGATCGGCCAATCCTGCCCACTGTCGCCCCGTTCACGAGCGACCCCATCCAACCACATACACAGCCCGGGGTATCCGCTCTGACAGGTCCCGGTGCCTGATTGGGCCCGTCCTCATTGTCATTTCAGCGTCTCTCCAGCACTTCCCAGTTCCTGTCAGCGGCCGAAGGTCCAACGTCATTTAACAACCAAACATCAGCCGAAAGGTCCTTCACCTTGCACCACCACGACAATCTCACGAGCCCGCCGGCTCAATCACACCATATAGCGCCGGACTCTCTCATTCAATTCTGCTCGCTCGCCGAATAAATTGCGGTTCGAATCGCACTGTCTATCGTCGACATTGACAGTTGCTTTGAGTCAGACATGTCGTACCAACAGTATAACCAAAATCCCTACGCTCAGGGCCCCCAGGCCGAGGGCGGATACGCCTACGACAACCAACAGGTCCGTCGCTCTCCAATTCAGTCCGCGCATGCCCTCTCAATTCCATATCGCTGACTTCTCATGAATCATAGCCTCAATATGGCCAAGGCCAGTACGAAATGCAGCCGTACGGAGAGGCGGGCCAGTATGCCGGCCAATCCGCGCCTCGTACTCTGAGCCAGCAAGATTTCCTCGCCCGGGTCCAACAACTGCGCACAGAAATCAATGGCCTGACTTCCGACATTGAGGGCATTGCCCAGCTTCACCAGCGCTCTCTCGGTTCCCCCGACGGCAGCACCAGCGCCCAGCTTGAGCAGGCTGTCTCCGCGACGCAAATCCGCAACACCGGCGTCAAGGAAGGCATCAAGGCCCTCGAGAGGGATCTATCCAAGACACAGGATGGATCGCGCGCAACCAAGACGGCGCAGCTCAACTCCCTGAAGAACACTTTCAAGTCTGAACTCGAAAAGTATCAGCAGATCGAGCGCGATTACCAGAAGCGGTACCGCGACCAGATTGCCCGCCAGTACCGCATCGTCAACCCGGAAGCGACGGAAGATGAAGTCGAGCAAGCGACACAGATGGACTGGGGTGACGAAGGTGTTTTCCAAACAGCGGTATGTTTTCGCATTGTTGTGACCGACTTTCCTCGGCTTTTCGGCACCATATGCTAACGGCTTGACCAGCTCAAATCCAATCGGACAGGTCACGCCAACACTATTTTGGGCAACGTTAGAGCCCGCCACAGCGAGTTGCAGCGCATTGAGCAGACCATGATGGAGCTCGGCCAACTCTTCCAGGAATTGGCCACTTTGGTCGAGCAGCAGGAGCCCGTCGTCCAAGCCGCCGAGCAGAATGCTGAACAGACTGTCGAAAATATCCAAAAGGGCAACGAAGAAGTCAAGGTTGCGACGGACCACGCGCGCAGACGCAAGAAGCTCAAGTGGTGGTGCCTCCTTGTTGTCGTACTCATCATCCTTGCCATCGCGCTGGGTGTCGGTTTGGGCGTTGCTCTCACCAAGAAGAATTAACGGGTATGACCACAACAATCGGACACGCATGTGCGCAATTGCACTACGACGACGATTCGGAGAAAGTAATGGGATGGGGAGGCAGCTACAGCACCTCCCTCGGATGATTGGAAACGGGACAGCACTTCTAAAAGAGCAGCACTACGATTGTTTAGACTTCATGACCATGGCTCGGACGAATGGACGGTACTAATCAAGGGCGACACAAAAACACGGCGGAGCACACACGCGCGCTGCCTCACGAACCCAAAAACCAGCTCTTTTCCGACGACGCCACGACTTTTTCTCTTTTTCAGCTGCCGCGTATAGGAGACACGGCGGGCTCTTGATTCCCCACCAACGATTGACTTATTGTACGCATACTCTTCATACGATCAGACGGAAGGGGGGGAATATGGAGTGGACTTTTCTATCTGTATTTATTTTGCGTCTGTCCCTCCTCCCACTTGACAGTCCGTTGGATTTCATGAGTGGACTGGAAGAGAGAGAGGCCACCACTTTTTTCCCTCTTGTACGTATCGCACAATGGCGAACACTTTATGAACTCGCATGGCATTTATCCACACCGCACCCGACCCATCCTGTACATGTCCCATGACCTTGGCGAGTCGCTCTTTAGATTCTTCAACCGTTTTTTTTTCTCTCTCCCTCCGCTCCGGCCCACCCGGCCTGCCCTGCCTATCAGCACCTCATCCCCGATTCGAACCATGGTAGCCACGCGAGAACCCGGCCGGTCCAGAACCTGTCGGGGTTTAGGAACACGGGCGCACCCCGGTCACTTTCCGCCCCCCGCCCACCAACGAAATTTGCACTCACGATGCCACCACATCCACTTGTTCACATTCCACACCGCACCGCACAGCAACGCCCGCGCAATTTGACCAACCCGTATGGTCACCCCCACACCCCAATCATACCTAGTCACCTTTTTCCTCCAGTGTCTTCAACAAAAACATGGTCTGGTGGTGTAGTTGGTTATCACGTCAGTCTAACAGCTCGAAAAGAAGTCTCTCACGGCCTCTCTCTCGTCTGCCACACTGAAGGTCTCCGGTTCAAGTCCGGGCTAGATCATCCTGTTGGGCGATTGGTTTAGTGGTATAATGACCGCTTAGCATGCGGTAGGTCCTGGGTTCGATTCCCAGATCGTCCATCTTTTTGCTCTCCTGGGCCCTGGGGGCTGTAAAGATTGTGCAAGCGTTGTGGTTTTCGCTGTTTTTGTGGTTTTCCGATCACGAACCATGTTTCTGTAAGAGTGAATAGCATGCCTGTGGCGGGGTCATCAGTTAGCCTGAAGGGCAAATAAGGTGGGCATCATGTTGCGTGGGTGGATATATGACTTCTTCTGCTTCAAATCTGTCCTTTCACCGCAACATGTATTCCTTGAAAAGAGACACCAAAGCAACATGTAATGGACACATATGCAAGAAGGAATATGGAAATAGCAAAAGATGATTGACAGTGGACTAGTTCTACAATGCTCTCACCAATGTACGTAGAGTGAGGGAAGTCGGATTATGTACAACGTAAGGGTTTCAACCAATGCCTCCCCAGCCGTACGTATGGAGCCTTGGACTTTGCTCTCCTTTCCCAAAGCCTCCCTCACCAACCAACGAAAAAACGACTCAACGAGGTGGGCGGCTTGCCCACCTTGATATTTTCCCCTATTATCAACCAGGAGCCCTTTGTCTTAGCTATCCGCTTCCCCATCTGCTAAGGGATCTGCTGTTTTCTTCTTACACGCCGCCATAGGTGAGTTTTACATGTTTCGTGTTCAGGACGTCATTGGCCCTTTACCGGGGCATGCCACCCGGGCCGATGCCCTGAAGCTTTGCCGCCAGCTTGGGGTACTTCTCTTGGACCTGGAGCTGCGTGCGGGTCGCCTCGGCATAGGACAGGGCGTTGACGATCTCGCCCTCGGTGCGGGCGAGCTCTGCAGCGCGCTCAAAGTACTTGAGCGCCTCGGTGACCTTGCCCTGTTGCAAAAGGAGCTGGGCCATGGTGGCAACGGCAATATCGCACTCGGGGTCGACTATCAAGGGTCAGCAACCACATTTCGTACAATGAAGTAGTCTGAACTTACTAATGAGCGCCTTCTGGCAGAGCTTCTCGGCCTCACCAAAGTCCTGCTTCCACTGGAACAGGGTGAGAGCCTTGTTGATGAGAGGAAGGACGTTCATCGCCATGGGCTTCGTCTTCGACTCCATCTCGATGGCACTGTCGAACTTCTCAATCGCCTCCTGGAAGTTGCCCTGGTCCAGGAGCAGCTCGCCGTAGTAGTTGTAGACGTCGGGGACCTCCTTGAAGTTCTTGATGCAGCGGCGGAAGGTCGACATGGATGATGCAATAGATCCCATCTTGTACTGAGTCACGCCAAGCTGGATGTGAGAGAAGATGAAGTCGCGGTCCAAGTCGATGGACTTCTGGTAGTCCTTGGCGGCGTCGGAGAATTCGCCCTTGATGAAGTGGAGCTGAGCGCGGTGGTAGTAAATATCAGGGTCTTCGGTATTCTGCTCCATGGCCTTCTCGAAGTCCTCAGCAGCCTTGTCCGGGGCACCAAGCTCGAGGTTCATGCTGGCGCGCTTGATGTAGCTCTGGGTCATGGAAGGGTCGAGCTCGATACTCTTGGTCAGGTCGACCATGGCATCGTCGTGCTTTCCGAGCAGGCAGCTGAAGGTACCGCGCAGGTTGTAAGCAAGGGCCTCAAATTCGCCCAGGTCACCCAGCTCCAATGCCTTCTCAAAGGCCGCTCTGGCCTCCTCGTATCCGTCGCCAGTCTTCTTCTCCAGAGCACTCAAGCCGACTTGGAGTTGTCCCTTGCCAGTCTCCTCGGACAAGGCCACAGAGTCCTCGAGTCCAGCCGGACGGGGCTTGACGCGGAAGCTCTGGAGGTAGTTGCCGACGAAAGTGTGACTAGGAAGCTTGTTGGGCCGGCTGGCCATCATCTCCTGAGCCTTCTGCTCGGCGAACTTCTTAAGCAGGCGCTCGACGGATTGCGCACTGCTCTCGTTCTTGAAGCTATCGATGATGCAAGAAGCAGTGAAGTCGAGGAGGGCCTCGCCGTACATCTTCAGGTGCTCGTAGGCGTTGGCGCGGCGGTTGAGTGCCTTGACGTATTCGGGGTCAAGGTTGATGGCGGCAGTCGTGTCTTCGACGACCTTGTCCCAGTTGCCGAGGGCATTGTAGCAGGCGGCGCGATTGGAGTAGAAGATGGGGTTGGCCTTGCAGAGAATAGCCTGAGAGTAGAGGTCGATGGCCTTGTTGTAGTCCTTGCCACCGTAGGCTTGGTTTCCGACATCCTTAAGCTTGGCGGCATACTTCTCCCGCTCTTCGGTAGTGAACTCGGCAACAGTCGCCTCGGTGATCTCGGGAAGTTCGTCGGCGGACTCGACGCTGGCTGCTTTGGACGATGCAGGGGCTGCGGCCTCTGCAGGTGTGGGCTGCTTTTCGGCATCTGCTGCAGCCTTCCGCTCGGCTTCCTTTCTTTTCCTTCGCTCCTTCTTGCTGAGCTTTGGTGTCGAGTCTGTCTTCTTCAATCGCACTTGAGTTAGCTTTGCTGTCTGAGAGAAGAGCAAGCTGGCGCCAGCAATAGGCGCCAAGATCTCGGTAGTGACGGGTGAAAAAATTGGATCGCATGACGACGAGGGTTGCGAGGATAAGATGGGAAGCATGACGTACGGAATCGCTGTTGAGGAAGTAGATGACACCAGCACCGGTAGCGACGACGGCGACACCAGCGGCAGTGTAGACAATGGCCTTGTTATCCGAAGCCCATGAGGTGATGCGATCCCAAAGGCCAGAAGACGAATCAATGGGGATGACAGTCGGAGGGCTGGCCATGGGAGGCACGGACGGCAGGGGATTCGACATGATGGTGACGAGCCCAAGAGCAATTGAGAGAGCAAGGGAAGAAAGGTATCAGAGGTGTTCTAAGAGAAAAAGTCGCGAGGTCGAAAGGAATGTAATTAATGGGCTGACCAGTGTGGTCGATGATGTAGAGGGTGCAGGAGCTGCAGGTGTTGCTGCTCTGTTGCTTTTGCTGTTGCTGTTGCTGTTGCACTTGCGCTGGGCCAGGAGCTTCCGGACAGTAACCGTCCTCAAAAAATTATTGCGCGACGGGGAAGCTCGTGAGGAGTTTTTCCGGGCAGTTGCCTCTGCTTGGTGCTGTCATTCATCAAATCAGCTTGGCCTCAGGCGATTTAAGAGTGGGGGCGCAAGGGAGGACCGCCTATAAATCTGCACACTACGTAACCAAAGAGGGTCCCGATTGTCCTCCAGGCAAGGGTGCGTTGGTCAGCCAGAGCCCGCGGGCGGCACCCAGCATGCAGCGTGAGCCTGTGAGGTACCCAAGTACTTTGACCGATAAGCCTCTTCATGTCACCGACTAGACTCGGAAGGGAACTGTGCTTATTTTGGTGCCAAATGACAATGAATTCTCTCCAATATCTTCTCTTTGGACAGGCCAACCTCACCTTTATACAACGTGAGTCACATTAACTCACATAATGTCGTCTCACTAGAAACAAAGGGAGTTTTCGCATACAATGACTCTATATGTCGAAGACATGTCACCGTTGCCACAATGTTTGTTTGGTAGAACGCGGTGGGTTCCGCCCACCATTTCAGACCATCACCACAACGTGTGAATGTCTACCATGCTATCCCATCTCATCTATCTCATTTCGCCTTGTTTTCTTTGCCTACATTACCTCATGGGGCTGATTGACTGACTCCTTGTAACTTTGATACTCGAAACTGGGATCTTACTATGATCTATACTGTCTCGCTCTGGCGAGAACTACATGCAAGTGACAGATCTTGTACAGACAAGTTCCGTTCCAGCTTAACCCATTTCCCATTAATCATCTTGAGATATGACAGACCGAACACAACTCAGACGAGATTATCTTTGACTCCTCACCTCCCAGTTGGTCACTGGCCAAGTCATACCTTGCTTGTGGTCAGATATCGGGTTGATGGCCGGTCGATTGGCACCCATAATGTACGAAGTGACACTGTATTATGGTTATAGCATGTTAATTTGAAGATGTACATCCTTTCTGTTTGAAAGACTGCGGTTAGTCAACATAAGCAGGATGTCAGGAACCCACATGATACATTCATCCACCCCCACCTACTCGTTTCCCAGTAGAGATGAGGAGTGGCGACACTCTCTGTAGATAACAGACAGCTTCACTACGAATCCCTTCAATTCAACGATAATTCAAGCATGGAATACGTCCGCTTCTGATTGGTTCGCTGTTTTGAGTCGCAGAGTTGAGGCTAATCTGGTTTGTCCAAAGGCCCGCAAGCCCACGATGGTGGTCTATGAAGTGTTGAAATGCCCAACTGGTAGACGTCCAAAGTCTTCAACAAATTCACAGCACTTTTCAACCATTCAAGGTAAGCTGAAGTAAACTGACGGTCATGTAAAAGAGTGCGTCGAAGTTTCCGAAATGGTGGTTGAGAGATACTGATTCCCTCATTAGATTCTAAGACTACTAAACACATTGGATTTTATTTTGAGTTATGATCATAGCATAGTAGTATCATTGTAAACTCGAACCACAGGTGACTTGAAATTCAGCAAGCAAGCTAAGTCTGGCACCTTTCCGAAATGGAAATGCGATGCCGGCAAGGGTTGACACTATCACAGGATCACCAAGACTTCTCCCGGGTCTCGCCAACCTCACTTCGGACGCAGCATGACACGACTGTAGCGATATGGACTTTCACATCTCTTAGGTAATTGACAGGTCAGTTGTATCGTCTGCTACGTATGTAGGGTGGTCACACCGGAGTCCTCCCGGCTTCTCGTCCTAAAACATCGGGCAATGGCTTCAGGGTCTCAGGGGGCAACGTACTTATGATAAATAATTGAATCTAAATCTCTTCAAGCAAATAATTGGAGAACTTGGTACATATATGCTTGAAATCTCGGGGTTGTAATGATTGGTGTGAGTCTAATTCTATCCTCGACAGTCTACTAGAGTCAACAAGGCCTTTACCTTGGCATGGCAGAAGAAGGAGTTAATATTGAGCTCCCTACCAGCTTGGCTTAGTGAATCAGAAGAAAGGATCCGACATCCTTCAGATATCCATCTCAGAACACCTTGACTATTTCAGCTCTTGTCCTGGTTGATGTCGTACTTCGCAGTCACTAGCCACCACTTTGAATGGCCTCTTGCTTATCCGAAGGCGATCTGTCCATCCTGAAAAGAAGGCGCTAGCTTCTTTTTTTAACTCCATATTAGCTCGCAGGCTATGAACTCATAGGTTATCCGAATGGCTATTTAATACGTTGTCTGAATCCTCGGTTCACCTCTAAATGCTATAACATCATTACAGCGACGTTGGGTGAAGAAAATCTGTGCTGCTTACGTAAACTTACGGGAGATCATTGCGGCCCAAATATCTCCCGCTGTGACCCTGGTATGAATATTCCTGAACCTGGTTGATTCTTGCGGTTCTTCATCTGTACTGAACGCTCTTGAACTCAAAACCCGACTTTTGCGCTTCTTTTCTCTTCAAGATACGTCATCATACTCTTTCTAAGCATCAGGGGATAATACCTTTCGCGCTTGCGGAACTCTCAAATTGACAACTTCACCCATTCACCCATTATTCTGCCTTACTCACAAGGTTGACACAAAAAGCCCAGCACCATGGCCAACTTTCAGCTATTCACATCGCTTCGATACGACCCTGGCTTGATAGGCGTACCGAAGCGGCGCCTAGCCAACGCAGGATGGAACGCCAAGATGACTTCACCTTTCTACATGCTAGATCTGCACCGGGATCGGATGCTGCGGGCTGCCACCTATTGGAAGTGGACCCCTGCCATCGAGGCCATCTCTGGATCGGACGGCCTCCAGAGACTGACTGAGGCGATTGAGACTTTCTTGACTCAGCATGGAAGAGAGAAACCATTACGAGTCAAAGTCTTGTTGACCTCAGAAGGACGCCTCACCTGCGAAGGATCACAGGTCCCAGCGGTGCAGCTTGAGAACCTCTTCCCCGAACGGCTTCCCTCCCCAGGACAATCGACAGGAGCGGGCTATCCTTTGGAAGAGAATCCTATGACAGTAGTGATTGATAGCACAAAGACCACACAATCCGAGTATACACATTACAAGACTACAGAGAGAAATATGTATGACACAGCTCGTAGTCGAGCGAGTATCAGCCTGGCAGATCGCAAGGAAGTCCTTCTGGTAAACTCGAAAAACGGGTATATCATGGAAGGTAGCCTGACAACCCCGTTCTTCTGGCGAGGCGGCAGATGGGTCACCCCGCCGGTGGCTGCTAAGTATAGTCCCGAAGGTGGGAGCGGTGGCCAAGACGGGACCACCCGTAGATGGGCACTTGAGCGGTAAGTCAGCTAGCTGCTCTACCATTCCCTGCCAACATGGGATGAGCGTTTGACTAACTTGATCAGTGGATTGGCCGTGGAAGAAGAAGTCAAAGTCGAGAGCCTTGTTGGAGGAGAGCCATGCTGGATCAGCAATGGTGTCCGAGGCTTCACTTTTGGGATCATCAAGCTCAATGACGCCTAAAACCTCTTGAGGTTAGAACGGATTTACAGTCCAAACTGAGCGGGAAAACACCACGATATCAACGAGATAGATGTTGATTGGTCGAAGTCACTCAATTCTCGAGATAGAGGACACGACTTCATGTACTGGCCTTGAGCTTCTCTTGGCGCTTGAGACAAACCTCATCATTCATCATCTAGTGCTGCTGCACATCTGCCTGTTACGCGTTGGTGCAAGCGGTCGCGGCACATCGGAATGGAACCTCGTGATAAGACCCGGCGGCTAGGAAAGACATTCATGGCATAACCGGTTCATCTCCAGCGATACCATGGGCATGATCAGAAGGCCTCGTCTGCTTCTTGTGTCTTGCATCTTGCTTGGCAAGGTACCCAGGAGTCTGGAGTCGATCGCCGCCAAGACGGGACATGGCCCGCTAAGCTGATCCCTGCCCCGGAACCACCGTGCGGCAGTTCGTTACATCATCGGCGGCGGGGAGGACCTCATCTCTTGGCTTGATTTGTTCGTCTCTTGAAGTCGTTTTCTCCTGACTGGCATTTGGGAGCTTTGATTTTGGTTTAGTTTGTGCCTGGTTTCGCACGTGTCATTCGTCATGCTAAGTCTCGGCAGCTCTCTGGACCGGAGAGCCAAGAACAGGTTGATGGAGAGTTTTGACTGAGAGGTTGGCAGCTTGACATCGAAAAGATGGCTCCGCAACTCGCCATTTCCACTACGTTTCCCTTTTGTTTTCCCCCTCTCAATCAACTACTCGTATGGCTCGAGTCGGCTCAACGCAGACTCCACAAACAAGTGACGCCCCTCTTCTTCCCTATCAACTGCCTCATCGGGTTGGCCCGAGGGCCGACCTGTTTCTAGCCCCCCTCTCCATGAACACAGCTCAAGAGCACGGTCAGAAGGTCCGAATGCGCATTCGCGAGAGCTCGGTTTCAAGCCTGCAGTTGCACCGCCCCACTATCCCTTGTCTTGCTGAGAGCTGTCACACTTACACACTGCCGGCATTGGGCTCTTCCCTGGTCTGCCGTGACAAGACACATAACTCGATCCCGGTCGAGCTCAGCTCAGGGTTGTCGTCAGCGAAACAATAGCTTGCTGTCTTATAAGAAGTCCCGACGGGCCAGCGCATGATTGACATGCTACCTATCTCCTAGGTGATATCTCCCCCTCATCACATCGCAAGCGCTATCCAAACAGGTTTACTGCCTACCATCGCACGTTCGACCCAAATAGTCCAGGTTAATTCAGTGCCGTCCATCCGAGTCGTCATTGTCGCTTCTTGACCGTAACGGGCAGGTATTTAAGTCGTCACCCTGATCCGCCAAGCTAGTGTTCAAGCTCCCTTGTCACAACCACTTGACCTAACCAACCATCCTACACACACATACTCACACTCACACTCACACAAAACAAAAAGCTCATTTTCTCAATCATACAAGATGGAAGCATTCCTCAAAGCTCAAGCTAAGTTCAAGGCCGACAAGGGCCTCTCCAAGATCCCTGTCATCGCCAACAAGAACTACCAGCGTCATGGCACAAAATCCTACGTCTACCTGCTCAACAAGTTCAAGTTCGAACCGACAAAGCCGGGCCCCTATGTTCAGACAAGAAGAATGGCCCAGAGAGGGCTTGCAGCCCCCGGGTTCAATGCTGCCGTCGGCGGTCGTGTCTCCATGAGCAAGGTTCTCTCCAAGAAGACTGGCGACGACCAGCATGGGGATGTTACAGCCGAAGACCAGCAATATGACTCCATGTACCTTTGCGAAGTCTCAATCGGCACGCCACCGCAAAAGTTCAAGTTGGACTTTGACACAGGTTCTTCTGACCTTTGGGTATTTCGATTCTCTCTGGCAAACTATGTTACCAATGATCTTCGCTAACAGCGCATGTCAGGTTTTCTCGACCGAGCTTAGCAGCGCCACGCAGAAGGGTCACAACATCTTTGACGCCTCCAAGTCCTCAACTTACAAGAAGCTCGACGGAAAGACGTGGAAGATCTCGTACGGCGACGGCAGCTCGGCGTCAGGCGATGTCGGCACCGACAACCTCGTCCTCGGCGGGCTAACAGTTGAGAACCAGGCCATCGAGTCAGCCTCGCAGCTCGCAGACCAGTTCTCCCAGGGCAGCGGAGATGGTCTCCTCGGTCTCGCCTTCGGATCTATCAACACGGTCATGCGCGATGGCAACTTCCGCGACCCCGTCGCCACACCCGTCGAGAACATGATTGCGCAGCAAGACATCCCCAAGGACGCGGAGCTCTTCACCTCTGCGTTTTATAGCGAGCGGGACGAGGCGAAGCCACGGTCGTTCTACACATTTGGCTGGATCGACACGGATCTCGTCTCGGCCTCGGGCGAGGATATCCACTGGACCGACATTGATAACTCGCAAGGGTTCTGGATGTTCGAGTCCGGGTCCGCGAGTATTAACGGCAAGGCCGTGACGCAGAGCGGTAACAAGGCCATTGCAGACACGGGCACGACGCTGGCGCTCGTCTCAGATGAGGTCTGCGATGCGCTGTACAAGGCGATCCCCGGTGCCAAGTACGATGACCAGCAGCAGGGCTATGTGTTCCCGACGAGCACCAAGGCGGACGACCTGCCCGAGTTCAAGGTCGCCGTCGGTGACAAGGAGTTTGTGATTCAGAAGGAGGACCTTGCGTTTGCGCCGGCGAGTGATGGGTTCTGGTACGGCGGAGTGCAGTCGCGGGGTTCCAACGAGTTTGACATTTTGGGTGATGCGTTCCTGAAGTCGATTTATGCGGTAAGTGCCATCGCTGAATCCGATCAGGCAATGACGTGAAATGAAGCTGACTTTGAGAACAGATCTGGGATCAGGGAAACACTCGATTTGGCTGTGTTCCGAAGATTGAGAAGACGCAGAATCTCACACCGCCGTCTTAAAACATTATGCTGTTGTGTCATAAGACACTCATGAATTCAATTGAGCGAGATGTTCCTCTAGCGGGACTAGATACAGATGATAATGAATTTGCAAAATTTCATTGAGTTCGTCTTCCTCGCGATCGACTGGAAGGGGATTTTCATGAAGATCCGCACCGCTTCAACTTCAGAGTGTATCTCACCCAAAGTTAGCTATACGCGCATGATACCCTTTCCGTGGCTCCAGAACACTAGGTTTTTGAGAGGAATTAGCTGGTGACTAGACTTCGTAAAATTAGAGTGTTCTGAGCGGATTGATTGGATAGGTAAGTCCTGGAGACAAAGAGTTGACGGCTCATCAAGCCATGATATCGTAGCATTACTGTTTCTTTTCTTTTCCGACCACATTCTCTACCTTGACTTTATCTATTGCGATTGTCATCGTCCGCTTGTGTTAAAGCTAATGGCAACAATGTGATTGGCTGTGACGAGATAAAGATTGAATTACCAACTCAATTTGAACAGAAGTCTCCAAGATATCAATGGCTATTCAGGCCACGTTTGCCAGGATATCAATATTCTGTCCACATGCTCAAGATTTGTCGAAGAGACGTAGCAGCTTTCATAAAACCATGTCAATTCACATGCTAAGCGATTAGCTGTGTAGTTAGAAATGCGTACAGTGAGTGGTCCTTTGACTCTTGGCTCGGGTCCAGGTTCGTTCTCTCAGAGAGTCAAAAAGTTGTCATCCCAAGCCAAGGTTTGTGGGAAGACACATGGTGAGCAAGACGAAGTTAAGGTTTGGTGCCAGATCGAGATAGATCCTGGGCCGTCCCAGCGTCTGAGACCTGAAACGGCATGCCGGCGCATCACGCTGGGGAGTTTGGAGAGTATTGGACTACTTTCTGGAGGACAGCATGAAAGGTGACGCTCGACGGCCAGGACATCTGAGACCCTTAGTTGTATGAGTATGCTATTGTGTGAAGTGTTATAGAGACATGTAGAAATAGTTGATAAACAATGATTTCATGGATGAGTTGATGAAGATAGGTAATTGATCTTGGCAGAGCGACATATATCAGAGTGGGTCGGTTCTGATGCAGTAAGCATGTCTGATTGGTAGGAGAGCATCACCTTTAGTCTCCCGAACATTCCAAGGTACCCGTACCTCGAACTCAGGTTCCTGACCTCACAGCTTTCGAGGTGATTTTAGTGGGCAGCTCTTCTCGCAGCTCTCCACAGCGGGCACGTCCAGCTGGTCCAGGCCCCAAACGGCCCAAAGCAACCACGCAACGTCGCACGCCTGGTGAAGGGAGCCGGCAATAAGGAGAGAATCCTACTGGCTGAGAGAGGTACCAAGATACCTAACTACCTTAGGTAAGGTGTTTAGGTACCTCGAGCCAACAGAGCGGGCAGCTCCAGCCACGGCTCAAGGAAGAGACGAAGAAAAAAATAACACCACACATTTTTTTCCCCAGGCCCAGCACCTAACGAAACGGGTCGGAAGGATGGACTGAGGTGCACCACCTGGGCGTGCACAAGCAACCAGCGCCGCCAGTACCAGTACCAGCACCTACCTACTGCTACCGTATACCTGCTGCACCTACTACACCTGCACCTGCACCAGCTGTCTGTGAGGTGGCTCCGTCTCCGTCGCCCGTCCAGTCCGTCTTGGTTTTGTCGTCTGGCCGAAATCCCTCCCTCCCTTCTATCATCATCACCATCTCCACCCCTGCGATTCCTCCTCGCACCCAAACCCTCCTCCTATTCCCAGGCTTCCACTTCATCTGCTCTTTCATTAGAAGCAGAGAGGTTAGAGGAGACGACACGGGTTCAGCTCCAGCTCGTCAACAGCATTGCGTTTTTTTCTCTCCCCCTCCTCCCGCTCTGCTTTGCTGCTCACCCCACTGCCCGACGAACCGGTGCTGCTACTGCTGCTGTGTATTTTATTTAATACGCCTTCTTGGCTGTCTGTTTGCTCCATCGCCCTCATTCTTCGCCAACCGCAGGGCGGTACTTGCTTTTCCCCCTCTCTTCCATTCATCCATCGTCCGCAAGCATCGCATGATTGTCTCGACATCCTTCCGCCGCCGCCTCCGCTCCTCGAGCCTGTCCTATCCGTCAACTTGAGCATCGCCCCTCGCTCGATCTCGTACCCGGCTCATCAACCAACAGAGCCAGGCACAGGTAGCTTCTACAAAGCTTCAACATGGCCGCCCCAAGACGCAGAAAGATTGGTCACAGAAGACGCATCGAGGATGAGGAAGACGGAGAAGGTGGACCCGACCAGCTCGAACTCGATGATGACTCTCTGACCGAGGGTTCCATCATCAGCGACGACCACGATCACGGCAACGACAGCGATACGAGCAACATCGATGAGGCTTCTCCCGTTACCCCCAACCCTAGGAAGTCGGCTGGCAATGGAAATGCGAAGTCTGGTAGCCGGAAACACTCGGCCCTGGCCCCCTCGACGACCAACAAGGCCGCACCCGATGCCGAGGAGCTATCTGGCAATGACCGGTCCGAGCCCGCTCAACAAGAGGCACAGCTTGACGGAGCCGCATCTCCCCCAAAGTCTTCTGCCCCTCTCGTCGTGAGCTCCCACTCGTCCCGCCCTGCCGAGCCTGTCAACGAACGTCGTCGCCGGGAACACGAAGAATACAAGCGGAGAAGGGATGAAGACCCCGCCTTCGTTCCCAACAGAGGGGCCTTCTTTATGCACGATCATCGTCATGCCGGACCCTCTGCCAACGGCTTCCGGCCCTTTGGCAGAGGACGAGGACGCGGCGGCCGTGGCGGAGGCATTGGAGGCCCTTATGCACCCATCAAGTACGCTGCCCAGCAAGACTCTGCCCGTATCCCGGCTAATCCGCGCAGTCAACTGCATAGTCCGACCGATCCTCTCACGAGCGGCCAATGGGCGCATGATATGCACGAGGCCGTGACCGAACCGCCTCCCTCGAGACAGCCAAGGCACCTGCCCGTCGAAACTGAAGGCCCGGCCAACGGCAACGGCTTCATCCCAACGTGCCCGTCCAACCCCACCCCGATCAACCGGACTTTGTCGACCGAGCGACACATTGGAAACGTGCAGGTCAGGGTGTCTCTTCCCGTTATTGGCAAAGCTCCCGCCGCCTTTGGCATGCCAGTCAAACAATACACCAAGCTTCCGGATCATCGGCCACCCCTTCGCCGTGACAAGCCTGTCCGTATCTCCTTGCCCGATAATCCGCCCAAGTACATCTTCCCAGCTGTCGATCGATCCTTCATCTTCATCCCCCGGGCGATGCGACCCAACCAACAGCGGACCCGAGGCAAACCCCGTTCTGGACTTGGCTCCATGGGAGGCTTCTCCCGGCGGACCAGTGTCTTTGGCGGAAGCTACTACGGCAGCGCCTACTCTCCCAGCATCGCCCTCAGTCGTCGCTCCTCTCTCGCTCCTGATGGGCGTGACTACTTGTTCTCCCCCACAGGCTCTGTCATGTCGCGGGCCCCGATTCCGGTCGAGAACCCCCGACCAGTCGTCCGCCTCCCGCCTGCAGCTCACCCGAATCAGCCATTCGTTGGACAGGACGGTTATCCTATGCAGCCAAACGAGACATCTATCAATGACTTGCCGCAGCCGCAGACGCACCCGTTGCCACAGAAGCCTGCCTTCCAAGAGAGTCGCCCGAACCCGATCCCTATGCACCAGCCTCGTCCTCAAAAGGCCGTCTCGGTCACCAACATTGAATCGCCGACCCTCAACCAAGGCCCGCAAGCCTTCCAACAAGCTTTCCATCAGCAGGTTCCTCTCCAGGTCTCCAACGGCATGCCGCAGGAAGCCCACTCGCGACAGCCGTCATACCCCACTCAACACTCTACCGGCACGCCTCTCTCCCAGATTCCCGAGAGGGCAATTCACGCGGCTCCGTTCCAGCCAAACACCTTCCAGCAGCAGCAAAATTTCTACAACCAACCTTATCCTATGATGCAGCCTCAGCAGCCGTACTACTACCCTGGGCAGTACAATGGCAACAATATGGGACCTTCTGCTGCAGCTCCATCCTTCGTTCCCTCGGGACAGCCAGGTCAAGGCCAAGGGTTCCCTCCTCAAGGCCAGGCAGACCCCGCGGCTGCACAAGCAAACGGCCAAGGACCGTCGGGTCCCAATTTGGTAGCTCAAGAGGTCAATGGTATGGTGTACTACTACGATGCCACCCAGATGCCCAACTATCAGCAGAGCTACCAGCCTCCTCCGCAATTTGGCCCCGGTGTTAGTGGTATGGGCGGTATGGTGACTCCGAGCCCGGACGCCTTTTACTACCAGCAGCCAGCCCCCGGGATGGTGTACTACTCGCAATAGGGGTACGGGAAAATGCCTTCCTAGGTTTTCTCACGCCTCCTATCGCCTTCCTTCTAATCCTTGTAATTGTCATTGTCGGCTCTCTAGCCGTCGCTATACCCTCTTCTCGTCGGACGGCCGGACGGGGGCAAAGGGCAGGAGGAAATCCACAAAAAACTTTGCGGTGTTTGAACTCTATGATTATAGTATTGATAGGAATGAGCGCTCTTGGTCTGGGTTGAATTGGTACACTGTTGGAGGATGGGGTTGCGAGGTACTTTCGCTGTCCTTTTGAGGTTTTACTTGACTTCTCCTGGGCCAACGTATGATCACAAGCATATGTTGGACACAAGGAGGAGAATTCCTACGGAATTGGTGGAGAGCGAGCGAGAAGCGGTCGACAGAAAAGGGGGTCCCCCTCCTCCTCCCTGGTTCCTACAACCTCGCTTTGTTCTCGAATTCAAGAAGTTCCTCACAATCTGTCTCTACCACATTCTATCATCTTTTCCAGCCTATTTCCATCTGTCCACTTCACGTCGCCGCTTTGCGTTTCTGGCGTTTCTGAGTTTTATCATTAAAATCCCCAGGCCTGCTCTTATTGGATTTACAGGCGGATTATTATCGGGGAGGCTATTCGTTGTGTTTCTTGAGCGTCTATACATTTTGCTTCTACTCACCTTTTCTTTTTGCTTATTGATGTTCGCGACGATGGCCGAATTCTTTTACCTAGACATTCTTCCACACACTCCTTACAAAGTAAACACTCGAGAGCGGGATCGGCACACAATACCGATAACCCTTTCGATGTCGTTTCGAACTTTTTTTTCTCTTCCTCCTTTTGTTTCTATTCCGTTCATGATCCAATGATAGCCTAGATCTCTTTTCTCCGTTCCCATCAAGGTATTTCTTTTCTGGTTATCTGTTTACGCTACTTGTTGTTTAGGCAGCGCAATTGTACTTGCTGTTTTTATCAAGTGTGTATTGGAAGAGGAGGCCGTGGTGGAAAAGTTCTGACAGTATCCTGAGTTCGTATTCGAAGATGTGAGGGGTAAGGGGAGGGTCGGTGGGCTCAAGAGCTTTCTCATGGTTTGGTTAGGAGACGAGATGAGAGAGAAAGGCACAGGGAGAAGGGACCGAAACGCGAAGTGAGAATGAAAGTGGTGGTGTTAAATATTATACTGAAAAAAGAAGAGGGCATGGAAGGAGGAACGTTATTGGGGGGGGGGGGGGGCAGGTAGTTTAAAGCTACTCTATGAAATCTTCATGATTGAATATTGGTCCTGCTTGCAAGAGTATACACTGTCCGTAACCTCGATTTATTGCGGCTCGCGGCTCTAGTCCGACCTTGAGCTCCCATCGCCGTGAGGCTGTAGAATCGACCTAGAGCCCTAAGATGAACGAGCGAATTGACCACATATTGATATTCGCAGTGGGAGATGTGATGCTAGATACTATAGACGATAAAGAGCAAGGGTCGTCCATTGCTTGACTAACTGTCATTGACATCTTGCCCACTATCTCACTTACTGAGAAGAACTGATTGCCATCTTCGTTCTTATCGTTGAGCCGGTTTCGGATAGCTTGGAGAACGGGGCAACGTCTGACAACATTGCTGCCCGGAAACATCCTTCCTTGCATTCCTGAGTGTTGAGGGTTGGAAGAGGCAGCTACATCGTCATGATGACCAAGACCATGCGCTTGACGGCGGCTTGCTTGGATCTGTCAGATATCTAGAATAATGATGGTCAAAAAATCCCGTTTTATCATATCATAAGTAAGTGGGCATGGCTGAGCAAGTTTTGTGGTTGCTCACAGACTCTCTTGCTGTTTCTCAGCTGGTCACTAACTGGGAAAATGTCCCATACTCTAAAATGATCGCAACGACGTAAAACTACTGCGGTTTAACAATCATCACCATCAATAGCTTCGCATTAACGGGAGAGCTTTGACCCTCTGCTCGATGACTGCAGATACGATCGTGCCGGCCATCTATCGATTGCTCACGTCCGCGATCGATCAACCAATTTGTCCTACCGCATCAATAGTTCACCTCGTAACTCATACAGACACGACATATAATTTTAATAGCGAAGGAAAACCAGGAGACATGTCGGCCTCGGTATCCGGCGACGTGTAAGTCGTGCGGACGTTTCCGGACAATAGGGCACGTTGGCGAGGTAGGATATGCATGCAAAATACGAGACGTGTGTACACGTAAACCCCCTATCAGAGGCGTCTGATATGAGCCTACGAGGCTGGTACTACTTTGAAGAGGGGGAAATGATTTGTCGTCCCGTCGTCTCTTTGAGAAACCTGTGCGGCGGAGAAACCCAACCATGCGAGAGGAAAATAATAAGCCAACATCTAAAACTCAACGCCTTTCTTGCCTCTCTTTCTCTGTCGATTACAAGTCGAAAGATGGGTACCTATTAGGCAACGAAGGATCGTGGTCAGCGAGCGGGTATTAGAGCAGGCACGACAGCAAGACACGCGTTCGCGCTGCCTCAGTCTTCATCTTTATTTCTTGTCTGGACGAATTGCTGCGGCCCCCTCGCCAAGCCCTGCAATCCTGAAACAAAGCCATTGGAGAACCGGATGATGTCTCTTTGGGGTTGGTTCAAGGTGGTGAGATTTCAAAGGCGGAGGGGGAGAGGGGGGAAACATGACGTATTGTCGAGTTCTGGGCCCTTCCTTTGTTTGCTTCGCCTCTGAACCGTCTTTTTTGGCAGGCCTGAGGCCTACGGAGCTTTGGAGCTTACCTCGACCATTCTTCAGGGAGCATGTTCCGCACTAGGTAGACTTTCAAGGTCCTCGATGAGTCGATGAAAGGCGGCGCCAAGAGCGAATTGATGGGACGAGTATGGAAGCTTAAAGACTGTTCTTAACTCCCTCGTGCGGGTATTGCTTTTTTACCTCTCTCGTTGCATTTTTTCGACTGACGTAGCTTTGGTGCCTTGGACAGACATTAGATGATTCAGGAAGCGAGGAGGGATGATGAGATGGAAAAAAAAAAAAGTCACCGTCTTCCTGCGGTGTACAGTGTGTGAAGCGGTTGAGCCTCGAGGTGGAGAGATCGGGTGGTCGGCTTCGATCCGGGCGTAATGGAGCTTCGGGTCCGGAGAGCTACTTGTCTTGTCCGGATTGCCCTTCTTGGGACAGACCCCTGAGCCGGCCACTTTACTTTCCCACGTCCTGCTTTACACTTTGAAGGTCGAGCTTTCCAGATGAATTCAATGTCTGGCAATGCGAGTGACAACAAAACATCCTTTTCTTGGCGGCCTCGGCAGCGGTGGTTTGGTAACTTTGATGAGAACTTTGGGAAAAGGCGGGGGTTGAGTTCGCATGACTAGCAGCCTGGATGGCTGGACACTAGAATGGTGACATGCAGCGTAGCGTTGCGATAACTGTAGCGTCTTTGCCCGTTGAGGACGGCGTAGGCAGGCGAGCAGCGCTCTCGGACCTGGAAGGATGACTTCTCGACTGTTCGCTATTCCCGCCATCTGTCGATCTGGACCAAGGGACCGACCAGCCAGCTGGCCTAAATGAGGCCGTGAGATATTTGCTTGCTTATTACCTGCTTGCTTTGCTCACCGAGAGCTTCCCCGCCTCCCCCGCCTTTGTCAGAGCGCTGTTGTTGGTCCGCCGGCGCCATTGCTGCAGATTTCCGTCTGGATGATGAGCTGTCATTTCCAACTTCACCCCCGTGAGCGTCTCCGTGGCTATTCCTTTCGGTGTAAAGTAGCTATGAAGCATCCGTCCTTAATTCATCCCACAGACACTTGTCAGAGAAGGTTTAATGCGAGGTTGGCATACGTCGATCTTGATGGCCCGAGACACACGCAAAAGCCTCTTCGATAGGAATTGAAGACGGAGAGCTTCTAAAAAGGAGGGGACTATTCACTAGCTGACTAAGGCCAAATTGACATGCCTCAGCATCAGAGGGTGAGTGCCAGTTTGATCTACTTCAGAGAGTGATAGAGAGCTCGTATTAGAGGAGGCTCTGTCTCGGTCCAAGACAGATGAAAGGATCTCCACGTGAACGAGTCAAGCGCCGACGGACTTTTCCTGTTTGACCTCAGCTCTTTGTCTTGTCCGACTTCAGCTCCATTCGATGACAAGGCCCAGCGAGACTGGGCACTGAAGGATTGCGTGCTGCGTGACTTGCGGCAGCGATTGCTGCTTCCAGTAAGGAATAGAGGCTCAGGTGACAGAGAACAGACACTCTCTCCCGTGGTCGTCGGTCGACCCGCCCCTCCTCCCCATTCCGATCTCGAGCGACCACGCTGCCGGGCTCGCTAAGATCGGATGCGGTAGCTGCATGAAGTTGGGTTTTACCACGCGTTGGATAACGCATCAACTGCAGTGACTGTATGGAGGTTTTCGCTTTCCCTTCCGCGGCGTAACAGTATTTGCGCCAAACGCATAGCTAGGTGCGAGACACTCTCGCCTTCTGGGCAAACATAGCACCGGACACCCCTGGGCCAATCCAGGTACAAAGTCTGGTAGACGGACAGGTCGGAGGTCGTATTCCTTGCCTTATCACTGAATCGCAGTGGAGGATGACCGACTGTCCGACTGACCGGCTATGCAACTATGCAGCAAGCTGGTGCTCCGGCATCGCGATTCGTTGCATGAAGACCTAGATCGACCAGTTGTCGGTAGTCGACAGGACAGGCCACCATGGTGACATGGCACGTCTGAACGCCAGATGCAAGTTCAAGCAGGAGGAATTGTGAGAAGATTAAGGAGCCCGAGAGAGGTCGATGACCAAGCCAAACCCCTATGACTGCTTATTGTCCACGTTTTGCATAGTTGAAGTGCGTAAACATAGGAGCAATTCGCGGCGAGGCTCCAGTTCGCCTCATTTCGAGTCTGGTGTTTGCAGGGCAGTCCCCCGTCATGTGCCAATGGGCAGTGGTTATTGCGTCTTTGCCCAGGCGTACCAGGGTAGCTCGCAGTGGTTGAAGGAGAGAGTCATTGCCGGGGGGCGTGTGGGTGTGAATCCTGGTAGGCGAAGGGTGGGAAATAGCATGAGGCAACGATGAGAAAGGGAATCGAAATGCGGATGGTTTGGTAGCGCCGAGACCTCGTCGGTTCCTTGACTACTATACTGAAAAGGCGAAAGGGCGAAGGACGGAGGCGAAGGCGAAGTTGATGACTCGACCGGTTCATCCAGTCAAGGAAAAAAAGATGGAGTCGAGGCTGCGAGAAGTGAACGTGGCCGTGCCGTGTCCATGGTTGTTGACAATGAATTGAATTGGGGCGAGGAAGGTTGGAGCAGCTTCCATTGATGGCATTGTAAGCTGCCGGGTCGCTATTTCGCGGTGGTGGCTGTTGACCGCCTCTTTCGAGCTTCTTCCACGGTCATGATTTATCTTTTTTGCCGCCTGTTGCCCACTGTGGTGGTGTACTATGCAAACGAATGTGAAGCCAGAGAGGCGAGCTGATGTGTCGTAGGCTGCCTGGCTTGGTTGACTGACTGGTTTGCCTGGTCTTGGTGTATCTGCCTGCAGTGACATGTGAGCAGTTGTGGTTCCCGAATAGCAGTCCACGGAACATGGATGGCGACAAGAGGCCAGGCTTGCTAAGCAGAGCGGTGGGAGGAGGTTTGAACCTTGGGGGGATCTATCCGCAATGCCACTACGCGGATTTGACACTTTGACATGGTCTTGGTTAGCGGTGTCTCGGCTTTCCCACGGCAAAGGCTATCTCTGCAAGCGTATACCTACTGCCAGACGCCTCAGTCTTCTTTCCCTCAATACCTTGGTAGAGGCAAAAGGCAAGGTTCGATAAGGTAAGGTAGCGAGCGGAACAAGCAGTCTAAGGTACCTAGGCCTTTCAAGTTCACACCATTCGCTCTCGCCTAACAGCGCGGAAGCAGCTGCAGAAAGGTACGTTCCTTTTCCATAGGTAAGATCGTGGTACTAAGGTACCAACCAGCCAACCAGATTTCTTTAGAGTCACCTTGCCCCTCTCTTTTCCCTCGGTACATTGGCTAAGTACCTCTTAAGGTGTGAAAAGGCACCAAGCTTACCTGGGGAAGGCCAGCAATGTCACGTCCATGACCCCTCCGCCCTTCAACAGGTCCACCCATTGAGGGATCCCCGTCACCGACATCAGACATGCCATGCTATGCCATATTCTCTGCGGGTGGGAGAGTGAGAGAGAGCGCTGTGAGGTGAGAGTGTGAGAGGCTAAGGCAGGTAGGTACCTGAGGTAGGTAGGCACTCTGCCTACTAACTTTTGTACTCCCCAGGGGGCAAGTGGTGAACCGTGAGAATCTCAAGGCAGTTGCGAGAGTGACGACTGACGCTATTACCGCCTTTCCTGCCTTGCGGCTTGCCCGCCTTCCCTTCCCATCCCTCGCCATCCATCCTCACTTTCCCACCACCCAAGTTCCCTTTTCGGGCCACCACGGTTTCGGCCTCTTCATCTTTCGTCTGGCTCTTGGTACATAAGTGGCTCCTGGTCCCCCTGGTACTAAGGTATTCTCCTCATCCTGACCCCCAAAGTCACCTGCGGAGAGCAAAGCTGTTTGTCTGCCGCACTTGAGCAAGTCCCGTCTCACACACAGCTCCCGAGGGTCAAGACCTTCCACCATAGAGAGAACGAGACGCAGAGACGCACACGCATCATCCGCCTGGCCCGTCTCCACCTCCACCACCTCCACCCGCCCACTCCAGTTTCCAGTGTCCCATCTCTGATCCGGTCGCTCCTTCCTCGTCTGCTCACCTTCTTTCTCCACCCGGCCACCGACCGCCGACCCCCATCATCCTCCAACTCACTTATCTTTCCCACTCCCCGTCCCTTCACCCTCTCAACCATCTTTCGCCATCTACCCGGACAGCTTGCTTTGTCCGTTTTTCTTTTCCTCCCTCTCACCAACTCCGCCCTTACAATCAACCATCTACAACAATCAACAAATACCCTGTATCCGTCTGGTATTCCTTGAACCCCCGACGTAAGGAGGAAGACGCACCTTCTACCCCGACCGAGCGAGCCTCGTGCACCGTGCTACTTGGCCGCCTATCAGTGAAACATCCGCCAGAGCCGTCATCCCTTCCCCGCCTGGCCGACCGCGAGTTTCCTCTTCATCCATACCCGGAGTCTACTTTTCATCATTCAAAATGGCGTCCTCATCAGCAACAACGCCAGACACTCAGGTCACTCTGAAGATCAACTTCGACGGCATGACTCGCCGCCACAAGCTCCCACTGCGCGACATGGGACCCAGCACTCTTGAAGATAAGGTACGTCATTGCACTCTTTCCGCCCTTTGTCAGATTGCCGCGGCATGTGAACGTTGAATCGGGATTTTCAATGTCAAGTGAGATGGCGACACCGGTATCTTGGCCATGAGGCGTATGAGGCTCGTTTTTTGAAATCACACGCTAATTTAGCTTCTTGTAGGTGAGAGCTCTTTTGGGCGTTACCTCTGATGCCAACGTTACTCTCGAGAGGTATTCCGATTCGGCTGGTTCGTACATCACACTCGATAAGCAGAATGTCTCAGTCTACAAGCAGCTTTACAGAGCTGCCAAGGCCAAGCAAAAACTCAAGCTTCGTGTCACCAAGTTGTCCGAGGAGAAGATGTCTCCCAGACCAGTATCAGTGGAGGATGTGCCCGAGTCCAGCACTCCTCTCGCTGAGAAGGAGGCCGAGGAGCAGAAGCCGGAGGATGCCGCGACGCAACCCCTCGTTGATCTGAGGCAATCTAGCGTCATTGACAACGAGACCAAGAAGGAACTGCCCACGAGCGACACCGGACTTGACTTCGAGGCCTCCATCCTTGCATCACTGCTGAGAAGACATGCCAAGATCAACGACGAGGAGGTGCCTGCCGCTTCTGCGGACATTCCCGTTTCTGAGGGTATCACGGCCCGAGACCAGTGGTTCGCTAATGCTGCCGCCGCCGAGACTCCGTCACGAGCTTCTTGGGGCCGCTGCCCCGCATTGATGCACCCCAACACCAACTTTGCCGTGTGCTGCAACAGCTGCGACCAAACAGTTCCCGAAGCTCATTACCACTGCTCCACATGCGACGATGGTGATTTCGATCTTTGCCAAAACTGCGTTGACCAGGGTATCACTTGCTACGGCGCTGACCACTGGCTCATCAAGAGGATTGTCAAGAATGGCCAAATCATCAACAGCACTACGGAGACGATTGCACCAAAGCCCAAGGCCAAGGTCGAGGAGTCGGTTCCAGAGCCTCCCAGGGCGCCCGCCAACATCAGTGAGCTCCTTCGTCCAGTTTTCAACACTGCGCTGTACAGCATGCGCACCTGCAACTGCTGCGTGACGGAACTTCCAGAGTCCAGCTTCCTCCACTGCGCAGCTTGCGAGGATTTCGACTTGTGCCACGCATGCTTCGAGAAGGACTCTCATGGTCACAACCCCAAACACTCCTTCGTCCCCGCCGTTGAGGGTGTTCACGTCCCCAGCCACATTCAGATCAAGCTGGCTCCTGGCCGCAACCAGAGCCACAATGCCATCTGCGACGGCTGCGACAAGTACATTGCTGGTGTCCGCCACAAGTGCCTCGATTGCCCCGACTGGGACTACTGCGCTGACTGCATCGTGAACTCCAAGTTTGTTCACCCCAACCACCGCTTCGTTCCCATCTACGAGCCTCTCGAGGAGGTCCGCAGCCGTGCCATCAGCCGCTCTGTGCACTTTGGTATCTGCTGCGATGGGCCCCTGTGCGCCCGCACTTACAACGCACCCTCCTACATCTCGGGCGTTCGATACAAGTGCACTGTTTGCCACGACACTGATTTCTGTGCCAACTGTGAGGCTAGCCCTGCTAACACCCACAACAAGACCCATCCCCTCGTCAAGTTCAAGACGCCAGTCCGTCACGTCACTGTTACCACTACTGGCGAGCGTGGAGATGGACAGCGTATGCAGCAGATGGGCGACCGCAGTCTTCGCCGCACTAGCTCTCGCTCTACTGAGACTACCGCAAACGCTTCCATTAACGTTCCACAGACCGTTGTGGATGTGAAGCCCACAGAGCCGGCTGTCAAGGAAGAGGTTGTCGAGAAGACCCCTGAGCCCGAGGCTAAGCCGATCATCAAGGAGGAGGTTGTTGAGGAGACCCCCAAGGTAGAAGCCAAGGAGGAGGTGGTCGAGGAGAAGACCGTGCCGATTGTTGAGAAGCCCCTTTCCGAGCAGGATCTTCAGGCTGTCTTTGTCCGCGATACGGTCGCCGATGGCACTCTTCTGCCGCCCAACCACGTCTTTGAGCAGACATGGGTCCTCCGCAACGACGGTGATGTTGCATGGCCTGCGGGATGTTCAGTCAAGTTTGTTGGTGGCGACTACATGGGCCACGTTGACTCGAACCACCCGGCCGGTATCTCTGAGCTCGTTTCTGCCTCAGAGTCGACTGTCTGCTATGCACCGCTCGCCCCTGGCCAGGAGTTCTCTTTCAACGTGCTCCTCCGCACACCTGCGCGCGAGGGCAAGATAATTTCTTACTGGCGCCTGACGACCAAGGATGGTTTGAAGTTTGGCCACAGACTCTGGTGCGATGTCAGCGTCCAGACGACTCAGCCAGCTCCTGAGGAGCCTAAGCAAGAGTCCAAGGAGATCCCCACTGAGATGCAGAGCAGCACCATGATTTTCCCCAAGCTCGAGAAGGAATCCCCTGTCTCTAGCATCCACCAGGAGGTGAAGTCTGAGTCTGCTCGCGCGACCAGTTCAGAGGCCGAGGAGTATGAAGACTGCGGCGAAGAAGAGGACTGGGATGCTTCTGATGACGGCTTCATGACTGACGAGGAGTACGACATCCTGGATGCCTCTGACGAGGAGTTCCTCGAGGAGCAGCAGCGGAGACTCAGAAAGTAAAGTACTTGAGATCTTTCTAGTTTCGCTTTACCACTGGAATCGGAGTGATCGGTGGTGTATTTGGGGGTATGGGTTTCCTTGCATGTCTCATTTCATCAGGCCTGGGGTTATTTGATTTCATTTGGAACCTGGTTTTAAGAGAGTGAACCGGTAGCTGGAGGTGGCATAAGCAAAGCCGGCAAGCCTTCTCAATAGCGGAAAACGCGAGCTACCGGTGATCCGTCTTTCAGGTTAGGTCGAGGGCGACGCTCGTTTCATGATTCTTCATGACAGATTACAGATTGGTACTTGTAGGTTTTAGGAAGCAATGAACCGTAGCTTTAACAGCGTTTTCGAATAACAAATCTGCTCTAAGAATCACCAGTGATCCAAGTAATTGACGATGTGCCTCTTACCATGACCAGTTCGTCTTGCCCGCTAAGGTATTCAGTGCAATGTCTCCGCATGTGCAAGTAACCGCACCCCTGTTACAAGCTCCAATGCACACGCCCCTCCTAGCCCACCAGCGCTATTACCAGCACCAATCATTCTAGGACCCCTGGACAGGGGGCCCGAACTGCGGACAACTTTTGGATAGAGTGTCCTTAAGACTTTCTGCAGTAGGCTCTCCCACTTCACGAGTTGCGCCGAGAGGTCTGACCAGCTTGCGCGAAGCCAATTCTCGACAATCTCGTTCCTTTTCGACACTGACGACCTTCTTGTACAATTGCGACTCCGGAAACGAGGCATGCGGTAGCGGAACTAAGTTTTTACGGCGAGCATTTGCATCAAGCCGAAAGGATTCGCATCGAGGAACCGTTACTGGGTACGCGACCAGCTTCATCAGCGACGAACTCGAGTGCCCGACCAGGAACCGGCGAAGACTTGACGACCGTTCTTTGCTGGCAACATCACTGGCTATAAGATACCTTTCGATCTACGTCATCTGAGACCGTCATGATGAACGGCTGGGACGAGAAGCAGCACCTGGACGACGACGCCTTTGGGGCGAAGGGGAACATCGTCAGCGCTTTCGATGCCTTTCGTAAGTTGCCAACTTCTAGATACAAGCCTCTTTTTCAGTGCCGCTGCCTTTCAATGTGGCGGGATCGAATGCTAGAATAGTCATGTGCTAACAGCCCTGTCTCCTTAGCCAAGGCGAAACCACAGTATGTGACGCGCACAGCTGGCGGTGGAAAATGGACTGTCGCGATGATGGTCATATCAATCTTCCTTTTCTGGTCTGAACTTGGTCGCTGGTGGCGTGGGACCGAGACGCACACTTTTGCCGTCGAGAAGGGTGTACTGCACGAGATGCAGATCAACATGGATATTGTCGTGCGCATGCACTGCGATGACCTTCACATCAACGTTCAAGATGCGGCGGGTGATCGTATCCTCGCAAGCAGCATGCTCAAGCGCGACAAGACGAACTGGTCTCAGTGGGTGGACAGCAAGGGTATCCACCGCTTGGGGAGAGACAGCAAGGGCAAGATTGACACCGGCGCCGGCTGGCAGGAGGAGGAGGGCTTCGGGGAGGAGCACGTCCACGACATTGTGTCGCTCAGCAAGAAGAGGGCCAAATGGGCCAAGACACCCAGACTCTGGGGCGACGGCGACAGCTGCCGCATCTACGGCAACCTTGATGTGAACAGAGTGCAGGGTGACTTCCACATCACTGCCAGAGGCCACGGCTACATGGAGTTTGGAGAGCATTTGGATCATGCCGGTAAGTTGATCATCTTGGGCTCGAGTCCTGACGCGCTGGCTTACAATTTCACTCAGCTTTCAACTTCTCACACATCATTTCGGAGATGTCCTTCGGTCCATTCTACCCCTCGCTTGTGAACCCCCTGGATCGCACGGTCAACCTCGCCAGGATCAACTTCCACAAGTTCCAGTACTACTTGTCCGTGGTTCCCACCGTCTACTCTGTCGGCCACTCGTCGTCCAACCTCATTTCCACAAATCAGTATGCCGTCACAGAACAGAGCAAGGAGACCGATGACCACAACATTCCCGGTATCTTCTTCAAGTACGACATTGAGCCCATTCTGCTATCCGTGGAAGAGTCCAGAGACGGCTTCCTCCAGTTCTTGATGAAGATTGTCAACGTTATCAGCGGTGTTCTCGTTGCCGGCCACTGGGGTTATGCCCTCACCGAGTGGTACAAGGAGGTCATGGGCCGGCGGAGAAGAGAGAGAAACGAGGGGTTCATTGGCACGAAGAGCTCAGAGTACGATCAGTAGAGCAGCACCAGGGGGGCATCGACAGATGGGAACATAGTGACATAGGAGTTCAAGGATTGTGTATAGATAAGCATCTGGGATAGGGGAAATTGTTTCTTTGCATCGTTTATACGAAATTCAGCCAGTAGAACAGTTGACAGGCCACAAGTTCATATTAAGCTTACCTCTTGTTGGTGACATTTCCACTGCGAGTGAGCACCTCGGCGAGGCGGCTCCGAGCTCGACCGTCCGGGTTGACCGTGCAGGTTGACTGTGCAGGCATTACCTCGGCGCAGCTATTCCCGGTGTAGTTTTCGGAGCGAAGCCGGCAGAGCAGGGATTGGGCCTATGACCTCCACTAGGTGCAACTTCCCCCGGACTCGTGCACCGGCTTTTCAATTGAGTCTTTCCAATTGGATCCTACGTGCCGATGTCGCCAACAGTCAACCCAAAAAATTCCACATCACACCCCGCCACCAAGTTCGACTCACAGTAACCTGTGAGAGGTGCTCAGTGACGATGGCACCAATTGAGCTTGCCAGTCGATCAGGAGGCGCCGCGAGGGTGAGGATCAACCGAATTTCAATCACTGACAAGAGAAAAGAGAAACTGACGAGGTTGTAGCGGCTTCTGACTCGCACGCGACCATGCCTTTCCGCATCCTCGAGCCTGCCGATTAGGAGGACATTCGCGACCGCTCAGGACGTTGAGCAGCAAGACGCTGAGATGCGCAAGCTGCTCCCCAAGTCTATCAAGCCCAACACGTACCGCAGACTTCACGACAACCTACTCAAGGTCCGCCATGTCCTCGGACAGCAGCGCCTCACCCTCGCCGAGAAGATCCTGTACAGTCATCTGGACAACGTCGAGGACTCGCTTCTCACGAACACGGACAATGGACGCAACATCCGCGGCAGTGCCAACCTCAAGCTGAACCCGGACCGAGTCAACATGCAAGATGCATCGGCACAGATGGCGCTGTTGCAGTTCATGTCCTGCAACCTTGCGAAGCCTGCGATTCCTGCCAGCATCCACTGTGACCACTTGATTGTGGGATCCAAGGGCGCCGAGAGCGATTTGACGGACGGCATCAGCGTGAACAAGGAGGTGTTCGACTTCCTCGAGTCTGCCGGACGCAAGTATGGCATGGACTTCTGGCCCCCTGGTGCAGGCATTATTCACCAGACGGTTTTGGAGGTTTACGCTCTTCCCGGCATCATGATGTTGGGAACTGACAGCCACAGCCCTAACGCTGGCGGTCTTTCTACCATTACTATCGGAGTTGGTGGTGCCGATGCCGTGGAGGCGCTTGTCGGTGCTCCTTGGGAGCTGAAGGCCCCTCGTGTGCTCGGAGTCAAGCTGACCGGCAAGCTCAACGACTGGGTGTCCCCCAAGGACGTTATTCTCAACCTGGCCGGCAAGTTGACTGTGCGCGGCGGAACCGGATTTATCGTTGAGTATTTCGGCGAGGGCGTTGAGACTCTTAGCGCTACCGGAATGGCCACCATTTGCAACATGGGTGCCGAAGTCGGCGCTACGACCTCCATCTTCCCCTACACGGCCGCTTCTGAACGCTACCTCCTTCAAACCCGCAGACAAGCCGAACACAAGGCGCTGGATGCATACAAGAAGTGGTCAGCCTTTAACTTCAGAGCCGACGAGGATGCCCACTATGACCAGGTCATTGAGATCAACCTTTCCGAGCTCGAGCCCCACATCAACGGCCCCTTCACCCCCGACTTGGCTACCCCCTTGTCCGCTTTCAAGGAGACCATCCAGACTGAGCAATGGCCTGAAGTTTTGTCCGCCGGTCTTATTGGCAGCTGCACCAACAGCTCCTACGAGGACATGACCAAGGTCGAGAGCATGGTCAAGCAGGCCGAGAAGGCCGGCTTGAAGCCCAAGGCACCCTTCTACATCACCCCTGGAAGCGAGCAGATTCGCGCAACTCTTGAGCGCGATGGTACTCTGAAGACTCTGGAGGGTGCTGGAGGTATCGTTCTCTCCAATGCTTGCGGCCCATGCATCGGCCAGTGGAAGCGTCAGGACGACATCCCCAAGGGTCAGCTGAACGCTATCCTGACCTCGTACAACCGTAACTTCAAGGGCCGGAACGACGGCAACCCCGGTACCATGAACTTCCTCGCCTCCCCTGAGATCGTCACCGCCATGGCCTACGCTGGTGCGACCACCTTCAACCCCATGACGGACAAGTTGCAGACCCCCGACGGAAAGGAGTTCAAGTTCGAGGCTCCCCGCGGCCTGGAGAACCCCAAAACCCCCTTCGAGTCCGGCGTCGCGTCCCTCCAGTCCATCTCGCCCGATGAGCCCAACGCCGACGTCAAGATTGCCATCGCCCCGACTTCGGAGCGTCTCGCCTTCCTCGAGCCCTTTGCGCCCTTCCCCGAGAGCGATCTCAGCGGCCTCAAGGTCCTCGTCAAGGTCACCGGAAAGTGCACCACCGATACCATCTCGGCCGCGGGCCCCTGGCTCAAGTACAAGGGTCACCTGCCCAACATCAGCACAAACACGCTCAACACGGCCGTGAACAAGGAGACGGGCGAGGTCAACGCCGCCTACGACGTCGACGGCTCCAAGCACACTATCCCCGAGCTCGCGCAGCTGTGGAAGGAGCGCGGACAGGAGTGGCTCGTCGTCGCGGAGCACAACTACGGCGAGGGCAGCGCCCGCGAGCACGCCGCCCTGCAGCCGCGGTACCTCGGCGCTCGCGTCGTGCTGACAAAGTCGTTTGCGCGCATCCACGAGACCAACCTGAAGAAGCAGGGCGTCGTGCCCCTGACATTTGAGAACGAGGCCGACTACGACAAGATTGCGGCGTGCGACGAGGTCAGCACCGTCGGTCTGTACGAGATGCTCCAGAACGGCGGGCAAGGCAAAGTGCAGCTGCTCGTCAAGAAGAAGGACGGCTCCGAGGTGTTGATCCCCACCGCCCACGCTGTTACCAAGGACCAGGCTGGATTCATCCTCGCGGGTAGCGCTCTGAGCATGCTTGCCAAGCGTAACCAGGCCTAAGAGTACGTTTTTTTTTGTTTTCCTTGCGGGGGCTTTCTGTTCTCTGTCTTTTTTTCTTGTATGGGTCTTGCGGTTTTTTACAAAAGGCGAAAAGAGGTGAAGACAAAAATTTCCGACGATTGTATATATCCCGCAGCGTCATTCTCCATTTCCGGGATATTCTTAGAGCAGCTAGGGCGTGTACCACAAAAGAGAAGATGATTCGAGAATCGGCTTTCTGCTGGAGCCGCACTTTTGTGACCGGCCAGCGTACTTCGTGGTCTTATGCTCGAGGTACCTACGGCGATACTTGTGATCATTAAGTATTATGTGACTGTTTCCGTCAGAGCCTCTTGCTCGACCAGTCTCCTCTCTGCTATTGGCCATCTTTGACTGTGGAGGAGAAACCCCAGACAACCCAGGTGATGTGTCCAGATTCGTCGCAGTGTATCACTTACGTCAAATACTGGCTCTCCTCGCTCGCGGGGTATACGATATCAACGTCACCTTTTTAGGATGCCAAACTCTCATGATGTGAAATTACCCCGCCCCAAAACACCCTCAGCTAAGTAAGTTCATCCTGGGTAGACGAAGTCTTCGGTATCCAATCACTGTTAACTCACACGGAGGAATAGCCGCTCCCGAGAAGATCAAAACCTTGCCCTTTCCGCGCTAAGGGGAAGAACAATTCGCGCATTGTCGGTCTGCCTCACGAGGAATTTCCGAATCAAAAGGCTTACTTACACAGAGGGTCAAGGCCAACATTTCGAGATGCGTTAGGCGAACGATATCGCAGGCCTTCATGTATCCACTTCCGAGCTCGGTCTGCCAGCGCCGAGATGTTTCCGGTTAACACCGGGCGTTTAGCTCAGTGGTAGAGCGCCCGCTTTGCATTCCTTCAGCGTCTGCGGGAGGCCCAGGGTTCAATCCCCTGATCGTCCAATCTTTTGCCCATTGGAGCAACTTTGTCTCCAAAGTTTCTCTTTTGACTTCATCCATCTGGATATCGACGCTTTCAGAGAAGAGTGATTACCTCGCGCGCCACGCCGTCGAACAGCTTCATCTCGTTCGTGTTTTTCAAAGCCCCTGCTCGGAACGACACGCCAACCCGCTTGAATATGTCAGTCCCGGGTTCTGTCCTCTCGAGGACGATGAAGCCGTGATACGGATGGGCATCGCCCTTATTCCATGTCTTTCCCACGAGCAGACAGGAGTACCGCTGATCCCGGGCAACAGAGCCTGCATAGTCGCAGATCATGGTGTACTTGTTCGCTCCCGCATCCACGAGGTCGTATCTGACGCCTTCCGTAAACCCCATCATTGAATCCCCGTCCTGTATCTCTGTAGTTGCAATCTCAAGGTCGTGTACTATGGCCCCCCGAACCACGATCTTGGCTCCCTCGCAAACTTGCCCGTAGATATCCTCCGCCATGAGAGGTTCTACCTGGACATCCAACACCTCCAAATCACCTTTGAAGTGCGACATGGGATGGAACATGATGGGCCCCTCAATGGCCGCCCAGCTCCAGCTCGGCGCCCTCCACTTCCCAGGCCTGCGCGAGAGAGTCTCGGGGTTGCGCCAGTAGTCGTCATCCGCCGTCCAGAGCAACTGCGTCGCGAAATCACCCTCCCACAAGCCGGCGATATACCTGTTCCGTTGCTTCTCGAGTCCTTCTCGTCCACTGCCGTACACATCCTCATGCATCATCCGGAACTGCTTCGCCATCCCAGACAGCGCCGGCAGCCGATCCGCGTCAAAACTGATGGACCGCTCTGAGAAGAGCTGAACGACCTGCCGCCACTGCAAGAATGCCCTCTCCGCCGACGACAGCGCCCGAAACAGCTCCGGCGAGCGGAAACACCGCACCGATTCCTCATCCAGCTCGACGGGCTGGTCGCGGCGGCAGGCGCAGGACCGCGACGTGTTACACTCCCAGACGAGCTCGTTGGTCGTGTAGTGCAGCGTCCTGTTGGACAGGATCGCCTCCTGGAGCGTCCACGCGCGCTTGTTGATGGGCTCCCCGTGCGCGCCCTCTGCCTCGATCGTCCGGAGGAGGACGGTGATGTCGTTGTGTTTCCTCTTGAGCTCGTCGCGGACGTAGACCGGCCGCGCGCCGTCTCCGAGCTGGTCGAGACGCTGCGGCGGGGCGCCAAAGGCCTGGGCTGCGAAGATGCCGATGCCGCTTCCGTCCGCGTGGTCTACGGATATGGTGACTGCCGCGTTGGAGTAGACTTCGCACATGCGGCCCGCCTCCCGGGCCCAGTCTTGGGCGTCGCCTTGGATGATGCAGAGGGCGTCGATCCATAGGTACCGCAGCCCGAGGTTTCTGGTGATGGTGACGGCGTCTCGCAGGGTGGGGGGCATTTCGGCGCACGGCATGGCGTCTTGATGCGCGGCGAAGTTGAGGCGGGTTGTCTTGAAGGCTGGGTGGGAGGCCGGGTCGCCCCAGCAGTAGCTTAACGCTGCATATGCGCCGGAGGCTCCGTGGGACTCGACGAGGCGCGGTTCCACGTGGTCTTTGGTGCCGACGTCGATTACACGGGTCGGGAGGGTCGAGGCTGATGCTGGTTGTCTGCAGGACGGATGGTTTGCGAGGCAGTCTTGGAGCCATGATGATGCTAAGGTGAGACTGGCCGGCGAGGACGAGTGGCTCTCTACTTCCTGAGCCGGACCGATAGTCGGATGGCATGCGCCATGGTCGTCTGTTATGTTGTGAGCGAGTTTGAACGAGAAATATTCGAGTGGTTATTTTCAACGTAATGGAACCTGGTCTAACCTCGTCGCGAGAAGAGCTCTAGAGCAATATTATCTTGTCCCCAGCCAGACACGGAAATCTGGAGCAGGGCGCCTGGTGCGAAGCGCATCTGCAGCAGTCCAGAGACATTCTTACCGCCGGGCTCATCTAAGTCCTTCTTGCGCAGACGTAGCGCAGCCCAGAGGAGCTGGCAGGACTGGCATGATGTGGACGTTGCTGATCGCTGGAGGTCGTGAAGCTCGATGAACTTGGCCATGCGCTGATTCGCGGCGAGCTTCTGGCCCTTGACCTCATCCGCACCGAGGTTGGAGCAGACTGCGCAGTTCATCTTCCGCGACTTTCCTATAAACGCCTTATCGTATGAATACGGAAATATTCTGGGACAGATGCCATTCCTTTGGGTGGTTGACTTGATTGGTCTTGGCGTAAGCGAAGTTACTTAAGCATGCATAGGTAGTCCCTCTTTTTGAAGGCCACCTTTCTCTGCCTCGAGTGTATGATATTGGATATGCGACTCTGAGAAAAGCAGGCATTCAGACCGAACTTTCAACTCTTGGGCGGTGGTTTGGCACTTTTGACGATTTGGTAAAGCCTTTTTAACCCGCTGAACGATAAGTTCATTGTCTTTTTCGAGGCCGTGATGTTCGCAAGACATGTCCTAGACGAGGTAGCAGGGCTCTTCCACTTTGATTATCTCAGATAGGTGAAACCACTGGCCTAGTTGGGGGGATTGGAATGAAATGCTACTTGTGTTCTGAGAATCCTCATGAGTGACCATCCATATGATACTCCGGGAGTCAAGGTTCATGCGAGAATATCCACCGGAGGGGGCAGCAGACTGTTATTCATTCAAATAATCGGCGACTAGGTATGTCGAACATCATAGATAGCAGACGAATAACCTTGCTGCAGCGAGATGTCTACTGATGACAAGGAGCTGCAAGAGGCTTCAAAAACAACAATAAACATAAGTCAGCAGCTGAGTCCATGGCCATGGCAAAGATAGCGAGCCTGTTTAGCGAGTGGCAAGCAGATCATAACATTTGAAGATCAACACGTCGATATATAACACCAGAAAGCTTTCATCTTTCAACGCGACGTTGAAACGGCCGACTCTCTTCACCGGGCGCAACGACACCACCCATAACCTCCTCAAGACAAAGATGTTCCCGCAGCGACGGACTTCAAGCACGTTGTTGCGGGCGCTCAGCCCTGAGAGAGTGCACCGTTACCTGACTACCTACCACCCCCCTTTCTTCCCCCCTGCTCATCCGTAAGGGATGGGGAATGAACTTTTGATCACACGGGTTGAACGGATCAGATGGTACCTCCTCAAGCTCTGGACCGGGGCTTGCCTCATCCGGAGGGAGCCAGGTTCAGCGAAAACGCGGGGTAAGGAGATTTGATGTGTGGAGGAAGAAAGATGCGCGGATCATGGCGCTCGCCGGGCGTCTGGGGAAAGTGTGCTGGGCTCTTAGCTTCTCGTCTGGCTTTTTGTACGTAATGAAGACGCCACGGTTTGATGAGTGCGCCGGTCTCACTGCCTTTCAAGCCCAGGGCTTGGGCTTGGACTTGGTGTAAGCCGAACTTGACGATGGCTTTGTGGCTTTTTGGGGGAGTGTCTACGGAGGGTAAAATTGGTGGCCCTTTACTACTTCACAAGCTGAGATGGAGGTAGATTGTAGAGACAAAAGTGTGTTCTCTCGATAGCCTGAAAGTCTGAGGATCAGATGGGATGGCAGCTTTGCGGGCCGCTCCGTTTTATCGAGAGTTTGAAGAAAGCTCGTTTCTGTTGCGATTTTAGATTGGAGATGCGGGGTGTAAGTGGCAGTCTGAAGTTGAATAACCTCACATACAGCAGTCCAATTTTGTCAAAGCCCCTCCAAGCCTTTCTTACTTTCTCAGTGCGTTGACGTTACACAAATGTCACTGTCAACCCAGTTGCCAAACATTCAATCCCCAAATGAAATTTGTGGCACTCGGTACCTTAATGTCGAATCCAAGGCTATACAGGAATGCGTGACTGAATCGTGGCTTCATGTCCTCGACGGCAACAAAATTGAGCTCATGGCGAAATAAAGCCAAGAACGCACGTCAATGGGGGAAGTGGACTGGCGCCAGACTATCGAACGAACCGAAGGCTGTCAAGCGAGCACGTTTGCCTCGAAACCGAGACGGAGCATCGTCAACGGAATTTCCTTCAAACCTGCAACAGGATCGTGGCATCAGACATGGGCCCAGAAAAGGTCTGCTGACACTCAGAGACGCGGCAAACGGATTCCCATTACCCCCAGGAAACTGATGACTGGTCGACGACAGGGTAGGTTGGCGGGGGCGGTAATGGTACAAGCGGGCAGGACCTCCTTGACGTCGTCGACAAAGCTGTTGGCCCTAGCCAGGAAGGGGGTGGGTGGTGATCTAATAGTGTCCCAGTGTTATCCACTCCTTCCAAGCCAAAACATGCCAGCAGCGATCAGGATCAGCTTTTCCCGAGCCGCTACGCAGTAGAAACGAAGGTCACAGAGGGAGGAGAGGGGAGAAAAATAAAACTCTGCCAGAGCTCAAGAGTCACTGCGAAATTCCGTCCAGCACGTTCCACGTTCCTTGCATTAGCCCCGTTTTCCCCAGCTCCCAGCCCTTCAGGTTTGTTTAAAGAGGAGCGTCGTGACCAGCCAGTGGGCCCTCCCGAGGCCACGCTACAGCCGAAAGCGGTAATCTATTAGCAAAACGTTACCCCATCGTTTGCTCCAGAATGGCGTCTTTCCACGGCGAGAATTTGACAACTGGAGTTTTTTGAAGAGTCACGAGGTCCACCTGGCACCAAGAAGTGGAGAGGAGGAGAGGAAAAAAAAATCAATCACCGCCATGGCGGATGAATTGAAGCTCGCCCTGTAGCTGCTCTCTTGCTCTTCGCAGTCCTTGGGGCCTTTGGGGTCATTGGGGTCCTTGGGGGCCTGACAATGATTGCGTAGGAATAACAAATAACGCAACGGGCGTTACTCGTTGCTTTTCTACAACTCTTATCAGTGAGATCATTGAGTGCAACCAAAAGTAGCTAAACTTGGATCTCGACGTTTGCTTATTGATGATAACAGAGAGAGCTCTTCTGTCCGGTCACAGTTTAAATGCACCGGCCAGCAGCTTGCGATATACGACCAGGGTAAGAGGGAGCTCAGAGCGCGTGTGTTGGTGGTGGTAAAAGACCTGGCAACCCAGAGAGGCATACGGCATATGCAGCATGCCTCCGGCAAAGACCCATGTCTCACACACATCTGACCTTGTCTTGTCATTCACTCACTGCATCACGACATGCATGGTCTTCTTCTGCTCACTCCCCACACCGGCTCCAACAAGTCAACAACAGCAAACCTGACCTGGCAAAAAGCGAAAGCCAAGGTCCAAGCTACCCATGAGCCTGGGCCCAGCCTAGCTAGCGTAGCTCCGCTCCCGTTGTTTCGGGGCCTCGGGGCCATGCTAATTTTGCACATTCAGATCTCTCCGCCTCCCTCACTCTGTGACTTGCTCGAGAGCCGCCCTCTCTGACAAAACTTTGCCTAATGTGGGCTCTCCGGTTTTATTCATTTTTTATTTTATTTCTCTTTCCTTCTCACACTAAGAAAGAAAGAAAAGTCTTCCACAATAGTACGTAGCTACGTACCTAGTGTACCTGCTCCATCACAAGTGTGAGAGAGCATACCTTGTTCGTTGCGAGTGCAACGCCGTCACTCAGCTCATGGGGCGTGGGAGAAACTTTTGCTTGTCAGGAGGACACTGCTTTGGTGTGTCTGTGAGGCTAGCCCTCCACGATCTCTTACTCTTCCAAGGACAAACCTATAATAACCTTGGCCTCCTCTCGCTATTCTCACGAGGATCCCCTTTCCCATCATTGACACATCCAAGACACATCTCACACATCATCGGCTGGTTACCCAAGTCTCCTCATCTGACAGTTCAGTTGACATCCATCCCACTTACACCCACTTCCACCACACACCAAACCTCAAAGCTCAACACCACCACCTCAACCAAACACCACACCCACAACACACACATCAACCAAGATGCCTTCCCAAATCTTCGTCACCGAGCCTCACCCCACCGTGGCACCAAACACCTACATCTACTCCGGCAGAGGCGGTTTCGGCAACATCCGCAAGGCGCCCCAGGTCCTCACCCCGGCCACCGGCATCACCACCCCTCTCAAGCCTGCGCCCATCCCCGCCGGCAACGGAGGTGCAACCCGTCGCTTCTATTCTGGCATTGGCGGCGCTGGCAACCGCCACGAGGCCCCCGAGCGTCCCGTCCGCACCTTTGACGAGGACTTTGACCGCCAGGAGGTTCGCGACCGCGCCGCCGTCGGCCACGTCGGTATCGGCGGCGCTGGCAACGTCACCCGCCGCGTCTCGGACGCCTCTTCTGTCCACAGCGGCGACTCGGAGGAGTCTGCGTCTACTTCCTCGCTCAAGTCCCTCAAGAACCGCGGCGGCAACTTCTGGCGCCGGGTCACCAAGGCCAACTGAGCATCTGTACACACCTCTCTTTTTTCATATAATCACAACGGCACGGCGTTATACGGAAACCAAAAAAAGCACACACGCATACGGAATGAATTATCAAGGACATAGCGGGAGCGGTCTCGGGATGGCTTCTATTTTCTGGTGAATGGCATGAGAGCGAGCGCGGCGGACACAATACCCCCAGATACACCCATCTGGTTGTTCAGCAAAGTAGTACTTGGAGGGACCATGGATGGGTCTCCTCTTGAATATCAAATGTTTCACATCTTCACAAATGACTCTAATTTTGGCCAATAATGTGACATAATCTCATGTGCTGGTCAATAATCAAAGTGAACCAGCTCACTCTCAGTGCAATCTTCTCTACTTTTCGACTCATTTCACTGGCTCCGTCTGCTGAGTTGTAGAGTAGTCTGGCTAACATGGCTGAAGCAATCTTGTACTAATCACGTCTTAATGAGCGAGGACTATCAAGGGACAACAAGCAAGTAACGAACCTTGAGAGGAGATTATGGTAGGCGAGCCTTAAACCTGCGCCTCAAACTGCGTATCCGTAGTCTTCCATCTCCCTCCAACACGTCCTCCATCTGGCAGGGTGGAATCAACCTAAACCGCTGTGACCGCCCGACAACAGCGATCCCCAGTCTCACATCTACAACCCTCACCTTCTCTCACCCGCTCCAACTCAAAGGAACCAACATCAATTCATCACGCCTCTATTCGATATCGTTGCATATATGAATACAACCATACGTACGCGCCAGTACTACCTACCCCTATGTCTCGTTTCTGGACCCCTACTCCAACAACAAACTCAGATGGAACCGTCGCGGTGACTCACTTACAACGGCCGAACCAGAACATCGATATATATTCATCCCTCACAAACTCATGACGCCCCTACTTGACATCTGACAGAAACATGCAACGTGACCGGGGGTTAGCAAACGCCCGGGGGCCCAAGAGACGATAAGCTGTTATAGATAAGACATAAGAAAAGAGATTGTTGACGCTATTTTAGCGAGACACGGAGATAGGGTTGCGAATAGAAAGAATGTTACGGTCCGGAAGGGAAAAAAGGAATATATCCATACCAACACAACCTCCGGTTCCCATAGGACGCATGTCACGCAACTTGAAAACGACCTACCAACTGGACCCAATTCATGCGGCAAGCTGCATAGTGTTGTACGGCAATGCATGGTCAAAAAGTACAAACTGCATATGTGATCAAAAGAGACAACAGGTTCGGGTATCATTCTCAACTTTCTAGCTGACCATTACCTCATATGCTGCCTTTTACCTATGACAATGGCTCCGTGAATGCCCATGTCTTTTGAGGGTAGGTAAATCTCAAATCCAGCCAATCGTCACTCTCTCTCTTTCTCGCTCCCAACTTCCATGTCATCTTAACTCCATCTACTCATCCGGTTGTCGCCCTCTGTAGGCCCAACAGGATGGTGAACACAGCTCTAGATCTATAAACGTCGACGGGAGGGGGGCCAGTAACACCATCTGGAAACCGCTTCATCGATATGAATTAAAAACAAGAACCGTCTCACGTAAGCTTGGTATGAATGATTTCCGGGTTCTCATGCCAGTCGTCGATGCTCACCCACATCTGTTGCAAAAAGGGATTAGCCTTGAGATTCCGCAGTAAACCAAACCCACGGGAAAAGAATAGGCGAGCAGAATTTGACCTACCTTTCGGAAAGTGCTGAGACCAGCCAAAATACTTCCACCGATCCATGTCGAGTACTTGCGTTCTGGCGGCGCGAAAATCTTTATTCTCATGTCTTTGACGGCCAGTCGTTGCAGCTCCGTCAACAGACGGTCACCGAAGCCTCTGGTCAGTGTGCTGCCGCCAGAAAGCACGATGTTGCTGTAGAGCGACTTGCGCAGGTCAAGATCCGTCCTGTTGATGGCGTCGACGACAATTTGGTGCACGCCAGGGTACTCAAGGCCGATGATTTCAGGGTCGAAGAGGATTTCGGGTGCTCTGAATCGTTCCGCACCGATCTGTAAACATAGTCAGCCCACTTATCTTTGCCCTCTTCCATAACGAGACTGACTTTAAGCTTGTGACCGTCCGGAAGAACGTATTCCACGCCCTTGGCCGGATCTGTCCTGTTTGCCCACTCCTTCTCCTCTTTCCTGGGGTCGTGAGCGACATAAGTGACAGACTCTTTGATGAGCCGCACAACCTCCTTCTCGGCGCTGGTGTGAAAGACGTAGCCGCTCTTCCGCAGCAGCATTTGCATGTACTCGGTCACATCGCGTCCTGCCACGTCTATCCGCCTAATGCTGCTCGGCATGGCGAAACCCTCGTAAACCGGCACTGCGTGTGACACTCCGTCACCCGAGTCAAGAACGATACCGGTCGTCCGGCCGCTAGCGTATAATGAAAGGACGGCTTGGATTGATGTGTACAGTGCCGGGACGTTGAAGGTCTCGAAGAGGATCTGAGCCGCTGTGTCGCGGTTGCTGCGAGGGTTGAGAGGTGGTTCCGTCAAGAGGACGGGATGCTTGAGGTGGGCATTAGTATCAAGAGCAGATATAGTGCGTCTCGCATATTGAACGAGTCATCTTCTGTGCCAAACGAACCTCTTCGCTAAGCGTCTTAAGGCCTTCGCCGTAGACGTACTCCCAAATCTTTTCCATATCGTCCCAGTCGGTGACGATGCCGTGCTCCAACGGGTACCTGATCTTCAGCAGGCCTCTGAGCTCCGTTGCCGCCTTCTGTCCGATAAAGACCTCGCCCTCGAGCGCGCCGGCGAGAACTCTCAGATGCTTGGGCCGACCGACGAACGAGGGGAAGTAGCATTTGGGCAAGTCGTCGCCTGCGAAACCGGCACGGATCGTACCAGAGCCATTGTCCAGGACAATTGGCGCGTTGTGCAGCGAGTCCGTCATCTTGTGAGATGCATCCGAAGTTTCAACAAAAAAAATGGTATTGTTTGTCTACACCTCGAGCCTCTTAGCCCTCACGATGCTCTTGCTGCTGGTCGTTTCGGTTCGTTTTCGCGGCGGAACCCCTTTGTTTGTTGGTCGGGCGGTGACTGCAAGTGGGGGCGATTCGATGCTTGGTGGCCCGATGGCAGTCAACAGAAAGCCGCACTCGAGCTTGATGGAAGATCGCTGGCACCTGTTTGTCAGGTATTCTCGTTTGGTCGTAGTCGCAGTTGCTCGCCTTGGAAGGTGATAGTGTTGTCAAAATAGTTAAAAGTGGCAGCTTCAACACGACGCGGTAGCAGTCCGGGGAGCTGCATGGGCGCGAATGAGGGACTAGGACAAAAGTGGAGTAGCGCAAGTCGGAGCTTCCACGCACAGGCCTCTCAGGGTCTCTTGTAAGTTGTAAGTGAAGTCCAGACAAGAGCACATGGGACGATACAAAGTTTAGGACTTTTATCGTGCTAACAAATTCATCTGGGCAGGCTTGATGTTTCTCGTGGTCAAATATGATTAGACGAGAGGATTTCAGGTAGGTTCTTAGTTTGAACAAAGTAAATTATGCATGGTCCGTATGGACTTCTACCGATGCTATAGGTATCCAAGAAGCCCCAGAACGCCTTCAGATGCTTGAGATATGTACTGGTATCTCGTAAATGTCCTAAATTCCCAAATATAACTTCCAACTCCTGTATCGTTGTTACCAATCATCCCATATTGTGGATCGACTATCCAAAAGGCTGTTTACATACGGCCATCGACAAGCAACATGCTTGCGTAGGGCCAGCCGAGGATGCCAAAAGCAAGGGGGAAGAACCTGTTTGGTGTAGTGTTAGTCACTGTCGTCTCTTCTGTAGCTAAGGCTGTGATGGCTTCTTACATTGCTGCGGTGACGGCACGCTTCTTAATCATGGCACCGTAGTAGGGCTTGGCGTGAACACCAGTCTGCGACATTCTCTGGAAGGGATGAGGCTCGAAGGAGCGGGCGACGTTGCGCATGTTGTGGAGGAGAGTAAACTGTCTGCGCTGAACAGCGAAGCGAGCAGCGTTGCGGGCGGCGAAGGCGGGAGACATTTTGAGTGATGATTGGGGGGTTGGGTTTTTTTTTTTGTTGAGTCGAGAGACTTCTATCGGTTTGATGGAGAGGAGTGAGGTGAAATGTAATACACTCGTACAAAAGATGTAGTGGAGAGTTTGTTTGGTGGTTGAGTTGAGACTCTGTTTGGTGTTGCTGATGTGTGATGATGATGAGAACGGGAATGGGAACACGATAGACAGGAAGCTGCTTTGGATCTTATACCAAGGAAAAGATTGTGCCTCCAGCCCGCATACCTACGAGATCTGTGAATCTTGACAAAGGACTCCGGGATTTCCAACGGCAAACGCCTATTGTGGGCAGATGGACGGGCATCTTTGCCCGTAAGATTGCCGTGCCTGGAGGCTTCTAATCTGGGCCGGGTCAAGATCATGCCATCCCATCTTGTAAACGGATCCCCCCAAAAGCTAGGGCCAAGGGTTTGGATTTCTGCAGCACCAAAAAAAGGTGTGAATCATGAACGACAACTATGTCTCATCCAATAGGCGCAGCCGCGAAAAGGGGGCAAGCGCAGCGCTTGGTAACGTGGTTCGCAAAGCCCGAGTTGGAGGGGGCCCGTTTGGATTCCAGCCGTTGTTAGCAACCAAGGAAAAAAAACTGACGTTGGGCGATCGTGCGTTTTCAGGTGGTTTCCTGACGACTGCCAACATTAATGGGGTGATGTGGTCTGACGGGAGGCACCGAGTACGAGCGCTGATTGGACAGAAGCGGGGCGAGGAATCCTGTGCCAATGACATGATCGCCATTTCCTTCAGCTATCGAACCACAGGCCCCGACCGGCTGGGTGCGCTGACGAGGGAGAATCCGGGGAAAGATTGACAGCTGCCTTGCTTCCGAATCGACAGATTTGTATCCTACAGATCCCGAAAAGAGGAGACCACAACTTTGAGATGAACAGTCATTATCCAAACAAGGCAAACCATGAGACAGTTACCATGTTTTCTGTGAGCAGAACTTACCGCAGATACGTACCTTACCAGAGGTACCGGTTTCCTCAAGGTGAACATGAGGAACAGTGTACGTGTCTTACCTTCCTTAGGTAAGCGAGGTAGTAGATAAATCTGGGGTTCGTTATCAGACCCTTCGCATCTTATCGTCATGTGATCCGGTCGGATCCGAATGCACGGTGCCCGCGCCTCGACGCGCCCGTTCCGGATTTTTTCCAAAGCCGTGGCCTTCCGGTACCCGTTCACGAACTCAACCCGTACCTTGCCTCAGCCATCGACCGAAACGACAGGAGACTGGGCTCCGAACCCCGACCGAATCGATCGCCTCACCCCATTCTTCCCCTTACCCACACCATGCCACTGGTCGACCCCGTGACAATGTCAGCGCCAGCATCATCAAAAGCCGCCTCCGACGCGGGCAAGCCAAAGGACAACGTATTACATCCTGTCCAGGCCCTGGCGAGTCCTGCCGCGCAGGTCGTCCGACACCTTCAGCCGGTGCTCATCTCCGGCCTCTTCCTCGCGCAGTTCAGCTCCCTGGTGACCGACCCCGTGCGAACTCTCCAAAACTCGCTCCCCATCGTTGTCGCGATCCAGGTCGTCTACGCCTTTGTCAGTCTGCCGGCAGCCGGATCGCAAAGCGCGAGGCCGTCGAGGAAGCCTCGGCCAGGCGAGAAGAAAAAGGTTGAGAGCACGGGGCCGAATATTCTCGTTGTAAGTCACAACATTCGGCCAGTTCTAGGAAGGCCATAACTGACTATTGGGAACCTCTCAGGCTATATTCCTTTCCCTCCTCCTCGCTGTCCTCGTTACGCCAGCCATCCACGTTGTCCTCGTCCTCTTCGGCGCCCCCTTTTTGACGCATGTACCGCATACCCTGCTCTGCTCCGCCAACGTCGCCATTCTCTCGCTCTTCCCGCTCTTCTACATTCATGGAGTCGATGCGAGCACCTGGGCGGCTCTCGCCAGTGCGGCGGCACCGCTGGACGAGGCATACGGCGGTCTCGTAGGAGGACTGTTGGGCGCGTGGCTCGGTGCGGTGCCCATTCCGCTCGACTGGGATCGTGAGTGGCAGAAGTGGCCCGTCACTATTGTCTGCGGCCTCTACGCTGGATACATTTTAGGCAAGACGATTGGCGGCACATTGGCATTTGGCAGGAAAATGGCTCCCTCGGCGCACGACGACGAATGAACTCCTATGACACTTAAACCAAGTCGACCCTACAAAATTATTTCTTAACAAACCGTAGCTGGAATAGCTTGCGGAAACACGGCACCGGTGGCGCCAATAACTGTCCAGCGAAAGTACGGACTTCGCTGCCTTGGTATAAACTCCAAGCCTGCCGTGTCATGTCCAATGCTGAACCAACCATGGCTGGTGGGCAGTAGCCTCAGACGTGCATGTCTAGGCAGTTTGGCAGTCTGGGATTGCCTATGAGAGCTAGTCCATCACTGTTGGCCAGACCTGGCTTTCGTGGGGAAACCGATGTATAGTAGCAGAGTCGATTGCCAATGAGGTCGCTTGGCCCGGCCGAAACAAGAAATAAACATGTTAATAATAGCCTCGGGCCTGGGAAGTCAACGGACACGCGAATGTGACACTACATCATCGGCTCCTTGAGCCTCAAGCGTGCGCAAGTGTGGCGTTGGTTGCGACGAAATCGCAATAATTGTTCAAGGCACGCAACATCCGTCGTGGCATACCTCACAATTACCAGCCACAGCTAGCCTTGCCGCAAGCCTGCCGGTCATGACCAGCCCTACGAGCTCGGAGCGAGGGCGATATTGAGGATTTGACGTCTTTTCGCCGCCCACGTTGGATTCCCCGTTGCAGAGCGGAGACAGGCCGCGTCTCCTCCCTAGCCCTGCGAGCTGCCGAACCGGCTTGGCCCTCTTTGCCGCCGGGCATGACCGGGCCCCTTGCGTCATAAGTCACGAGGGCCTTGGGTCTCATTGGTGAGACATGACTGACAGGTTTTCCTATGTTGTTTGAGAGGAAGAAGAAGCGGAATTAGGACGAACGAAGAAAAGGAACTCTCAGGTGGAGGAAAAGAGCCACCTGGATCGCCAGTGCATTGCGTCCTTCTCCGCAGCGAGCGCGGACGGACCGATGTCCGTTGGAGAAAAGAATAGCATCAACCTTGACTTCTTGAGTTGTTGGGGGCCTCGACATGGACAAGACAGGCAGATCCTGGAGACACATCTGTGGCTGAGTCGTCACTGTTGCGCCATAGCTCAGCTTCCAATATGTGGCGTTTGTGGCTCATGACATGCACGTTAAGGCTTGCGTGCATGGGGATATCCCCTGACCAGCTCGAAGCTGTTTTAACTGGATGACGATGGGTGGAGCCATGAGCGAAAAGAGCAAAATTAAGAAGAGCAGACCCCACCAGCGCGGCGCTAGCAAGGGCTCGGTTGATGACGTAGCACCCACCTTTATCGCGTCCACCGAAAAGAGTTCACGCAGCTAAGGTGCTAAGGTACATGAGGGAGCACGTATAGCAGTTGAGCAGGAATTAACTGTGCAAGTTGCTCAAGGTCGTCGGACTAACCGCACAGAGCCCCTCAATGACGGCGGGAAAGGGCTGGGCAAGAGGGATGGAGGGACGCGCAATGGGTCTCGATTTAGTAAGGATAGATCGGAAACCGAGGCCACCGCGATCCAAGACGATTGAACATCGCGAAAGCGCAGAGAGGAAACAACGACGAAGACGTAGGGGGGCCGATTGTTTGCCGTGGAAGCGAGCTTCGGAGGTCGAGAGCAGGCATCGAATCCTCGTCAATGGGATCTGAGAAACCTGGCAGTGAGCACTGAGAGGTCTGATGCAGCGACAAAGGCATGACAGGCAGCAGGAAGGTCCAGATGCCGTGTGTCCCAGTGATACGTCGTAAGGGGCTCCCATTTGCTCCGCTCGGGTGCTTGTTTCCGCGGGCGCAGGAGGGGAGAGCCTGCAGCAGTGCAGAGGAAGAGGAGGAAAAAGAGACAAGGTCATTGCTAAAGTGGGCGGAGGTGTGGCTTGTCCGCAACGCACGGCAAGAGCCATCCCATCTTTTCCTTCTTCTCTCAAGGCGTAAATGGCCTAGCCAGAGGCCCAGAGCTTGCAGTTCGTGTGGCCGTGTCCTGGTGCTGCCGCTTGTGCCTTATTTTCCTTGCCGCAGCAAACCGGGAATGAGTCGATGACGCAACTCCTCTCTCATACCACACCCCCAAGCCTTTCCCGGCACGACCAGACGCTCTTGTTGCTTGTTGGCTCGTCTTGGGAGGCTGCGCTTGGGTACTTTGGGGGGGAGGACATGTCTGCCGGGCCTCACTGGCCTGCCACCTGCGACTGGCTTGTCCCTTGTCAGACGTATCCGTAAGGTAAGGTCAGGTTGGTACGGAGGAGAGCGGGAAGGGGTGGCCCATGCAAGTCCACATCACATCACTGTGAGCTCGTCCTTGTCTTTTTTTGTATTTTTTCCTGCGCTGGGCTGTGGCTTCCCAGTTGGCAGTTGCTCTCATTCCTGCTATATAACCATCTCTTCCCCAGCCCACTTACTATTCAATTCCCCTCCCCTCATCAACCAACGAACTTACATCCGACATCACACATCAGATCTTCAGGATCCCGTCACGAACTATCCTACACAAACAAACAAACACCGTTTGACAACACCAACACATCAACCAACATGCCTTTCACCGCCTCCGATATCTGCAAGATCATTCTTGCCGTCATCCTCCCGCCCGTCGGTGTCTTCCTCGAGCGTGGCTGCGGCGCTGACTTCTTCATCAACATCCTGTTGACCATCCTTGGTAAGCTTGACAATTCTTCAGGCACTGTGAACTTGGTTAACAATAGTAATAGGTTACCTCCCTGGTATCATCCACGCTCTGTACATCATTCTGAAGTACTAAGCGAATCGTCGCTGAAATTCTCCGATCGTAATCGCCTACACGAGAGGACATGACGGTATCCAGCAACGGAATCGACGTGACCTCTACCTACTCTCAAGGATGTGTCACCACGCCTTCCCGAAGAGTGTGACGCTGTAGGCGGTGGCCGGGCATTCCAGCGACCTTGGCTCTCCGTCTCATCCGGCAATGCTGGGGGATCCTCCTGCGCCAGCTGCAAGGATGCATGCTGCTCTGCAGGGTTGGCCTATTACCCCCTACCTCACCAACCTCCACCACTATTTTTTACGACAACGACACAGCAACGGCCTCTTTTCATAATTCCTGGCGGTTCCATTCTTCGGACTTTGTCACGTTACTTCTCACCTTGCGGAATGCGACTTTTCGAAACGATTTGTTTTGGGCAGGCATTCAAGACCAGGAAGTGCAGGAGGGATTCGCGCTGTGTGTAGCATGCTTAATTCGATACCCGACATATCAATCTCTTCAAACTACTTTACCACAAACTCTCAATTGTGATCCATGTTTACAAATGTGTGAATCAATGCTTCCGACCATGCCGCACTCTGCGGAACACAGTCAGCTGGGCTTGATACGCGGTTGGACGTCCCCACAAGACCGCCAGACCATTGATGCAGATCCATGTGATGTCATGCTTGTCGCATTGAAACGTTTACAACTTTCTGTCTACTGCCACAAATATTCTAGACCATTGTCAGAAACATCCGACTTTGCGACGCTACTTTGGAGCTTATTTCCTTTACGATGACTGCGCTCAGATGAGTTTGTGAGCGCAAAATAACCTTGTTTCTGTCACATTGAGCTGAGCTCAAGCATGGGAATAAGCATGCCAATGGCCCCCAAATTGCTTGCTGATCCGCCCTATTGCTCGCAATCTGCCTCGCGGGTACTCCGTACGAGACTACGGAATACAGCAGAAATGATTCATTTTGCAAATTGCAACATGGTAAAATCCGCCAGCGCAGCGGAAGCCGAGGGACGCGTACGCAACTCGGACGCAGAGGAGCTCGGCAGTGCGGGTACCTCTGGGCTTTCTGGCAATCGGCGCGAAGCCAGAAGCGTCCGGGGGCCCAGGGCTCCATTGTGGCTGGCTGGCCGGCCGCTGGCAGCAAGCGCCCGGTGGGACAGGACAGGACAGGACAGGGCCCCCGCCATCGCGGTGAGGCCTGTATCCCTGCCCGCTAGTTTAAATTGCACTTTGGCAAGGTAGGCGCAGACCGCAACCCGTCCGTCGGCTGGTCACTGCCCTGGTGAGGGAGAAATCGAGCAGAAAAAAAAAGAGAAAACGAGATGGCGCGGGTATGGCCGCGAAGCGCGAATGCGAAAAATAGGAATAGGGCAGAATATCAAGAAGATACCTTTACGGTCCACATCGGAATGACTCGAGTTCCGAGTCGGTACTTTGAAGACGATGCTTCATTGCCTGCGGCAAGTCTTGCTCATTTGAAATTTCTTTATTTAATCCTTTTTCTCGAGGCCCACCCTGAATGGTTCCCTTGGCCCCCAGGTGATCGCTCTCGCCTTACTGGGCTAGGGGGCGGTTGTTCCGGAGTACCCGCCTCCCAACTCTATATGGAGCTTTTTGAGAATGATTTGCGATGAACCCCTTCTCATCTTTTCCAAGGAGAGGGGCAGTCACGGGGAATCTAGATGTCCTGGGGATTCTAGATGTCACTGGGTGTTTTCCAGTTTTATGCAGCTGTGGTGGGAATGAGTTTACTCTGGTCAGATGACGCAGAGTGGGCTTCAACTCTTCTTCAAGCTCTTCCAACCTTGAACGACAAGATCTGTGTGAAGATAACGTTAGGATACGTGCATGTGAGTATCGAAAAAGGGGGCGAGGCAACACTTACATCGTTCTTCCCAACCGTGACGAGGTGGTCTTCCGCGACTCTTTGGCCGCCGGCGCCCTCGATATACGCAATGGGCGCGTCGCCCATGACCTTGCGTGCCGCCTCGCCGACCGTGGTGCCCTTCTTGACCAGCACGCAGTCGCGGAAGACAAACTTGGACTCGGCAGCGCCGGAGGTGAAGGAGGTGGTGTTGCGCACCGGGAACACCGGGACGAGGCCCAGGATCTCGGCCGCCTTGGAGAGCACCTGCACCACGCCCGTCGACCCGAAGCGGTAGAGCACCATGTCCTTGAGGTTCTCTATCCGATTGCGGTTCTTCTCGTCCAGCTCTTTCAGGTTCCCGCCCGTCGGGTCCCCTTGCTCGATCAGGTCCTCCCGCGTGTCGACGAACTCGCTGCCTTCCGTGTACTTGATGTACCCCTGCTTGGCCATCTTGCGCAGGAAAATCTCCGAAATGGCGGAGCACAGCACGATCGTGTTGGGGTCCTGCATCTTTGCAATCTTTGCAATGTTCTTGTCGGCGTCCGGGTGGTCAATCTTGTTGAGCGCGATGACGGTCGGGAACTTTTCGTCGGTGAAGGCGTTGACGACGCGGTCAATCGTCTCGGCGTCCCAGTCCTCGAGCGGCTCCTTGATGCCCAGCCGGTCCAGCGCCCGCGCGACGACGTTGGAGGTACTCCCGTATCCCGAAAACTGGCCCTGCAGCGTCTCGACGGCCGTCGCCTTGATGGCCATGTGCCGCCGCCGGATCGACCCCCACTTCTCCATCAGGTTGCCCCGGATCCAGGCCACGATCTCGCCGCGCAGCCAGGCGATGTCGACCGACGGGTCGTAGCCGCGCGTCTCTTTACCCTCGGCGTCGACGGTGCCCGAGGCGTCCACCACGTGTATCAGCGCGTCGGCGTGCCGCAGGTCGTCGAGGAACTTGTTGCCTAGGCCTTTACCCTGGTGCGCTCCCGGCACGAGGCCGGCGACGTCGAGGAGCTCGATGGGTACCGAACGGCGGCCGTCGATGCAGGCGCCGTAGTTGGGTCGGCAGCGGTCCGAGACGCCGTGGCGCGCGCAGGCGCATTCTATTTGGAGGTAGCCGATTGCTCTTTGGGGGTCGATAGTTGTGAATCTGCAAAGGGAGAGATATTAGATGTTAGTGGGTGCTGGTAAATCACCAACGAATAAAACAGAATCTTAAGTATATGAAGGAGGCGGCCAGGGTAAGGGTGAGAGTTGGAGCGTACGGGAAGTTTCCTGTTTTCACGATATGTCCATCAGCGACCAGGTCGGTGGGCGTCGGGGTTTTCCTTTCTCTCGGTCGAATGGATTTGGAGGTTTACGGACCAACTTTTGACGAGGCGTCTGTGAGACTGTTGAGCGTTGTGCTCTTACCGGCCGACGGCTTGCCGACCAGACCGATGAGCGGATCTCGAGGCATGGTGGCGGTATCTAAGGTAAGATAAGGGGAGAATGGGAGACGAAGGGGTGAGGAAGGAGGCGGTGAAGTCTTCGTCGGGCAAGATGATTATATGGCTTGCTCCCTCGCGCAGTCTCGCGGTGGGCTCAAAAGTCGTTCGAGGGGTAATAAGTTTGCGAAAGGGCGTTGCGCACACAATCTTATCTTTATCGCCGAAACCTCGCTAATGCAATGAGGGGCAGTCCCGGTCGTCGGCGATAAGTGTTATCGAGCGGGAATGACGTAGGCGTTAAACCGGGCAACGAGCGACCCATCGTCGGACACATGAATGCGAAATGAAGAAGATGCTGTCCGTTTGGGCAAGACATGTGTGGTGTCTTTTTGACTTACTGCACATTAGCTACGGGTTGACTCGAGTGTGAATTCTGATTGATTAGTGCTAGAGCTCACTATTTGACTTGTAGAAAGCTTCTAGGTGAATTAACTTCCGACCTGTCACCATAGATGAGGTGGAAACAGGTCTGTTTATTCCTACCTGTATATGCATCTTGACCGCCTTCATCCTATCCCTTATCAATGCCAATAAAGACGCAGCTCTCAACAAGCACCGTCCGTTGTAGTCGATGGCCGAGCGGTACGATTCTATCGTACGTTGGCTCACGGCCCTACATAATGCCATGGATAGCTTGTTTTTTTGCCTTCGTAGAGGTCACGGGTTCAAGTCGACTTTCACCATTACTTACTTGATAATTATTCATGAACACATTCAACCCTGCCTTTAATCAGTCAGACAGCGTAACGCTCTTTAAAGCCAATTATGTTCAATACTAATACATTAGGTCTAGAAATCTACACGTAAAGCATTTGACACTGGAGATATCCTGCTTCTCATCACTTCCGCCGATGAAGTCCTCTGCATTTATAAGTTGTTCCCACATTGGATATGGGCGGAAACTCCTTGTACTTGCCGTCGGTAAAGATAACCGTCGACAGCAGACCTCGCGCACCCTCTACCGGATGTGTCCGTAATTCCCTCGATCCAAAGTTTCCTCCCATAAAATACACCAGTCATATTCGGTGCCAACGTTGTACTTTAACCATCAACAAAGCAAACTCCACCTCGTTCAATTTCACTATCCCATTCATCTGGGAACACAATCTTCACATTTGGTCATAAATCGTCAGGGCGAAGTTGAGGTTCCATTATCCACGACTACTATTACAGTCAAAAACCCCTAATGGTATCTGCCATGCGTCACGGCTGCTCTTGAAGAAAAAACACAGCAGCCCAATATCGAGAATGTGGTATCAACCAACTTTGTCGCGCGTTCCAAACCTATTCCATGCCTTTCTTCCTTCGGCACTATCCTCAACGCAACATGGCCAACTGAGGTCATGCTGTGCTGTCGTTCCCTCCCCCTTCCTCCTCCACCTCGAAAACATCGCTAAAACGCAAAAGCCATCAATTGCGTGTCATGTCGTCGTTAGGTTGAGTAGCGAACCAAATCCACCTCCATCGTCCCCTTCCGCTTCCTCCCTGCGGCTGTACAACTCGCCCCCCTTTTTTGATTGGTTGCCGCTGCATCTCTATAGCAGATTCTTTCATCTGCATCCAATATGTTCAATGATTATAGCTGATCATGTGTTCAAGCTATCCAGTAGCATCAACTCATGTAGTAGTGCTTATTTTGTGTGTGGTACGCAAACGAATCTCTGTGGGGAGGCATCTTTTTGTCTAGAAGGTGTCGGTCTCATTGCTAGCGACTGTGCCAAAGGTGTCTAGATTGTCGGTTAGCTTGCGGCTCGATTACTGTAGGCGTAATGTGCTTACCTCTCTTGCGACGTCGCTCTTCTCTGGCGGCTTCCTCCTCCGCACTCTTGGGGGTCATGGCCCGCGGCCCGGAAGGCCTACGCGCAGGCATGCCACGGGCACCGCTGAGGTTGCGGTTCTCCGGCTTGGGGCTGCCGGTATAGTTGCTAGTGCTGGCGGCGTGGGTGCCAGGGCCAGTGCCGTAACCACTCTCAACACTGTTGTAGGGAAGAGGGCTGCTCTTCAAGGCCAAGTTGGAAATTCGCTTCTTGGCGGGCGTGTGGGTCATCTCGTCCATGGGCTCCTTGGGCGGCCTGGGTGGGCCAGCGGGGGAGGAGGACGTGTAGTAGTCACCACCTGTCGCGGGGGAGCCATTGCTATAGCTATTGGCATTTGGGGGGAAGCGGTGCAAGCTGGTGGCTGAGCCGGCCCAGTCTGCAGATCTGGGAGACATAGGCGTGTCGTAGTCGTATGCTTGGCTTTCGAGGGCAGCCTTGAACCTCTCAGTCTGTCCTTGACGAGGCTGGGGATGTTGAAGATTGACCGAGTTACGGTGCGCCTTGTATTTGGGGTCCTCAGGGGTCATGTAGGTGGCAGGAGGATCCAGGTGCGGGGGCTGAGGAGCAGCGAGATCCTGCTGCGAGAATCCAGAGTGCAGTTGGTCACTACCGCCAAACTCGTTCTGATACCGGTCGTCGTATCGTAGATCGGATCCAGATCGGGATGGAGGATGTTGCAGGAACTCGTCTTCGTGTTCCTTCTTGCTAGAGCCGCTGCCGCGGAAAGCCTTGCTTACGCTTGTAGCCGTCGACTCGGACCACCGAGAAATCTTGGGGAACCAGCTCGATGACCCCCTCTTATGCTTTTTGCCCTTGTCCGTCTTGGGAGTGTTGTCATTGCTCAACGATGCGTTCTGTGCGGCCATGGGTTGGGGAGGAGTGCCCAGGGGCACAGAACCGCCACGAGAGAACTCCCGAGTCGGTGTAAGCATACCCTGAGGCTCATGGTAGTTGTTCTGGGAGATGTAGTCCTCCTCATTGTCTTCGTGAACGGTGCTGATGCGGTTTGGTTCGTAGGCCATCTTGGAAGGCCCGCGAGATTGGGCAAAGGATGACATCCCGGAGTGGCTGCCCTGGCTGGTGGTAGAGGTGCCAGCCTGACCTTCGGGCTCGTAGCCACGATCCTGCTCGTACTGCATCTCCGGGGTGAGGTTCTCGTAAGATGGCCGGCCACTAACCATGCCGGGTCTCATAGTCTGTGCCTTGAGTGTGTCGACCTCGCCCAGTAGCTGCATGAGCATGTCCTCGATTCTGCTGAGATCGTTGGCGCCCTTGTTGCTGAGGCCCTTGAGCGCCTTGCGGAAGAAGTTGCTCTTCTTGGCGGTCTCATCAAGAGTGCTGTTCTGGGATGCAGCGCTGTAGCCCTTGACAGAGCGAGGAAGGCTGCCAGGGTAAGCTCGGGAGCCGGCGACGGCGTTCTTGACCGTCTCGTCAGTGTTCTCCTGGACCTCCTTGATGATGACGTCCTCGGTGTTGGCAAGAAGTTTCTTGAGGTCATCAAAAGAGTTGCGCATTTCAGCCGCAGAGCGGACCAGCGTGACGAGAATCTCCGTGTCACGAGCGCTCCGTTGAGCATCGCGGACCATGAGCTGACAATTTGTTAGCTATTTTCTTTTTCATGTCCACGATACCGGGATACTCACATGTTGCATTAAGGCAATAATGTCCTTGGATTCGATCCTGTCGATACCGTTGCCAGTGGCGGCATCGTACAGCGGCGAGTTCATGCCCTGGGAAAGACCGCTCAGGTGTCGTGAGTGCTGGGGTGCGAAGAAGGGATCTTCCGCATTCATATCGCCAAAGGGCATCATGGCCTTGCTGGTGGGCTGCATATTGGGCGAGTGGATGGGACCTTGAGAGATGTAACCCTCATCCAGATTCTTGTGCCCACCTGGACTGTTGGCGTGGTACCCAGCAGCATAGTCTTCGAATCCTCTGCCACCGAGCAGGTCGGGATGATCGACGGGGCTCGCGCCATCATAGGGATTCGTAATGACAGTATCGCGCTTTCGCTCAGCCGATGTGCGTCGCCACTCGTCCTCATGCTCTCCACTGGCTTGTCGGTGGTGAGCCATGGCTGCGCCGGCGGCGGCTCCCATGGCGGCACCGGCAGCGGCCATCCCATAACCACCGTGGCCGCGCGGGCTGTGCTTCTCCGAGTTGTACTCCTCATAAGACTGGTCATAGTCGCTCTGGCGAGGCGTGCCTTGGCGAGGGGTGATATCGCCAGGCCAGTGGTCCCCATCGTTGTGGTCGCTGCCGCCGAGCGGCTCGCGGACCAACGACGGATTGGTCAGCGCATCGTCGTCTACATATCCGACCTCAGGCATTGGGTCGTCAAATGTCGGCATGGCACTAGCACCCATCTTGGGCTTGTCCTCGAGGTCGAGACGGTCGACGCTGTGTGCCGGGGTGTTTGCTGGCTCCCGGCCTTCCATCGCTCGCTGTTTGAAGGACTTGTTTCTCGTGACTCCCTCGGGAACCCATTCTTCAGCATGCTCCTCGTCGACCTCCTCCACGGTCGGTTGCTTCGTCTTGTCCTTGGCGGCCTTGAGAGCAGCAGCTGCTGCGCCGACCGCACCAGCGGCAATTGCCTTTTCGGAGGCAGTAGGCGAGTGCCGTGTAGACGTAGAAGGGGAGTTTCTGTACCTAGCAGGAGCAACCTTTCTACCATACTCGTCCAGGTCGTACTCTCCAGCAAACTCTCTTGACCGGTGGCTCTGGCGACTCGAAGTAGGCGTGCGACTGCTCTCGCGCTCGCGTTGCTCGAAAAATTCCCGCTGGTCAGCGACAGATCGCTTTTCTGGGCTGACGTCGCGCGAACGGGGTTGAATGTTGGACTGGTCATCGTAGGAGACATTGGAGTCTTTGGCGTACGACACATAGGATTCCGGTCCATAGGAAACATTGGACTCGTTACCGTACGATACTTGGGAGTCCCTGTAGTCGTATCCAGAGCCCGTGGTAAGTTGAGACTCAAGCATGGAGCCGTCCACGAGTGAAGCTACGTTGGACTCGACACCGTTTGGAACATGAATAATGTTGGGATTTGCAGCAATACCACGCACAGCCTGGCCGGTAGAAGTTGCGATCTCGCTGCCCTCCGTGTACTGGCTGTTGCGGTAGTCTTGTCCACTTCGGACGCTACGATCATCCACAGACTGCTCATCGAAGCCCCGGCTCATCACATTACTTGGTACTGACGCCGGAGAAAGGGCTCTCAGATCAGTGTGAGATGCCTGAGACTTGGTTGGCGAAGCGGTCCCATGCGACATCCTCGAGTCACGCTGAGCAGCCGTTTCGCTACCAGCCTCCGTGTAGCCGGACACACTGTAAATTGGGCTCAACCCACGCCTCTCTGGCTGGTAAGGGACATATTTCAATGGAGGCGGCACATCCTGCGTGTTGTAGTAGTCGTAATCGCCAGAGTCCACATAGTCGCCTTCGCTCTCCGTGACGCGGCTTCGATCGTCGTAGTCGTCGTATTCATCGCGGATTTGTGATGAAGGACTTTGGCTGAACTCCGAAACCTCGCTTTGCTCCAAGAAATCTCCGGTCCGTGACCGAGAAAGTTCTCTCAAATCGCCGTGAGAAATATTGGCGTGCTTCGTGCCTAGAGTCTGTTGCAAATTGGTCATTGGTGCTGCTTGCGTTGGCGTTGGCGAGGAGCCAAGGGAGGCGTTGCCCCGGGCAACCTCCTGGACAGAGGCTCTCTCCTCCATGGCGGAATGGGGACGATCGGTATCAGCCGAAAGAATTGAGGTTCGCGTCATTTCGGAGGGATTGATCTCGCTCATTAACGGCATTGGCGGCGCGGGAACCTCTTCCTCGTGGAACTCTTCGTCGTACTTCTCGCGACCTACACTTCTGCTTCGAGCTGAGCCATCAGCACGCCGGCGCCTCCGCTGCCGTCTATCCTCCGATGATGGCGATGCTGCGTTCATTGCGGCAGCGGCAAGCCCAGCTGCTGCAGCACCTCCAACGGCGGCCTTGAGCGCGCCATCGCTCCGCCGTGGTGTATCGTCAATGGAGACAATGGATGATTCTTCCACCGACTCGCCTGCAACGCTTCGGGGAGAGTCAACATAGTCGTGGCGAGCTTCCCGGTCTCTGCGTTCTCGATGCCGGCTGTCGCGACCGGCTTCGCTGCGCTTATCGGCGGATTTGCGTCGGTCTACCCCCAGTTCCTCGCGAGATAGAGACGTCCCTGTTCCTGTTGATGTGATGGAGCTGCGGCGGCTTTCGCGCTTGCTCTGCTCCCTCTTCAATGCGCTCAGTTCTGGCAGAATAAGTCGACGAATGGCATCCTCTACTGTCTCGAGTAATTTCGGGTTATTGATGGACGATTTGGAAGCTCCGGAGCGGACCGAGCTTTGGTCGTAGGAACGGTGGCTGGGAGAAATGCTGGATGATAAAAGACTGGAATCTGCCCCAGATAAAACAGAGTCAACATGGCCCCGACTGGAACGTCGTCGGGGTGATCGCGTTCCTTCCGATTGCTTCTCGCTGACGCTGCTTGTCCGACTCTTGCTCGAACGGTGCTTGCGATCTTTGTCTCTTGAGGATCTTTCCCCCGACACCTTTCTTTCGCCGCTGTGTCTTTTGCTTCTACTGCTCTTTGCATGATCAGCTATCGCGGCGCCAGCCAATGCACCTGTGACGCCGGCCGCCAGCTCATTACCCCGCGACGTGCTCTTACTGCGTCTTTCGGAGTTCTTTGTTAATACTGTTGAGCCAGAGCCGTCGAGGAAGCTGTCTTGGGGGATTGCCGAGATGTCGGACATGTTGGGAGCCAGGTAAGAAGACTGAGCATCGGCATCGGGAATCAATGGACTCGCCGGCCGACGACGCCGTCCGCCGCGGTGGTCAATTTCAATGTCGATTGGGTTTCTCGAGACATTGGACTCCTCCGTAGCGGAGGCGTAGGACCGCATACTGTCGGCGTCCTCGCCCTCGAGAGCTTCAACGTCGAGGTGCGAGGAGGTTGCTGTGGTGGACGGCAGAGGCACACGGCGGGTCAACGAGGTCTTGCGGGTGTTGCCCTTGGTCTCGGTGATTTGGATGTGGTCACCGCGGTGCTTCTTGGACGGGGTCAGGCGCACGCGGACGCTGGGTTTGCGTTCGACTGTTCCCTCGGGGCCAGGCTTGCCACCCTCGAAATACTCAATGAGGAGGGACGTCTGAGAACGATTGGCCCTGTGGCCGCGGGTTTTGATGGTGACGGGTGTGCCGTCGTCGGGCAGAGAGTAGTGGGAAGCTTCGTCGTTTGGCCTGGACACATCGGTCGCCAGCTCGGTGGGGGTGACGGAGTCGGTTTCGGTCGGGGCAGGGAGTGGAGGAGGCTTATTCGAGTCAACACCCATTGTGGTGCGATGCTCGAAGGCCTCGGCGACGGAGAGGCTGTTGATGCGCGGGCGCGGATGATGAGTGCCTCGATCAGCGGCTCACACCTCTATTTTGGATCTCGTCCTTTCCGTCGATCGAGGAAAGAAGGAGGAGAGAAGAGGTGAGGAGAGGAGAGGGTGGGTGGATTCGCCAGCTGCCGTCCAAGGTGGGCAAGGATTTGTTGTGGGTGCAGTCGCCGTCAAGACATGAGGAGCAGTTCGTTGCTGCGGGAGGGTAAAAAAAAAACTGGGCGGGCTGGGCGAACAAGCTGTATCCGAAGGAGCTTTCACACCTGGCTGCGAGCGAGACACTGGGATACAGAGAGAGAGAAAGCCGTTGCGGTTCGGCGATGTCTGCGAAAGGCAGCGAACGGAATATCCCCCAAAGAAGGAAGAAAAAAGACACAGAGAGACCTGTGGCCGCTTATGCCACAAACAACGCAGTGCGCAAATGGGGCCCGAAAATGAAAAAGCAACGATGTTAGTTTGAAATTGCGGATTAACGTCGAGGGACAGCTGAGTGAGAAGAAGGAGCTCAGAATTGGATGGCGCAAAGGAGGGAAGGCCAAGTGGTGAGAGTGGAGGGGTGAGGCGAAGGTGTGAGGTTCGCAAACTGGGGTGGCTGGGGGGTCAGGCCGTTGCTTGGGTGTTGTTTTTTCCCCGGCGATGTTTTTGCCCCAGTTTGCGGATCTTTCTTGGTAGCTGAACAAGAGAGGCAGGTAAGCTTCCAGGGGTCTACCGGCTTGTCTTTGGCCTTAATCTCTATCCGTGTAGCGCCGTCGTTGACTTTTTTCTTATCTTTGGGCAACTCTTTTTTGTCGTCGCAGAGGAGAAACAAGTACCGGCGAAACGGAACGAAACAAAGGTATGTGTGTTGGTTCGAGGCAAGGGACAAGTGGTGACTCTAGTGAGTGATATCGGGTGCAGCGAAAAGAAGGATATTGGAAGCGACGTCGAATATAGCAAACGGGCGAGAACGATAATAGCTGAGCAAAGGTACAGTAAAGAGCAGGTAAGTAAGGTATCCGTACTTGATGAGGTATCTTTGAAAGAGCCAAGACGGGGGTAGGGGGGGTAAGCAGATAGAGGCGACAGGCGATGGACAGGCGACCTGACATTTTTGGATGATGCAGGCAGGCCGCAAGACTGACAGACAACCTGGACTCAGCACGCACAGAGAGAAGAAGCACACAACAGGCACACAGCCCAAACGGACAGGGAAGTGCGGTCGAGAGGGGGGAACGCTTCGTCGGGCTCTGCCTGGGATATCCTTCCCGTCCAAGCTGACCCTCTGCGACCTGTGCTGCACCTGTTTTGTTTACTCGGTACAAGCAGCCCGCTGCCATTATCTATGGTCAGGGTATGTACACACGTAGCGCCGAGGATGACGGCAACGTGATCGCGGGAGCGGCTGGGCTGGGCCGGGTTTTGGGTCTTTGGGCTGGGACAAGGGATGGCAACAGCCAACACCACCGTGACAACCATATAGGTGTAGGTATTCGCACCTATCTACCTTACCTTACGGAGTATCCGTACCTTTCCACACTTACTTGGGCCGCAGCAAGCAACCGGACACACGGGCAACATTCTGTCCAGTCCCTCCCCTCCTCGTCTCAACTGTCCATGGATTTTCTGTCCACAAAAGTTGACGTGAGAGTCGAGAAAAGCATCAGATTGAGAAAGAGATTGGTCCGTCCACCAAGTGTGATGCCGTGACAGGGTGGAGATGGTTGATGAGTTGTCCCTCGCTCGCTTCCCGAAAAGAGCTTAAGAGGCACCAGAAGCATGAGGCGACGGGCCAATTGCCGCCGCAGGCCTGGGGCGTGTGGGAAATCGGGTCCCTGCAGGCCTGCAGAGCGTCCTGCACGCTTCTCAACTTCGAATGTGGTCGAGCTGTCGAGGTAACCCAATGTGCCTTACATCTTCACATCCCTCCTTTCACAGTACTCCCAAGTGAAGGCAACTGAATGGTCAACGTAGGAATACCTAGCATTATCTGTCCAGACTCCAGTGCCCTCATGTGCAGTCCTTCTGTTGCAACGGGCCTGGAACCACTCAGCGGGATAGAATGCACCACACATCTCGGCCCCCATGTCACGTCTGCTCTTCTAGCTGTTTGAACTCGGTCAAACGCAGCATTGTCAGAGGTCCGATTCCTCACCGCCGTTATGTCGTCCCGCGCAGCCGTTTGCTCAGCGTTGGAACCTGTCCTTGCCTTGACCCTGCGTGTCCGAAACGGTTCCCCCTTGGCCGTTGTCTTTGTCGACTACCTGCCCATTCCATTCCTATGGGTATCTCGATATGAGGATACTGTTCACTGTGTTCAGATATCCATCATATCGGCCGGGGTTGCTTCGATATCTCGATGCCTTTACCATAACCTTGTCTATCGCTCCGAAACACTCTCACCTACCCCAGTCACTCCCAGCCCCTCAACCAATATGGATAGATAGTCACACAATCTTCCTTTACCACAAAGAGATCAACTTTCCGTCTTTTCTTTATCATCCCTTTCGTACGAAAACAAGGTTTAACAAGCATTTCTTCCCTCTCCCAGCCTCCCCTCTCACTGATCACCTCACAAATGCAATTTACAAATAGACGCCAGACGCCATCGGGACGGGCTTTTCCCACTTCTGTCACCTCTATCCACCTGTGCTCAAACGGGATCCCCTGGAAACCGGGCCCCCACAGCACACCAGAAGTGAGACTTTCGTAAGCTAGCTCGGGCGCCTGTTTCCAAGAGTGATGTTTCCCGTCTTGAAGTGCTAAAGCCAAAGCCAAGTGGGTTCAACCTCTTTTTTGGCTGGGCGACGGGAGGATACCGATCATCCACTAGACAAGGGTCTCATCGTCGGCGCCACGAGAAAATAGTCTCGAGGTGAAAACCGAAAATAAAATTGGCACGGGGAACCTTGCCGGGACAGAGCGACCACTGACGGGAAAGCCTGAGTGACACTTTTGACATTTTTGTCGATCTGGCGGCACGCTGGCTTCTTTGTGACTAGGTATTGATCAAGACTTATTCGGAAGATCATGATTGAACCTCGAGATTAAACGTCTGAAACATTTTCGTCCGTCTGTTGCAGACGGCGCCGCCTTGTGAACCGGGCAACGAGTATGACTTCCCTGCTGCCCCCAGGATCTTTTTTTTTTTCTTTTTTTCGACCAGAGTCCAAGCTCGAGCTCTTCCACACTTCCAACATTGAATGACATTCGTACGTCATTTCACAAGAACAAGCCGCGGCCCCCAGAAACACACGGACGCTGCTACACACAGGGGATACGATATTTCAGCTATCCGATGTGCCGATTCCCATCCCTCCCATCACTGCCTCCTGTCAGTGGTCACTGCCTCAGTCCTTCACGGAGAATCGAGTATGCCGTTCAGGTAAGTTGAGGAAAGGGGGTAGAAAAAAAAGATTGAAACACAATACGGATAAATCGCCACTGCAACCAAGCGAAACGTTGCTCCCAAAACCCGCGCACCTCAGCTCTCGTCTGCCTCGTTCGACCCCACGAGCCCTCGAAAACAAACAAAATAGTCCGATTTGTCCACGTATTCCAACCGACGGTGGCGAAGGCGCACCTCGACGGGGTGGCCCAGACTCGATGAACTTTCCACTGCTCCTCCGTCTGGGGTCGGCGGCTCATGCCGGTCATCCCGCTTCTTTCCCCCGACCCGACCTCGCCCGTTTGTAAAGGTATGTTGAGTGGTCATGGAGGTTGGTGTGAGTGATTTAGATGGGTTCGAATTCGAAATCATAGGAGCACACTGCATATCCAGAGTCTCAGGGCTTTCACGATTTCAACTTCCCTACTTCCTGCGAGCCATTGGACTGCGTCGCTGCCCCATCTCTGCAATTGTCCTGCAAGTCAACAGGAGCGGGAATTCACCAAGTGCAGTCTGTCGTACATGTACGGATATGTTACTGTACCCAAGGTAGTTGGCCTAAATTTACTTCCGTGGACCCCCAAATGAGGAGCATCCAACACCTTCCGTTTGTCGCCGCTTCACCGTCCTCCCTGAAACGAATGCCACCCGAACATGTTGCTTCTAGGACACATGAATCGGCATCTCTCCATAGCTTCTTCATTGGGTATCTATCGGCCAGGGACACTCATTCTGCCGCCCTCCCGCTCTCTTTCCCCCCTTCCTTCCAGCTCGTACCCGACTGACCACCAACACTACATCAAATGGCAACCGGACATCCAACCTGCTGTGCGACATGTGAACGCCGCCCCCTGACGGACAGGTGCAGTTGTTGTGTACCGTCGGCGGCGGAAGTCTTTCGTTGAAAACCAAAACTAAATGGCGTGAAGAGAAATTAAAGAAAATAAAAACACATCACAAGTTCAGTCAAAGTGAAGCCTCAGTTTATCAACCAATGTCAATTCCCAATAATGTAGGCTAAGTGTATTTAGCAACGAGGATCCTCCGCTCTGTGGTATCTTCTGCCTCGTTTCGCAATAAGTATGGGTTATGCCTCAAACCATGCGTTTCGTATCCTTTTTTTTTCTGGACCATGATGCTCTATCGCGAACCTGTACATAGGAAAGAAGCATGCGATGCAATTGTCTTCTCTCCACCAATGAAAGCTGCTCCCAAGGCAGACGCCATATCGTTTCCATTCCTCCCGCACTTCTCTGTCATTGCTTATGAGCAATCCCGCTTCCTCTGTCGTTGCTAAGAAGCAAACGATCTCCTTCTACCTCCTCATGTGCTTCGCACTCTTGTTGGGACGCGCTGCGTACAGCTGTGCCGCTGCCTCCTCCGTCTCAGCGTTATCCAACAGCTCCGCAACAGTAGGGTTGTCGTTGAAGTGCGTAGGCAGTCCGCCTCCAAGAATGGTTTTTGTCGCCTCGACGCGCGCCATGAGAGACCACGAGTCAATGAGGACGACTGTAGAACCAAGGCGGAGCTTCTCGCGGTAGCCAAACGCGCGGTTCTCGCCATCGTCGTCGTCGCCCCTGCGGCCCGCGCCGGGATCGGCCTTGGTGCCGCCCGTGTGCGGGTTAAAGGCCGGACGACTTGCGCTCGAGTAGCCGGGTCCCTTTCCATGCTCCAAGGACGAGACGATGCTGGTGAACTGCTTGCGCAGGTGTCGTCTGTCTCTGCGCGCCGTCTGCTTGACCGAGGGCTTGGAGGCCTCGGCCATGAGGGCGATGAGCTTCTTGGGGTCGTACTGCAGGTTCATCGGCTCGCCTGTCTCCTCCTCGTGGTCGCGCGCCGCCTCAAAGATGAAGGCAATGTTGAAGCCCGCGCTCGCTTGGACCTCGACGTCGGTGCTGTCGAGTTGCTCCACGAAGGCTTCGATGGCGGAATAGACGTTCTCGGTGATGTCGTCTACTTGGCTGGCGACGAAGGCCCAGGCCTCGAGGGCGGAGGTGACGACGTCGCCGCTGTCTGCTGCGCCGACTGATTCGCCGTCGCTTTCCACGATGGTGACCAGGTACTCGAGGAGCTCGCTTGCTGACTCTTCGCCACCACCGCCATACATTGTTGTGACTGCCATGGCCCAGATCGCGGCCGCCTTGACGTCGTTGTCGTCGTCGTCTTCGAGGGTCTTCTCGAGTTGCGGGTAGATGTCGTCGAACAGGGAGTCTGATGGCGTAGTGAGGAGGGTGGCTGACAGAGACTTCAAGGACATGAGGCGCTCGAGGGAGCTGCCTCCGGATCTGGTGTTCTTCATCAACGCCGTGACGATGTCTTGTAAGGAGTTGCTGACTTGACGGCCGCCGTAGTGGTGTTTGACAAGGTGCAGGTAGGACATCAGGGTCGCCTCGCGTCTCTGGGTGTTTGTCCGCTTGCGATCTTGCAGCTCGACGATGCGGTCCTGTAGTAATTGCGCCCAGTTGGGTTCTGTTGCTTCGTCCAAGGCGGTGTCTGAATGATTTGACAGAGTGCTCATAGTCATGCCATCGTCGTAGTCGGAGTCGCTGCCTTCGTCTTCTGAGGCGTAGCGGCTACCAGCACGCGAATGCGCTGGAGAGTTGATCTGAGAGTGGCCAGGAGAGACGTTGGGCGAGTTTCTCATGGAGGCGCGAGCGGACTCGGGGCGTGATTTGGCCTTCTTGGAGACGGTCTTGCCGCTCTCGCGAAGAACCTTGAGTCTGAGGTCGTGCATAGTGGCGACGGTGTAAGATGGAATGTGTGTGTAAGAGTGGTGTGTAGAGAGAGAGAGAGAGAGAGAGAGAGAGAGAGAGAGGAGAGAGTTGCTGTGAGCGGAACTTCTCGTGGGAGAAGACCTGTATATGTATGGGTTGCCTGATTTGTGAGAATCAGGGTCTAGGACCTTCTGTGCTTGTAGCGCGGTGGCGTTTCTTTGAAGATGGTGTTGCTTCTAATTGTGTTTTGCGTGTTTCTCCAACAATCCATGGATGGTATTCGGCTTCTCTATATATAGGTCAGGGAGGAAATCCGGAGATAGGTCGAGACGTAAGGGTGAGTGCGTTGAAGTTCCGGAGATAGGTTTAGAACCGTACGGAGTACAAGTCGGTGATTATCGAGCGGCTCGACGAGTATTTGAGAGAATTCAAAGGAAACCGCGGAAACTGGAAACTGAAAGATGGGCTTCGTGAGTCACCAGACCAGACCGTCTTTTCGGAAGTGAGGAGGAGCTTGGGGATTTTTAGGGCAACGGTGGAAAAAAAATAAGTTGTGGAGGGTCGGAGAAGAGAGGTGAAGGTGGTGGGTGGCAGCGATAGAAGAAGAGGGTGGCATTCACATTTCATCAGAGGGGAACCCTTGATTCACCAAGGATGCCTGTCGGGTGTCGCACAGGGATCGCAGAAAAAGAGCGAGCGAGCGTGGTGGATGACGAATGACGAAAGAGACTTTTCAATCGTGTGTAGGGCGAGACACGCAGCTGGATGCAAGGTTGAGCTCGGGGACAAAGCAGCAGGATGGACAGGAACGGCGGCAGCGGCAGCAAAACATGCGGCAAACAAAAATCCAGACATCAGGCGCATTTTGCCCCTTCATTTCTCACATACTGCGTATTCCTGCGTACTGCGTAAGGATACATCAGTCAACTTTTGTCACTCCACACGCCCTATGTCAAGGACTCCAGGATGATGTCTTCCTGTGGGGGCAAAGTGGGCGTGGTCTGTCCGCTCGCGCATTCCTGGGAGTACCCCTGTAAGCAGATCATCCCCCGTCCTTGGTTACGTGGTTGCGGACGGAGTGTGGTCCTCCACTCACTGTCGAACTTCTGCCCGTTGAACCGTAGTGTTCCGCATTCGAGGGAGAAAGAAAGCCATGGATGAATGTGATGTAGCTTGGTGCTTGCCTTAGGTAGGGAGGTACTGCGTATGGGGAGAACATGGGGCCACTCGGGATTGTGAGATGGATGGGAAACAGATACGGATACAGGCAAGGCGATGTGAACCCAGCCAGCATCATCTGACCGTTTCCAAGTCTAGACATTCACGGGCGGCGCCAGTGAATCCCCCCCTCCCTGGTCACTCATCCGCCGCCTAACCAGATTCGTCTGGATCTCAACTCGTCCCTATGGCTTTTATTAGCAATGGGCATGAAGGGAACCAGTAACAGTTTGCGACAACTCAGGGCACCCGGTGACAGACGAGCAGATGCAACCCGATCTGCCCCTAGGTCAAACATTGTGTCGATAAGGCAGGACAAAAACATTGTCATGCGTTAGGTACACGACTTGTAGGCCTCAGGCGAAGCAGGACTGTATCGTCCGCCTCGACCAGACGTGGAGTAAGGCACATCATCTGTTGCTCAATACTACTGATGCCAAGGTACTTTCACTATTCTTGTCCATCATCATGTATATATTGCTAGGAAAATACCATTTGAAATGAACAGTATGGGAGGTACCTTCGTTATGACTACAGAATAATTCCAAGAAGGGAGGTACCTGTGTTGCGGCGTGTTCAATCACCAACTTGGTACCTTGAGGTCTGTCAGGCGCTTCCTAAGGCCAAAAGACATGCAAGGGTGAGTGTGAGGTAGGTACGGATAGGTAAGGTAGGTAGGCAGATACCTTGGATTTTGCAAAGCAAAATAGAGGAGCGCGCACTTGCGCAAATTGGACTCAGCGACGTGGACGGTAGCAGCTGGCCCAGGTCTGAGGATAGGTAATTTACCAGAGTGACAGAGGCTGAGATGGCTTTTCTCAAGTGAGGTGTCCGGCCGGGTTGATGATAAAGCCATGAGAGTCACAAGCGTGAATAGCTACTTACACCACATCAGAGCGGGCCCTCCTCAATATTGGTTGGTACAACCTTGACAAATTACTTTAACCTTGGCCGTTAGGAGCGCTCTGTGCTGTGTAGTCCGCAGGCATCGCTATGAGACTATTTATGGCGAAGTCTGACTTATCTGACAGCCATACTGACTTTGATGCCTTCTATTCCTTTCTGAGCTCCGAGGTAGGTATCTCGAGAAATCGAGGCAAGGCAGCGGGAAGGTACATCTGTTAACCCCGCTGGCCTCCTTCACATTCCAGCTGTCAGGTGCCATGTGGTGAGGTCTAAGGTGTGCCCCTCTTTCCTAATCCCGTCATCACTAAATTGGAACGCCCCGAGCCTGATCTCAGACACGCACTGTGCATCTCTGGCGGACCATTCGAGGCAACGCAACTCACAGTCAGGTTCACCAAGGTAAGGTACGAATCATCGGTCTTACCTTAACTTGCCCCAGTACGTTCGAAGGCAGCCCGGGAAGGAACGACTGAGGAGGTGGTCTTACCTTCCTTTCGTTTGGAACGACCGGAACTCGAGCTATCGACTCTCATTGTTCGCAGGCCTTGTGCTCTCTCACTTCCCAACATCAACACTTCTACGCTTTACCCCTCCACTTCCACCCTTATCAGCTTCGACACTACACTTCCACACTTCCTACCTTACCTTACCGCTATCGAGGTAAGTGGACGTGCCGGGACTGTTCGGACCTCACAACCTCGCTGCTGATAACCCCACCAACCCACCTTACTAGGTACCTTTACCAAACGCCTTTCCCCACTGCACTTGCCCAAGACCCCGATATTCCCCCTGCAACCTGCCCCTTCCGCGCACCAAGCCAAGTGCGATAAGGCGTTATCGCTGCCTACACTGCCGCGACTGCCTGATACCGAACAGTGACAGCACGGTGCAACCTCCGAATTCCTGCCCCACTTCATCCACCTCGGCGACCTCGACGTCCAACTTACACTGTCTCGCTCCTGCCTTACCTTTCTGCCTCCTTCTGCCTACTCCATTCCCGCTCATTAACTTCAGCCCGCGAAGGAGAGGCCCTACTTTGGTCACTTTTCCCTCCTTCACAGCAAGACCTTGGGCACCCAAGACACACTCCCATCTTCCATCACACTATCCATCGCTCCTGTGAGCTCCTCGTTGCCCTCATTCTCTACTAGGTACAACCCACTCTCGCCAGATCACGGATACAGTCGAGAAGACATCGACAAGATGGCGACGGGCGTGAAGCCTCAAGCGGAGGACGGTAAGCTCGACATTTCCATTTCGCTTTTCCCTCTTTATGAGTCCTAACGAAAGTATGGTCTAGTTCTGCTCACCGTCTCCGTCCAATATCCAAACCCAGAGTTCCAATTCCCGGAGCGACGGGTTGTCCTCGAACAGAAGCACCCAAGCGTTGTGAATATCGGCCGGACAAGCAAGCGATTTTCCAACTTGGAGGCGAAACCAGAGAATTGCTACTTCGATAGCCCGGTGATGTCACGGGAGCACGCCAAAATCACCGTTGACTGGTACCACAAGGTATGTTCTCTACTTGGACCACATTTACGCTGAATGCTAACACAACAACCAGAAACTGTTCGTCAAAGACATCGGCTCGCTGCACGGAACCTACCATAACTCTCTAAAGCTTCCTCCCCACACTGCAAAGGAGCTTACAAGGGGCGACATAGTCAAGTTTGGGATCGACATTCAACGGTCCAACGACCTCTTCCCCCCATGCACGATCCAGGTGGACTGGGAATTCGACCACCTAGCCAAAGCCAAAGCTTCAGAGCTCAGCGGTCGTCCAACCTTTTCCGTCCCTGATGATTCTGACTCAGAGAGTAGCGAGGAAGACATGTCTACTACGGACGATATCCGCGCCACCGTCGAGAAGATTCGCAAGATCGAGATGCCTAAATCGACCACGGGCTTGGCTGGTTCCTTTCCCAGCTTCATTCCTCCGGGAGTGGAGCCCATCGTTATCGACGAAGATATCCAAAAGGATACCGATAAGCCCTCCGAACGCGCTCCCAATGCCACGCAAGATCAGGAGGTGACGATTGAGCTGGATGCTCCGTACGACGAAGAGGAAGACGAGGATATGCCCTCCAGTCATAGGATGAACTCGAATCTCCCTCTGGTATTCGCATCGGAGTCAGAATCAGAGGATTCTTACGATGACGACGAGTCCGAAAGCTATCCCGATGATGAACCTTCGAGCCAGGGAATGCCGGACTCTTACGATGATGACATTTGTCTCAGTGACTCCGAAATCTCGGATCGCAGCGACGATTCTGAGGCCCAGAGCACCTTTGAGAGTGAGAGCGAGAGCGAGGATGAGAACCTGACTGGAGCTCCGAGCTATGACGAGCCTGAGAACGGCCAGACGATGAATGGCGATTACGGTTCTCAACCAAACAAGGACATGGCAGCCGCCTGGGAAGCACAGGATCCTTCTCTTACCTTCACGCAATCGCAACAAATGCTCAGCATGCCTCACGCAAGCTACTTCCCTCAGCCAGATGCTGGTCGCCAGTTCTTCCCCGCGCCTATGCCGTCACTTCCTTCTATCATACCTTACGTAGGTTTGCAAGAACAAGGACGACAGAACGACCTCAGACTGCCGTCGATATTGAATCCTTTGGATGATCACGTTGAGAATCCCTTCTTAGCTGACATGAACCCCGAGCAAATGCACACATCTGCACCGACGGATTACCTTCTTCAAAGTGAAGGGACAGCACCGCTTCGTGCTTCATGGGATCGTGTCCCAAATACTCCCAAGGTTTTCACTGCCACGGAGTCTCTAGCGTTCTCCCAGGACGATGGGATATCGGCTGAAGCCCTTGGCAAAGTCTCTGGGAAGCCAGAGTTCTTTGCGGCCAGAGAGGAAAACAAGCAAATCTTGCGCCGCAACGAGCAAGATAACGATACAATCCCGGACCAACCTCGCAGCCAGGTTCCCGAGCAGCCTGCGACTTCCACTGAGCCATCTACTTCAAAGCTCGGGCACCACATTACCTCCGATGCAGCCACCGCGTCGGAGCCGGTAAACGAAACGCCCAAGTCGGCCAAAGTGGCTGAATCGGCCTGGTCCAGTTCTGGGGAGAAATTCCTCAATAGTCCTCAAGACTTCCCTCTTACATACGCAACGGAAACTCCCGAGCTTGATATGACGAGTGCCTTCTCGTTTCAACAGAGTAAATTGAGCATCATAACACCATCTGAGGATGTTTCACGGAATGTCCCTGCCGTGGAGAAGGCCACTCCAAAGCGCAAGGCCAGTGAGATTTCAACGCTCACGCCTCATGAGGAGACGACCGAGGCGGCCGTGAAAAGCGCTGAAACCGGGGCGCAGACAACGGCCGAACAGCCCATGGTTGTTTCTGTGGTTACAGAGCCGACACCAGAAGCACCTCCTCCCCCTAAGCGTCTGCGAAGCTTCTTGAGCAAGGCTGGGTACTTCGTTGGTGGCGGCGTGTTGACTGCGGCAGGTGTCGTAACAGCACTTGCTGCAACCGCCCCTGCTCTTTGACGACTTAACGTGGGCGTTCTTTATCTTTATCTTCGACTTATGGCTTGGCTTGATTTCTTGGGAGGGAACTGGATCGGAATGGGCTCGACCATTTGTGTCTACCCGACTGACTGTTAGTCGCGGCGTTGAGAGCTTGCGGGATCTGGAATTGCGATTAGGGAAGTGACAGGATGGAACGATTCAAATTTTATGATGCTTCGGTTGAGAGTGCCGGCCGGGGAGGACAACTCGATCAGGACTGGCGGGGCGGGTTTTCTTACCTGGAGGGTTATGACATTACTAGGCTGCTACTTATTCGCTTCTCTATCTTTATCATGGCTCTTTATCACGATAGCTATCGCTTTAGTCCGTGGCAGTCAATGCTTAGGTAACGGTTTTTTCCTTTGCGATTTCAAGCTTCTGATGATACCTCACGCCAATACGGAATACGTGATTGAAGAGATGAATGGAACAAACCATTGCCGGAAGGCCACGGAGCCCTTGGGTATTCGTCATGTTCTAGGTTTGACAAACCTCATGGGCGCCTCACCCGGCAGATTGGAGCTGAACTGTTCCGTTCTCTTTTTTTTCCTTCAGAGGCTGCTTGAAGTTTGGTCAGATCGCGTAAGCCAGGGCATCGTCTAGTATACGGCACACTGTGCAGATATGTGGTATGTCCTCATTCTATGCTAGGCTGGACTTCTACAGGTATCATCTTACTAGTCTTAGTATCAGTCTCGGATATCTCATACAATAATCAGGTGGAACTCTTCCCGATATTGAATCTAGGTTGCGAATGGTCCACCCACAACCAATAAATGTGCAATGACACTTTCTCAGTGTGCCTGTGAGGTTCACAGTAGTGCAGCCTAGGTACGCTGAAGGCGTCACCTTCGTGTCAGGTCATGCTAATGCTGTTGTGCAACTCAACCCAGGTTCTCAGAGTACGTATACATACTTGGTTCTTTCACGAGTATCTGGAAGAAAAGGCCCCGAACTCCGCTATGAGTCTGTCCGACCCGCGGATATACTTCATGGTTTCCTAGAGGGAGAGAAGGGAGGGTGGTACGATTTCCATTCAAGGCGCTTACTTGTCTGTAACGTAACCGATGACTGTATGGTATCGTGTATGTCGAGGCCGGCTCCTTTCGCGTGATCACGGTCTTTTCGATATCGCTCCAGTAGCAATGACCGGGTAGTCTTCCGCGGCGGTACACAAACCGGCTGATGCCACGCTACCTCGTAGGGATGAGCGGATCCTCCCTCTGTGTTTCCCGTCGGTCGTCCTTGCAGTCACGAAGGACGTACTTGAGTGGTTCCGTTCCTCCGGATAAGCGAAGGGGTCACAAGCAGGGAAAGGATTCAGAATTTGCTGCTGCCAGCATAGGTTTATTTGGGCACCAACTGTTCGGTACATGTCGCCGTTTACCTGCGGCAGCTCAGAAAGCGAGGCAAGTAACCCTGTCAAGAGACACTCGATAGTCAAGGAGCATCGAAACATGAGCCGCATTTCCTCCCAAGTTTCTTCTATCCCTCTATCCAATCTCAAATACGAAGGTTTCAGACTTCTACTGGACTGACGTGCTAGTTGTTGCCTAGATTCCCGAAGAACGCTGTGCTTAACGCAGTGGAACTGGGATGAGCCGTCCGCCCATAACACCAACGCCCTACACCCTATACCTATACGAAGCCCAATCCCAAACCAAACCAAACATCAAGGAAAGATGAACGTTCTATTAGATATGTATGAAGTTTATCTGGTTGTTCCTCTCAGGAAACTAAACGGTGGCGTCGGCTGCCGTGGTTTAGTGGCAGCCGGCACCGGCAACACCTTGACCCGGGCCTGTCGGTCCCGTCGGTCCCCTGGGTCCCGGTTTGTTGTTCTGATCATCGGCCCTTGGCCGAGAGCTGAGAGCTTGAGCTTGACCAGCAGCCCCATGAGGGCAGGGGACTCTGACTACACCTCGGGAGTCGCAGGTTTTGCAAGGATTTCTGCGTAACAAGCGTCAACGTGGAGTCCGTCAGACTCTGGATTGGGGATTGCCTCACCTTTCGTGCCCACCGCAATGAGTGCAGGTTCTGAAGTCCCACCTGCCAGAGTAGCCATCATCGATGCAGCCGCAAGTTTCATTCTCATTGTCCGCCATAGCAGATGATGAGGTCGTGTTCCCACGGTTCATGATGATTCAATAAGATATAATAACGTTGCTAATAAAAGAAGAGCTTAGGTGTCGTTCCAAGATTTGATGGGTGCTTTGCTTTGGATGAAGATCGTGAGAAAGAGAGGAAAGTGCGTCGCAGGGTGTTCGAGAGACAAAAGGAAAACAAGCATGGTGAAGGAGGGAGTTGCTGTGATTTATACTTTTCTCCATCACGACACTTGAAGGACCAACCTCCCCTCAACACCATGAAAGTCATCGCACTCACGAAGACCCTCCGACATCTGATCCTTCTTGTGTGTCGGTTTGCCTCACCGCCTTTGACCAGCAGCCGGTCTGGAGAGCATTATCGTCTCCCAGGCCCTCAACGCCGGCCAAGACATCAACAGAGGGGACAGCTGGCCGAGTCTTGTGACCCATGCCTTGCTCTCGATTTCTTCTTTCGTGGTTGCCTCGTTTCATGCCGCGGACTAGCGAATAAGGAGACAGTGGTGGGTGATACTTCATATGTCGCCTTGTTCTCCCTTTTGGGTAAGTAGGCATGCATATTCTTCGAGCCGTCTTTGGAGGGGCAGGCTGTCTCGGCAAAATGTTGGATTTGATATTGACGTCAGCCGCATAGAAATACAGGGCTTACATATCCTGTAACTACTACCCTCGCCGATGCCGTGGTATGAGCAGCCTCATGTGCTCCCCGGTGCGCGCGTTCCTTGCGTCGAGCCTCGAACCGATCTTGCTGCCCCACGATCTCTCCTTCAGTTACGTCCAGCTGAAGACGATCTCTAGATTATCGTTATTGAGATAAAGCCCGAATCATTGTTCTCAAATGACAATATGCGCGCTTCTTTCTCCATTCGGCTTCACCTGCCTCGGACTCTGATCTGATTTCTCCCGGGCTGCCAGCTGTCCCTGCGATCACGTCTCCAGTCTCGACCGACGACTGCGGCTACCCGTGGCGACCCTTGTCAATCCTCCCACACAGACGCACACCAGCACCTCGAGCGAGCCTTGGAAAGCTGCAGAAATACAGACCCATGTAATGCGGAGGTTTCCATTAGACCTCCAAGCAGAGGGGAGAAGAACCAGGCGATGGTCGATGAGACCTGTCCACGCTGCGCGGGCTATCATGCGTTTGAGAGATACCGTTTCCTTTGGTGTCTCCAACTTCTCTACTCGCCCCTGATAGTGCGACCAAATGACGGCTTCATCGTCAGACCAAGCATTCAGGATTTCCGTGGCACCTTCCAAATCACCGAATCTATTTGGATATTCCTCCTCTCATCACTTGTCTCGTTGTATTGTCAAGCGACACCCTGCGGCACGGCCCATGCCCGACGAAAGCCATGACAACCACATGTTGGCCACGACACACGCATGCTCCCGCATTGCTTTCTCCCATTATTTCCGAGCTTAAGTCTGCCTAACTCGAGTTCTTCAGGACAAAGTAGTCTGCCTGCAGAACCTCAAGACACAACAAAGAACCTAGACTCACGATGTTGGCATTCCGTAATCGAATCTTTCTGGTTTCGGGTGCTCTAGCCCATCCGGCCTGGCACGATGCTTCACCCACTATATAAGGAGTCGTCGAGGTCTCGACGACAGATACAGCACTTCGAACCACAGTAGTACATGAAGCACCCCAGAGCGTAAAGAGCGATCATCAAGGAACGAGCGCTGAAGAATTACAAGCGCCGAAAAACTACAGCACAATGCTTGCCTTCCTAGACAAGACCCGGTGTTTCCGACCCATCCGTCCATATCCTCGGCCGATTTCCTGCTCGTGCCACCCATCCTTTCCCTCGACCAGCAGCATTGGACGCGATCCCCAAAAAGGATCATCTGACCTCCTTGTACTCTCTGTGACGGCTCGTCCAGAACTCGAACGCCGAAGGGCAAGTAGCCTTGTAATCGACGACGATTATCGTGAAAGTTGTCGTCAACACGGTACCGGCCAACTCTGCGTCAGGAAAGCTGCATGTTGTTGATTTCTCTTTTCTCCCGTTACATCGCAGGACGCGTCTTCGAATGGTCACTATGCATGTCTTTGACGATTCTTCTTTATCTAGGGGACTCAAATTACGAATGGAGATTACCATGCACATATCACTCTTGCCGTGTGATTACCCTGCCGTTCTATCTTCCGTCTTCTTCCCACTCCTCCCCTTCTGAGACGATTCGCGGCGCCTCGTCACTCACGATGTCTTCTAACAGGCCTCTTTCCAACGACCCCTCTCTCATTCCCAGTCCTTACCCGTGGTGGCGTCGCTCACTGCAGGCAAACATCTTATCTCGGTGAGCGGAAGAACCAACAGGATCCTAGTCACCGCGGTCCTTTTGGCTCTTGGCTCCCATGCAATAGAGGAGACAGACGTAGAGAAGAAGATCATGACAGAGACATGGTCGAGAGACGGAGAGATGATAGATAGTGTAAGTCCGCAAAATCTAGGTCTGGATCGAGCTTCAATTGCGAAGCATCCTGCAGGTCTCAAAGTCAAGAAAAACGGAAAAGGAAGGGAAAAGCCCCTTTTCCCCGAGCCCCTCGACACTGTCTCATTGCGAACGAGACAACCAACGACTTTCTCCCGCTACGCATCTGCGCGCCTCCAATATATTTACAGCATGACTCGGCACAACCTACGGGATGTGAAGACGCGATAGGACCGGATCATCCAAGCGGCGAGACAATACGGAGCATGTCTCAACCTCAGCCCATGGACTCATACACTTTTCGGCTGTCAACTGCACAGAAACGTCGGCAGTGCACTGTCACCGCCAATGTAGCCTTATGGGAAATCTCGTGCGCATGCTCGTTCACTTCTTCACTGCCGTGTGTCACGAGAGAAAATACCCGTACAACCAACACTATTGATAAGTGTGTCGCTAGCCCTTGCTCGCCTTTCCGTCCAGCTAACATGGTTATGCTAGGGCAAGTGGGCGTAGGAGTTTGTGCGACTTCGAGACTCGTCACCAGCTGTTCCCTAGGCTGTAGCAGGAGAGCGTATCTTCCGTCTAATCTGCGAAAACGGCAAGTAAGCCAGGCGCCAGCTACAACAGGTGAAAGAGCACAGTACCTTATGCCAGGAAAGCCCTCATCCGGGAGCCCTGAGCCAGCCAAATACCCTGTTACAGGTAGGGGGCACAGCACCAAGTCGACAAGCAGTTCTGACAGGATAGTCGAAGATGGCCATGGCAAACCAATCATGGGCATAGCCACAGTGATGGTCACATCTGAAGCCGCAACTACGGCCGAGTGAAAACCAAGTGACAACAGTCGCCACTCCAAGAGAGTCCCGAGTCGTACAGATTCGTTGGTCTCGCGACTGGCTGGCACTGATGTATTACCGCTCCTTTGGTTCCATCTGATACTCCGACTGGATCTGCAAAGCATTGATGCAGGATTACTGGCATTCTCGAGGCCCGAGTCTACGCTTAGCTGTGCATCTCGGAATCGAAGTAGCCATCACAGATGTAGAAGACCGCGACGAGATATTCATGTTTCGAATGATGCGCTACCACGTGGTTCATTCATCAAGTACGACTGTTTCACCGTTTGAGAGGATTGGCTCCTCTTGGCTTTGAAGAAACTGAATGGAAGACATTGGGACTACTCAGGATCCCGAGGTCATCCAGTCACAGTTCCGCTACAAAAGACGTCGGTTCCTCAGGTACTACGTACCAAGACGGGAACCCGGCTCGGGTGCTGAGAATAAGTCACGGCGCGAGAAGAGACAAGTGGAAATGAATCAGTAGACGCGTGAGATGAGGACGAGAGCAAAGCCGGCATCCAACTTTTGAAGTCTATGGGCGTCGCAGGAACCAACACACGCTTAATCCAACCCCTGCAACGACCGCCACTCTCTCAGCCAGCTTGCGAAGCAACAACCTCTCGCCCGCGCGGTGACCCTGCTTCTCAAAAAAGTCTGCTCCTGAGTTCGTCCACGGATAGGGCGCCTCCGGCACCGGCAAGCCGAGAAAGTCACACAGCGGTACCCAACCATCCTTGGGCCCGGAGAAGACGAGCATCCTCCCCGGCGTCTCGCGCGTGATGGCCTCGATACGGGCATGGTGCTCGTCATAGGGCCTACGGCCCGGTACCGCCTCAGCCCACCCGCCGTACGCCGTGTCCATGATGAGCCGCAAGAACGGCCACCACGCGGCGCGGAAGGGGTCGAGCGGGTGCAGCAGGCGGAACACGAGGGAGCGGCGCAGCTTGAAGACCGTTTTCTCCATGGAGGCGCGCCACGGTTCGTAGTCGCGCTTGGAGACGATGATGCGGGCTTCTGGGTAGGCGGCGGCGAGGTCCTCGGCGAAGAGGAGGGCGTGCGGGCATTTCACGACGTCGTAGTCGCCCAGGAGCTTGTCGAATTCCGCGCGGCCGTAGGGTTTGCAGCGGTTGTGGTACTTTGCTTCGATGGCTTCCGTCCAGAGGGGGATTGACTCTTGCCAGGTTGGCCACATTGCTTGGAAGGAGAAGACTTTGAAGCCGAGTTGCTCGAGGGCGCTATTTAGTGCTGTTGGGTTGAGTTAGTAGAATAGCATGGTTTGGGTTTGTGGAAGTTGAGGGTGTTGCGATATGGGATGAACGTGTTTTTGATGGGATGACTTACATTCCGTGGCCGTCCGCGGCAGTCCGAGCAACAGTAGCTTCATGGGCCGTGTTCTCGTCTTAGTGACGGAGTCAATGAGGCGGGGCTTTTCTGATGCTTCCATTTTCGGTAATGACTTGTCATTCATGTCTTTACATTCGCGTGCCCTCTATTTGTTCTGAAGTATCTTGAAAGAGCTTCCCATCTCAGTTGAGGTGTTGCTTCTCACTCATGAGTCTTTATAAGTGAGCACAGCTGTCATGTACCGGGGCTCGCGGACTAGGCTTCCGTTATAGCAAGGGGAATGAACTCAAATCGGCACAGACTGAGCTGACTCGTAATTGCTCATCCAGGATTCCGGGTGGGAGATCTGGACGAGGGTGTGTCTCGAAGGTAGCCCACGCCCCTACTCCCCTGGTCCTCCTCTCTCGTTCCGTTATTGACCTCTCTCGGCGAATAAGCCATTCGAAGTGAAGGCCGAGAGAGTAACAAAAACTCTGGAAGACAGTATATCTTCAAAATAACGTATAATTGCTAACCCAAATTTTCCATGAAGTAAACCAAAGCTATGTATCTAAGTCTATAGATTGTTGAGCTGCCTAGAAAGAACTAGATTTCTTATCCTCTCACTTCCTATACCAAGGGCTCGCAGAAACATCTCAATGCCTCTGTAATGACATGCGCTAGGTCCTCGTTCACTTTTGGGATCATGATGTCAAAGTGTCCTCCCTCAACGACGTGCTGCCTCAGACGTGGCCCTGCCAACTCTCGCCATTCTTCTGTGAGCCAGGCTATAGATCTTTCCGGTCGTGATTCCTTCAACCACGCTTCATGATCACCGTTTACGGCATTGCCAAACGATCCGTTACTCAATTCCTGCGCTTTTTGCAAAATTTTAGTTGGGAACAGCGAAAAGTCGCCGTTTGACGACCAGACTAACTGCAATATCGCAGTGTCCTCCTTCTTGTCCTCGTAAAGGGGTGCAAGTTTGAAGGCGCTGTTCATGAGGATGAGATGTAGCATGTGGTTCTTCTGCCACTCAGCCATGCTTGACGAAGCATGACCTCCAGACCATCCAAAGAACCCTGTCGCCTCGAGATGCTCAACTGAGATCGCCTCAGGACCCAAGCACAGATTTGGCGTCAAGCGCGCATAAGACTCTATAACGAGAAGTCCCGAAACTTTGTGCCCCAATTGTATAATCTGTCTGGCACACTCGTATGCGAGGCGCCCTCCAATCGACCAGCCACCGAGCAGATACGGTCCCGTTGGTTGGATACGGAGAATCGCTGCGACGAATAGTGAACAGTATGTATCCATTGAGAGATCGGGTATGGCACTCGTGCCGTTGAATGGCGACTCGAGGCCATAGATCCTCGTGACGGTTTGTTGAGATAGACCCGGCGGAAGCCCTGCATACACATAGCTGCTTCCGGAGGCGTCTGGAAGGAGGAACAAGTTGTATTTGCAATGACTGGATCCTTGCAAGAGAGCAACTCTACTGGAAAGCTCAGCACTCGCAGAGTGAGCTGTTGTGTCTGATACCCGAGCGATATTCGCCATTGTGATGCTGGACTTCTCAGCAGCATCTTTAACTAGTCTGGGTTCGACATTTACGGGATCGATATCCGCGCAAAGCGAGATAACGTCGCTGATAGTTTGAGCTTCTAGCAAAGCTATCAATGGAATCTCAACGCCTAACTTGACGCGAATGGTATCTGATATGGTAGGGGCCACCAAGGAATCGACACCTAGGTCGGCAAGTGTGGTGTCTTGGCCAATCTCATCGGGTTCTGCGTGCGTCTCTTTGGCCAGTATTGAAATAAGTGTATGACTCAAGCTCGCTGGGCCTGAATCGACGACTGACTTATTTATGTCGAGTATCGCCCTCTGTGAAGGAGAAAAGGGAGTTGAATTTGACAACTTCGTCGTAGGCGAGATGACCTGATTGCTGGGCTCACCCCCGTTCATCCGTACTGTGGCTTCCTTGTAGCCTTTACCACTTTTGCTTTTGGTTTCCGGTCGTTGCTTCAGTTTGTGGAAGCGCATGCCACTAATAGCTGCCACCGGGCATATTTCATTCTCCTCGTCAAATACTGTGACGTTCATGATGACATCGGCAGACCCATCTGCTTCTCCGTGGACGTAACAAGCGTACATATTGTTGCTTCGCGGGCGCTGCCAGAAGTCGATAGCAGCACACTCGGTCAGAACATATACTGCTCCGGGATCAGCAGCGACATTCATGTTCACTGTGAAGCCAGCTGCCTGCATAGCACCGTCCAACCAGACCGGGTCGATGGTGTACTCTCGGTTTGCGTGCCCCGCCATTGATGTTGTTTGAAGCTTCGCGCAGGCTTCATAACCGAGAGGTGCTAGTGTGAGGTTCCGGAGAACATGGTAGTCTGAAGAATACTGCATGACAGACGTCCACATCTTGTAGATCATCTGCCCATTGAAGTGGTTGGCAGCGGTGTTGTTTTGCAGCTGACTTATACGAGAGACGGCCCGGATGAGTGTGCGAGTCGTGTGCTCGCCTCTCATACCATTGGTATCTTCCATCACTCGCAGGATGCAACTTGCGTGATGAGCCTGACGCTCGACACCGCTGAAAGTGACATCGAATTCTGGGGCTGCGGTCCGTTTCTGCAATGTTGTTTCAAGAGTCTGGATGGAATCGTGGACAGTATCAGTGTCTATCGTGATAGCCGCGATCAGGCGTAGTGATCTCAGCCCGATAGACTCGAGGCCAACCCGTTTGCCGATCCTTTCTAGCACAATAGCGAAGGCCATGTCAACCAGCACGCCTGCAGGGCATATGGCCTTGTCGCGAATTGCATGACCAATTATGAGGCTTCTCAGAGGCTCTTCTTGGAGATTTGTGATAATGGGTTTCTCGATCGTGTGTATGTCGTCTTCTAAGTTGAGTGAACATTCAGACATAGGTGTATCCAGTTGTGTTGAAAGTGAGGATGACGATAATGACGGTGATGATGAAGGGAGATGGCGGCTTTGTTTTAAAGGAATCCAGAAGTTCTTTAGATCAAAGCCGTAGGCTGGTAATTCTAGCAGACTTCCGCTCTGTTCCATCGAACCATGGTATCGGCTCCAGTCAATGTCAACCCCAGAATTGTACAGCCTAGTTATGCTGGAGGTGATAGCGTCAAGGCATGCCTGACTTCCGGTTCCTGTAGCTTCGAGAACCTCGGCCATGCTTTCTCGCCCGGTAGTGATGTTTGACGCAGTCATGTCTCTGCACATCGATGTTGGTGAAATCGTCAGGAATATGGTATTCCGACCAGGGCTGAGTGACATCGCAGACTCGACGGCGTCGGAAAATAGTACAGATTGGCGGGCGTGTTTGGCTAAATGCTCAGGCCAGGACGGGGAAGCATCAATCAGCGACCCTTTCACCGTCGACACAAAGTTGATCTGTGTTTGACTGGCAAAGGAAGCCTGTTCACCAACAGCGAGCAGATTCTCCAGAATCCCGTCCATCTGACCCGTATGGAATGCGTATGGTGTCTTGACCAAGGCATTTTTGATGCCATGTACCTTGAGACGGCTTTGCAACTGCAAGATACTGTCGAATGGCCCACCAACTACAGTCTGATCTCGTGAATTTCTGCATGAAACCTCGACTGCGTACTCTGCAAGGAACGGAGTGAGCCGTTCCTCTTCGGCCAATACAGCCAGCATCCGGTGGGTATCAGGCTGGCAAGACTTTTGCACCAAGCCTGCGCGTTTGCCCACAAGCCAAATGGCATCTGCAGCAGAGAGAATGCCGCATAAGTGCAGAGCTGCATACTCTCCCAGGCTATGTCCAAGTACAGTCGCGGGCGCAACGCCCCAGCTCTTCCACATCTTGCTGACGGCAAGCTCAAACACGATAAGTGCGACCTGTTCTAGCACGGTACTCGGAGAAGCTTGCGCTGCATGGGGGGTAATAAGGTATTGCAAGACTCCGGGAAAACCTAGGGATTCACTGAGTTGGTTGTAGTCGTCTAAAGCATCCCGAAACGCGCTGTTGCTGTCGTACAACGACTGGGCCGAACCAGCGATTTTCCCGCCCTGTCCGGAGAACACGAAGATAATGTGCGGCGCTTGTGGTGCATTTTGGAATTGAGGCGATGCTTCAATTGTGTCATCATGCAGAAGCTTGATAATCTCTGTCGTGTTTCTAGCCCTGTACGCGGAGCGGTATGGAAAGTGACTTCTTCGTTCACATGTGGTGTAAGACAAATCGTCAATCGCTGCAGAAGGCACCTTCTTGAAGAATTCAAGAAGTCTCATTTTGTTGGCTTGAAGCGCAGAACGGCTCTTGCCAGAAACCACAACGATGCGTTGCTGTGGCTCTGTTGTATGAATCTCTTCGCGTTTGGGCTGTTTACCGGTGGTTTTTGAGTGCTTCTTTGAGCCTTCCACAAGTATACTGGTGTTCCCGCCAGCTGCCCCGAAGCAGTTAAGTATGATGGCTGAATGGCATCGGCGTTGTTTAGAAGGCCTTTCGAGTGGCTTTAAGGGCTCAGATTTCGAGTTGATGACAATCTCCAGCTCTTTCAGCGGAGGGAAATTGTGATTTAGCTCTGTCCTGAGCCCGATATGCGGAGGAACTCGGTCATGACGAATCATGAGAAGCGTTTTTACCAAAGCTGATACACCGGCTGCGCCCTCGCTGTGTCCAATATTGGCCTTGATGCTGCCGATCAGTAGCTCACTGGATGGTTTACCTGGTGAGCCCCTGGGGCGGCGACGACGCGGCCCTCCAAGAACGGCGGCTACGGCTTCGATTTCTGCAAGATCACCTGCCTGGGTCCCGGATCCATGAAGCTCAACATAATCCACATCTTCAGGTTGCCTCAGAGACTCGCTCAGAACACGACGCAATAAGGACTTCTGAGCTTCTGCGGAAGGGCGAGTGATGGGATTCGTGTCCGTTGAATGATTCGTGACGATGCCCCTGATGACGCCATGAACCATGTCACCATCTCTTCGCGCATCGCTGAGACGCTTGAGGACGACGACAGCCACTGCCTCAGCCCGCGTATAGCCGTCCGCTGTAGCGTCGAAGGTTTTACAGGCTGTGTTGGAGGCTCCTAGAAATCCGCCGCAACGGAGACCCGCGTACATGCCGGCATCACCATGACCCGAGATGATGCTGGCTCCGCCAGCAATAGCCAAATTGCACTTGCGTCCTCGGAGAGACTGCACAGCAAGATCTAGAGCCATGGCACTGGAGGAGCAAGCCGTGTCCACTGAGACTGATGGGCCATCCCATCCAAAGAAGTGATTCAGGCGGCCGGGGCCGAAGGCGCGCAGACCTCCTGTCACGTAGTATGGATCGTCTTGCGCCATGTTATGTTCGCGCCAGTCATCCGTAGCCTGTCCAACAAATGTTCCCACGTGCCGTGTGTGGATATCCTTGTTATAGCCTGACATGTCCAAGGCCTCTTGCGTCGTGAGTAGCAACAGCCTCTGTGATGGGTCTGTCTGCAAAGCTGCTCTGCCCGACATGTTGAAGAACTTTCTGTCAAAGTGACCGGCTTGTTCGATGAAGCACCCAGTGGGCAAGATATTGCCATGGCTATCGGAGACCCTTTCACGTGGCATCTAGATAATCAATCAGCGAATAGCCCGGACAAGTGTTTATCATGATCCTACTCACTCGGCTCGAGGTATCACGACCATTACAAAGGACATCCCAGAGCTCTTCCGCACTTTCAGCCCCTGGAAAACGGCCAGAGTAGCCTGTGATTGCTATGAGATTTTCATTTCCCTCTTCATCGCTCTCCTCATCGTCGCTATGACTGTCACCGTGGTTGTGTTCACTAATGCTGTCGCCTGTCCGTTTGTGTTGAAGAAGGGCGGGACTAGAGATGGCACCAAGGCTAACCCCGGAACTCTTCAAGCGACGGGCAAAAGCACTCCATTGAGATGCTGGGCCAAAAGTGTATAAATCTGAAGAAGACTTGACCGGTTCTAGTTGATGAGCAATCTGTTTCGCCACACGTGCTGGACATGAAGGCCGCTGTAGAATGTCGCGGAGTACCTGCGGCAATATGGCCCGTAATGAGCTGCCCTTCACCATTTCCCCGGTGCTAGATGACAAGATAATGACATTAGACTGAATTGGCAAGTCGAGAAGCGGAGAGTCTCCTAAGATATCATCATAACTGGATCGGTTTCATGTTAGTAAGATATCCCCTCTTACATCGTAGTCATCTTAGGAGATGAGCCGCGTATCCTTACTTTGGTTCACGAAGGTGTTCTGCATGGTATGCAGCAAAGATCGGCAGGTCTTTCATTGGCATATTGCAGAAGTTCTTTAGGCGTAGTTGGCTTAGTGTTGATGGTGGGCCTGAGATGACAGACCACTCTTCCAGCTCATAGCTCACATACGCTCTCTTGTGAGCCGGAACCTTCTAAAGGCGCACTTTGTTAGCTTTACGTGATTCTCACCAATGCTTGCCACGGTGATGGGATTGAGATGATTTCGAAAGCTACTCCTGTTCCTCTTACTTCATATTCATGGCAATGCGCCATGGCGGCGACACAGTCGTGTCTTGGTAGCTGAACCGCAATAGCCCAGACCGAACCGGGATGATCTTCCAACTCCCAAGAGCGTTGAGTAGCAAATTTCGTTACACGCTTCACGATTCTCAATATCTCCAGGGTGATATCGACGAGGTGTCCCGTATCTCTTGCCGCCGCAACACTGCATGCGAGGATGAGCCCGATACATTCACCCACTAGTATCTTGGGACGAGTTTCATGAAGTATACTTGGGTCTTGTTGACACTTCCTACATATCATCGGGGAATACCCTCATCCGTCAGTTTTTGAAATTGGGATAGGCTTTGTTCTTTCAGAACATAAGTACAACTGACCAGATCATTGAGCCAAGCTGTGATATACAAGGCACAAGAGCAGATGACATCGGATCTGCCCGGTATGCAACATCTGAAGCGACCATTTCTGCCCACTCGAGCACATTATGTTGCTCGCCCGTCACATCGTTCAGCCACTGCGTTGAGAACCTGTGCAGATGTGTCGAGGAAGGTATGGCTCTCCTGCGCAGGCACCCCAGCGATTCGCTGTAAGTGTTGACACCCAGAGACTGGTCCCCGAAGTAGAGGATCGCATTAGGTGTTGAGCACATGGCTTGATAAGTACACAGGCACAGCTGCAGGTGATTCGGTCAACTTTGAAAATAGTCAATGTTGCAAAGCATGTTTGGGCATTGGCTAAGGAAGCTATAGCAGGTCGAAAAGTACACATATCATGGACAACTTCAGTCAGCTGTGCTTTCCTCAGTCTGGCCGCCATTGCCACGCCAGGAGGGTGTGCTTAGATCTCGGTCATTTCGCAAACAGAACATGTTTCCCGTGATGAAGCGGCGGTGTATCTTGATTGATCCCGTTCTGTAGTATCTCGGCTTCGGCCAGCTTGACTCCGTCGTTGAGCGTGCAACACGAAAGTTTGGATACCCTGGCTCGGTCTCGCATCCTTGATCACCCATGGAAGTTGTTGAGTTAAGGAAAGTTAAATTAGGGTCGGACCCGTACAGTCGGACCCGCGTATTCGGTATGGAGGGCTGCTATTCGTCTGAAATGACTCGTCAGGCGTTACAACGGCTTTATTAACTTTGACAAGCTGTCTAAATACTCGCGTCTCTGTGTAAACGAACGGACTGGAGCTGTCGGTGATCCATGCTACTCAGCAGTGTCAGCACGTCCGACTTCTAGGACTAGGGACGGGGGGGAGAGAGCTAGCGAACACTTCGCGTAGACTACTACTACATGATAATGCAGGTTTCTGAGATTTGTAGACGAAGCGTCATGGGGCAGAACTCTGTTAGAAAGTCGACAATTCGACTCCGCTGACCGACTGGGATTGATCTGCCCCAGAAGTCAGAATGAGAGCGACGGGTTGCATATATGGCACACTATTCCGATTATGTGGCTGACTTCGTCAAAATTCTCTCGGTCTCTTTTTCACCTTTGAGGTTTCGTCCATCAAGACGCCCGGTCTACAGACATGGTTTTCAACAACACCAAGACAGAATATTCGGAGGTGCACCAGAGTGACGAGGGGTCCGAAGGGGAAGGAACCTCAAGAATGCCGCCCCCGCCTGACCGCTTCACGCACTCTGCTTATCGCATGCTGATGGTATCGACCTTCTTGTGCTGTATTGTTTCTGTTGCAATTGGCTTCTTCTTGGGCACCTACGGCTTCAGCTTGGGTTCAAAGCAGACATCATGTGCCACGGAGCCGAAGAAGGTTGATTCTGCAACCGGGCTTGGCATGGCCACTATTGACGAGGCACCTTTCATCACCGATGGTATGTAATGAGCCAACTGATATAGGAATGAGAAGCTGACCAGAGTTGCGCAGTGCCACTCGTGCGAAAGAAGTTTGAGCACGACTCTTCTTACAACTTCACAGCCCCGGGGGCGAACCAGAAATGGCTCGATCTGATCTCATGTAAGTCCCATTCGATGCCGCCCACTTACTATTCAACTCTCAAGCGCGGCGTAATTCATGCTCATTATCATGCTACGTACCAGAACTGACTATAAGAAATGAAGTTGGCAAGCCTTTCGTAGCGCTGAATGACCCGTCCAAATATGGCCCCCCGGACTACTTCCACAAAGACGCTCTCCAACCCGAAGGTCTACAGCCCGTGGCCTGGAATGTTTTCCATCAGCTACATTGCTTGGTATGATTACACTTTAGAAGATTGCCTTGATATAACGTGCTGTCATAGCTCATATGCTTGTGAACAGGTTTGCTTCCGCACCACTTACATGAAGCTGGCTTTGGACCTGGACGGCGGCTACGATATTTGCACTCGCCAACATATTGAGCATTGCCTCGAAAGTCTTCGCCAGGTAAGATGATTGCTGAATTCTTGGGAAAGCCTCAACGGCCCATAAGATGACCTCATGCTGACGAGCTATACCCAGGCTACCATGTGTGCTGGAAACATGAACATGGAGCGATTTGAATTCATCCACTATCCAGGTCATGATGACTTTGTACCAAAGTTGGTCGGTCAGCACGAAATGCATACGTGTCGTGACTGGGACGCCATCAAGGGTGTTATCAAGAAGGTCAGGTCGGAGAACATTCCTGTGGACAAGTATGGCAAGCGCGTGCCGCAACCGTAACCTCGCCATACCTGCAAGATTGGCCTGCTGAACCCATCAAATTGGCATTCCAAGTACGATTCCTGTGAAATCACTGCACCGGTGTCAAAAATTGATTTCAGGAGAAGCCCTTTACAACTGAGGATGGGGCGGCGAGAAGGGCGTGACAGCTACTCGAGATACATGATGATCAGCGAGATCTATATGAAACTGACATTGTACTATTGTAACATGATCATTTATAGTAACTGCGTCATTGCAAAGTTTGGCATCCACTGAGATGGAAAGTTCCGCGTAATCTTGGCTTTCGCGTGTACATGATAACTAAAGGCCGTTCACCCTGGGCTTTGGATAACTGTTTCTCCGATTCTCGCTTGAATATCAACTGCCCGTTACGCGACTCAATCTGAGTATGAGCATGAGCATGTTACGATCCGTAATGTTCTCTCTTAATTCAGGAAAACCATTTTTGACATGACTAGAGGACATGATTCAAACATAATAGTCTTATTGAACCCTGACCCACGAACAAGGATTGAACATCGATGTCGACAGACCAGTCGATGCTTCAGCTTTCTTGCACAGGCATACTCGCCTGTCAGGGGAGCCTTCAAATAAGGTTCTTGTCACTTAGATGCCGCCGGGCCGACCGGTGAGATATCGATGGACTAACAAAGTATTTTATATTACTGTCAACCCCCGTCACAACTATCGTATACATAGTTTGCTTGGGTGATGCCACCCCGGCTCGGGTCTACACTGACCTCGCAGTGATTGCTAGACCCGAGCCCGACGCTATCGACACTTTGGTCTCTCCAGATTGAGTAATTGTCGCCAGCCCAAATGTTCAGATCCTTGGCTCCTGGCTGAGGAGAAACCATGAGCAAATCTCATCGCGTTTCTGTCGAACATTATTTGTGGATCTCCTTTACTCTTATGCTTCAGATCAATGAGTGAGTAGCTGGGCCGTATTGAGCTCGAACTCTCCGGTAGGATGCATTTGCCTCGATTCACAATGTGGTCCAGTTTCTGCTGGGTGATCAGCCTGATGCTATTCTCCTGGGCGCCGCCTCCGCCTCCTGGTACCAAGAAGCTAGATGGAGAAGATATCAGTGAATTTGACGATGCCGATGAGGGCCCCGTAGAAGTCGACAATGCTTTCAAGGGCGTGCTGTCGGACTGGAAGAAAGCAGAGCCCCTTGCTCGTGGGCTCTCTCGATGTTACTACGACACCCCAACGCATCCCCAAGCTCAAGGCCGTCGGCTCGCCATCAGCCTTCTAAAATGTCTCCGCGGTGGGCTTCTACTGGGAGGCTTTATCGAGCTGGCTGCTATGCTGACAGCCGCCCTCCCGCCCATTATCTTGCGTTGGCTTCTCGTAGCCTTACCAGAACCTACCAAAAACGTCAAAGTCTCAACAGCGGATGGGACTTTGCAAGATGAGCGGGAGAGCCACGACGCCCGGATGGCTCATAGTTACGCTCTTGTCGCAGCCATGGCACTCACACAGATGGCTGCTGGCATCCTCATCAACGCCTCGCGATACAGACTCGAAGGTGTTGGAGCCCAGGCAAAGGCTGCCCTCACGTACATCATCATGGACAAGGCCTTCCTGGCACCGCCCTCTTCAGCCGCAGTCGTCTCATCTCAAAGAGGCCAAGAATCAAAGAGAAGGGCAAAACAACAAATCTGGAGCTCCGGCGCCGTCTTCAATCTCGCATCCGTGGAAGCATCGCGCATAGAGGATTGTATCAGCGGTATCAACGCTATCTGGACTGTACCGGCTAGCTTTGTTCTCGCGATCCCCATGTTAGCCGCGAATGTAGACACTTCATCGCTAGGTGGCATGGTGGTCTTGCTCCTAGGCCTCCCCATCTTCGCCAATGTTGCTCTCCGCATCTGGGGCGAGCAAAAGGCTCTCAGCGGACTCTGCAGACGAAGAGCAGCCTGCACACAGCAAGTGATCCAAGGCATCCGCGGAATCAAACTCGCGGGGTGGGCTTCCCAGACCATGGTCCTAAACAAGTTGTGCGGGATGAGGGTGGTGGAGATGGTCACGGCAAGCCGATTATGGCACAACCGCGCGGTGCTCGAAGCGGCGTGCGCCCTATTGCCGACATTGGCCTCAATGGCGAGTCTCATCCTTTATGACACGCTCCACGAGGGCGTACCTGACCCAGCGAAGGCTTTCTCATCCTTTGCTCTGTTCTTAGCGCTCAAACCACATGTGAACCGCGCAGCACAGGCTGCAGTGCAGTTGCAGGACTTACTGGTGGGATGCCGCGCAATTGAGCAGTGGCTAGAGACGGAAGAGCCTGGGGAGACGATGGCGAAGTCCGCAGACTGGGCAGTTGACGTAGCTCAGAACACAGTGGTTTGCTGGCCAGCTACATCTGAAGATGGTGATTTCGTACTGTCTTTTGACACCAATATTCGGGTTGCGAAAGGTGAGCTAATAGCTGTCTGTGGCGCGCCTGAGTCTGGTAAATCATCTCTCCTACATGCAGTCGCAGGTCAAATGTGCCTTGATTCTGGCGCGTTAGATCTGGGCATCGGGTCAAAGGTGGCCATGGCTGGTCAGATACCATGGCTAAGGAGAGGGACGATCCGCAGCAATATCCTCTTCGACCAAAAGTTCGACGAGGTCAGATATTGGAAAGTGGTCAGCGCTTCGGCTCTCATGGGCGATACCGACAGAATGCCTCGCAGGGATCTCACAATTATTGGCTCTGGTGGCCAAGGTCTCTCAAGCGGCCAAGCTCAACGTGTCAGTCTGGCCCGAGCCATGTATTCGGATGCTGACATTGTACTCATTGACGACTGTCTCCGTAATCTTGACCCTGAAACCGGAAAGGCAGCGTTCGAAGGTGGCATTTGCAGCTTGTTGGAGAACAAAACGCGCCTCATCGCAACAAACCAGGCTTGGGTGGCCCGCCGATGTGACCGGGTGCTGTGGCTTGACAATGGACGTGCCAGCGAGCTGAGGTCTCTAGATAGACTTGAACAGCACTTACCATCCACCGGAACGCATGAGTCTCCTCAGACCAAGACGGCGCAACCGCTACCAGAACAGCCTTCATCGCATGCGGATGCGGTACAAGTAGCAGGCCCGACTACCACACGTGCCTCTGTTGTAACAGCACCACAAGCAGACACCAGAGTGCGAAAGTCCTTCGACTGGTACCTGGAACTCGTGGGTGGGCCAAGAGCAACGTCCACAGCAGCAGGCATTGTCTTTTGCTGGCAAGTGACCGCCGCCGGCCTAGTGATTTGGCTTTCACTGTGGACTTCTGATCGGTTGGGGCTGTCGGGTCTCACGTCAGTAGCAATTTTCGCTATGCTAGGATTTGGAGAGGCGATACTGGCGTATGTGCTGTGCCTGAACATCACCGGAAAGATGTTGCAAGCGAGCCATGGCTTGTGGGAGCGATCAGTGAGACGTGTGGTCGGATCACCCATGAAGTTCTTCCAAAACCGCTCCTTAGGAAGCATCATGGATCGCCTCTCCAAAGACGTAGATACGACCGATAGAGAGCTGATCGAGGCAACGCGTAATGCCACACTCCATCTGGCGCGCCTGCTGGGCGGAGTTGCCCTGATGCTGGCGATGCAGATCAACGTATGTACATTCCACGCGTTCATGAAAGATTTGTTCTCACGATGATTCCTCCAGCTTGTCGTCGTTGTAGTACCAGGCCTGGCTGCCGTCGTCGTTATGATGCGCCGTTACGCTCCTCGTTTGAAGACTGTTCGATCTCGCGAAGCTGAGTTACGATCCCGTGTAAACGCTGCATTCAGCGAGAGCGTGGACGGCGCTAGCTGCATCTCCGTTTACAAGGCCGAAACATCGGCTCGTTCTCTTCTTGTCCAACGGCTGAACGCTTGGAGCAGTATCCGCCTGCTTGCCGCCGCAAATCTACGCTGGCTTGAAGTGAGACTTGATGCTATTGTAGCCAGCACTATCGGGCTCACCGGTCTGCTTGTCGTGACTTCCTCAGCTTCGTTATCTCCATCCATCGTTGGCCTGATAATGAGTCAGGCTTTGGTACTACCGGCATCTCTACGACAAGGCATGAGGCTCTCTACGAGCGCCCTTCAGTCAATGGTTGCAGTTGACCGTCTTGCAGCTTATGCGACTAGTCTGCCTCGTGAGGGTGAGAATGAGCGTGCCTTGGAGTACCGCTTTTCTCTCGAGCAATCGTGGCCGAACTCCGGGGAGATAGTTGTTCGGAACGTGAGTGTCTCTCATCGTCAGGAATTCAGCCGGGAGACATCCTCTGCTTTGCAGCAAATGTCATTCAAGATCCCAGGCGGTATACATATTGCCGTTGTAGGTCCTACAGGTGGAGGTAAATCGACTCTTGTCGCCCTACTCCTTCGCCTACTCGATCCCACGATGGGCACGGTAACTCTGGATGGCATACCGATGATGGACATTCCACTACATGTCTTGCGGTCCCATCTCGTTGCAATCCCTCACGATGCCGTCTCGTTCCCCAATAGCACTGTCCGAGAGGCTGTCGATCCAAAGGGCAGCCATTCTCGTGAGGAAATCATTCGTATTCTCTCGGACTTGGAGAGGGTGGCCGGACTGCATAGTCAGGCACCTCTCGCACTCGACGAACCTGTTGATGAGCAGGTCGCTCAAGGGACAGGGAGGGCACAGTTGATAGCCTTGGCATCCATGATACTTCAAAACCCACGGGTATGCGTACTAGATGAGACACTCGGAGGACTAAGCGTCCAAGCGGATGTTGAAGTTACGAAGATGGTAAAAGAGGCACTGAGAGGCAGCACCATGATCGCCGTCACGCATCGCATGGAGGCTGCTATGCTTTTTGAGCGAGTACTTGTCCTTGATCAAGGCAGGATACAGGCTTATGGAGACCTGATGGATGTGTGGAATAAGAGTGAGTTTTTTAGGAAGGCATGTGATAGAGACGGAGTCACACTCGAGAAGATCAGGGGAGTTAGGATAGAAAATTAGGTGACAATAGTGATGGCCACCAGTCGACGATGTCAGACAAGAAGTCCTCGTTTTTTCAAGTATAGGAAGGTCATGTGCCACTTCAATCCATATGGCAAGGTACTTGATTTGCCTTTTAAGTATCGACCGCAAAAGTAAAGAAGCTGGGTGTCTACCTGTTCAGAAGCGTGCCTGTGTGGTGGTAATTAGTAGTCTGAGTGACAGGCTCCGAAGTAATCCCGACACCAGCCACACCTCGGTGAGACCCCAGGCGCCCCCGGACCTGTAGTGGGGCCGCATTGTTAGGAATGTGAGCCGAAGCTCCAGTCGAGAGTCCAACCCAGCCGACTACATCGTGGAGGGGCTGCATCCTTCTGCTGGCGACTCTGCGCGCGCAAATACACCTCCCGATTTTTTGAGGCGCCTTCCTCGATATTCGACCAACATCTTCCTTACACACATACATCATAACATGCGATAACTGAGGCCAAAGGCTTCATCACAGTCACCATGTCTGTGATTCTTTGCACAGGTGAGTGCTCTTGAGCCTCGAGGGATCTTTACCTCTTTCTCTTGGTCGACAAAGCCATTGGATTTGTCGCTAACCTTGTCCAAGCGGGTTACGACCACACAATCAGGTACGAAACGATTTGAAACTCGATGCCGACCGCTGAATAATTGGGTGTCTTTGACTGACACACCCCCGAATGCAGGTTCTGGGAGGCCCTTTCGGGCATTTGCTCCCGTACGATCCAGCACCCAGACTCCCAGGTCAATCGCCTCTGCATCTCTCCCGACAAGCGCTTCCTTGCCGCCGCAGGCCACCACACGGTCAAACTATACGATATCAAGTCGACGAACCCGAACCCGCTGCTTACCTTCGAGGGCCACACTGGCAATATCACCGGCGTCGCCTTCCACTGCGAAGGCAAGTGGATGGTGACCAGCTCCGAGGATGGCACCGTCAAGATTTGGGAGACACGCAGTGGCCAAGTCCAGCGCTCCTACAACCACGGCTGTCCCGCCAACGACGTCGTGATCCATCCCAACCAGGGCGAAATCATCAGTTGCGATCGCCAGGGCAGCGTCCGTGTCTGGGACCTTGCTGAGAACAACTGCTCCCACCAGCTGATTCCCGAGGAGGACGTCTCGGTCTCGAGCGTCACGGTCGCCAGCGACGGCTCACTGCTTTGCGCTGCGAATAATGGCGTAAGCTTCTCCCGATTACCTATAGATACGAAGTGCGACACCCGTACTGACGAGTAAATAGGGCAACGTATTCGTGTGGCAGCTGCTCCAGGCCTACGACCGAACCCAGCTCCTTCCGGTAACCCACTTCAACGCGCACAAGGAGTACATCACGCGCATTCTCCTCTCGCCCGACGTCAAGAAGCTCGCAACTTGCAGCGCCGATCACACCGCCCGCATCTGGGAGGTCAAGGACCTTGAGCCTGCCCCCGACCAGGAGCCTAAGCCGTTCCCGCTGGAGGCCACCCTCACGGGCCACCAGCGCTGGGTCTGGGACTGCGCGTTCAGCGCCGATTCCGCCTATTTGGTGACGGCCTGTTCCGACCACTATGCCCGGCTCTGGGAGCTTCACAGCCAGCAGATCATTCGCCAGTACAATGGTCACCACAGAGGCGCCGTCTGTGTCGCCCTCAACGACTACTCCGAGTCTGCTAGATAACGATTTTGGGAGGGGTTTACTGGGAAGGACACGTCTGCGTTGGTTGGTTCATTGGTCTACAAAAGGCTTTTTCTTCAATCATGGCTTGTAACTTTTCTTCATTATGACTTTTGGGGATTGGGTTGGCGGGGCGTCCGGGACAGTCCTTTGTATCGCATTCACAGATGAGGCTGCGGCCGTCTGCATTACAAATTCTCAATTGGCAGGCTTTACTGCTACATGAACATTACTTGCAACATCGTGGTATCCCGCACCCCTTAACGCCGTAAATGCTGCAAACTTTGTCTCGTCTTGCTGCGATTATCACCTACCATCCATCTCCCCAGCCTTCATCGTCATCGTCGTCCTTCGGCTTCATGTCGATCTTCTTCGCTACTACAGGCTTAGCAGCCGGCTTCGACACCAGAGGCTTCTTCGCTGCTGTTGTTGACGACTTTGAGAGGCCCTTTGGCAGCGGCTTGCTTCCTCCGGTCTTCTTCTGGGATTGCGCCGCCAGCCAGCCAGCGAAATCTGGCTCTGCACCGTCGTCGAATGGAGTTGCGCTGGCCGTAGTTGCCTTCTTAGCCGACGAGCTGCTGTTGGCGGTTGGCTCTCCCCAACTGTCATCGTCTCCCAGATCGCCCCAAGCGTCTCCGCCGTCGTCCGCAGGTTCCGGGTTGAAGGCGTCTGCCACGACCGACGACGGCGTTCGCGACATTGGCGGGGGGGACTTGACCGCCTGGCGATGCAGAGCCGAGGCCGAGGAGGTGGTCGGCCTCTTCGCGTCGGGGCCTGGCGATGGGGTCGGCTTGGGAGATGCAGCGCCTGAGCCGTTAGAGGTTTGCATCTCACCGTTCGCAGTCGAAATCTTGTTGGTGAAAGAGGAGATGGCCCATCCGGCCCAGGATGCTGCCGAGGCCTCGTTGGGTTGGGGAGTGCTCATGCGAGGTCCGCCGGCGCCTTCTGCAGCCTGAGGAGGCAGAGCGGTTTCTGGCATGTTGGAGGCGGCCTTCCTGACCTGCTTCAGGTAAACGTCCATGGTCTTGCTCGCCTGGTCACGGATCACCTTCTCCTTGTCAATCAGCAATGGGCAGACCGCGGGCATTATCCTCAAAGCCACATCCTCATCGGAGAAGCAATCCCCTGTGACGCCGAGGGCCATCAGCGAGGCATTTCGGGCATGCACAAATGGGTCACGCAGGGACCTGGTGAAGGCAGCGATGAGCACCTTGGCTCTCGAAGATGTTCCAAGGTTTTTGGCAATCTTGCCCAGACAAATTGTGGTGTTTGTTCGAATGCCCGGTTGTTCATCGTTTGCCGCCTTGGCGAGGTACTTGAGCAGCTCTCCGTTGATGGTGCGATCAGACAACTTCCCAATAATGACTAAAACCGACTTCAAAGTCTGTTCTCGGACAACTGGCGCCACGTCTGTGAAGCCAGTGACGAGCTGTGGGAAGATCTTGTCGTTGACCACTTTTTGTGTTAACCGATCGATCATCAAGGGCAGGCTATCGAGAAGGCAGACGCGGATCGCTCGATCGGGGTTGGCGAATAACCGGATTACGACGGGTGTGATTTTTGAGTCAAAATCCTCGTTCGAAAGCTTGGCTGCAATTTTCATTACGACACTGAAGGCCTTCGGGCCGCCGCCGCCAAACTCAACTGACTTTATGAGCTCCGGGAGAATCTTCATCTTGAAGAAGTCTTCGGGGAAGTCGTCCGTCAGTTGATCAAGATCACTGTATGGGTCAGTCACATGCTCGACACACTCGACATCAAAGGACCTACTCGAGGAATGCCTCTCTCTCACTCTCGGTCTTCACACCGAGATTCTCGATTCCTTCTGTCAGTTTGATCAAGGGGCTGTCGAAAAAAGATCCACTCCGTTGACCTTGTTCTAGGAAATGGCCAACGCTAACACGCGCCTTAGGGTTTGGGTTGACGAGACGCTTGTAACTTTGTTGCATGGTCGGAGGAATGCTCTTCGTCTGCCCGGCTTGATCAGAGCCCATGAAGTCGCCGTTGAAGACTTCGAATATCATACATCCGAAACCAAATGAGTCCACTGCGGAATGCGGGCTCTTCTTGATGGCATCCCAACCACCACGAGCAAGCTCAGGCGGCGCATATCGCCCTGAATCTGGGACCAAGCTACCGTATGTCTAAGCCTCGATGTCAGTAAACGTGTTGTCCAAGATCAGGAAGGAATACCTACGTAGATCACTGCTTCGTCGTCTTTCACGTTGCTCAGAACCTCAAACCCGCTCATCTTCCACTCCCCACTCTCAGATGTGTACACAGAGCCAACCCTTAGGTTGCCGTGTATTGATGAAGCCTCATCATTGATAAATTTGATGGTGCGCTAAGGGGCGATTAGTCTCTCCCCCCACTCAACCATATTATTATTCCAACATACCGCAACGCTGCTCAATCCCCATTTTATCGTTTCTGGTGTAAGGCTCTTTCTCTTCACATGCCATCGTAGAGGCACAACTCGCTCGGTCGCAATGTAGATGTATGTATCGGTCTGTATAGTCTTGTGAGACAAAGCTCCGTGTAAGGTAGTCAAGGGCCACTCTTACCTCCACGGTATCCAACACCTTGATGACGCCTGGGTGTCGTAAGGTCCTCAGCTTTCGCAGTGCGTTCTTCGCCAGGGGTAGTCGAGACTTGTTGGCGGCAACATCAAAGGAGAAAATACTGCAGTTGGAACCGTCTTCCTGTCAAGGGGCGTTAGATGTTGGGCTATCGATTGCGTCGTCGGGTAGCTAGACATACTCGCTTGGTGCCATTGTTCAACGTCCATATGGACTCGTCGATGTCCACCTTGTCGCCAAAGCTATAGGGAAACGGTGGCCCCTGTGCAATGGCAGAGGCCACTGCTGATTTGAGGAAATTCATCTTTCTTTGCCAAATCCGAGGGCGTATTCAGGAAGCCAAGATCTGGTCAATCGGCAACTGTTGGTCCCAAAATTGTAGATTTGGCGGAAGGGGCAACGCACGCGCTGCGAGTGCTGAGGTTGGCAGGGAGCTTCGGGCAACTTGGCGACAAGATAGTGGACCGTTGACACTGGAACAGGGGACCACGGGCAGCAGCTCATGCCTGAAGATCCCCGCGCTAGGCTATTTTGGATGGAGGGGTGATACGGGTGACAAATGATCCGTTCGCCGATGTTTTGGGTGGGCCCGGATGCAAATCGACGGTGCCCCGTCAAGGTCGTTCCGTCTGTTAACGAAGCTAGGCAAGGATTACCCCGAGGCTCTCCAGTGAATTCAAGCAAGCGACCTTCATCAACCTCCACTGAACGCAACGCGAGGCGAGAGCCTCAGCAACCCGACCAGCCTTGCGACTCGACAAAAGCTTGGTTTACCCTGAGCATTCGCGCAGCTACGAAGAGAAACTTGATCACAACTCTGCGCTCACAACAAGACTCAATCATTTTCACTTGACTTCAACCCGGTCCCAAAGCTATTCTTCTTCCTAACCCATGCCAAAGTGTCGTGCGTTGGCGGCCGAAGGCGCGACTCTGAGGGAGCAGGCGGTTCTCCAACGGGTAAGTGCGATTTTGCTTCTCTAGACCTTTCATATCCTTCCCCAACCCCCAACACACATTTCTTACGCGCAGTGATGACTACTGGTAAAAGGTCCGATCGAAAAGGATTCTTCTGGGTTTGTTGTCTCATCTTGTTACCGTTCAATGGCCGTTCTTGATGAATGAGCCACGTCCTCATCCTTGCAAGGCTTTCGCCAAGCGAAAAGCATACGCGACGAACGGAGCTGCTTAAAGAATGCAGTGTACCAATCCAGGATCGAGAAACGACATAAACATGACCTCATTTTGGAGTTCTGCTACTAGTTACCCAAACGGAGTAGGACCAAAGGCTCAGGAAGACAAGTAAAATGGTTCAAGATGAGACTACGAACCCGCTGCGGTCCCCAATATGAAGACCAAAAAGACTGAAAAGACCTGAGCGCACACTTTATTTCTACAACTGTCATCATTTGGCTCCAACTCGTTTTGCAGGACATTCCGGGTCCCGTCTAACGTCAGGTTGAACTTTAAGCTAACCTTACTTCAGTAGAACCCCCCTGTCGTGCACCTCTGGCCACCTAATCTCCAAGTCCCAGACCATGAAGACTAAGGAACCCATCCTCACTGTGTACTTCTTGCTCGACACGTTGTTCTGAATTCGAATTGGGACGCACTACTCAGCTGAACTTTTGCCAACGGTTCTCTGAGACACTCAAATATCCAATCTTATCAACGTATCTTCGTTGCCTTCAGCACTTGGGCAACGGCCTTTCGTCCTTCAGAGCAGGTCTGGCTAGGCAACAAGGCTTCTGAGACTCACTAACCCCGACTCTGCGTCCGTGGAAACCCATCTTTCAGCAAGTTGATACCATCGAGACATCTTCATGAAGAACCAGGCCCCTAGGAGATGGAGTCCCTTGGTCAGCAGTCTACAAAACGGTGTGCGGAAGACGGGTGCGATTCCAATGCTCTTAATGGGATTCTTTGCCTACGCCATCAAGCAGAAAGGAGGATTGCTCGAGCCAGTGCTGCGCATCTTGCTACCGGCTCATCTGGACGCGCGCCCTCAAGGCCCTCAGTGGTGCAGAACCCATCGCAGAACATTGGGCGAGCTAGGCATGACGACCAGTCGAGAAGCAGCCAGTCCCATTCGCGTGGCACGGATTTTCGAGACGAACCAGTACACGCTTCTCAGGGCGCCTATGCCACTGTCAGAAGGACGAATCTGCCGCCAGATCTCATGGGAAAACTGGCAATGACAGCCAGAAAGACAGCTAGCGCAAAAGCTCCCCCCAAGAAGCGCATGGAAGAAGAGACTCATCCAAGGTTCCACACTACTTCTGCGCAAACTCACACTCCTGAGTCTGTCTCACCAACTAACCACGAAACTCTCCCTCCTGGCACGTTCAATCCCTTTCGGCCACTTCTTAATCAAGTGCATTCGCCATCACAAGACCAGACGAAGCGATTATCTGGCAGTACCGATCCAAACCAGCGCGTATCGCAGACGTCTGCAGTCGTCGAACAGGTGCAACCCAGGGGAAAGAAGACGTGGGGATACAACTCGGCACGGGCTTCTTCAGGGGGATATCGACCCGGTCAAAGCTCTCGAGCATCTCAAGAGTCCGTGACGATGCCGGGCACTAAGAATGCATCGCATGCCACTCGCGATTCGAGCACCCGGCCGGATACTGAAAGCCACAGAAGTCAACTTGGAGGAAGGACTTCCATTGCACCATCGACATCTACGCTATCTGGAAACAGAAGCTTCGATTCGCTGCCTCACGTCAGTACTAAGAGTCTGCCGCCAATGCATGTGAAATCAGCGCCATCGGCATCACGATCAGCTTCCACAAGCAGATTCACGTCTTCGGCCGGCAAGCGGAGAAGGCTTGACAGTACTGACACAACATCCGAGTCATCGTCGTCATTCAGCTCTTCTGATGGTGATCTTGATGACGATGATGACGAGATTGATGACAGGGCTCCAGAACAGGCAAAGGTAGTCATTGGGCATCCCCGTTCGTCCACTTACCTCGGAGCCACAGCAACTTTGGATACTTCACAATCCACATCTTCTTTGGGACTTCCTGGTGCCAATCTCGAGGCGTCACGTCCACGTTCTTCGACAAATGAGGATGCCACTCGCCTGGGTGCCGTGTTTAGGCCCATTGTGCTCAGCTCTTCCTCTGACGAGGACGAAGATGGTAGACGGGAGAGAGGTGGGAGAATACGGCAGCCAAAACTTGCCAACGGGCAGAGTCGTAATCACGTCCTTTTGCCGAATGGCACACTTCGACAAGGCTCGACACGAGGGAGGGCCGACCAGCAGAATCGCAACCAACAGGATCTGAAGTCCAGTTTCTCTCGCAAAACGAAGAAACTGACCTGCGAACAGCGTCGACTCCAGCTTTGCGCTGACTTTGAATTCACCAAGTTCGACGCCATGATATATAGCCAGCCCGACGCCACGAGACCTCCTCTGGGGGTGTATACTCTGGCTGCGCCAATAGAGACCTCGAAAGGAGCCTCGACACCTGGTGCAGATGATGGCCGCTTCCATATGAAGCTTGACCCTCGCATCCATTGGCCGCATAATCGCAGCGACCAGTGGTACAAGTCGAAGATGGAGGAAATCAAAGCCCGAGGTGGCCGTAAGGCAAACTTCGGCAAAGCAGCTAAGCGCATGCGACAGCAGCGTTTGGCAGAAGAGCGCCAGGAAGAGGAAGATAAGTTGGCCGTCGCGAGGGGCGAGCCACGGCCTTGGTCGCACCATAGACACATGGACTTCGGCGATGTCCCTGAAGAGGAGTTGCCAATCTATGTCCGCAGGAATGAGGAGTGGGTGCGGGGAGCGGCCTGGATGCGCAAGATCCATGAAGAGAGTCGGCAGAGGGATGCTCGTCGTGCCGCTGAGCTCTTCAAGGAGCATCTCGCCTCAAATGGTCGGTGACCTGAAGTACGATGATCAGTGCAGCCGATTAAGGGCTGCAAGTCTGTGTCACTCTCATCTTTACGAGGCATGGGAACAGCGACAACGGGACTGGGAATGCTCAGCATGGAGTTTGGTCTGCTTTTCGTTTCCTTATCCTATTTCATATCGATGATACCTTGATCTCGCCGTAGCCCGGCTAGGTCTACACGCATAATTTCGGAGTTGTCAGGAATGGTATGTGGGAAACATACCTCCTAGGCCGTTGCGAACTTACCTTGAGGCGGGATTGTCTGGTCTTTCCGCCATGATTATAGCAGTTGTTAATCATGGCCTGAGTAGTACATAGACCACCTACGAAAAACAGGACTTTAACACTCTCCGAGTTCCAGTGTCCATCCAGTGACCGTCGTCGTCTTCCAGTATTGTTTTTGCAGTGGAAAGTTCAAGCAGAGTGTGAGAAGATGGTTCTGACCTTACTTGAACATGAGACGAGTAGGTCGAGTGCGTGCCCGCCTTCGTGATGGGGCCTAGTGTTTTAGGCTTCTTTGGGCTTCCAACTACCTACCGATATGGCGCATGAAGCTCCATCCATTGGAATTTTGGCCCAAAAAATGTCTTGTCGTTTCAAATCACGACTTTCTGACATTACAAAAGAAAAACGAATCGTTTCCTGGTGGGAGACATCGGCTTCTTGCAGTTCCAGCCCCCAAGCACTTGTATTCGCTGCTCGCTAGCAGTACATTGCATTGCGATCCACCCTGCGCTTTGAGCAAACTCACGTTTTGCTCCGGGACTCACACTTCAATCTTTCCAAACCTGCTCGCTGCTTGCCTGACAATCCACGAGACTGCAGCGCAACGACCAACATCCCGCCCGCTCGCAAGTATATCTTCAATCCCATTGGGAGTAAGCCGACAGCCTCGTCATGGCGTCTACGCAGCTTCCCCTGGAGACCCTCTCCACCTGGGCCATGTTCAATGACGTAGACCTCGTCGACGTCGAGGCCCGCGAAATCCCCGGCTGCGGGCTGGGTCTACTTTCGAACAAGGAGCTCAGTCGAGAAGAAGAGACCTTTGACATCCCAACCTTGCTCAGGATTCCAGGCGAGCTGGTTTTATCCGCCGAAGCTGTTGAGAACTATGCAAAGGTCGATAAGAACTTTCGGCAGCTGCTCGAGGCTGCCGGTCACAAGGTAGAGTGTTCGCCCGAGCTTGATTCGGACCTTGAAAAGCTAAGGGATTACCCATCTTCTCAATGCAGTCTACTCGACATGACGTTTGCCTCTTTCTTCTCACGCAGAAGGTACTTTCTGATAGGCCCAAGACGTCTCTGAAGGGCGGAGTCTCGACGCCATGGACAGAATACGTCAAGTACCTGCCGCCGCAAGTTCCTGTTACCACCCTCTGGACTGAGCAGGAACGCGAGATGTTGAATGGAACATCACTTGAGGCAAGTACTTCTCCAGCCTCCCTTCTCCAGTGCCCACGGCCTTCCCTGGAAAGCAAATACCGGCTGTCGTTGAATTAGGCAGGTTTGGGTCCAACTTCCGTATTTAACAATAATCAATATTGCTCCCCAAATTTCGTGGAATCATTCTCATATGAAGGTCTACTTCTTTGCCAGCCAAGTGTTGCGGCTAAGGGAGATGCAACCGACGTTACGAAAATTTCAGCTATTGCTAATGGATCACGTTCTAACAAGAAGTAGTCGGCCACGGCCGCCAAGATTGTTGCGTTGACAGACGAGTTTGACGAGCTCCGAGAGATTTCTGCGACTCTACCATTCTGGAATGAGCTGTTTTGGGAAAGCGACAAGGTGTCACTTATTGACTGGGTTCGGGTTGACGCGTGGTTTCGGTCCCGATGTCTGGAGCTCCCCAAATCAGGGGAGGCCATGGTCCCGGTGCTAGACTTGGCGAATCACTCATCGAAGGCCAATGCCTATTACGAGGAGAATGACAAGGACGAGGTAGTACTACTTCTGCGACCCGGCTGCAGGGTCTCGTCTGGGGACGAGATGACGATATCCTACGGGGACGCGAAATCCGGGGCAGAGATGCTCTTCAGCTATGGGTTCATTGACCCCGCGTCAGCCGCCGACCGGATCACGCTACCCTTGATACCCATGGAAGACGACCCGCTGGGCAAGGCGAAGCTGCACGTCTTTGACGGAGCACCGACTGTAGAGTTTGTCCGGACGAATGGCTCACTCAGCTGGAAGAGCCCCTTTGCCTACTTCATGTGCCTCAACGAGGAGGACGGCCTGTCATTTCGCGTTTTGCAGGACACCGGAGGTTCACGGGAGCTAAAACTATTCTGGCAAGAAGAGGATGTGACCGCGACGACAACGGCTTTCGAGCAACACATCGATCAACACCCCCTGGCTCAAATCTTTCGTCTTCGGGTTGTTTCCGTTTTGGAGGATCTGGTGGCCAGCCAGCTTGAGCGACTGGCTACCGGTATGTCTCTGGAGGACCTGGACGAATCCCTGAACGAAGGTGGTCTCGTCTGCGGGACATGCATCATTGCAGCTGCAACACTGAGGGAGCAAGAGACGAGCTTACTAGAAGCTGCCGTGAAGGCTCTAGAAGACCAGGTAAGTGGTTTGCTACTCTTCATCGCCAGTCTCCTGTCAGTGCCAGGGCTGCAGACGAATCTTACGATTCTCTGCCCACTTCACTCCACAGTCTTTCTGCTTCTCAAAGTCCTGCAATCCTTCTATTTTTCTCCTACAATTCGATTACCCCGGGCCCCGTCTTAACTACAGACTTCCCCCGCGTGTGGCGCCAAGGCTAACAAGGGTGGGCAATGTTCCCCAACCGTGCAGAAAACACAACTGCTCGCAGACGAAAACGTGGTGGCTTATCTCGGGTCGATGGAAGATACCCAAAATGACCTAGTCCAAGACGAGATATCCAATGAAGATGAAGACTTCAGTTAGGGAGGGAGGGACAGGCGAAGCCAGGCGGCCGGGTCGATCCATTCGGCAGTCACATCCTCGAGCGTAGACTCAGTCGCGGCGGTGCCCATCTGGGGCATAGCACGCCGTTGCGAAGCATGGCGATGAGCGGTTGCAGCAGAGACCAGACCATGGAGCAATGCAGGCGACCTTATTCATGAAGTTTGAGCTTGTTCGTAACTAGAGTGCTTTACTACTTTGACATCTTATCCTACGAAAACCACGGAAACCCATCAAAACACCACCCTTACACGGGACAGAACAATGGCTTGTACAATGGCAGTTGAATGCAGCACCCAACATCCGGATGCCCCGCGTTTGCCTGAACGATGCATATCTGATAATGGGGGCGATGCCATCTCACGGAGTTTGACAACAATACTCGATAGCCATGGTGCCGCAAACGGACGCCATCTGCATTTCTAGAAGAAGGCCGAAGTGATCCAGTTTCTTCGCCGGCATGCGCGGAACGCCCCGAAGACTCCTCATTACACCGAGCAGCGTGAGGCTCGCCGAGGCTCAGACTTGGCGGGCGGACGACAAGTTCATGGCCTCACCTAGGTGCAACGGAGATCGACGTAGGTGGGCCATATCCGGAACGGACCTCTGGGACTCGAATTTTGCTCAATTTGGTCCGCGACGTGACATTCTGCGCTTCTTGGACTTCTTGAAGACGAGGGCAGGAAGAAACACAACAGGTGCATTTGGACAGGGAGCGAGCGACGGGGGATGCCACGCCGAGCAGCGGGCGCGTGTAGGAGATACCCTGGACCATGTCATCGAATCGAATCTCGGTGGCTTGTCAGCGGGGATGCAGCTTGCGCCGATTGGGTTTCGCCCTGGGCCTCTTGCATGAACGAAATATCACGATGAAGGGCGGCAATCGGGTTATCCACGGTACGCTTTATGGGGTAGAATTTCCCAACACAACACAACGACCCTTACGAGTTTGATGTTCCTGTTGTTCCCGGCACCTGCAGCTCAACGAATGTCTACGATAAGGGATACGTGCATCATCAGTGCGGTGTCAGCGTTCCAACGTGCGATTACCAACGATGTAGCGTAGGGAAGGGATTGCGGAATGAGGGATAGAGAAGGAGCACCACTCTTCAGCAATTCGATCTTTGACTAGGTGAATGCCACAGGGGACGCTCAAACAGGAATTCTTCGAAAATGAAGAGTCAAGACAAAGTAAGAAAGTGGCGTGCTTTGCTCAACTTCGCTTGTCTCGTGTTTCGGCCTGCCTTGCGGACATGGCAGGAGGCGTTGATTCATCCGATCCCGTTATTCGTTAAATGATCTCTTTTTTGCCTTTCGACACAAATACCCATATCATCTAGGATGGGATTGTCTGAAGTTGACGAGACAAGTCCGCTTTCCGAACAGGGCCGAATGTTGTTTGGAGATGCTGAGAGTTGCCCAATCAACAAAGGACAGCACGACAAATACTCGGAACAGGCAAACTCGCACATTTGCGATGTCGAGCATTGAGCACGCGAGCATTCGAGACTGTTGCTGCATTGTGCCTCCTTGAGCCTCGACTCCTCGAAGGACAGTTTTCAGCTTACAAGTTACAGGTACCGCTGACCCGAAGCCCGGACTGAAGTGAAGTGGGCCCGCCCGAGAACGGCGCGGAATGCGGGCAGGGGATAAAGTTTTGCAATTGCGGTTCCGCAAAGATAGCGTGGTTTCCTTCCATCCCCAACGCCAACGGCGTCGACGGTGTGACACGTTTGGATGGGGGGATCCGTTTTTGGCGGACTCACGATTACCGACTAGCTGGCGCCAGTTTCAATATCAGCGGGTCTTTTCATTGCATCACAGAAGCGTCACTCGAGTCAAGACGTCGGGGACTCGGGCGCGTTCAGACTTCAAAGCAACATCGGGGCAGTCAACTATCTCGGAATGTGTTGGACCCTGTCTGGTCGAGCCAAAACCGGAGGGCAGTGTCTGGTTGTCGTCGCAACATATACATTGGATTCCGGGCCGATTTGATGATGATGACGGCTGTCGGTCAGTGTAAGAGCTCAAGAGGTTGTGACGTGAAAACTAGGCGTCATTTCTCAATGATGAATTGCCAATAGGTGCCGACAGGTCTCGAGACAGCGAAAATCCCGTCGATCGCAAAAGGTCCGGTGGTTTAGTTGCGGCTCGTCTGTGTTTATTGGCTGCTCACCGCAAGGTCGGGCCCAGTATTGACGACTAGGTATCACTGCCGCGCACGCTCAGACTCGATAGGCCTTGAAGAGCGCTGCAGAGGTGAAGAATTGGTCCAGTTTGCGTGGCAGGCGTGGGCCAAGCAGCTTTCGTCCTAGGCGGCGAATCATTGGGACCACCAGTAACGAGGAAGCGATCGTCGACTGGGGGTGATCCAATCCGATATGGATATATGGCGATAATGGGGGGCCCCGGAACCAGTGTAACGGCAACGGGGGCCATCCCCCGGATTTCTCCCCCAGTTTCCTGTGGCCTGCGCCCCAGTTCGAACCCCAGGTGCCTCCCTCCTTTTCCCCAGGGCCCAGTGAGCTGTTCCTACTTTTGCCGAACGTCGAATTGGCAATCCTGTCTAGGTATCTGTGGTTTCTTTGTTCCCGAATCTTGTTCTGGAGGACGAAGGGATCGAGAGGTCGAATCTGGGGAAAAGGCGAGATGGGTGGTGGCGGAAAGGAGTGGTTGGTCGGGTTGGTTGGAGCGAAGCGGCATGAAGCATGGAATGGACGACTCGCCAGGAGACGCTTGCGCATGACACTGGGCTGACAACGGAGCGGAAACTCTGGGGGCGGATCCGCCCCGCGTCCAAAATGGTCTAGAGCTTTTCCTTCCGTCAGGTTGCCGTAGGCGCCTATTGACTCTTGGGTTCTCTGGAGAGACCGGATAGTCTAGAGACAGGATAGCTGAAGTTGGGAAAGTGGTCTGCTGCTTCTAACGACTCGGGTGGTGCCATATCTGCGTCTGCTCAGCTGCCTTTAAAGGGCTGAATCGCGAGATGAAGAAAAAAACGCTGGTTTTCAGAGACACGGTACGATGGCAGGACAGGCCAGCGAGTGTTGACGCGGGGCATTGTGCTTTGGCGACGCTGTCAGGCTACGGGCACAACAGCAGACCGGCACACATCGTGTCGTCGCATGGCGTTGATGGACACGTTTATTGTGGCGGGCAAAAGTGTAGTGGTGTGCTTCTGTTCTGCTTCTGGCTTCCATTCTGGCTGGCGCGTGTCTCTAGAGCTTAGATCTTGTCAGTCATCGAGTGCTGGCTGGCCACCTTCTGCGGTACCTCCCACCTCACCAAGCGGCCATATCAGGAAATGTACCTTGGTAGACCTCAGAAGCGAAGTACTCGTACTTCACTCTACGGTCTAGCGAGCTGGGTGGTATACAATTGCCAGTTGGTGATTGGCTCCCCCTCACTCTGGTTAGCGTGCATTTGTATCGTTTCCCACCGCACCCCAACTTTTTCCCAACACCAGCGCCGGCGCGAGGGCCGCCCGGCAGACCCCGGGCTGCCCTTCCCCCAGATTTCTGTACTTTCAAGGGCCCCTCGCTTACACTATGTACATACACAGCAAGGCACTGGCCAGCGATGCAGGGCAGATTATCCAGTGCGAGAGCCGGCCCGGGGCCCACCAAAACCTCCCGTTTCCTCAGGTACTTTTCTCTCCACAGCGGCACCTCACCAGAACCAGGAGCAGTAAGGTACCTCTGCTCAGTGTAAGTAGTTGACGGGACGGCAGGCATAAGCTCACCAATTCTGTTCATTCCAGTAAAGAAGCGGAAGGCTGTTTCTCCTGTAGCTTCTTGGTTCATCCCTGGTCCCGCACATCGTCCACGGGGTCTTGTTCTAGGTAGGTGGTACTGTACTTGTGGCCTAGTGTACCTAACCTAAGGCAGGCAGGTACTTTACCGTCCCCATCTCCCCACGATTCATCTTGTACCGCGTTCCTAGCAGCAAATCCTTTCGGTGTGGTGTCCTGCGTCCAGCGGCCAGCGTCCAGCGTTCCCAGTCGTGGTGTCCATTTTGCTACTAAGAGACTCCACCGTCTCACCTCCCTATCCCCCACGACCATCTTCCACTTCTTCTTTCCCTTTTTCCCTCACACACACCCCCCGACTCCGCCATCCCACCCAGCATCTCTACTGCTCTTCGTCTTGTTCGACCTTACAATTCATTCTACCTATTATAGGTACTGCTCACCCACCGCTTCCGAGTTGTCGAACACACCAAATCTCCACTCTTCTTCTTTTTGTGTTTCTGCTGTCATCTTTGCCATCTTAGTTGGCAAGATCGGTGTTCTCGTGGACCTGCTTTCTTAGTCACCAAAGATACCAACTACCTACAACAATCCCCAACGAAGACGACGATTTACGAAACCACTCGCCCATCACTCTGAAGAGGACCCATGATTCATCTTTATACAAATACTCAACCAACCGCGCGCCCGTCCAGATTCATCAACCGAGCCTACCAGCGACGAATCTAAAGAACAGCAAAAAGCCAGCGCCGGAGCCCCCGAGAGGCTGACCTAGTCAACGCCAGTAGTCCGCCTTGAGTTGCCTATCACCGGATAAATCACCAAGAAGGAACATCTAAACGTAGAAAACAGAGGGAACCACCGCCACCATGCCTGGAATATTACCCATGAAGGTGATCAAGGTGGGCACCAGCTCGCAAAGCCGCATAGCACAGGCCTGCGACCGGTGCCGGAGCAAGAAGATTCGTTGCGATGGAATCAGGCCGACATGCTCGCAATGCTCCAACGTGGGCTTCGAGTGCCGCACAAGCGACAAACTGAGCCGTCGCGCATTCCCCCGCGGCTACACAGAGTCTCTCGAGGAGCGCGTGCGTCAGCTGGAAACTGAAGTCAGGGAGTTGAAGGACTTGTTGGATGAGAAGGACGAAAAGATTGACATGCTGTCGAGAATGCACGGAAACCACAGCCACACGACCATGCGCAGCCCTTCCGTCGCGACATCGGCGCATTCACCCGCGTCGGCATCAGACGGAAGAAAGGATGCCGGGGCGCCGGCCAAGGAAGATACTTTCCGCGTGCAGGCGTCGCCATTATTACTGGGTGTCGAGAACTCGGATTCATACTTCATGGGCCCTTCCAGCGGCCGTGCCTTTATCGGTTCGTACCGCCCTTCTTATGCGCGTACCCGTTCATCCCGCCTCCCGGAGTGGCGGTCCGAGCGATGTGGATATAGACCAACGAGCTTTTTGGCTAACAAGGAAAATAGAGGCTTTCAAGCGCAAGATGCAAGAAAATGGCAAGTCATGCTCGGATTTCAACCCGGAAGCATTTTTGCATATCCAGGGGTGCCATCCCTTGACACCAAAAACGCCTGATCAGTCACTCAAAGTGCCGCCGCGTTTGTTCTCAGATCGCTGCGTCAACGTTTACTTCCAAGAGTGGGCTCCCTTATTCCCAGTCTTGCACAAGCCGACATTCCTCCACATTTATGAGGAGTTTGTATCAGACCCGGAAAAGGTGAAGAATAACCACAAAATCGCCCAGCTGTACCTTGTCTTTGGCATCGCGGCATTGGGCAGCGACCAGCCCGATCTCGAGCAGATCGCGGCGTGTGAGCAACAATGGCAGCGAGCTGTCGAGGCTGTCCTTATGGAAAACACCATGGTCACCCTGCAATGTCTCGAGTTGGCTCTGCTGTACTGCATCGTGAGAGCGGATTACAAGCGCTTGCAGCACTACAAGGGCATTGCGGTGGGTTTGTCCCACCGCCTCGGCCTCCATCAGAGCCAGAAACGCTTCTCCTTCGGCGCGCTCACTATCGAGACCCGTAAGAAGGTGTTCTGGACTCTGTACACATTGGATTGGTGAGTATTATTACCTCAAAATAATGTTGGAACATTGACTAACAGCTGCAGCTTCTCTGGTGCCATTCTTGGACTGCCGAAACTGCTCAAGGAGGATGAGATTCACACTGAGTATCCTTCAGACACAGACGACGAGTACGTCACAGAGAAGGGCTTCCAGCCAACGCTCCCTGGCGAATACACCCGCTTGTCGAGCGCGCTCGCCCTCTTCCGCTGTTGCCGAATCCTAGCCAAGGTGATGGAGAAGAACTATCCCGCCGCCACTTCTCACGAGTTGTCGCTGCAGTCAATGTCTGCCATGGAGGCTGAGCTCGACGAATGGAACGAGTCACTCCCGACACATCTCAAGCTTACCTTTAAGCAAGATAAGCCTTCGACCGATGTAACCGGAAGCCGGTCGCCATTGCTTGCTCTTGCCTACTACTACACCAAGATCCTCATCTACCGTCCTGCCGTTGGCTCCTCGCTCGGTCGCAAGGCCGCGCCTGCTTTGATCTCCATCGGCGAGTCCAGCAAGCACGTTGTTCAGATCGCCCAACTGCTCGAGGAGCGCAGCATGACCTTCTCCTTCTGCCTCAACAAGACGGACACTCTCGTTCTCTGCGGCATGACCCTCATGTACCAGAGCTTCGAGCTCAAGCCGGAAAGCAAGATGCTAAAGGACGTCGAGCGCCTCGTCAACAGCGTCCTCCATATTCTCACAAAGGCCAAGGCACCTGGCTCCTTCGATCTCAAGCGTGTGGCCGGTCTGCTCATTCGACTCGACGAGCAGAACCTGCCCACTCCGCCACAAGAGACATCCGAGGCATCCGCGTCCATGCCCGCACCGCAAAGGGCTTCGCCGCCTGCGCCAGCGATCAAGAAGAAGTCTCCTCAACGGACTCTGGGTCGTCTTCCGAGTGCCGCTGCTAGCGAGAGTGACTTGATTCAGCAACAGGAGAAGATGCGCCGGATGACCATGCCTAGCATCCAGAATCGCCCAGAACTTTACCGTTCCCGTTCGAAGCCGTCATTTGACAACTTGCAACAGCAACAGCAGCAGCAAGACGTCCCCGCACGGCGAGATCAGCGTCTTTCCATGTCACAAATCACCAGTCGCATCCGCACGTCCTCCAAGCAGAACCTCGACTATCTGTCTCTGAATAGCACACCAAACGGCTCATCGCCTCCATCGCCAACTACAGCCCGTCTACACCAGCACATCCTCGCCGCAGCGCACCAGAGTCTTTACGCACAACAGCAGCAGCAACAACATCAGCCACAGCAACCACAAAAGGTGTCTGGCGTATCTTCCTCTGAATGGGAGGCCCTTCTTGGCTCCATGGACGGCGGCTTGAACAATGTCTACGACGCAATCTACGGCGGGGGTGGCGGCGCTATCCCCAACATGGGGGAGACGCCCGCGTCATCATCGACAGGGCTGGACAGCTGGAGCCCCGATAGCTGGGACCTAGCCAACTTCAATATCGGCGACTTCGGAACGAACCCGGCACCGCCGCAGAGCGTCTTGAGCGTTAGCGAGGAGAGCTTGTCCTCGGGCGAGGACTTGGCGACGAGTGATTTGAATCTGAGCGTCAGCAGTCTGGAGTACCGGAACGCGTTGCTCGCGTCTTGTAGCGGGAACGGGAACAACGATGGGTTGTTTTTGGATGGCCTTGATGGGAATTACGGACTTTAAGCGCAAGGGTGTTTCTTGACGGCGTGATTTGGAGGGTTTCAAATAGCGACGGCTTTGGCTTTGTTGTATGTAGGAATTTTCAGGGGTTTATATATCTGAACGGCCAGATGGAAATGGGACACCTAGCTCTTGGACATGAATGATTATCTCTTGTTATTCTTAAATGAACGCTCTCGCGACACCAACGGTATATTTTGACAAGACACAACGAGACGTTACGTATAAGTTCTCTCTGCTCAAGGATGTATATGGGCTTTGCACACGTCCTGTCTCCTTCCATGCTGACACGCATACTCTCTCTCCTGATCTAGTGAGGCCTTTAATCTGTTATTACCTTTGGCACCATCTCCCAGCGCAGCACGATGCCTGGATACTGTATCCTATTCCTATACAGAAATATAGCATGGGATATTTTTGGAACCCACAGGTCGAGGAGGATGTGTATTTCGGGGTTCGAACTTTATACTCTGTAGTTCTAGTCACCCAGCCTCTATCCTACATTGCGCAATTAGTGCCATATTTCTACCTCCTCTACCTCTAGCTCCTTATGTACGTAACCTGCTTTCTTTGAACATTGATCATAGTCATGATCCAGTGGGCTCCATTCTCCAGAGGCCCATCCCCTCCCTTCTCTTTATGAGTGTACTTTCTCAAACCTAGGTAGGTCGCGTCTCTCCTCTTTGGCAGTCGTTATCTATCCCGCGAGAATCATCATCCTATGGTGATTTCTCTTAAATCGGCAAACAACACATAGTTCCGAGAGCCCCCCCTCCATTCTCACAGCTTCAACGCTTTGGCAGCCTTCGGCCCGGGCCCCACAACCCCGAACCGCGCAACGAGCATCAGAATGGGCGTGAACACCGCCACGAGGACCTGTATCCCCGCGACCTCGAGGTACAACCTCGCCGTCCTCTTCCACGTACCGTCGCGCACCCGGCCCGTCCGCCTAGCCGCCCTCGCCTTCTCGTCTGCGTCTGCCTCTAGCTCTCCCGACGGAGCCGAAGTCGACGTGGACGTAGACGTAGATGCCCCCTCCCCTTTCCCCTCCCACCGCTTACAAACCTCCCTAAACAGCTCTGGATCATCTGTAATCACCCCGTCCGCTCCGGCGCGGATGCTCCACTCCATCCACTCCTCGTCGTTGACCGTCCAGACGAACAGCTGTCGTTGGTTCTTCTTCACGTCCCTGATGAACAGTTTGCCGACGGGCCCGACGAGGGACTTTTGGAACATGTTGAAGGAGAGGTTCGGTTGCTTCGGTGTGAGGAAATTACGGGCGTAGAGCGGGGACCAGGAGATGAGGGAGATTGGGTAGGCGGGAAGAATTGTGCGGACGTGGGTGATGTAGGGTTGCTTTGAATTAAGTGTCAGTACCGTCGTGCTTTTTGGGGTTTGGTCTTTTGCGGAAAGTGCGTTGAGACTGGTGAGATGATAACTTACGTTCCAGCATCCGAATACTATCCTCTCGTTCCACGGCACGGGGCCCGGCGTGGAGGCCAGGACGTCGGCTACGCGGCCGAGGAGTTCTGCTGGGGGATCGTCGGTCTACACGAGTTGATAAACGTCAGCTCTTCATCTTCGTCTTCCCAGTTACGCGCCCTCTTCGTACGCCTAATCTGCAACCCTCTGCACCCAAATCACAACATAGCGGCTCGGCGCATCCGGAAAGCCATACCTTGATATCAAGCAAAACCCAAACCCCCTCCCTCCCCTCCTCCGCCAACAACCCCAACAGATCCTCCAGCCTCGGCATCCTCTGCTTCGGCTCTCTGACCGTCTCGAGTGTCTTTAGATAGCTCCAATCGCACTCGTTGATCTTCTTGTCCTCGATCCCGAAACACCGCTTCAGGTTCCCATCGTGGGAGAGCACGACGACGCCGTCGCGCGAGAGGTGCAGGTCCGTCTCGAGGGCGTGCGCGCCCGCCTCGTCGAGCGCGGCGCGGAAGGCGAGGAGGGTGTTTTCGGGGTATTGCGCTTTGAAGCCGCGGTGGGCTATTGCTTGGGGCAGATGATGCGCGCCGTCACTGCCTCGAGAGGGGGTGGTGGTTGTGGTGAGTGGGAGGGCGGATGTAAAGTGTGCTGCGTTGTTAGGACATTTGTTAGCCATTGGTCCCTTGGTGGGAAACGTGCAATTCGGAGGAGAAGAGAGAGAAAGAGAGGGTTGTACCTGACGGGCTGGAGGACTCGTCCCCCAGGAGGGGCTTCGTTTCGGGAGTCATTGCCGCTGCTGCTGTATGTCTTCGTTGTCGCATCTAGAATTCTAATGGTATGTGGGAGGCTAGCTCTATCAACGAACAGCCCAGCTTAGTGTAAAGCACTCTTGTCTAGTGAGATGGTAGTCTATGAGCGCAATTCACCGAGTGTGGTATTATACAGAAAGGCAGGCGCCGGAGGAGAAAGAGAAGTAAAGGATTATGAGTCTACGTGAATTCAACGACGGAACGATGGCATTCTTCCTCAATGGTAGAGAAGGGAGAAGAGGTGAAGACTAATCAGCTAATGGACGTAATGTAGTCGTCGCATACTCTAGCGCATACGGACTCGGGAGCTTTCAGAGGTCTTGAAGACTTGGGTTAACCCCGTAAAAGCCGTGCGCAGTCGTGGGCCGATTCAAAGGACGGGACGGGATGGGATGTTGACGACGACGAACATGAGAGTTGGATGTCCAAGGTAGGAAAGATTATGAGACAAGACGTACAGCTAGCTGCCTCGCCTTACCTTACGTAGCTGGCCAGCGGGGTGCCTCGGAGCAATTCGAATGCGGTTCGACTTCCCCCCCACGTGCAGAAGCCCAATGCGTGCCGACGGGGCCGTACTTTGCCTTGAAGCTTAACCCGGGCAGGGTGCAGGTGGGAATTTGGGACGGATGGCTTCCGCTACCTATAGTAAGGTACTTAGGCACTGTGGGCTGGCGCATCCATCGCCCCGCAGCTCACTCACCACCAGACCACGGGCGCGGGGCGAGACCTTAAGTCCGACCCCGCGGTGGGCGAGTCTGCAGTAGCGTCCCGCGTATTAACCCGTTCTCTTCCAGGTTCACTGAGGTAGATAGACAGGAATCAATGGGCCTCACGCCCAGGATACGGTCATTGGAAGAAATTAGGCTACTCTGAGGGAAGGCAGGTGAGATTACGGCCGAGTATCCATGATATCGACGAGTGCTTGCGCAGCCTGTTTCATTCTTGTTTGCTCTATCGCGTCGATTACTTCGCTCACGCAGAGAGCCCTGCCAAAACGCTTTTTCTCTACTCTACAACTACTGCGCTGGAAAGGTGCCATGTGATGCTAGGCCTCTGTACCCGTAAACCCTCTTATGCCCCTTTATAGCAACTTTTATAGCAACCTACCACAGTCTCCAGCCAGGCCAAGTCCCTCCCGCGCAACCTTGCAAAAGTTTCCGCCGCTAAACAAGACTTCTTTAGTCAATGTCAATGTCAATATCGAGATCCAGGGATCCGATAATGTCATCGTCCATGAGCGGCTTGTGAATCGTCGGGATGCCCTTCTTCTCCTGGTTCGCAGCCTGCAGCTTGACCAAGTTGGGCAAGAAGTTCTTCTCCTGAGCGCCCATCTTGGGCGTGCCGTTGGCGGGTGTGCTCGCATTGCTGTCCTTTGTCTTCTTGCTGCCCGTATCGTTGGCGTCGTGGATGAACTTGGCCTTTGTCCGCAGCCGTCGCGACAAATCGTTCTTGATATCCTCGCCCCTCTCCAGCGCCGCCTCCAGCTTACGCGCCTCGGCCTTCTCCTTGAGCTGTGCTCTCCTAACGTTCTCGGCGTTCTCCAGCCGGCGTTGGCGGTTGATGTTAGCTAACCGGTCCTGCTGGGATGTTGCGCTGGGCTTAGATGAGGTCTCGCTAAGGCTCGTCTTGAAGGCCAATACGTTCGTTTTGAGGTCGTCGAGCTGCTCCTGCAGGTCCTCTGCTTTTCTGGTGTTCCCTTGGGCGCGGGCGACCTCGATGTCTTGAGCGAGGCGCTCACGCAGCTTGGGATCGAACTTCTTGCGGAGCGCGGCCTTGCGCTGAATGCGCTCGTCAATCTCGGTGGTGGAGAGATGGTACGCGATGAGCGCGTTAATATCGTCAATCTTGTCCATGAGGGTCTTCTTCTTGGGCCAAGTCAGGCCCTCGGACTGAATGACCTTTTCGTATCGATTGTATTCACGCTGCTTCAGTCAGTTGGACGTCCTCCAATATAGAGCATCTGAAGTGTAAACTCACCTCAGTAAATGGCCGATCTGACAGGAAGATGAATGGGAACGGCCGCTCTGCCTTACCATGAGCTGCCAGAACATACTGATCGGTCACAAAGGCACCACTAGGGCCTGTCATGGCGTATGGCTTGCCAACTGTAATGGCTGTAAAACGTCAGCATCTTGTCAGCAACAACGCCTCGGCGGGCGGACTGACATTGAATGCGCGCCATGCGATACTCGTCCTGGCCCGTCTTGGGGTCGGGACCGATACTGATGCGGACGTAGCATCCTATCATGGTCGTCTCGAAGCTTGGGTGGAAGCAGTGCTCCGCGAAACGACTCTTTCCGACGCGAATGCGCTCGAAATCCCGAATGTCTGGAGGCGGCAACTCGCGTGCGACAATTTCGTCCTCCGGCGATCGTGACTTGCGGTGCCGGCGGCGTTGGTTCTCCTCGTAATCGCCTCCCTCATCGCTGTCGTCCTGGTAGTCATCGCGCGGCGACCTAAGCCCCTTGCGCTCCTCCTCGCGACGACGAATGCGGTCGACCTTTTCCGCACGCGCGCGACGTAGCTCATCTATTGCTGACGTCTTGCCGTCGGTGCGCGGCCGCGCTGTCGTGCGCGATTCGTCGTCGAGGTCGGCAGCGTCGGCGCTGCGCTTCTTGAGCTTCTGCTTTTTCTCCTCGTTCTCCTGCTTGCTGACAAGCTGTCGCAGCATGCGATTCTGTCTGTGGCGCTCGATTTCGGCCTGTCGCTCTGCGAGCAGCGATTCTCTCTCGACTTCGCGCATGGCCATGACCATTTCCTTCTCGGCGCGGCTTTTGAACATGCCGTCGATCGGGTACTTATCCTCCTCATCATCGTCTTGGCCCGCCCTATGCGGCTCGGCCTCGGAGTCGGACTCGTCCATGGCGGCGGATCCTATCGAGTTGGGGCTACCGGGTGCTGAAGAGCTGAGGCGCATTGTCAGTGATGTAATTGGTAGGTAAGGCAATGGAAGCCAATGTTGCGCGCGCGATGATGAGCTGAGAGGTTGAGATTCAAGGTGTCGAAGGTGAAGCTCAAGGTTGGTGGAATTCCTCCGGTGTAGAGGTAGGAATGCGCCTGGGTGTATTACGAAACGGGAGAAACTTACGCCTCTCCTTCTTCTTCTGAGTCGCCTCCTCCAGCGCGCTTCTTCACCTTTTTCGCAGCGGACTTTTTCGCAGCCGCCTTGGGCGGTGGTGACGCGGATTGCGCCCTACTCTCCACCTCGGACATCACCTCCTCCTCTTCCTCGTCAGAGGACTCTCCGCCTCCGGCGAGAGCTAAAAGCTCATCATCAATGTCGGCCATGGTGATTTACGATCGGGTATTCGACTAAGGGGCTGGGAGCTCTTTCAAGCAGCTGCGCCGGGTGAATTAAGTAATTCAAGACCGATCGATCGGTTTACGCAATTGGCTATCGATGCAAAGAAAACAAATACGATTACTTCGAGTCGCAGAAAGATGAGGTTCCTTTGTCGATTGGGTGTAGAGAGGTGAACGTTCGGGAAATTGTTGCTGGCGGTTGTGTGGTAAGGTTGTTAGAATAAGAACTCGAAAGTCTGGCTCCTATTCACAGCCTTGGGCCATTGTCGTTGCGAACGCGTGCCTGATTGGCTCAGATTATGTCATTCGTCTGCACAGGGGTGGAGCAGTCGGAGCATCGGCCCACGCCCATCCGACCTGCCCTTCAGCTAGCCAATCAACGCTCAAAGATGCTTCAGCATCCACAGGGTCTAGTCGTTCGATGTCATTGACATCTTGCATTTGTCTTCGGCCGAGTTTGTGCTCCGAATACCCTAGGGGTCTTGTCCACCTACAGAAAATCTCACAATGGCTTCAGCAAGATCAGTTCTGAGGCCCTGCTGTGGCATCGCAAGAATTGGAGCGCGAAACGCGTATGCGCCGGGTGTTTGCATCTCGCGCAGACAGCTATCCGGCACTTCCAATGCGCAGGCCGAAGCAAAAGGTGCAGCAGCGGCGCCCCGACGAAAGCCCCTGACCCAAGAGCAGCGGGATTTCTTGTCTTCAGCAGTAAGTTGTGCAATTGTATGCAGTTGGGGAAACCATACTGACACTATTCAGCTTCGAGTCAATCAAGCCGGAGAACTCGCTGCCACCCGAATCTACACAGCTCAAACCCCACCGATCGTCAATCGACACCCACACCTTCGACCTCTCATGGCACACATGTACGACCAAGAAGAAGGCCACCTCAATACATTCAACGCCCTCATTCACAAGCATCGCGTGCGACCGACTGCGCTGTACCCTTTGTGGCAGCTGATGTCAACTGGGCTGGGCTGGAGTACCGCAGTCATGGGTCGCGAAGCGGCCATGGCATGTACAGAGGCCGTCGAGACGGAAATTGGCGATCACTACAACAACCAAATCAGAACCCTCATTGAGATGGTCACAGAGTGGGAAGCTGAAGGCTACGATGTCGGTCCCGAGTTCACCGATCTCATCAAGACACTGCGGCGGATTCGCGATGAAGAACTGGAGCACCTGGACCACGCTGTCGAGCATGACGCCAAGAAGGCGGAGCCGCACTGGTTACTCACCGGTGTGATCCGGGCGGGTTGCAAAGGCGCCATCTGGGTAAGTGAGAAGGTGTAATAAAGGCTGTAATTTAACAATGTGTACAATACATGTAAAAACAACGGCCGAAGCCATAAGAATACAATCAATACAGTGAAAGTACCCGCGACGCCAAGATGCTCCTCTCTGACTCCGTCCTGTGCATCGATGTATCGTGTAGTGGTTCAGCCATATAGAGAGGCTTTGTCCAGCAGGTCCATGAGACCGTTCTGAACTGTGTATAACACCTAGTTGCTGCAATGGGTGTTAGCACTGGACCGGCTACGCACGGGAATGATAGACGGAGACTTACTAGATTTGAAGCGGCGCGACACCGTCCACCTGGAATCCCCAGTTGCCGTTTTGTTCTTCAGTCAGGAGCCAATCATATGGGAAGTTAACGACATGCCCCTGAATCATGCTGAGCAGTTCCTCTGCTTCAGCCCGCCCAAGCACCTCTTCGGGCGGCATACCGCGCCGGCTGCCCTTAGTAGTGGCCCGTCGGCGGCGTCTAACCGACCCTTGGGCTTGTTGAGCTGGAATGCTCACATCCCTCGAAGGTGGCTTCTCTAGAGGGGAAAAAGTTGTTCTTCTTTCCCTACTCTTCTCTCGTGCCGGTTCCAACATGGTGGCGTCGGCGGCAGGGCCGGGTTCAAAGGCCGGGAAGGGAACGTCTCCAGCAGGAAGAATGGGAGATGGGTCATCCTGTGGACGCTTTGATGATGCCGGCACGTCTGTGTTGAGGTTGAGCCCGCCTCGGGAACTTGGGTGCTCGCTCTTCTCGTTGACGTCGTGGTCATCATCCGCCGGGATGACAATTCTAGGATGGTTCGAATGGTTAGTCTTGAGGTGCAGCTTCTCCTCCGTCTTATCCGCCACAGCGCTCGCGATAGCCCCGGGGCCTGGCGCGCCCATACCGGCACCACCTCCGCTGACAGGCGTTTGGTGGCGGTTTATGTTGGGGTCTCCGTCATCGGTCTTGGTTTGGCCCTCCATACTCTGTCTGAACCTCTCCGTGTAGGACACAGCCTCTCGGTAATCAGGCCATGTGAGCACTTCTGAATCAGGCATGCATTTGAAAACGCGGCGGTACAGCTTCGTGTTATTCTCAGCGACCCTGTTCCAGATGTCATCAAAGAAGGTTGAGTTGACTGGGTCACGCATGCAATCCTTATCAATGTGCGCTTGCCTGATGTCAGCAGCCAGAGGATGCAGTGGCCCGTTGGTCGGCTGGCCGCTCTGGTCCAAGTGAACAGGAGGTCCGCCAATGTCAGTATCGTCTACAGCAGGTAGTGTGGGAAGCCCAGCTGTGCGAGGGAGGCCGAGTTGGTCTGTAGTCCTTCTGTTGAGAGCTGGTATCGGCGGCAGGGCATCGTTGCTAACTCCGCCCTCCTCTTCCGTGTGGTGATCCGCCGACGGCTTGCGCTCGTGAGGCTGCATCGGCGATTGCAAAGTGCCTTTTCCTTCAGAGTTCACGTTGTTGACAAGGACCTCACGGCCATTGATGATGACAGAGTCTCTTCCTCGATCAAGTCCGAGCTGGGCTGCTTCCTTCCAGTGGTCTTTGCCAAAACCGGCGACTTCCAGGTCGTGTGCTTCGTTGCCGGTTACACGGTCGTCGCGGTCCTTGCCCTTGTCTGAAGAGGACACTGACGACGCTTCCTCGGCTGCCGCTTCCGCCTCTGCGGCATCATGGTTAAAGCTTGCAGCCTGTCCTGGCATTACTGGCTTGGTCGGTTTGCTGGCTGACTGCTGTGCACTCGACCCCGCGACGGGAGGTGACTTTGCTTCCTCATCGTAAATCTGATCCATCTCTGCCTCGTACTCGGCCTGGCGGTCCATTTCGGCCTGCCTTTCTTCCTCTAGGATCTCGTCTACATCGAGGCCAAGATGCTCTCGCATCAGGCGAAGTCGCAACGTGTGCGCGAATCGACCAACTTGGTAAGGTCTGCCTGCCATCGTTGACCAGATCATGTCGGTATCACGGACAACAGCAGCAAGCTCAGAGTCACGACTTCCAAGCATGGACCGCTCGTTGATGTTGGCGGAACCAATGAGCGCAACACGGTCATCTACCACGATACATTTGGCATGGATGTAAAGCTGCTCAGTGACCAAAGCATTCCTGGGGCCAATCTTGCCCCACTGTCGCAGACTGTAGAATTGAATGTACTCTTCCGGTTCGATATCGGCAGCACGAAGACGTTCAAAGATCGAGCCTTCACCGCGGCAGATACTGCGGTATTGGCATTGTAGAATGAGACGAACACTGGTACCTTCCTGCTCATCGACAGTGTTTTGGAAACCAGGCATGAGAGGAATGACAATGCATGCCTTCCAGTCCTCATCATTCTCGTGGGCTCTGATGATGCGCTCGACAAGCGCATCACCAATGCGATTGACAATCTTTGTATTGAACGCTTCGGTGCTGGTGATGAAGAACTGGTTCTCAATGTAAACGAAATGATCGGAATCCTCAATCATCTTGACGTAGGCGTTCTGGATACTGCACTCGACATGCTCAATTCCCAGAGACCAATTGGCGGATGACCTCAAGATCTGAACTTCGCAAGTGCCCGTCAGCCCAAGGGCATCGAGCTCGTGCATTTTTACATCAGGAGGCGGTAGCAAGAACGGCAAAGGACGGGTCGTCTTCCTGCCTCTCTTGACATAGTTCCATCTTTGGACGAAGTGTCTCGTCAAATCTCGGGCTGGCTGACCAACGACCTGCATAGCAATGTCGTGCCACGGCATTCGGGGAACCTTGCTTCGGTCGTACATCTCTTCGTACGGCTCGTCGAGTTTGAAGAAATCTTGGACACGGGGGTTCGAGTAGTCCTTTCCGGGGAAGAGCTGGCAATGTTCAGCATCCTTTGGCTGCTCGCTGTGCTCGAAACCCGTCGGTTTGTCGTCCGTAATCGGATGCTGCGGGCAATCCCAACGGCCAAAACACAAGTCGATGCCACCGACAAATGCGACATCGTGGTCGACGATACACAGCTTTTCATGGTGGGCGAAGAAGAACTGGTTCTTCTTGAATTGATTGGGAGATCGCTGGACGAAGATGTTCGGGTGGAGGTTCAAGAGTGAATACTTGGTATACTCAGAGTCGATCGGAATAGCAGCTTCGACATTGCGATACACAATGATGAAAATTTTGACACCCTCTCGGGCCTTTCGCTGCAGGAGTCGATCCAAACGCCACTTCTGGCTGATAGCGGCTGGTCGACGCATATAAAGCTCGGGACTGAGCCACCAATCATGAATGTAAATCACGTCTCGGGCCATGCTGATCGCACGAGATACGTTCCACATGTAATCTCTGCCGTCTACAAGCCACTGCGCAAATACGCCATTTCGGACTGGAGAGAAGCTGTCGAAGCGATTCGTGTCATACCACTTAGTCTGCTTGAGCATCTCTGCTATTGAGTCTTCGAACTGCTTCATGATGTGTTGGTTTCTTGAAAACAATTTGACCTTTCGCTCAGCTGTATGCAGTGTCAGTGTGTGATGCTTCTCAGCATCGGCCTCTTCCGCCAGGTCGATCTCCTTCTCCTCGGCCTTGGTCTTTCCCTTGGACAACTGTTTCAATGTGCTTTTCTTGGAAACAATGCGAAACTTGGAGTCCACGAGGTAGACGTCGTAGACGCTCATCTTCTCTGGTGATTCGACACAGACGATGTAGCTAGAGCGCACAAGGAACCACTTGCGACTATGGCGAGCAATGACCTTCTTTGGCGTCAAGACTCGACGGAAATCCATGCCTTTGGAGGATTGGATGTGCAAGTAGCACTCTTTGCCATGATAGCTGCCTTCAGCAGCTAGGCGCACTCCCAGAGCAGACAGCTCCAAGAACTTGCAAAGACGGTTACTGTCCGCACGGAACATCAACCACCGAATCATGTCCTGGAGATACTTTTCAAGGACCCTTCTTTGACGCTCAAAGTACCGTTTCCGAGCCTGAACCTGGTCGATTTGGTTCTCGCCACCCGAGTCCCCGGGTTCAGTAAATCCGGTCGATTTCCTACGCATACCGAGCATGCCGAGACGTGACTTCTTCCTAACTCCAGGGCCAGCTCGACCGCCTTCCCATTCGCTCGCTGTACCTTCTCCTGCGGTACCCTCAGCAGCAGTTCCTTCGCCAGCGGTGACCTCTCCTAGATCATCGCCCCGAATGCTTGCGTCATCTTCGTCCTCGCTGTCATCCTTATTACGGGCACTGCGAAGATAGGGGAAGGCGCCCCAGGGGAACTTGGGCATTTTGGGTCGGGCTCCTACATCGGCGCGCCCATGCAAGTACTTATCGTTGCTCATCGCAAGCTTGTATCGTACGTGGAGATTGTAGATGTCTTTCAGAGTCCTGATGATGACCCATTTCATTCGACTTGGGCCGCTGCCGTACTCGAGGTCCATTGTGAAAACCCAATGCCGCTCACTGTCGTCGTCGGACTCGGGTTGACTATCAGTAATACGCAAGCGCACTTGTTCGAGAAGGACAGGGATTCGCTTATTGCCATGCTCATCCCTTTGGATCATGCTGGCCAACATGAGGACGGCGGGCGCTCCGGCTCGCAGCTCTGCCATGAGTTCTGCTGACTTTGCGAAATCGAAACGATCCTCTTTCTTCTGCCTAAGGAGCTTCAAGGTGTTCTTGACGTATTTCCAAGTCGATGCTCGTTCGCTGCCGAAAAAGGGTCTCTTGGGCGTGATCGCGTCTCCATCCGATACTCCGCCTCCACCAAGGACAGTTATGCGACGGACGTGGCCCATTCTTCTTCCTCCGGGGCTCTCAGTGCCATCCCCGGTATTCTTACGAGACCTTATCCATGAGGGGCCCGCAAGCTGGTCTCGTCCTTCCCCTTCCGACATGCCGTGCTGCTGCTCGGGGTGGTCTGGCATACTCAAGCGCCTTCGTAGACCCATCCGGCCGTAACCGACGGGCGAGTCTGGGCCGGGTAGATGCCGCAGGTTAGGGGTACTCGGAACAGACATCTGTTGCTTTTTTGAGCGGCGCATTCTCCTTTTCTTCTTGGGCTTGACAGCATCCGATGTGGCTCCCTCATCAGCCGTCTCCTCAACGTCCGCATCAGCATCGCTGCCACCATCCTCGTCTAGTGTATGAGGTATTCTTGACCTGAACTGGGCGGTGGTGGGCGAGCTACCCATGGACGGCGGCGTACCGTTCTCGTTCAGGTTACCGGAGCTGCTCGTCTTGAGGGTCTGCGTGCTACCAGAGCCGGTGAGCTGCTTCAGTTTAGAAATGAAGGCAGAGCCAATGGACTTTCCGCCGTCGTCCCATGATGGCTGCCGCGAATGGCTTGCGGGGGCTTCCAGGACCTGGTCCGTTCTGGCAAATTGTACGCTTCTGCGATCGGTCGGTGAAGCTGGCTCGGGGGAGTATGTATCGTCTTCGGGCATCACGGGCAGACCGCCAGGGGTCTGACGTACGCTATCGGTGGAGTTGAGGGTTGGGAGCTGCGGCCGCCTTCCGTCGTTGACGGGTGACACGCTGTCATGAGGTGCTCCCCCGTTGATGTAATCTCGTGCTTCCACCGTGGAATCGATCGGGGTATACGTGTCTTTTGGCGTCGGGAGATCCTTCGGGGGAAGAGCCGGAGGGCTATCTTTCGGCGGAGGAGCTGGAGGAGCAAGCGACTCTGGCTGGCTCGTGATGGCTGGTGATGCCGCGCGAGGGCTTCTTGTCATTGGTGAGACCGAATCATCTCGTCTCGAGTCCGTCATTGTGACGGGAAATTCGGGAGGGTGTAGAGGTAGGAAACGAGCTGAGGATAAGTCGAGGCTTCTAGGAAATCGGCTCGCGAGATTGAGGTGTGTAGGCCGTGGATCCGTGTAAACACGTCAAGCATGGCCTTCTCGGCGAAGTAAAAATGAGAGACAGCAGCCCAACAAGGGGTCGGGTTGCGTTTGCAAGATCAAGTCGAGGGGTGGTCGGGGGCGGATGTCTTGTAATTGTGGTCGAGACAGTCAGACACACCCGTCGGTGAGAGGTTCGAAGGCGAGAAGCTAAAGCGAGACAACAACGGCGCTCGTGGTCGATCACCGGCAGCTGCTCCAAAAATCCGGCTGGTGGGTTTGGTAAGAAACAACACCTTCCAAAGAATGAAATGTAGCAGCACCCAGAAAAAGGTTGGGCTGGGGGTGTGCTTCTGCAAGCCCGGCAGGGTTGATGGAAGGTCGGTTTTGTTGCAGTCGAGCACCTTGAATCTTTGGACCTGCTAAAGTCAGGTATCTCCCGTACGGATAGGCGGGCAGACTGCAGACAACCTCAGATCCTCGAGACCAGGAACCTTGGGCTGTCGCAGTTTTGGGGGGAGACAGGGAGGGCGATGGAGTGCAGTGAAAGGTAAGGTATGGGAGGGACCAGGACCAGTGATCCCTGTGACGGCCTGCAAATCCCCAGCAAGTTGCAACGTTGGTGGAGGGCGAGGCTTAATTGCTTCTTTGGCTCCGAGCCAATGGGCGCCAATAGGGGCGCGAATAAGGGGGGGTGAACAGGGGGGAATACCTAGCGGCTCCCTCCGGGGCGTGCCACCTTAGTCCGATGTCACGCCCAAATCTTCAGTGGCTCCCTGCGCTATTCGGGCGCGGTGCAGCAGATGGAGCTTCCACTGACATTTGACACCGAATCCGCGGTTGAACAACTACCTTATTAAGGAATAGGCGCTGATTTTCTGCCCGTCTCTGCCGTTTCGGTTCCATGTGACTTGTACGGAGTATGTGGTTGTCTCCCGCTTTGATCAATCCAGTGATGGGATCATGAGATGCTTGAGAGGGAGCTAAGGCGCAGAAAAGGACGGGAATGGACTGAGCTCCTACATTGGATGTAAGTAGCGTACATGAGCCCTACAGGGGCCCGTTTCTGCCCAGATTACGTCCTAAACCAAACTTTCATCGACTGTGCGACGTTGAAATGACCACAATTACAGACGACGCAAATCCCGCAATTATGGATCGATGGCTTTTATTATACGCCTGTTGCGCGCATATGGCATGTCCGGGCCGTGGGGGCGTTCAATAGGGGTTCGGATAGATCTGAGACGTGAGCCATCCAAGGCATGTCGGGACAGCGGTGCTTGATTATCTGCCAAACGTACGTAGTAAGGAGAAGAGGCTAGCGTGGCTGGCAAATGTACGGAGTAGCCAGAGGGCCGCGTATCTTGAGATGGAAAGCTATCCTCATCAACAAATGTCATCCGCACCCTGGCACTTCAACCCTTGGTGCGGGCGTGGGATCCGAGGAAAAGTCCGTTATTCGCTTCGGATAGAGAGAGGCCGCCGAGACTCATTGTGGAGGAACAAGGCCAAGGGACAAAGAACGAGCGTGTCGACCTTGACTAGGCAGTCCGCGTGGGCTGTTTCACTGTGAATGAAAGAATGGAGAATTGGAGATCCATCATTTGAGTCTCCCATCTCTCAGGATGTGGCTTGAAATTTGATGTGTGGCACATGTGGTACAGACAGTGCAGTAAAGGTACCTAAGGTAAGGTACCTTACCTACCGTTTGCGAGCAAGCTGCACCACCTCACTCTCTGCACCCTGCCTTACGTAACGCACTCAAAGCGCGTCTCGCGCATCTTCTTATCGATAAGCTCTCACCGTCGCGTCCAACATCACAGCTTGCGGAAGGTCACTAATTTTGGAGCCCAACATCGCCAAAGCCGCCGTCACGCTGCAAAGATGCCAAGGTAAGTTTCGCGAGCGCCTCCTGGCTTGCCCATACTTTGTTTTGACTTCGTATTACAGGGAAATCATTACGGTCCAGGCCGGACAATGCGGCAACAGCAGTCAGTTTAACCCACCAAACAGAACATCAGTCGTGCGCAATGGAGCTGATGCCATACAGTTGGAAGCCAATTCTGGCAGCAGCTTTGTCAGGAGCATGGCATCAACCAGGACGGAAACCTCGAAGACTTCGCTACTGAAGGTGGCGATCGCAAAGACGTCTTTTACTACCAGAGTGACGACACACGATACATTCCGCGGGCTATCTTGGTTGATCTAGAGCCAAGGGTGCGTCGACGATTTTCAGCGAGACACTGTGCTATTGCTAAAGGAACTACAGGTCATACAAGGCATTCAAAGTGGCCCCTACAAAAATATCTACAACCCCGAGAACTTTTACGTCGGCAAGAATGGAGTTGGTGCTGCGAACAACTGGGGTGACGGTTATCAGACTGGCGAAGTGGTCTACGAAGACATCATGGAGATGATCGACCGCGAGGCCGATGGTAGCGACTCTCTAGAAGTACGTGCAACTTCGTATTATTCGTGCGACCCCCGCTGATCATCTCAGGGCTTCATGATGCTGCATTCTATCGCGGGAGGTACTGGCTCTGGCCTGGGCTCATTCCTCCTCGAGCGGCTCAACGACCGGTTCCCTAAAAAGATCATCCAAACATACTCCGTCTTCCCTGATACCACAAACGCAGGCGATGTTGTCGTCCACCCTTACAACAGTGTTCTCGCCATGAGAAGGTTAACGCAAAACGCCGACTCGGTAGTGGTACTGGACAATGGAGCTCTATCACGCATCGCAGCCGACAGATTACACGTTCAGGAGCCCTCGTTTGCTCAAACAAATCAACTGGTAGGAATTATGCTCTCATGTTCGAGGCTCACAGACTAAACTTGGGCAACGCAGGTGTCGACCGTCATGTCAGCAAGTACCACAACTCTCAGGTACCCAGGTTACATGCACAACGATCTGGTCAGCATTCTTGCCTCGTTGATTCCCACGCCCCGCTGCCATTTCTTGATGACGGCATACACACCATTCACAGGCGATCAGGTAGAGCAGGCCAAGACGGTGCGAAAGACGACTGTATTGGACGTCATGCGAAGACTGCTGCAGCCCAAGAACCGCATGGTCTCTACTCAACCGGGAAAGAAGAGCTGCTACATTTCTATTCTGAACGTCATCCAGGGCGAAGTGGATCCGACAGATGTCCACAAGAGTTTGCTGAGAATCCGGGAACGACGACTGGCGACCTTTATTCCATGGGGACCGGCCAGCATTCAAGTGGCCCTCACAAAGCGGAGCCCCTACATCCCAATGGCCCACCGTGTCAGTGGATTGATGCTGGCAAACCACACCAGTATCGCAACTGTAAGTTTCACGATCCTGATCCTGGGACGCGCCTGCTTTGCTGACAGGCTCCCAGCTCTTCAAGAGAATTCTAAGACAATACGACGGTATGCGGAAGCGTAATGCCTTCATGGAGGGTTACAAGAAGACGGCGCCTTTTGCTGAGAATCTGGATGAATTCGACGAGGCCCGCGAGGTTGTGTCAGACCTGATCCAAGAATATGAGGCAGCGGAGGATTCCGACTACCTGAACCCCGACACCGGCGACAAGGCGACTTCAGCTGAAACAGACAAGAGAATGGGCTAGAATGATCGCGTGTGGTAGTGGCAGAAGGGAAGGATTAGCAGTTGGCACAGGGCTGGGAGATGACAGGGGTGGATCATAACGTCAACATGGTCATGACGGCATTTGCATCTGCACTTTGGGAAAAAGGAACAGACCGACTCTACGGTTGGCTTTGCTGGGACTCTGGGAGTAAGGCGTTCAGGGACGGGTGACAGAAGCTTACGCAAAAAAGCCCACTCGGCCGATACCATCAACCCCCTCAATAAACTTGCATCTGATTGAGGAAAACGCGCTCTGTTCATGCCCAGGCACCACTTTGACCCTCAATTCCATGTAGCCCGTCTGCCTCATCGAAGCGTCTGGAGCTTTTGCTCCTGGCCAATTTGTGTCACTGATCGCCCATTCGCCATCCACGCCCAAAAGCGTTGTTGGATGTTCTCCACTTCCCGCGACAATCGTCGATGAACGTCAATCGTTCTCCACTGATTTCGCGCAAAGAGCCGCAATTGCACCTGCTTGACGTAATTGACGTCAGCGTCCGTAAAGGCTCCGAAAGCTCAAGCCTGGCTGACTTGGAGCTCGGCCTCCTCCAGCTTCGCATATAAGAGCCTCTGTTGAAGCTCGATGAAAGTATTATCTTTTTCTATTCATCAAGCAATCACAAGAAAAGCCAACCATCAAAGTCACAGCACCAGCGACTTCTATTAAACTCTAAAAATCCCCGTCGACGAATCAACTCCAGTGAGCTACATTCCCTGCGCCCCGGCCGTTATGGCCCCCCAACCAATAGCACTCACAGGCCACAGAACGCTAACTTACATCCTCTCTAGCGACCTTTTTCTCAAAACTATCGCAAAAATGACCCAATCCAAGGCCGACAAGATCAGCGAGGTCCAGTCCAACCTCCCCCTCCCCGAGCAGCCCCCCGTCGCTTCCGACTGGCAATCCGCCGACGCCACAAAGGTCAACGTCGGCAGCGGCGGTGATGCCGAGACTACCGTCGGTACTGGCACCGGTGCCACCTCCGGCCTGAGAGGTCCCGCCTCCAAGGCCAACGAGGACCTTAGCAACGTCGGCCGTCAGGCTACCGAGGGCCTGAGCGGTGTCCCCAAGGATGCTGCGAAATAAACACATTTTCTAGGAATCTGTTAAGCGATGGATATACCAAAGGTTGTTACTGGATGGATGGGGAAATGCTTTGTATAACTAGAAAGTACGGCATGATATGAGTAAATGACACGGGCACGATGTGCTTTTACCAATAACGCAATGTTCGTTCCGTGATGGCTTGAAATCGGTGCGGGCTCAAAATGCTGAGAATCAACGTCTGACCTTACAATTAGTGCATGAGGAACTGCCAGGCTACTCCCCAAACGGGTGGTTCAAGATGCCGAACTACAGGATATTGATGCAAGCCTCAAATTCGTATGCTTGACTCACTCCGGTATTCTCCCAGGTAAAACATAACCCATACGCATACATTGTGATCTTCTTTCTGTGACGCATGAGATCTTGAATGGTTCCTAGGAGCCCACCATATCACTTGGGTCATCTCCGACTTGGCGTGATCCCATGTTATGCGTCACTGATTTAGAAAGTCAGAAAATATGCAATAGATACCGGATATCGCATGACATTCTCCTGGTGACATTTTCGTTCAAATTGAACCAGCAACTTCAATGTTAGGATAAAGCTCCTCCGTAAATATATGATGCTTGGGTATAAGATCGCACACTCCAGCAAGGTATGCTCGTCATCCAGCCGTAGATGCTGCTCTTTCTTTTCTACATTGCGACTGGCAAATTCCGGTGCCTTCTTATGCGACCTGCGCCTCTCTTTGCCAATACTCATATTGTCATACTTGTTGAAAGGTTATTCTTGCATAATGGAAGCATCTAGGGCGGAAACCTTGAGTGAGGAACGCCCTTCACCATGGTGAAAGAGTTCATTCCCGTGGAAGTGCACGTCAGCACATCATCATTATTTTCGATTGCCCCAAACCTTTAAAGAAATCTGTACTCTTACGGGAATAGCCTTTTATTACATAGACCTCTCTCAGACACGAGAAATGTCTCCCATAAGTTGCGGAACATCTTGTTCATATAGGTACCTTAAATATGGCTATTCTTGCACTATGGTCATTCGTGCCGGCGCTTTGATTTCACAAACAAGTAGGAGGCACCGACTTCAGTCAGTTCCTGCTTCGTGCCATCGTCATATGCCCTTCCTATCTCTGATTCCCGCTTCCCCCCCGGCTCCTTCCATTGGCCTGCTCACTTACTCCATCCCGGAGCAGGGCTTCTTTCCAAGTCAGATAGACAGACCGGCTATCTATCTACCTAAGGAAAGGACTGTTTGTTTTCCCCTCTTGCCCTAAACCGGCCTGGCCCAGGTACTGTTGCCATCCATCCACTTCTCTCTTTCCTTCTGCTTCCTCGAAAACACCCACATTCTGGAAATCTTCTCTTCCAGGTTTCCACGCCACAACACACATCTCACCAGGGCAAACATTGCCATCACTATCACTCACTTATTTTCTCCTGTACCACTCGAGTAAAACTTCACACTTGGCTTCTGCCTTACTTCTTCTTTACATTGATTCCCATCAGGGACGGCATCTACGAATCCTTAACCGGCAGAAAAGGTCCAAGAACCTCCAGCGGTAAGTCTCCAGCAAGCTGAACCTCTACTGATATTTTCATCTACCACTCGTCATTTATTTTCGTTGTCATCACGACTGTCACTTCTCTCCTTTCCCTTCCCTTCTTTCCTGATTGGCATCTCAATTCTGCGCCTGCTTTACTACTCTCTCGGAGCAGCAAGCCGGGGGCAGCACAACTATCTTCTGATCTCAACCCTTTCTGACAGATATACATTTAGACGCCGGAACCAAACCACGACATCAAATTAGCGAAACCCTCAGACTGACTTTCAGTCTGCCTGCAAACATGGGATCCTGGGGAACCGACACCGACAGAAAGGCGGACAAGATGCCCAGTCATCGCCTCCAGGCAGCATCTTCGTCACTGACCAATGAAGAACTGGTCCAGCGTGCAATGATGGTCTGTGATTGCTTTTGCATCTGAAGTCGTTCATTCTGTGGGTGACTGACATTGAGAAGGCCGACCTCGGTGTGGACCGCATCAATGAGTTGCCTCTTGACGATACCCCGAAAAGGCATGTTATACCGCCGCGTGCCCGCCGCGCTCCTGTCAACGTGGAGAATACTGAGGCTCTCAACGGCTACCGAGGTATGTTTTCTCCATCTACTTCACAAGACAGTATCTCGACTAATGAAGATGATAGCGCTTGCAGAGACAGGAATGAACGATGCTGAAGCCATGGCTGCTAGGCAGCTGCCTGACCTAGGCGGCACAAATGTCCATCGCCCAACTCTTGCGGCTGGTCCAGCCAGACACCTGCCCGAGACACGTCGACCCAAGTAGGTGAATCCTCTCCTCTGGTAGAAACCCAACTAACAACAATAGCGCGGCGAACTTTCAAGGCATGCAGACCAGCCAGAATGGCATTGTCATGCCTCCTGGCTCCCAGGTTCATCGATACCCTCCGACTAGAGCTGCTGGTGAGCTCCGCGCACATGTCCAGGGAAACAAGGTCACGCCTACTACCCCTTCCACGGCCAGGCCAGCTGCCATTGGCTCTAGCACTGCTAGAACTGGACCTACTGAAGCGACCAACATGCCCTTGCCGCCCCATCTGAGAGCCAAGAGCACTCAGAATCTTCCAGTTGCGACCCCTAGCACTGCCATCTCGGCCCCCACGCCGACTTCGAACGCCGCTCCCAGTGTGAAAGGCAAGGAGAAAGAGATGTCGAAAGATACTACGAAGCAACCTGACCTGGCTGATAAGAACGATTCCGAGGTCCACTGGGCTGGCCGTTGCAAGGCTCAGGCTCAAGGCAAAGAGCATGATGTTGTTCTCAAATTGAAGACCATCAAGTCTGACGAGCATCCTAATGGACGTGTCGTCTGCATCATTGTATGCCCTGGCGTCTTCGACCAAGCCCACAGCATGAACGACTACGCTCTGGACTTCCACAAGAACCACCTGTGTATCGTCAAGTTCGGAGCTTCCGCGTCGGGTCCATCGATGCGTTACAGCCTCAAGTTCGATGACTCCGAGACGGCCGCAAACTTCGTTCAGCGTGCGGACATGCTGCAGAAGGTGATGAAATATCTCCGCGAGATGGCTGCTTCCCAGGATGAGGTGGACACGGGCACCGTCGCTCCCGTCGAGTCGGCTGCTCCCGAGGCCGCTCGTCCCACCCAGACCGCCGTTCAGGCCACTGAGGCGGTGCCCATGAAGAAGGATCATGGCGAGGAAGACCTGACGGACGCTTTCAGCAATCTGAAGCTGACCAATGTCAAGAGCTCCCCTATGTACACCACAGACCGCCCTCCTCGGGTTCAGTACAGCCCTGAACAGCTGCTGGAGAGACGTTCTTCTGCTGAAGCTCCTGCCGGAATCAAGGACGTCAAGATCCCCCTCGAAAAGGACAGCCGAAGTGTGTTCTCCAAGCTGCCGCCTCACCTGCAACAGAACCAGAAAGTGCGAGCTTCCCAGCCTAACAACGAGGCCGCAAAGGCTATGGAATGGATTTCGGGAACTACGCAGACACAGACAGGCACCGGCGGTGTCTCCCAGGTCCCAATGCCTGGTTTATCTGAAGCTGTCAACCACCATAAGGCAGTCACTACTACTGCGCAGTTCTCATCCGGACTTCAAATGCCACTCAAGGACTCAACCGAAGGTAACCTTGAGAAGAACACCGACAGCAAGACAGAGAACAAGGAGAACAGTGCAGTCAAGCTAGAAGTCGCTGAGGCACCGAAGACTAAGATTGATATCAACATCAAGACCCAGGGTCAAGTCGACTGCAGCATTGCGAAGAAGTCCATTGACAGCACCCAAGCTCATGAAGAGGACACTGCAAAGGAGCATGTGCCCGAAGGCACCACCAAGGAGTTGACCGATCCGGTCGATGCGGGTGTCAGTACTGAGATCGAGCATGCGCATGTCCAGAATGCCTCTCAAAATGTTCATCCCAATGAGCATCCGATTTCTTCAAAGACTGCTGGATCGGATAAGGGAGACGCGATGTCAGACGCTTCGCACGACTCGGCTGTTGAGTTCGAAGCTCCCGTCAAGGCTGAGCCAGATGTCACCGTGCCGGCGCCCACTCCTGTGCAGAGTCCCGAGGCCGCCCCTGCCATTCCATTTAACCCCGCCGGCTTTGTCATGCCTGCTGGCATCCCTACGCCGCAGATGGCGCCGGGTCAAGTGCACTACGCGACCCAGATGCAGCCTCAGATGCATCAACAGGCAATGATTCCTGGAATGTACCCGTCGGGCGTCGTTCACGCTGTGACGGTCACTTACCACATCAGCTATCCGGATTCCGGGGCGGGCATTGGTATGAACGGCCCAATTCACCAGAATGGCGGAGCGTTCTCGCCCAATGCAGAACCGTTCCAGCCCAGCGGCCATGGTCAAGTCCCTCGTCAGCAGGGCAGCGATCAGCCTCGTACGCGCCGGGGACTGGGAGGTTCTATGTTCGCTACAGGCTATAGCGCAGCCAAGTTCCCCGGTAGCTTCACGGGGGCCGCAGCTGAGTGAGATGGCAATGGGAAGGAGAATGGTTATCGACGTTGCATAGATAGTTGGGATGCGAGTCTTCACCGACATCCGGCACAATTGGTTGAGCAGAAGTGCCGGTTACACGGTCGAGGGCGGGACAGGACAGGACAGGACCTCATAATAGTTCCGGCACGATTGAGGGTCGACAGCGAGTAATAAAGCCCCCCATAGCCATGGCTGAACACAGTGCCGTATATTTCTCATTCGTGAATCCATTCGTCATCTTCTCGACTGGTAACAACCTCATCAACCTTCAGGCGGAAGTCGACAATCTCCTTCCCATTCACCAGGTCGTTTTCCCTTGCCCTCTTATCAGCTTCCTCCTCGTTCTTGGCAATGCCTGCCTTGACATGTCTCCCTATCAACCGCTTCCTCGCCACCTCAAAGTCCACGTCTACGAACCAAAGCTCATCCATGAGCTTCGCAGCGTCGCTCCACGGCGGCTTGTCGAGCGTAAGGTAGTTTCCCTCGAACACAACGATGCGGTGATACGGCTGGATAGCAATGTCGTTCTCCTTGGGGTCTTTGACGGCGTGGTCAAAGCTCGGGGCGTATATCGGAGAGGAGTCGGCCTTGAGGGGTTCACGGAGGGACGTGACGAGCTTGTGGAAGGCGGGGCCGTCGAAGGTGAAGGCGGCGCCGCGGCGGGCGTGGGCGGTTTCCGGGTCGGACATGGCGGAGAGCTGGGCGCGGGTGAGGTGGTAGCCGTCCATGGGTACGAAGGCGGCTGGTGGATGGGCTGTGCGGGTTGGGTTTGAGGGGTCGAGGGTTTTGGCGCGGGCGTTGAGGCGGGTTGTTACTATTTGGGAGAGGGTTGTTTTGCCTGGCTTGAGGTGTTAGAGGTTGGGTTGATAGTATTTGGGGACAAGAGAGGGTTTTCAGTTGTATTTACCTGAGCCTGGGATGCCGGATATTCCTATCACTTGGGGATGTTAGTCTTGTTTTGTACGTTTGGGTAGAAACTGGTTGAGATGGGTGACGAAGTCATCAGGGAGCAGTCAGGGAGCAGGGGTTTCACTAAGAGCAGAAAGCTCCAATGTTTAGGCTAGCTAAATTACCTAGCTCTGGAACATGATACGAAGGGCGTAGACTCACAAAGGCGTTTCTCTCCAGGCGTCTCTTGGAACTTGTTCCACGCCTTTTCTACCAGCCTGGCTACTTGCTGCTCCATTTCGACTATTTTGATCAGAAGGAAGACCGGCACACAGACACTATTCTATCTTTCCTTCGCATATGCGTAGACCCAAGCTAGGCAAGGTAGCTGAAGTCAATTAAAGGTTTCACGGGACGGGAAGATTGGAATGAAGGGACGGGAGAGGCGGGGGGTAAGAGTGGACGGACGGGTGAGGTTCAAGCTTCGAAGCTTCTCGGCCCGCTAGGTGCAAAAGCGGCCCCACTAACCCCGCCATGCGGCTTGATGTCATGTTGGGGAAACCGTTTCGGCAGGACTTGCTTGTAAAAAAATTTGCAGCCAGAGCATAAAACGTATTGTTTAGTTGCATAATTTTCAAAGTCAGTCACTCCCCTTCCAGCGTGCCGGTTTCTGTACGGATATCTTGGTGATGAATCGCCGAATTGGATACCCGACCACCTGGACCACGACGGAGCAATCGGGGTGGGGATTTCATTTTCTTCTTTGGACATTTCGTTTCCTCGAGACTTTGAGCGCCCCGGCGAAACTGGTCATTCCCGTTGTCGACTTACGAAATAGAGCAGCAGCAGGCTGAAGGAACCCATACTCCGAACCCTCGAAAGGGAATCTCACAAAGTTCTGGGATCTTTTCCTACCCTGGATTTCATCTAATTTCACGGGCCACACCTGCACGTACAACCTGCAAAAATGGCCGACGAAGAAGGCGACCTCTTCAACATCGCCATCGACGACTCTGATGAGGAGGAGCAGAAGCCCAGAGACTGGCAATCGGAAGAGGACTTTCAAAAGCTTCGGGCTACGTATCAGGTGAAGGTGCAAGACGGCGATGTGAGTCATTATTTTCCCTTGCTTCCTCGATATCTTTGTGCACAGAAACAATATGTACTCTATCTCGTTGGCTTTGTATTTATGCCTTTGTAAGGGAGTATGCGAGGGGTCATGGGTTTTCGATCTTTTCATCCTGCTTTTCATGTTCTCATTTGGCAGCCCTTTTCGAAGCTCGGATGCACTTCCGATGGAAGCCACCCGGCTTTCTCCACCTGCCCGGAGAACCCTGGACCGCGGAGAACACCCCCTCCCCTCCCCTTCCGCCTGCTTGGCCCCTCTCTTCTTGCAGCAGACAATCTTCAAAAAAGGGTGGTTTTTGACTAACACACATACTTGCCTTGCTAGGTTTGGCAGACAATAGAGCTACCGCTCAACACGGAAAAGGCCAGCAAGCCTGTGTTACAAGAACTCCTGCATGCTGTGGAAGAGCTCTACTTCCTACGCCGGTTCGGCGAGGCTGTGGCGTTTGCGAGGCGGGTCCTGGACGGGAGCGAGGCGGCGCTGGATCGGGATACCAAGGAGACGCTGGTCCGGTATGAGGAGAAGTGCCGGGGCCGAGTGGAGAAATGAAGGGGGTTTACAGACCTTACGTAGAAGGGATACCGTGGTGGCTTTGAGGGAGTAGTTCTTTACATTCAGCTTAGAGTTTCGTTGGGCAGTGACTTGCGGCGGCACATGGGATAAAGCATTTCTGCTGAATCACGATGAAACGGATGGACAATTCCATGTTGAGGCAATAAAATTTGCTGATCATTGTGAGGGGTCTATTATTTCTAAAAACACTCTATTTCTGGTCGCAATGAACCTTGAGAAGAATATGTCTTGTCTGAGGAAAACCCCCGGATGCTCTATCATGTAGGGATATTCCTGAACGCCGAATGTCTTTGTACAGTTGGGGATGGCGATTATCCTCTCAAGACCTGAGTGGTTTGAGTGGAAGATCCGCATCCACGGCTTTGGGCGTGGCCCGGAAAAAAATGTAATGTCTGAACGCCGTCTAAAAACCCTTTTTCCGAATCCTTTTGTGGTGATGCTGCCCGCTTGTTGAGAAAAAGATGTAAAAAATGACGAGGAACGCTGCATAACGCGAGTGTCGTGTTGCAAACCGGGATGGGGGGAAGAAACAAGAGTCAACGTGGTTGACTCTGAAATCTTCATCCCCATCAGCCACTTCATGCTGCCAAAGCGCCCTGGCGAACACGCATCTCGCGCTCGCGCTCCTCGGCAAACACCCGCCTGCTCATAGCCAAGACCATCTCGAACCCTTCCTTGCCCTTTTGCGCATTGTTGCGGAACTGCGACACGCACTGGTCCTCGATGCCGTTCTTGATGCGCTGCCAGCCGCCGCAGAGGGCGGTGATCTGCGCGTCCTGGACGAATTGCGTCTGCGTCGGGCTGACGGGCTTGTAGACGACGGACTCCTGGACGGAGATGAGGTTGGCGAAGGTCAGGTTCTGGGAGACCATTGTGACGGTCTTGTTGGCCGGGTCGACGTAGGAGGTCTCAAAGACGTGGGAGACGTCCGGGTCGCCGCCGCCGCCGCCGACGAGGGAGGCGAACCACTTGGGGGCGGACTGCTTGCAGGTGATGAGGCGCTCGGTGCGGAGGATTCCCGTGGCTGGGTCGACGCTGCGGCCGATCGTGTCGACGGCGATTACGTGCGTCGTCTTGTCGTTCCACGGGCAGTATTTGCGCCAGTTTGCTGCTGAGACCTCTTCCCAGGAGTAGTTGAAGGTTACTGCGTTGGAGAAGACCTTCATCTTGAATGTGGTTCCTGTGTGGTGGTGGTTGATATTACTTCTGGGTATCGGGTTTTGCGGGCGAAGCAGGAAAGGAAGCTCGTGTGATGGAGCGGGCGGGAAAGTTTTTTGTCGCTCTTTTTTTCTCTGCCTCTAGTGTCTTCGGGATTGGTATCGGGGTATCGTGTAGATGTCGTGGGTATTCGTGAATGAAAACGAGTTATTCTGAGTTGTATCTCGTTGTTTGTTTGTTTATCGTCAATCGACAGTGATGAGTCAACTTCTTTTGCAGGAAGGATAAAAAAAGGAAGAGGGAGGCGATTGTTGATATAAGGGATGCGAAAATAATAGGTGAACCTTGCTAGTAAGCAAATCGGACGGGGGTGCGAGAGAAAAAAAAACCGAGAGCAGCAGCGCGCTGCGAGCTTCGGCAGGCTGGAGGGTGGAGCAGGTGTCGTGTGCGGGTTTTTTAGGAAGCTGATCTGACCAACCAGGACGTGGCAAAACGCTTCCCAAGGCATCAAGTCCCCCCACAAGGTTTTTTTGCACTGGAAATTTCTCAGTGGGCTTCTGGTGCACTGCAGCAGTTTGCATTCTTTCCCCCCCAGGGCCAAGTGGCCCAGCCGGTGCCCCGGAGAAAGATGGGAATTCGGGGTGGCGCGTGCGAGCTCGCAGCGAAGGAGGCACGAAAACTCCACCGCAGGGAGCGCGCTGTCTGGCTCGGCTTGGGGCCTCCTACCTCGCCTACCTGCCTGTTTCGGGTATGGCGCGCATGGACCGCGTCAATGGAGATGGAAAACGTCGGAGACGAGGGGGGAAGGAAGGGACAGGATGGGGGTACCAAAGGGCCCAGCACCTCCCAGGACGCGGACTGGCCGCCGATGTGAAATCGCTGGTTGCATGTGATTGGCTTAAAGGTGGATCCGCGGATGAGCATTTGTCGGTTCTCCTCTTCCCAAACGCCGTTTCTCGCTGACATCCGTACCGTTCCCGTTACCCAGCGGGAAGCCGCAAGAGAAAGCTAAGTCGGCGAGTAGGAGACTGGGCCCAAGCTCTTCCTCTCTTTCCCGCCTCTCTCTCTTTTACACACACACACACACAAGCACACACACACATCCATGGACGAATACACTTTTCGCCCAGCCCGAGAGTGTGACGAAGAAGGGACGACGAAAAGCAGGTTCCGCCAAGGCCTCTTGCTGCTACAGGCCCCGACAGCCGACCCGCGGCCGACGCCTCTTACGCTACCTGGATATCCGAGGTGGATATCGGATGAAGCTGTCATGTCCTTCTCCGTGCTTCTGGACGCCGCCGATCGGACCCTTGGAGAACCAGAGATGCGCGGATTGGCGGTGGAGAAATAAGTGGATATTGCATTTCCAGTTCGCCGACCAGTGAACGGTCGTGACGGTGCGCCAGACACAGTCTCAGGGGCAAAAGGGAAATGCCTATGAGTGGTCGTCGGTTCTGGATCGGCCTATGATCTTGCCTCTGCATGCCTGTGATTGACGCCATGCTGACACGCCTCAGCCTCAAGTGGCGCAGGGGTCCTCTCTAGCTCTATGCTTACTAAGGCAATCGCTGGGTTCCGTGTGGCTCTACCCACTTCGCCCGGCGCCCGTCTTCATCTGCGGGTTCCGATCGGTTTCCATTCCGGGTTCGTGGTGATGGCATCTGACATCACCGCAGACCGCCACTAGATGACCACACGCGGAGACGGAAGCCTTCGATCCGCAAGACCGCCGGCCATGCTGTACATCGAGTCTCCCGTTCCGGACCATTATGCCGGAGCTGGTCCCCACTATGATTTGCCCCGTTGTGCCCGGCTACGGGACGGCATCCCGTTATGGGGCCGGAAACGACTGCTTAAAGAACGTTTGATAACGGGTCAAGAGAGGGCTGCGAGCATGCTGGCACGGCAGGCTTTGAGCTTTGTCTAACGGTAGCAGAGTGTAATAAGCGATATACGGATTCGAGTAGACACATCTGAGCATTGTGCATGCTTGTGATAGTACCTCATCGTTCTTGAATATTGTGCCAAGTAATACGGATACATCAGCGTGGGGAATTCCCTAGCCTCCCGAGAAGCGGACACATACTGTGCCTTGGAGGCAGACTTAACGCTATTCTCAAATGCAGTGTCGCTTATAACATACTGACATTTGATGGCTTTAGAAATGGTTCAAGAAGAACTCATTCAACGTCGTGCGCTCTCGGCAGAGATTCAGGCACGGTCATGTTGGATTCGATTGCTTGGATTTTTGATGTATATCTGAAAGATAGTCTTGATAAGTGGAAGGAAAACCCACGACAATACCTATCCTTGGCCGGTTCCACCCCGCCTAATAATCCTCTCCTCGGCTGATTACTTCCTTCACGTTTGGCCTGAGCAGGATGGTCTAGATGGCATGGGTTAGCATTGTCCTTGACAAACAGTAGCAAGTCATTACTTACGTGCTCGAACTGAGCTGTGTAGGAGCCCTTCTTATCACACAAGGGCGGGTAAGCCTCGACAATGCCGCTGGCAACGAGGTTGTTCAACTGTTATTCGTCAGCTCATATTCTTCAGTCAGTGGTGGAGATGCCCAACTTACACCAAGGAGATACTTGTCCTGTCCTAAACGGTCCAGATAACGCCGGCAGAAAGGTAGGGTGCCAAAGTTCTTGTTGATGACGTTCAACAGCCTCTTGGCCGAATCTAACCGGAGCGCGGCATGACCCTCTCCACGCTTGGCGTAGTGAGACACCTCCATATCTTCCCTGACATATCCATTGCCTGTGCTACCAAACGTCTCGACGGCGAAGACATCACCCTCCTCCATCTTTGTCGTGTCGTTACTCTTGACGATAGGCACGCTCTTGGTGCCGTGGATGCTCCAACGCTCAATCGTGTGGCCGTTGAGGTTGCGGATCGACTTGACGGGGTACGTCACGCCGTCAATCTCGCACTCGTAGCTCTCCATGACCTCCTGGATGACGCCGCCGACGTCGCCCACGCGGACGTCGATGCCGGCCTCCTTGACACCGGCGTTGGTCGCATCCTTGACGGCCGCGAGGAGGTTGTCGTACTGCGGCTCAAAGGCCATGGTGAAGGCGCTGTCGACGATGCGTCCATTGACGTGCACGCCAAAGTCGACCTTCATGACGTCCTCCTGCGAGAGCACCATCTTGTTGCCGGCGTTGGGCGTGTAATGCGCCGCGCAGTGGTTGAGGGACAGGCCGCACGGGAAGCCCATGCCGCCCTTGTACGCGTCGCCCTCCTCGAGACCAGGGTGTCCCGTCAGCGCACGCACGCCGTCCTCGATGCCTTCGGCAATCTCGGTCAGGGTTTGGCCGGGCTTAATGTTCTTCTGCGCCCATTGGCGGACCTGGCGATGGATCTCGGCGGCCTCGCGGTAGTCTGTCAAGAAGTCGTTGTTGAGGTTGTCGAGGTGACGCTTCTCCTCGTCCGTCGTGCGGTAGAGGTTCTCGTCGCGGTACTCCTCCTCCTGGCCCTTGGGGTAGTTCTTTTGGGGGAATAGCGAGGACATGAGCACGCGGGGCGGGTCGGACTGGGCGGTCGGGGACTTCTTCTTCTTCTTCTTTTTGTTCTTCTTCTTCTTCTTGGCCGCTCCGCCGGCGGCGGGTGCCGTCACATCCTCACCCTCCTCATCCGAGTCGTCGCTGTCGTGGTCGACCCCATTTCCCTCCGCGGGCTTCGCTGCCTTGCCGTTCGTCGCAGGCTCTCCCACTGTTGGAAGAAAAGATTCATTGATTAGCATAGGGATCCGGACTTGACGGGCGAATAGCCGGTAGCTACGGCGAAGAGCGCCATACCGTTGAGCTTCTTCAAAGCTTCTGTGGGAACTTGGGCAGCCATCTTGGCACACTAGATTTCGCGTGTGATGTGAAGTTGGTGGTGGGAGCAACACAGATTTTGAACCCCACCTGGTAAACGCAACTGCGCGGGGTAAGCCCCCGTAAGTCGTTAACCGGGGAGTTGCCCCCTTTAAGGGATGCAATGTCCAATCCCGTTTCACCTGGTAAGAGCTTTCCACAGGCGCGGTGAAAAAATATTCCCTAAACTCGGGTAGGGAGGTAAATAGCAGTCACCTGATTCGTCTGGTCCAAGCAAAACCGATCGTCTATTCTCAGGTCTGGAGTCGCAAAATTTCCCAGGGGCAATAGAAACGGTTAAAAAAAAAAGCCAAGTCTGCGGCCAAGCGGTCCACCCCCCATCAAAAATCACCATGGGAGGCGCGTATTCTTGCAACTCTGGCCTTGCTAATTACAAGGTTCCAGACGCCTATTACCCGTGGGCTGCGACTAGACTGCGGGTTGCACGCGGCAGATCGTGGTTCAAGTCGGCTAAGTTTGCTTCTCTTACACGTCACAACGTCATTTGATACCCTATTTTTAGGCTCGACTCGCCTCGTCTTGCCTTATAAGTGTCTCGAACCAGGAACATGCAACTTTACGCACTTCACTCCTGCATGGAACCATAATTGCCTCCAATGAATTTTTACCGATTTTTGTTTCCTCTGCAACTTCAGTGAATCAAAACCCCACGATCTAAACCGACTTGAGCGAGTGACTCGAGTTAAATACAGACTTGAGACGACACCTTCAAACACAACTTTTGCCGTGAACCCGAGATGACAGCTCATTCTGCTCCTTTAGTCGACCCCTTCAGACAATAAGTGTAATAGTCGCCTCCCGCCTAGTTCACAATGCACCGAGCAGAGAGGGAACCGCAGTCATGGGCGACACCGTAGTCGCAGCATCTGCCGCTGGGCGAGCACTCGTAAATGTGGTTGGCGATCCTCTTGCTCGTCACGACGTAGCCTCTGTCGCGGCTCCAGACGCAGTTGCCGCAGACGGTGAGTTGTTTGTTCTTGCTGTCGCATTTGCACCCGTTATAGTTGCAGGCCCTCTTCTCGAGACCTGTTTCTTCCTTCTTCTCCAGTATGGCCACGGGCTCGTCCGTGTCAGCCCGCGCGGCTACGGCGTAAGGTTCATCCTGCTGGGCGACGCTGGCATGGGCGGCTGCGGCGAGGAAGAAAATGGTCAAGGATGTGGCAAAGCGCATTTTGGGCGAATTTCTGAAACATAGAGTTGGTCAATTGTCTTTCGAATCACGAGGTTTTGATAGCTTGGCTATACCTTTTGAACTATTCCTTTGTTTCTGTCAATTCTCTTAAGGCTCACGCAAGATTCAACAGCTGCAGTTAGCTGGGTTTGAGCTTCTCAGTTAAGATGGCTATTTCCTTAACTTTTCATAGCTTTTATAAGCTTCTTAACAATACTTCATAATTCCATACTCTAGCTTCCAAGTCGATTCATCGAGCTTTCGATGCAAAGGAGTAATATCATGCCCGTCTTACTATTCCGAGGGGATCAGCATAGCTGAACGGTACATACTTCTCATTTTGATTCAGCTGAAAGACAGACGATCAACATAGTGTGGCATAGCTGCGGGGTTGATAGACAGAGAGAAACACCGGATTGGCTGCCTTCTCAACGATATATGTCTAGCAACTCGAGGAACCTGCAGCTCATCCTTCTCCGTATGAGTGTGTAGCCTCTAGCAGCCGTGTTGCTGCACCTTGTCTATGCTACCATCCGGCTGCGTGTATCGTCTAGTCATGTATTTCAGTGCGGCAGGACTTGCGGTGACTTTCGAAGGATTCTTGTGGTAGAGCCCAAGCCAATAAAACGTTGCTGTAATGTTGCATTCGAAAAGGTGTGGTTAACCAAAGCCAACTCTCAGGAGCTACACACTAAACTAGCCAAGAAGCAAACATAAGCTTGACCGCTTGAGAGGGGGAATCGGGCTAGTACTGATTTTAGTGTGTCCAACGCGAATTCTTGTGGATATGGAGGCGATAAGTGGCAGTTTATAGTCCTTATTCGATGACTTTCGGATGGTTCTGTCTCTACTCTCGACCTGTAACCCTCGCCGTGGGGCGTTTGCATGCATACATGATCTCTCTTACGCTGTTGCTCCTCCTCACATTCTGAGCAAGTATGGCAGGCTGTGTCGAGTATACCTGAGACACCAGCCAGCAGGTTTTTTTAATCTTGCGGGGTAGAATCGAAATGCTCCAATGATACATAGCCCATGCCCTTAATCATGACCTACAGTCGAAGCGCTTTGAATCGGTCAAGACCTTGGCATACCCTCGGAAGATCATGGCCCAAACTGAGAAGAGCCCCGATGTAACATGAGCCAAACCTCAAGCTGCTACGGCGCATACGCAGTACAACGCGATATCTCAAGTACGGCCGAGTAAGCACCATTTCCTTGCAACTATGTCTGTTTGTGGATGACTAAGTGCATCTTTAGGTAAGTTACATCAAATAGTTTGGCTTCTACTCACTGGACGTGTGAGGATCGGGGTGAAATCTAACTCCTACATGTTACCACGTCCTACCTGGCCCAACTAAAAACGGAGAGCCAGTGAGTGCAAACTATACTCATGCAGTCCAGGTACGCAGTCCAGCTCACGAGCCAAATAAGATGATGAAAACTCGAAAAGCACTGGCGACGTACTCAGTCGAGAAAAGGAGCATCGATAACAAGACGTTACTCATCTGTCAACGGGTTACTCTGTTCTGAGTTTTAGTTGTGCTTACTCCTTCCACAAATAAAAAGGGGTTTCTCATTAGCTCAAACTGCCCTTTTCAACTTTGAACCCAACATTTTTTTCATGCATCGATATGCCATGGTTCAGAATGGGTAGATGATCGATAAGGGTTGCTATGCCTTTTTACCACAAAATTCGCCTATCTATATCTACAAAACAATACCATTCTAAGATGATCATCTAGACGTGACAAGCCATAGTAGAACCTTATTTACACTAACTAAGTAGAGATTAATCACTCAATTGGGTATTTTGGGCAAAGACCGAAAACTTCTCGTGGTATTCGAAAGTTCTATCTTGCAAACAAAACGTTGGCCATGAGACAATGATCAACCTAGCCTGTCATGGATATATCGCAGTCCGAATCTTAAGTTCCAGAGACCCTTGTTCCATGCCCCGAAACTGCAAAACATTGTGCATATTGTTGACAGAAGGTAGATTCCTAGTTTGTCCTTTCATTTAGAGAGAGCCAAGTTAAACCTTAGAACTTCAAAGCACCAAAGAACATCTGAGAATAGGAGAACTAGAGATGTTCAATGAGCGTCGACAATTTAAACCACTCCCATAGGACAAAGACATCGCCAATATTTTCATTACTCCATGAGAAAATGTGACGGCAATTACACCACATCTGGTCAAATATTACCTTTCTTTATTCTTCTGATTATGCTTTAATCCCATGAATCCCACATTAGACCTTTGGGGATTGATGTTCATGCATATCTAGCCATAGGGCCTTGGATATTCAAGCACTCTCGAGTCTAAAGCCTTCTGGTGTCCACGTTCAGTGCAGACACTTCTGGGCCAAGCTGTCCCCGTCTCGAACTCGTGAGGACATCATCTTCAAAGCCCGGGCTGGCCACAAATACTTCATGGTCTTGCGACTCCACGTCCCAGTGCTCCCAAGAGACTCTCACGATGGCCTCCCACGGCCAGAGTGCCTTCCCCCATCAAAGGAGACCCATCCAAAGGCAAGAACAGTAGCGCCCTGTAGACTGCCAGAAGTTTCAGGCCCCACCCTTCTTCGAAATCAAACCCCCAAGTTCGTTCCTGGACTTTCCACTTTCCCAATCCATCATCAGCTTACCTTCATCCTCAAGGTAGCTGTCGGCACCCCAACATCCATCAATATCCGAAAACCCAGGCTCGAAGCATCAATATCATGGAGGGCAAAAGGGACATCAAGGATTGTGTCCTCTGCGGCAAGGCCTGCAAGAAAGCCACCCGCAAGGATTTCTCCTGTGGTTGTGATCCCTACTGCACCACTTGCGCGACCGCCTATCTGAAGTCGTGCATCTCGAAGCCGTTCCGCAAGCCCAAGTGCGACGGCGGCTGCGGATCCCAGAAGCCCTTCCCCGATCTTTGGGCCCGCCAGTTGCTCCGCCGCAAGGAGGCTACGACTTACTTCGACCTCGCCGACGAGGCCGATGAGGTCTCCAGCAACACCGCCGTGTACTGCCATGACACTGTCTGCGGCCGCTACATCCCGCTTCGTTACCGCTTCAATCTGAACATCGTTGCCGGCATCGTCAGCGGCAGTGGTACTTGCCCCTGCGGAAAGCTCACCTGCATTGGATGCGGCGACAAGGTTCACCAGGGCGAGACCTGTGCCGAGGTTGAAGCTCGCTGGAAGGCGGAGGGAAAGCTTAAGGAGGAGCTTGAGCGTCAGAGTCGTCGTACCATGGAGCACTTGAGCATCAAGCAGTGCCCTGTCTGTCAGTCCCCTGCTGAGAAGGCTGATGGTGGCTGTAACTACGTTCAGTAAGTTCCTTTACTCTATGTGGAAATCTCTCCTTTGGCGTTGTTTCTTCTCATTTTTGAGCGGTCACTTATTAATGTTCTTGCGCGGGTGTTTAGATGCGCGACTTGCGAGAACACCTTTGACTGGGACGAGGCAAGCGTTGTTGATCACAGCAAGTTTGCCGACGGCAAGCCTGGCGATGGCAAGCCTGGCGATGGCAAGCCCGAGGGTATTGAGTCCGAAGTTGAGAAGTCTGCTTATGACAACTTGGAGTCCTTCGAATTCAACCCTTTCGAGGACAAGCCCGCCGAGAATGAAGTCGCCGAGAGCAACGCCGCCAACGCCGACTCTTCCGAGACCATGGCTATCGATGAGCCTGCCGAAACTATGTAGCCTCCCAGCCTAACTCGGTCTATCGTCTACAAGCCTACAGCTCGCATGAAAGTCAAACGCGTTCCAGCCGACTTTTCGTGCCATGAAGGCAGAGACAAAGATTCAGTGGAAACTAATTGTATACATGTTCAGCCGCCGAATGTGAGTTATCGACTTCCCAGGTATCCCTCGATGGCATATGGTCACTTCCCCCATCTTCATTCCGATCAAATACTGACAAATTGTACGTTCAGGACGACTCTTCATGGCTAAACGGCTGTCTGCCCTTCTTTGGCCGCTTTTGGCACTTTCTGAATGTCGCAATTCGAATTAATTACCAGATCATATTGCCGCATGGCAGTGATACGGACTTGCTTGTCGGCATTGGGCGAACGAGCAAAGTGGTGGATAGAGAGGCAAGAGCAACAAGTGGTGATGGCTAAGCTGGAAGAAGACTGAGGTATACGAACGGATCGATGAGGACCCATGAAGGACCGAGGAAACTTTCAGGACAGAATGGTTTAGTTGGTAGAGGTACCAGTAAAGTTACAAAAATCAGAATCCCCGAGCTCATGATTACGCTGCTCAACATGCCAGAACCCGAGTAAACCCGCGCCTCCCAGATGCAAAATCAAAATATCGAATCCCACCATCTAAACCGAAACTGAGAAGTAGTCAAGTACCCCGTCTCTTCTCATCCAGGACTTCTCCCGAGAACACTTTACTCAGTTGCACTGGTCCCCAACTTGCACGAAGAACCCGCCAAGCTCAGAAGCCGTAAACGCAACATTGATATCAACGTCAACATCCGCATCATTCGCGATAGCAAACTCGAAGCTCAAACTCTCACGGCACGAGAAGCTGTTGACGACCTGCACGGTATCCTTGACAACAGCGTCGTTCGCCACCTCGAGCGGCCCAAAGCTACCGACCAAGCTTCCCGCAGCGGGACCGTCCAGCGTGCGCACGTTAAGGCGGGCGAAAGCGTCGCCGCCCTGGTCGACGGGGAAGCCTTGGCTGAAGGCGCCGACGAGCTGGCAGGGACCCGCGGTGGTGGGGCCGACGGGGAAGGTGAGGACTTTGGTGACGACGGTGCCGGAGCGGAGGTCGGCGACGCCAAAGTTGAGGTCGGTGGGCGCGACGAGGCGGCAGCCTGGGGTTGAGGTTTGGCGGCGCTCGGAGGGGGTTGAGCGGGCTGTGGCGAGGCCTGCGAGGGCGGTGATGAGGATTGAGGTGAGCTGCATTGTTGGGGTTGGTAAGGGGGGTTTTGGTTTGGGTGGTGGTAGGAAATTGAGGGGTTGGTATGCTTGTTAGGCTGGAAATGAAGCTGTTGATGATGGTGTGGATGTGAGGAAAGTATTGTTGAAGACGAGGGAAGTATCCTGATTTATAGACATCTTCATCTCGTCGTCCTCTTCGTATTGAAGAGGTTCTTTAGTCCATCACGATACCTCGTAGAAGGATCATCAACTGCTGCGCCCGGAATCTCACCAGGCGAGGGCGAGTTGAGAGACAACATCGCGGCTGATGGAGAGTGAGGGAGACGTCACAATCCTCCAGCACTCAGCACTCAGCTCTCGGATATCACAACGGGCACCACGAGGCCAACATTCGCAAGTCATCTACCAAGGTAGGGCAAAAGAAACCGACTCCGCCTCACTATGTAAAAAGCCCTGCGGAGACTTTTTGTCGTAGCCTTTCTCGAAAGACCAAACCCTATACGATCACACTGCTGAGATAGCCGCAAAAATCGAATCTCCCAGAAAACAGTCCTCCGCTTTCCCCCTTCCATGCGGTTTTCTGCTTTGCGTTAGCTGCCGCTTCGCGGTAAGTGAAGAAACCCGAGCTGAGGATCTCAAGCCCGTCAGCACGCCCTCCCCGCTTGGCGGGTTCGTTGCTCAGCCCTGCTAGATCGAAAGCTGACAACGAGAAAGTCCAGTCAGATTCAGCCGGGAATTTGAAGAAGCTACTGCCGGGCTAAGCTTACAAAGTTACGCCCTAAGTGACTTACTTGGGTAGCCCGCCTTTCCCCAGATTTGCATGTTCTAAATATAAGCTTAGCACTTTGACAACCTCCACGAGAACATGTATTCTCCAAAGTAGGCAATAAGAAGGAAACGTCTAACTAATGCCCATTCCCAGCTAGCTTACCAATACCGTGACAGGAAGGCTCAGGGTTCGCGCCCGATTGGACAGACATTTCGTGCAGGGCGGAGCAAACTTTCTCGTGACCTTGGTATATATATTAAAAAGCTGGGCTCTTGAAGGATCCGAGTTTTGCAGTGACTTCATTCGGGCCGGTTGTGAGGATCATGGCTATGAGAACGAGCCTGAGAGCCTTGTTGGCGATGAGTTTGAGACATTTTGTCGTCAGCAAAGACAATGACGAGAGAAGTTTAGAAATCAAGTTCATGTCGCCGTCCTCTAATGTCAAGAAAGACGCCTATACGAGCTCGCGAGCTTGAAGACTGAGGAATTTGACTCTTTCCTTCGAGAAGGTGTGGTCTTGAGCGAAGGTGCCGAAGGCTGCCGGAAGGATGCAAGGTACCGACTCAGCCGACGAGACTGGCAGTGCCTTAGTTCATCTGACGATACGATGTAGGTATTTTGTCGTACTCGCAACATCTTGCTTAGTTTTGCATCGGTCCCAGAATGGCGAAGGAGACGTAAGACGGGTTGTAACCTAAGGCCTCAAGTTGTCGCCGGTACGAGGGACAGCGGTAGAAAGTTGTGCCCGAGTTTGGATGATCTGGCTGGAGTCAAACCTTGTAGCTCCCTTCATCTCGTCCATGGGATGAGGCACCCGCCCTCGGCGAGTAAATTCAACCGCATCTCACCCCCCGCTGGAACGTGGTCGTCGAGATGACCCAAGGTCTGTCGGCCTGTCTTATTGAACCTATTCTACCAGAGAATTGCAAGATTTGATGTATGCTGCAGGTATCATTGAGAGGCTATGCTGATATCAGCCCTAACGAATAAAAACAAGAAAGACCACTCGGCAGCTTGCCCGCGGTCATCCACGCACCACGCAGCACGGCCTGGACCCGTGAACTGTAGGCAAGTCATTCCCAATTCTCGGAGCCTTGGCGGACGATGGACCGCACTGACCCGTCGACGACCCAAAAGAAGCCTCGCCGCTCCTATGCTCGTTCCTGTTCGCTCAACTTGCTCATCTGGCTAGCCATGCTCAACCCCGTCCCCTTCCTCGTCTCCAGCGCCCTGGACCACCTCTTGTTCTCGTGAGCGGGAGGCTTTCCGGACCCGTTGAGTCCGAGAATCTCCATCAGCTCGGGTATTTCGGCGTGGTCTCGCGTGGAGCGCATGCGGTGGCACCACGTCACTCTCTTCTCCTCCGGCTCAAAGTCGTCGCCGCCCTCTCCGTCGATGCCCTCCTTGTTGTCGATGCTGTTCTTCTTTGACGTCATGGCTTCCTCGATCTGTCGCTCGGCGTATGGTGTCGAGACAGGTGTCACAAGCTCCAGGGGCTCGAAGAGGAACTCGCCGCCCACTTGTCTGTGGTCGCCCGATTTTGTGGCCAGGCCGCTCTTGACCTGCTTCAACCCCTGGAACACGCTCTCGGCGGCTGATTTGAGCATGGATTTGCGCATGTAGGCCGGTCGAGCTCCTAGCGCGAGGGTGCGCGTCATGCCCAAGGTGTCGAAGAGACGTCGCGTGGGATCGGTGTATACGGGGAAGGGGCAGCCCGTCTCCTGGAGGTACATTTCAATCAGGCCAGGGTTGCCGCAGCCGACGACGGTAATGAATGTGCTCATGGGAAGGCCCAGCAGAGCATCGGGGGTTATCGATTCGGACAGAGATCGTAGGAATTCCTGACAATTCTTGGTAGGGTTAGCAAGGAGAAGAGTTGTGAGGGGATCATTGAGAGACTTACGCCGCAGAAGAAGTGGCGGATGAAGATGACGAGGACTCGCCTCGCGACATTGCGACCGGTGTATAAGCTCTTGAACGTGTGGCTCTTCCCATGACGATCTAGGACTACGTAGTTCTCGATCTTCTTCAGAACCTGGGGCGTTGGCAGGTCGTTGTTGGTGGAGATTTCGCCCTCAAAGTCGGCGGGCTTGGTGTTGTCGATTTCTATCGAGGTCGCTGCCGTGTCGGCGCCTTGAGTCGTAGAGGTCCTTGGCGACCTTGTGCTCGTTGTCGTGGCGGTGTTTGGTGGTTGTTGTACAGACTGGTCGGTGGGCGGCAGTCCCTCCCTGGCGTCTATTGATGTCGGCCGAGGAGGTAGACTAGGCTTCGGCTCGTCCCCCGTCGCATCTTGACCGTTTGACGAAGACACTCCGTTTGCGTCCTCTGCGCTGTTGGGCTCCGGAGCGGCCTTCAACTCCTCAGTTGTCGTCGTAGCATTGGGCTCCGCGGCGTGCGTAGCTGTCTCCGTGGAGTCAGATGCTTTCTTGGCATCGCTGTTCGTCGAGATAGAATTGGTGTTGGTGGTGGCAGCCACGGCTGGAGGATCTGACGGCACAGCAGCCATGACGTCGTAATTTGGGTGGGTTTGAGCGATGTTGGTTTGGGACTTTCGAATCGCGCGCAAATGATGTTCGCTGCGATTTGGGACTTTGGGTAAAACAGGCTCGATTATGTATGCAGAGGCTCTGAGACGCCAAAAAAGAAACAAAGCTGGATTTATTTTTTCGATGGCTAAGACGAGACTAAAGGCAAGGTAGACAGACGATGGGTGGTCTGGAAGGAGGCGCAGCAGCTCTCAGTGGCCAGGATTGTACTCGTAATGGCTGAATACCAAGGAACTGGGCGAGAGAAGGCACCCGAGTGGACTGGGGGGGACCAAATGGAAGGGGAAAAGCATGCCGCACCACCGTGGATTGTGGACGGCTTCTCGAGACTCAGCCAGGCTCCTCCTGCCCACTTCACCTATCTGGTCTCAGGGCCTCTCTTCAGGTTTTCCTCAACCTTGTCAGTTTGCTCTTCAAGCCTCCGACTAATACCAATTATTATCAAGTACACCCACCGTGCCACCCCGATGTCGATAGTGGCCGCGCTACGATCAGGTGCTGGGCATCTCACGGCAAGTAAAGAGCCGTTTTTTGCGCGCGGCTTGCAGCTGGTTGGCGATTGCAGGGTCCAATCTGAGGAATGGGGGAAATCAAGATGCGAACGCCACCGCCAACGGATTTCTCAATCGAGTTGGTGATTGACGGCAGTAAACCGGGAATCAGGGGACTAGCAGCAAGTTTGCTATTGCTCATTTGCCAAGAGACGTTAGGTTACCACGTTACCTTAGTAAGGTACACACATGCAGCTTCTGCAAATGCTACCCAAATGCCACCGGAAAGACCCTGATCTCGACTCTTGGGTCTTGACTTCCACATCGTGTCTTTGAAGCCCCTGCCTCCTGCGTCTCTGTGTCCAAGTGTCTGTCCACAAATACTGAACCGCCCATAGCCCATAGCCCAAAGCATAGGTGCATCACTGCATACGTACTCACAGCAGGCCAACTGATGAGTTGGAGGCCGCTGGCCTTAGCTCCTTGGAAAACGCGTTGTTTCATCCGCGTATGAGGTCATGGTGGAGGGCCAAGGCGTTTGTGCTCATTAAGGTATGGTCAGGTTCCTGGGCTCTACCAAGCTATACTTGAGCCTCATCAAACGAGTCTTCTTTTGATGAAACATGAAGAGAAGACGTTTACTGAATTGCTCAAGACACTAGTTATCCGCCCCTTCAAACATGATCATATGGCTTCACGAGGTTTGAGGTACAGCAAACTCTCGGGTAATTGTTCTCATCATCCAAATGCTTCAATCGAAGAACCGTTACCCCTGTCATGGCCCGGACATGGGACAGATGGAGCAAAAGAGAGAAAACGACAGGGTCTCCGGATGAGGAATGGACGGCACTCTATTACCGGTTTCTCCGCGTATGAGTGAACATTTACCCACCTTCACCGTCGCTCACCTGCCGTGCAGAGCTGGCCCGTCTACTATCATCCAGAACTTTAGACGTAGAAACAATCTCTTGCTCGAGGCAGGCCGCAGAGCCATCTGCATCCTCATTTCCCCGGAATGAACGAAACAAGGCCACCGGAACAGCCACCGACGTAGACCCTGTAAGTGCGTGCTGCGGACAATTTCTTGAGATTGATGCTATTTTTACCTCTTGAGCCCCAGCAGGAGTCCCCGTCCAGGGACCAGACCACGACCGTCCAGCACGCAGAATCCGCTCCGGGGTCCGGGCCTGCTGCAGACTCCAGAGGCATCGGCCACAGCGGACTCAGCACCGGAGGCGGGGTGAATTACGCCCTGGGCTTGGGCTTGAGTCTTGTCGACTCCGAATTAGTCACTTGCGGCATCCCACGTTGGCTTGGGCGCAGGAAACAGCGACTGAAGTCCAGGGCAAGAGAAGTGTGGCTTGTGCTTTCTCAGATTTGTTTCTTTCCTTCGCAAGCCACGACTCGGCCGGATCCTCAACGACTCGCTCGACGGCCCCCAAACTGTCATACCTGCAACCTTCAACTCAAGTCTCGACCTCATCGCGGACTTGTTCCGGAGATATCCTCCCATTAGGTCGGAAAAACTCTCTGCACATCATACTCCCCCAGGGTCATCCCATTGACTGGATCACCAGGGGACGACTCGTCAAGTCTAGCTTCCCCTCCTGACAGAATTCGATGGCATTTCTCGCAAAGATGTCAACAACGGCGTAACAGGTGTACAGATGACTCCCTCTTCTGGCATACACCTCGTAGGACCCCGATGGATTAGAGCTGGCGCTTCTCGATATGGATATGTTCCAAATCATACTCCAGAAACCTCCGTCGAAGCGGCCACGATTAAATGTTTTGCTGGAAGCCAGCCTTGCTGACAATCGTTGACCTCCAATTGAATAGCTCAATCCTTCCCCGCATGGCATGATTTCGCCTTGGTTCATAGGAGAATTGCCCAAGCAAGTGTCTTTGTCAGTCAACTGATGCGTATATCTAGGAGGGTTTTCGAACACAGCCTGATCTGCCTTCGCAAACCGTCCAGAATCGGCAATCTCAGGCGCATTTTTGTATATCGCGCATCTCGGAACGGTCTTTCGTATGAGACCGACTCGCCAATGTCGATATCGGAAGATTCTTGACACATCTTCTCTTCGTGCCTTCGCTCGATGGAAAAAGCCCTGGTGACCGGCAAACCTTGGCAACTTATCAGTGCCTGCTCTTCACTGGTGCAAAGCCAGTACGGCCGGATTTCACTTCGAGACTTTCAGGAAAGGCGCTTATTTTGTCAGAACCAAAGCCAATCATTTCTTCTTTGCCCTCAAACGCTATGTTGCGCATGTCAACGCCAACTCCGAAAGCCAATTGTCCCATGCCCCCACGTCCCTGTGTGTCCTGAATACCTGGACATCTGTTTACTCCAAGTTCCCATCTTTCCCTATCATAGCTGCTAGCCCTCAAATCCAGTGTGGGTATCCCGGTCTGTCTGTTCGCACCGTCGCCGCGCCTGGCTGCAGGGGTACAATCTCGGTCTCGACTGCGTCGACTTCAGCCTTCTGAGGCAACTCCTGCAACTCTCGCTGCACTCTCCTCTCCTCCTGCTCCTTCAACAGCATCTTCTTGACTCTTCTCATCTTGACATAGATGTATATCGCGAGTGCGATGGTCAGAATGAATGTTGCGCCAAAGACAATGTTCTTGATGGTGTTGTTGCTGTTGTTCGACTTCTTCTCAATCAGGAGAACACCAAGGTAGACGAGAATGATTTGCTTCGGAAGCGTCAAGAACGTCGACACAGCAAAGTGCCAAAACTTCACATCGCATGTCGAAAACACCGCGGTCGAGAAATGGGACGGAATGACCGAAAACCGAATGATGAAAACGATCTGTTAGGTGTCAGTCACACAGTTCAACTACACAAACAACCCATGCCAATAGACTTACCCAGAATCCGCCGTCGCGAGTCAATCGCGCCAAAGCACCATAGTTGAGGTTAGTCCTCTCCAGCTTTTGGGCCTTGCGTCGCAAGGTATACTTGAACGCAAACCAGGTTCCAACTGCAATCCGAGTTAGTGATCTGGTCATACGTGAGGGCTTATGAGCGCCGTACTCTCTCCGATGAAGGTGCCGGCTGCGACGATGGCAAATCCAATCCACAGGCCGTACACCACACCGCACAAAAGAGCCACAATCTCGTGGCCAAAAAGGGGCGGGAATGAGATTAGCACCAAGATGGCGATCGGAATCAAGAACCCTCCGGGTAGCGACCGGACCTTTTCAGAAAAGGGCCTCAATTTCTACGATTGCCGGACACGTTAGTATATGCACCTTCTCTCAATAAGATGCCACATACCTCAACGACCTCATCATGATGAAGACTGATAAAGACTGTCGCCACAATGATGGCTATGCCCAAAAGGTGGAATGCTGCACGTCGCCCAAGTCAGTTTCCCCTGTATTTTCGATGCCGACTGGATGGTTCATACGGATATACTTTGGCGTCAAGAAGATCTTCTTCCAATTCAATGGCCTGTATTCGGTATCTTCTTCCTTCTCTCCTTGCCGTTGTACGCTTCCCGTTCGGGCCATCTCGACGTCGGGCATGGTAGAAACTGCCGGCGACTGTTGGTGATGGAAATCTGATTGTTCAACAACCCGGCTCCAACGTCGACGAGAAAATATGCGACCAACACCCATTTTGATGAGAGCGGGCAGATTGATCCAGGGGGGAGGAGAACACGCACATCAAGTAGGGAGACGGCGGGATCTGAAATCAATGCGAAACCGGAAAGCGGAACGCACAGCCACCCCAAAGATCGGCCAAAGGAGGCAATAGTCAGTGCAGTGGTCCAGAATTTCCTCGAGTCGTAACGCTTTATGCCACTGGGTTGTTCCTGGAACATAAGCCTTAATTCTTATTAACGCGGATGCAGGGTTACTGGAAAATCCCCCGCACATCCTCCCCCCTTTACACTACTGCAAATGAGGATGTACGATGCACCGGGGGGAAGGACAAGGAGATCCAAAACGGAGTTCGACTGCTCCTCTTTTTTCGCAATTGGGAACCTCAACGTCATGTCTTGTGTGAGAGGTTGCGGCTTCGCGCACGGTAGACGTATCACAATACATACGGTCATCACCAACACGTGGCGGGCGGCTCTTTACGTGTTTCAACACCCGTGGCCGATCACCGACCGACAAGGCGTCGGAGATCCAAAAGACACCGATAACGAAGCACCCCAAGCTAAGTCACCCCCACGCATCCGCCGCGGCCTTATTTCGATAGCCAAGTTTCATTCAACGACTCGGCGACCACGGCCTGTATGTATGTTTCTCCCAACGTGGTTGGATAACGGTTGATGTTTAAGCTTGCGACTGGCCCCGGACAAGACTCAACGCCATGTCACCACCACTCGTCGGACACCAAGACAGAACCCCTCCGAGCTATCCGCAGTATGAGCTTGGCCGTTTTCTCACTCGCCTAGAGTGCTACACAGTTGGGCTGTTACTCTTTCATCATCAAAGTTACATTGACAAGAGAAAACTCTACTTACCCCAGAACCTAATGCTTTGGCTGGACCTGACACTCGAGGATCAAGCCGGCTCGTCTCCCGGTGGTCCTGGCGGAAGGTTTAATCGCATGGGATTCGGCAGACAGTCAAGCTTGGGCTACAGTAAGCATCTTTTCAGCTCGAATGTGTCCTTCCTCACCTCTGTAAGCCCATTGTTGGTCTCATCCTGCGGAATCCGACATGCTGGGAGACGGATGGACGGCGTTGTGTACACGGGGCTCTTAGCCATCTTGGAAGGGCTTGAGACGGGTATGAGTCTTCTCAACCAGAGTGCCAAAAGTCCATTTTTCCGACGTTCTCCCCCAAGGCCACGCGTGCCCGAGCCTCAGAGTAGCTGCGAAACCTGCAGCCGTTGTGCTGTCGAATTACGTTCAACCCAGCAGCCCTTTGCTTCCCTGCATGGTCAGATAGGCATTCTATTTCCCACAAAGTTCTTCGCGATTGGTAAGAGTGCAGGTTTGACATGCAGGTCTTCAGGTAACTATCATCCTTGCTTCCATTCCCCGCTCCTTCTGGTACTGGTATGGATCTTTTCTGCTGTATGCCAGGAGAAAGTCAAAATAGCTTATTTATGCTGCTTTGAAGCTCTTTCTGCCCTAGCGGACCCTGCCTCTCTCGATCACATTGACAGGCTTTCTTCGTCTCGGCGAGCACGTCATGACTACGAGAGCCTAAGCAGGAGCTTTCATTCCCTGACATCTCTGATCCCAGCTGCTCGGGACGCGAGGACGAGCTCTTTGCAGCATTAGGTTGAGCGAGCTTTTGATCATGTTAGGGTTTTGGATATGTTTGCCGCGCTTTGGGTAATCTCCAACGCGCAAAGACTTGGAAAGGCCCACTGCTTGGCATGCTGACTGCAAGCAAGCTTGCCATGTGCACAAAGACGCAAGGAAGACAAGCCCACGTTCAACGGACGCCAAGAACATCCGAGCCACCAAAAGCTCACACTACACTAAGGTAAGCAGTTTGGCTCCCGGCCGACGGGCCGCTCTCTTAGCGTTGCAGGTGTGGCTTTTCGCTTCCCCCCTTTGATGTGGCAAATATCATTGCGGGTGGCTACTGTGGCTTGGCATCTGGCAGCGAGGAATGCGAATTTGAGGAGGTCGTGAGACATCGTGGAGTTTGACAGCTCTTAGCTTCGTGGCTTTTTTGGTGTTTCTGCGTCTAGGTATTCAGCTTCAGCTTCGGCTTCATTCAGCTCTGTGTCAGAATTACCCGGATCATTTCCAACTTCGTTCACCGTACCCACGAGCTAGTCGCAGGCAACATAAGGCTTGCCGTCGGGGTAAAGGTCTCGGCGTGAAGCCTCTTTTGACTCCCTAGCGATCTCGGGGGAGATCATCCCGCTTCTGACTTGTCACAGTGGCTATCTTGTCTGCTTCTCATTGCCGTTGGACGACTTGTTACGTGATCAAAGTCCGAACGTGTAGATCAACCGGGCTCGGCGTCGTCGGCGGCGGCTACACCCGCATGCCAACTTGTTAGTCCGTGTCTTGGCCTTTACTGAGAGACATTTTGATCGCTGCCCCAGTCTACCTGTATCCACGTTGAGGCTGTTTCCGGCGCGGGGCTATTTTTCAGAGTCTTGTGTCTTACCTAATGTGGGCACTTTTGATCAAAAGCTTGCTTAAGTTTAGGTAGTAGTTCGGTCGGTTATACGTTGCCACTTGAGTATACCATTGAGACAGCGGAGGCGCCTGTGGAGACTCCGCGTTCTTGTTCAATGTCGGTCTGATAATCCTCGCCACGAGGCGATAGGGAGTTGAAGCTTTGCGGGGCCAGATATAGGATAGGCTTCTTGGCATAGGTACCGGTCTCATAGGCTAACCTGCCGTGTGTGATAGTCATTTACTACAGTCTGCCATCTATTCCTGACTCGTCGGTTGTGATAAACTTCGGACCCAAATATTCGCCTGGAGGAGAGGAAGGTTCTCGTTTCCGTGAGACTTGCCGATCGTGAAAATCTCGTAATGAGGTTGTGTGCCACAACTGTCCTCCGCGAGATCGTCAGACTTTTGGTCTGCGGATCTTCGCCTCGGAGTTCAGCTGCCAAGGAGATGGGCGAGAAAGGGAGACGGAAGACGAGGAGATGTTACGTGAACAGGTTGGAGATGTCGACCGGCTTGGGGTAGAGCTCGGGTCGTTGTTGTGCTTGGGGGAACATCTATAAAGACCAACGGTCGAAGGCCCCTCTTGATCTACATCTCTAGACTTCCAAGCTCACAAGTTATATCATTTGATCACTACATCCACCAAGCAAGTCCTACTCGCACTCATCTACCTTGTCCCACGAGACTAAAATACCTCGTCCTTCTCAATCCATCCAGACGAGCATTCTCCTCAAAAATGCACTTCTCAAAGACCTTTCTCTCCCTCGCCGCGCTGGCCATCTCCTCAACGACAGTCTTCGCAAACCCCGTCGCGCAACCGGCAGCGGCGGCAGAACAGCTCGAGGACCGTACCATCCTCTCTGCAGAAGAGACCGAAGTCGTAAAGCGTGCCGCAGAGATCCTTGAGACCCGTCAAGGATGGACGTGTTCGTTCCTGGGCGATAAGGCGTGTCAGGTCAAGGTAATGTTTCTGACGCGGATCTTCATGGCTCGTTGATGGAATTCCGCTGACGAGTTTGGTGTAGTGTTTTGGGTTGAAGGGAACTGGTGGATACTGCAACTCCAAGAAGTAAGTTCCCTACCCAGGTTTTGAGTTGTTTTTCTGATGGTTATTGACGTTTTTGATAGTGTCTGCACTTGCCACGCTTAACTTTACACACTTTGGGCCTTTTGGGTTGGTGAGAGGTAGGGAGTGGGGTCTGACCGCTTATCAAAAAGCTTGAGGTCTGGTACTAAAGGTACAGAAGGGATGCTGGAGAACATAGGATCAGTTTGATTGGATTTCGGGGACTAGAAATCCGTTTGCCAGACGGCCAGAATGGGCCACATTCTGACCTTGTTGGTACTGGGTAGCCTGCAAGGTAGCCAAAAGGATCTCACGAGAAACACTAAACTCAAGATAGGGAACTCAAGAATAAGTTAAAGAGCTTTTGGACCTTGGAATCGTACTTGTGACTCATGAACTTCATTTTCTGCGATAACAAAGTACCTAAGACGAGCGGTCGTAGGCAGTTCTCTTCCGCTACCACGGAACTGGAGAATTCAAAAGTGGTCCACGAACGGATTAGTCTTTTCTGATATGTCTCTTTCCTCTCGAACTTTTGTATTAGACTGTTGACTTCATTCTAGCTGCGGATAAGGTGGAAAGCATTCGGAGATATAACCAAATGCGACTAGGTTATCAAGCCTCAGCATGCGTTGAAGTCCATTGCACAGCAACATTCTACACAACAGAAACATCGCCCTCACGAAGCTTCTTCAGTTACCAAGATATCCAACTCACAATAAATCGGCATAATTCACTGGAACAACGTCTCAGAATCCCGCATCAAACTCCCCGGCTAAAAACATTACATCCTCATTTGGTTACATGGAGCGATACGGACATCTCGCACCTCCCCGTAAGAAGCCTACCCACGAGTTCGACGAACTCGAACAGTCTATCTCTGTACGAATCAACGATAAATATATCAACTGCTTCAGACTCGTCGCCGCGGGCAAAACCACCACAGGCACCGGATGCGGTGTCCGTATACATGCATTCACCAACGATTCCGAATGCAATGACACCGCCATGAAAGGGAAACAGGAGGATGTTCAGGTCACTGCCGCGCCAAAAGACGAGCTCGCGGACGAGGTCGCTGGCGAGATCATGGCTGTTTCGCTGGGGAATCAGGGATGTATTATCATTTTGTTGTATTTCAAGAAGGCTGATCTGGGCGTCGGCGAGGATAATGACTGGGTGAAGGTTTTGATGGATAGGGAGTACAAAGAGGATGTGATACCGCAATGGGAGGATTTGGAGGACTGGGTTGAGTTGTGAGAAAGTAGCAGCCGGTGGTCAGGTGTAAGGCTTCCGTACTCCTGGCTCAAGTTACATCTGACACAAGAAGTAAACGTTGATGGAAAACTGGACCGTGGAGGCGGATACCGACCTGCACACAGTTGACGTATGATTCGGAACAAGCATGTACTATAAGTCAAACCCCCCACTTCCTGGCACCCCCCTGTTTCTGGCACCCACAAAAACGATGGGATCACAACCCAACCTCCTCATTACTATTAACTATTGATCCTCAACCACACCCACTACAATACAACTGCCAGCCTCACTAGGGCATTCAGAGTCGCTGGATTCAGCCGTAATAACCTCCTTTTCACCCGCTTCGATTTGAGCCCGATGGATATCCCTGATGTTCGCAAACTTCGTGTTGGGATCGATCTGAACAGTCTTCCTCTTCCTAACTGCAGCGTTGGTAACTTGAGCCCTCAGGTGAGCCAGCTGCTGCTGGGCAGCTGCCAGTTGCCAGGCCTGCTCTGTGAAGCCTTTTTTCACCTTCCTGAACAGCAGCCGTTGAGTGCTGGTATCATTGTCGAGTTGGGTGTATAGTGCAGTTGACCGCTGAGCTCTGCCAGCTTCCTGGGTGTCGACCAGACCACTGCAGAGGAAGCAGAATCCCATGGCTCAACAGGGGTAGTTTGTTGACCATTATGGCATCGCTTTTGCCCTGACTGGTTGGTTTGGGTGTGGTGGGCTTAGCAGAAGGCTCAGGTAATACCATAGGGTTCATCAGGGGCTTAACCATCGCTACAGGGTGTAGACCAGTCCACTTCCAACCACTTCTGATGTTCGAGACTGATAGACCAGCAAGTCGAGCCTTCTGGTAACAGTCCAGGAAGTTCCTTTTACCTATAATGGTAGAGTCGTTCCATTGAGACAAGTAACCGAGCTCCTTCCGATAGGCTGACTTAACAGGGCTGAAGACAGACTGGTCAAGTGGCTGGAGGACATGAGGAGTGTGGTGGTAAGAACAGTAAATGGATATTGTTAATATAGCAATTCCACATGAAGTCTGTCGTCGTATGACTCCCATGCCCATCCACAATCAACAGTCGAGCCTCGCCTCAGCCTCGGGCATAGTCTGTGGGATAAACACCTTCTAACCATTCAATGGCAGTTAAGTCTGTAGTCCAGCCATTATCTGTTGCTGTAAACTCCCACCCATCGTATGGAACCAGATGTAATGGAAACCACTGTTGTTGGACCGTCTTCCCTTGAAAATGATAAGAGGACGAAGTGCCCTACCCAAGGCTGAGATACACTCAATGATAGAGACCCATGCCCTCGACCCAGGTTGTTTCTTGCGAACAGACGTCGTCTCAGCCATGCCCAGCACTAACCCATTAGCTCCTGACCTCGAGGATGCCAGTCTCATCCATATTATATCTGTTGGCTGGTTTGATGTCCTTGATCTCAGGGATAGCAAGGAACTTAAACCAGTTCCTAATGACCTCAGTAGATGCCCCATTAACGCGTCTAGAATCGATGGAACGACTTCTCTGAACCTTAATGATAGGGTTCCTTCTCACGAAGGCATAGATCCAGCCTTTTCCTAATGGTTTGTATCCCCAGCAGCAGCCAGAACTCGCTCTGCGAATTCCTTCACCTGTTGGTGCGTTGGTGCGAGGCCCAGCGAAGCCTGAAAGCGAAGCCTGAATGCGAACCCATTGTGCCAGCTTACTCTCCTGGTCAGAGACAGCCCTGCCAGTCAGCAAAAGCCACTTTCCTAGTCTGACCACCTTGGAGACGTAGTTGGAGGGTTGATCGTGGTATCCCATACTCCAATGAGGCCTCTTTGACTCTTGCCGTTTGAGATGTCCTCGAGAGCCTGACGAAGCTGATCTTCGGTATATTGAGGCATTAGATATAGAAGAAGTATGTGCAAAAATGAGCCCATTTGGACTCGAATTGAAAATGTTGTGATAAAAGGAGGTTGGGGTGGGCATTGCGTTGTGGTGGATTTTCGCGTTTTTGTGGGTGCCAGAAACAGGGGGGTGCCGGGAAGTGGGGGGTTTGACTTAGATCCTACATGTACAAAATCTTACATCAGATAAGTAAAAACGCAACTTGAAAGACTCACAAACCCCTAGCTTCTCCCGAAAGTCTGCTGGATCTCCCGTCGAAGACATCTCCCCGGTGCCACTTTCTGATGTCTTCCTCCGTAACTGGGCCCCCATGATGAACTTGGATATCGTGCCTGACGCATATCCCATCACGTTCCTTGCCATCACCCACGTTCGCTTTGCTGTGCTGTAGATCATCCATGCCATACAATTCCTCCGTCGAACCCTGCCAGCTGACCCCGTCTCCAAGCCGTTCAAACGACCCCTCGAGATCGATCGTGTCATTAGCGGCGGCGGCCCGCTTGCGGTTACTCGCTTTACCGATGGTGAGCGCGTGTACCTTGCTGGATCTCTTCGTAGACGAATCTTTGCCGCTGGATTTGCCCCGCGAGGTGGAGTAATGATGTCCTGATTTCACAACGCTCACGACGCCACCAAAGAAGCGCCTGAAGAGAGACGCACAGGGCGGCAGGCAGGCGCCGATGATGTCGAGGCAGACTTCGGCGGCCGATGCCGTGTAAGGGAAGATGGTCGTCTGGCTGACGTTGTGCGCTACACCGGGCACCGGACGGAAGATCCAGAAGAGAAGCGGCCGGGAGATGGAGATGAGGATTACGCTGGCAAAAGTCAGCTATTGACTCGGGGAGAAGGATGGCTTGATAAGGGCGCTCCCATACCTGCCGCCGATCAAGAAGATGCCTGTGAGTGCCGCCTTCTTGGTCCGTCGCATCTGAAGCCTCCATATCTCGTTGATGGGAAGGACCATGGCTATGATGTCGAAGAGGATGTTCGGGAATAAGATCCCTATTTTGCTGATCCCCATGCAGGTACCCGGAAGCGACTTGTCCCAGTGGTACTCTACGGGCAAACACGAGAAAGCTATGCGTTGTGCAGGAATATCAGTACTGTCTCTCGTTCGAAGATGGTTACTGATCGCCGAGGTCGAAAGCCAAGGAACAACGAAGAAGTCTTCACTAGAAGATCACTTACTGCTGACAAAAATCACGGCAATGAGCCACAGCAATATTGCGATCGTTGTTCCCCATACCCAGCACCGCAAAACCTTTGAAGCTGAGAAAAGGCGGTAGTACATTGCGAGGACTGCTATCTTGGCGGCTGAGCATGCTACGCAGTGTATAATGTCGATGGCCAGAATACACTAGATCTCGCATGTCAGTTACTTGGCACATAATCGTTGAGGAATGCAAAGAGTCTGGTACTTGCCTTGAACAGAGGGGCCGTACCGCCAGGTTGATTTTCCATGACATCTTGAATGTTGGTCCCAAGACCGAGTGGAACAGCTGGACTAGAGCGTTAGCTTTGTTGCCTCGAAGATCATCGGGATAACCTTACCGGCAAGTTCAATAGCAAGCAAAGCGTGATTTGCCAGCTTTTAGCCTTTGAGTCAGTTCGTTCCGCTTTGCGCCATGTCTCATATTGTTTCGACGTGAGTTGTGGCGAGTACTTACCAAAGCTATCAAAGAAATATGAACATCTGCTGTCCATATTGCATGTGGTGTCCGCCATGAGGCATAAAGTCTGAGCAAGAAGAGAACAGTGGCCACAAAACTCAGTACTCCGTGTGAGATGGTCAGAATGCCGGAGATGTCGTGGTCCGAGTGGTATGCGATGGAAACCATTGTGCAAGTGGGAGTCCTAACAAATTGGATGCAGGAACATCTGGTCACACAAAGTGAGAAAGGTGAATGCGGCTTGCCGTCTGGGCTTCACCCATCTTCGTCTGAGCACCGGGAATATGCTTTGCAGATATAAGACGAAGATAAAGGAAATTCCCTTGCGGCCGAGAAGTTGATGTAATCGGACCTTGTGCCTGCCTCTGGGTGTGCGACAGGGGTGATATGCATCTTGTTAGCAAACAAGCGAAATGGTGTTGGTGTTGGTGCCCGGTGCATGAAGCGTTCTGGTTGGACGTCGCCATCAGGACATGGATGAATGTGCCGAACTAAGTTACTAAACCGTTGGATCGCCGGTGGCAGTTGGTAAGGAGGCAAACATTAGCAATGATTGCTGCCCTCTTGCCTCGCTCTCATATTCCCCATCTAGATGTTATCGTCATGGGTTTGTTGGGGCTCAAATTGATTTCTGACAATGAATCGCACTTGATGGCCAGATGGTCAAGAGATTCGAAAATGAGGGGCTGTCAGCCGCTGATTCAGTTGGTGAAGCTAAGAGTGGCAAGTTCGCAACACTTTTGCAGTAGGCAATGAGACATACGAGGAGCCGCGTCTGAATAAGAAAGCTTTGGCGCCCCGGAGTCCCGGGCTAGACCTGTCCGAGGAGGCCATCGTCGTCAGACCTTTCCGTGCCTCATGCATGAGCCAGGGGATGCGTCCAATGAACTCCAGTTCCCACTTTCCCACCATCTTGGCAGAACGAATGGTCACTCGAAAAACGTGGCAGGCTTGATGTGCCGGTACCGCAAACATGAGCTGCAACTCCCACCTAATGCTACCTTACCATCGAAATTTTCAAGACAATTTTTTACTGGTTCCCGGCCTTGGGATCCCTCAGTTTTGGGACGATCGATTCCGTATCCTCACTACAATCTGATTGCATGTTCACTCACTGTTGGTGTGTTTGCTAGAATACTGAACCGTCTATGGCGCGTTAACCCCCACGACATTCCGGAATAGAGCCCAGTACGTGTGTTGCATTATATCTTGGCCACTTTAGACGAAGACGACAAACATAACTCCAAGTTCTCTACAGCTACATCACCAGGACGGACACATCCTCAAGCATTCCAAGTCTTGTGTGGTTTCCATTATTGGCAGTCTGACAGACATGGATGCAGCAGGCAAAGATGGGTGCAGCAAGCAATCGCTCTAGATTCCCAGCATCAGATCCTTCCTTCTCGAGGAACTCCGAGAAGAAAAGAAAATCATGTTTTCTTTTTCCTGGAGAGAAGAAAAGGTGGGTCACGCAGTGGTCCGCGAGCATCGATCAATGAGATACCCAGATAGTGCCCGGCAAGCTTCGCCGAGGTATTAATCTTTAATTCGAGCATCTTGACTCGTGCTCTTGATGTCAGCCCATAAATCTAGGCAGCCGGCAGCAGCATTGGTCTAGCAACTAGACAAATGCTATGCTACCGAGCACTTTAATAGAAGGGGTTTAGTTCGCAAACGTGAAGTTCTTCACGACTAGATCCAGTAGAATTCCAGTCAGCCGAGACGCAGGGTAGAGCTCTTCAGAATTACCGTTCTTGACTTTATAAAGCTTAACGCAATAAGTACTTGTAACAACTCAAATGCTACTGTGGCTGTAGAAGGACGTAAACATCTTTTTAGCCTAACAGTGGGATTGAAGACGTATTATACAACCAATTAATAGCACATGGAAGGTGGAACTAATTCCTGATTGATTGAGTTGGTTTGGAGTGCGGATCGCGAATTCGCTTTGCTGTAGACATGCTCTCTCTCATCATAAGGATTCATTCAAGATTCGCCCGATTACACCACTGCCATGATCCTTGTCCATGCGCAGAGCAAATTCCTTTGTTTCCTTCCATACATTGTCGCTAAACTTTGCTCCATCTACACTAAGCACGTATTCTTTATGATCTTGGGATATATGATCATCCGTCCACATCTCCCCTCTCGCCTCTTGGCCAAGCTCCAGGCTCGTCATGTAAATATTCGCGCCCTGTTCTACGGTGCGTGCAACAGTGTTGTTGACCATCTTGGCCATGACACCCAAGAGCCCACTCCCTGCAGAGTGCCGTGACAGGCTGCTGTTAACTGCTCCCGGGCAAACGGAAACCACCAGAACCTTCGACTTCCCCTTGCCATCAGTAATGGAGGAGAGCCTTGCCAGATAGCGCTTTACGTATTCGGTCATGAGCTTCGACCGGGAGTACTGATATTGCCCTCCCATCATTCCAGGCGGAAAGTTTTCTCGTTTAGAGAGCTCTGTCAGCGGCTTCTTCGAGGCGAAGAAGGGTTTGATGTCGGATCGCCTGGTGAGCCACGCTGCTCCTGAACTGACGATGGTGAGATGAGGTCGTTCGGATACCGAAGACTTCTCAACAAGGGGAGAAGCGAGTAGCAAGGGCATTAAGAGAAGTGAAAGAAGCGTTGGCGATATTGCGTTAACCTGCAGGCTAGTTTCGTATCCTGTGGGTGCGGCCTCGTAGCTACCGAGCAGTATGCCTGCGCTGAGAATAGCGTGGTCAAGGTGGTTGACAGACTTCTCGAGCGACGCGACGAACTCGTACATCGACTTCGGGCATGTCATATCGACGACAAGAGGGATGACGTTGGGGGCGACAGTTGGCGGTTGCGAAAGGGATGCCAGGTGATGCTGGATAGCTTCTTTCGTCTTCTGGGCCTTCAGATCATCTCGGGCAGTTACAACTAGTGTTTCAACGCCTTTGGTTGCAAGTTGCTTGGCTGCTTCCAGTCCGATTCCAGCTGATGCCCCTACCAGGAGGACCGTTAGACCGTCCAGCCGTTGGAAGGAGGGTTTGGGTGGGTGCATTCGTGCTGTAAGTACTTTCAGCATGATTTCGAAAATGATTTACGACTTTCACTGGAATCAACGGCATCGCAAAGCTGGAACCAGACTAGACTAAGTACCGTACTGACACTTCAAGCGGATCCGTTTAACTGCCTTCAATCTACTCAGCCATTGGATTGACCGTAGGCATCAAAGGTGCGTTGGTATGGCGGGTTCTCTTTCGGGTTCGTATAATGTGGGGCAGTTGAAGGTCCCTAATGGGGGAAATAGAGCGTACATCCCGGCGTGCCCGGGCCCTCCGAACCCGAACGAGAACACGAAAGATCATCTAGAGTACACTCTGGGCTAGGAGCCTTGCCTCCTCCATCATTGTCAATGGGGGAAAAAATCACGCCAGCCCAGATACTGACCTACCTTCTACTCATTTGCATACTATGGTCAACAACCGCCTCGGACATTCAAAATCTCGGTTGGGATGTATAAGGTGTAAGAAAAGACACGTGAAAGTATGCTTAACTACAACCAACAGTCTCAGTGGTGCTCGACAGCTGACTCGGTCTTCTAGTGTGACGAAAAACGACCTTGTTCGAGCTGCGTAAAACACGAGGTTCTTTGCAGCTTGGTCTCAACAACTGCTAGTCTGCAAGACCCTGAAAGGGGGTCAAGTGGTAGCCCGAGGACGCGAGAGCAGCCATCCATTCAACAGACTAAATTCATCAGAATTCGAAACCTGATTCAGAGTCTCTCTGGCGAGATCGACCTGCTTGATGAGGACAAGAACATCACATCTCAAACAAAAGATGATAGCATCTGCCATGAGCAGTATCTTCAGGACCTCCGGCTAATGCACCATTTCACCATTTCCGCAGCTCTGACTGTTGCCGATGACCATTCCCTCCGGGAGGCTTGGCAGATCACCATCCCGGAGCTTTCATTCTCTTGTGTGGGTCAGCCAGAGTTACATCAAGACTCCTTATAGATGAATTCCCTAACGGCCGCGTTCAGGATGGCCTCCGCCATGACATTCTAGCCTTTTCAGCCCTGCATCGCGGACACCTTTTTCCGAAGGAAAAAGAATTATGGTCCGCTGCAGCGCAACGACATCTGGATGCTGCCGCGGTGACCCAGATACGTTCCTCCAGTCGGGGCACCATCGAAGATGCAGACTGTTACTTCGTACACACCCTTCTCAAGTTTTCAATAGAGACCTACCGCATAGCCCAGTCGCCTCAGCCGGTCAACCTCTCTAATGTTTTGCTGTCCTTCACACCATTGCAAGGTTAGTTTTCTAATTTTGCCCCATACCAGCCAAACAGCGTTAAATGTTTTCGTTCGCTGCACAGAATTAAGATCCATTTTATTATCTGATGTCGGCCAAGGCCTCGGTAAAGGGGCGCTCGCATCATTGTTCGACACTGGCATCGAGCACTTGCCTCCTCTCAGCGAAGAATTGGAGCTTACCTCTCAGCTCTCGCAACTTGAGAAGCTCTGTCGAGGAGATACAGGCCTGAAGGTGACAGTAGAAGTTTCCAAGGTCTGTCTTGCAGCGCTGGAGATTCTGGACATGACTTGCCGGTCAATGGTCACGCCACTGAAGAACCGTGGTGTCATATGGTGCTGGCCATTCTTCTTTCCGAGTGACTTCCTGCATCTACTGTCTTCTGGGGAACCTTTTTCATGTGTCCTACTAGTACACTATGCGGCGTTGGTACGGGTCATGGAGGATGACTTCTGGTACTGTCAGGGATGGAGCTCAAAGATCTGCTCTCTTGTTGGTCGCATTCTACTTGACCCATGGAAAGTTTGGATTGAGTGGCCCCTCAAATGCGTTGAGCAAGGGATTGATATCCGATATATTCACAAAGTTTGATGAATCTACAGTATCGTGTTTTGAGATCCGCTGGAAAGGAGAGAACTAGCTGTCTATGAGGTGGCCAGCGGCTATACATCCACTACTTCCGATACCACATCCGTGCAGACTTTGCCTGCCGTATCTTCCGCTGTAGTTGCAAAATTCCATACATCAACGCCTCGCTCGTCGGCGGGCACCCCGGAACGTAGATATCTACTGGTATGACACGGTCGCACCCACGAACCACGCTATAGCTGTAGTGATAATAACCGCCTCCGTTCGCACAACTTCCCATACTGATAACCCAACGAGGCTCAGGCATTTGATCGTAGACCTGTCGTAACGCCGGTGCCATTTTGTTTGTAAGGGTCCCGGCTACAATCATGACGTCCGCCTGTCTCGGCGATGCCCGGAAGATAATTCCCAATCGATCCTGGTCGTACCGGGGAGTTGAAAGGTGCATCATCTCGACTGCGCAACAAGCGAGTCCGAAGGTCATCGGCCACAGCGAGCTTTGGCGTACCCAACTGGCAATTGAGTCAAGAGAAGATCTGGAATATTGGAACCTGTGAGCAGGCTGATGAAGGCGAAGTTAAGCGGGTGATGGATTTGAGATGACATAACTTACAGCAGATGCTGAGCTGTCCCGGAAGTAGGCTGCTGGCTTGCGAGGGAGACTTCCCTCCGTGTTGGTTGTGTTACAGGGGGATTCGTCTCTTTCTCTGCAGCGTTTTTGTGGAGGGTTCGTCGGCTTGATGGCAGTGAACCGAGAAAGGTAGTAATTATACCATCCCCGGAAGATCTGGCGGTGATTATGCTCCAAGGCCTCAGGAATTGTCTACTGATGGTTTTCAAGGCAAACATTTCCGATGCTGGTTGCAAAAAGGGGGAGAGATGAAAGGAAGAACAATGATCAAAAAGATTCTTTCAAAAATAGTTGATAAGTTGGTCCCTTGAGGGTCCATCTGACAAGACAATCATAGATAATGAGCATGAGGTTTTCGCCCTCGGGTTCGGGTCCGGGTTCGTAAGTAACTAATCCAGAATCGGCAAGTCATAGTATCTTGAACCCGCTTGTCGGTGCAGTCCGCACAAGTGCCCATGGCAAGAAATCACTTCATCCAGATTCCACGAGAGGTAGAATGGGTCCTCTCATCACCTGAGACTGCAACCCTATCCAATGAGGATACCTCATCTTCATACCCGCCATATGTCCAAGTCGGATGTTTCGAAGTGTACCTAGGCTTTTGCTAATCAAGGCAGTCTCGAGACTCACTACCTTGGAAGCAGAAGTGCCGCTGGCAGATCAAGTATAGCACAGTCACAACACAGTAGAGCTCACGTATTGCTCCGCGTATGTTCCCTCAAACTGGTTTCGCAATGTAAATGCTCTATTATTTCACTGGATCAGTGACTATTCCAATGCTTCCCAGTCATTGATAATGATATGAAATCTAAAGGAGGTTTTAATTATGAATCAAATAAGCTATACTTCTTACAAACAGCCCCTATACGGGCCGTTACTTCGAGGTCGTATTGGACTTCCAATACGATGCCGACTTAATCTTAATCTTATCTAGTAAAGACTCTTGAAGTCGTGTTCCTACTTCCTATGATAGATGTAAACTCATTTCTTCAAGGAATTGCCAAATTTCACTAATTAGCTTTCTCTCAAGTTTTCGCTCTTACGTGCGTGCAGGAAACAAGAGGTGAAAAATGCGAGCAAGCCTGTGTTCCAACATTGAAGTAATACATCCTATCTCCTTTTTGAGATGAGAAAGCAACTGGCGTCGTGCGTCCCCGTCATATGTCAAGACAGATAGATGTAACCTTGATCTGTCTCTGCAACTAGGTGTGTAGTTGGATAGCCTTCGCTGATGATGAGAGACTTGGTTTCATATGGTTCTCTGATTACTATTTTCCCTGATAATGCGAGTAATGCTCCTGGCCTCGGAAGGTGGGGGAAAGTGCACAGTCGATGATCGTCATATTTATACCTAAGGGGACAGCAAAGAATTTGAGAGCCGACGATCAGTAACCAGCGAAAGTATCGGTAAAAACCCCAGCAATCGGATGTCTCTTTCTGCTGAGCGTGCTTAGGCGTCGCGTCCTAATCAAGCAAGATTCCGTGCATCATCTACCAAAAGTCCTGAAACCGCAAGCTGGCTGTCGAGTTGGTACTCTAACTGCGCGGACATCGTCTATGACAGTACTAGGAGACACTCTAATTTTGTTTTTCTGGCCTTAGGGTCTGATTCTACAATAAGCAGCATTTTCCAAGCTATTCTGTCAGAGGTGATGGGGAAATTTCGAATGCAAACAGCGCTTCGGATACCGTGCCCCCTTGATCGTCCTGCTCCTGACTCGTACTCTTCCAAACGACTCTTTCCTTAGGAACGATGTTTTTGCCATGAGCGTACCTCTCATATGCCTTGGAGATAAGACTATCTTGACCAAAGGAGTCATAAATTTCCGAAGCTTCAACCTAGAGACCGAAACCTTCATCTTGATAAATCGCTGATTACCAATTATCAACGGCTCACGCTTGATTTGAACAACCCGGTGGCCGAGCTACATCGAGTCGTCGACGGTCTGACACGACAGGGATAAGCTTCTGGAACTAAGATTGCGCATTCTATTATACTCTGCTCGTTCCCCACCGCTTGTGGCAGTGAGAATGTTCCCGTACAAATAAGCCACTTAAGGTTCACAATTGGATGAACCGGCGCCAAGTTATTTTTGATGTCGGATTCCCCGGGATTTGGACCCAGGATTCTGCTGCCAGGAAGCCTAACAATCGGCAATAGCATGAGAACAATATGCCGTCAAGGAGCATAGCCTCCACTCGAGGCCCGTATGCGTGAAAGTCAAATACTAAATGATCGACGAATCCGACGGTCTCGGTTTAGTGCACTATTGGTATAAGAGCCTATGGGACACGCACTTGTGTCGTAGTCTCGATCTGTTCTGTATCAACTACTTGTCTCTCGTTCTCCCATCCCCTCCCGTGATCAACAAACTAGCCATCTTCTCAACTTGAGAAACATACATCAAAATGCGTGCCTTCACCGTCGCTGCTGCTATCCTGGTTGCCGGAGCCCAGGCTGCTCCTGCTCTTGAGCCGCCAGGTCATCTATGGATGGTAAGTCACTGTTCCCCGAAGCCACACAACTCAGCGATCGTATCGCAGGGGTTCCAACCTCTGTATGGGCTGACAGTAATTGACAGTTACTTCTCCGGAGATGGCGTTGTCAGCCAATACGTCAGCGTTGGCCACGACATCGACGTGACCGGCACCAGCGGCAAGAGCTACCACATTGACTGCGGTACCACTTCGGGACAAATCGTCCCCAACGTCTTCGCCAAGTGCACTGTGGACGGCAAGAAGCCGGATGGCATCACCGCCAACGAGTCTGACAAGAAGTAAGTTATATAAGAGGCATGATACATCGGAGATAAGGACTAACCGATCATTTCTTAGCGCAATCAACTGCCCCATCTCCTAGATTCTCACCTGCCTCATTTTCAAGCATAGTTTGAGTAATAGACTTTAATCAATAATTGGTCGAATCGACCTGAAATATCATCCATACTTTCAGTCAGGTCCCATCTGATGATGCCTTGATCTACACGCGTTGGGGTGCGTTAATTTAGGGAAGCTACCTCCTATAGCCTCATCTGTGCTGCCAGATGTTCTAGCTTCTGGTCAACCGAGTCTGCAAAAGTGGTATTCGGCAAGTTGCTAAAGTCGGCCACCACTCTAAGACAAAAGTGCTGTATGACACTACGATATTACTTCAACCGATATTGAGGTTGACCGTTGTGATGACACCTTTGACGTATTGTAAATCCATACCACATCACTACGGAATGAAGTAAGCTGTTGGGATAGAAGGGTCATGCATTCAGAAGCTTAAGGCCCAACTTACGTAGAATACTATATGTACGATGACCAGGTACTGACGGCACATCAGGTTGAACAGTAACCAGATCGAGCCTGTGCGAGTGACAGCTTAGTAAAGCGGTTTCCCAAGCGCATGAGTAATGATTTGGAAACTTTACTAATTTGTTTCTCGCTACATGCCATCAATTGTTGACGAGTTCCAACAACGGAAAACCTCGCGTTTGTGATCAGTATTTCTATACTAACAAATGCCGTAGTGGTTGAGATCACGGATAGCCTGCCATACATTTGTGCATTCACTGTTGCGCAACTCGAAAACTCCAAGGTGGGCAACCAACTATCACAACCATTTGCTAGTTTGAATGCAAGCGTCTGGTCGGTTAGCAACAATAAATAGCCGTGGGAAACATTCATATGTCGAAATCCTCATCAGGAGATTTATCACGTACCTGCAAGCGAACACGCTGAACGAACACGGGGAGCTGTCCCCTAGATCCTAGCATCAATGAGGATCTCGGGCCTCCTTGATGGCTTTGACGTTGACAGCACAAGGGTATCCCACAGAAGTCTTGGCCGGAGTACATGAACGATGACACGAGCACAAGTAAAGATCAGACGGATCTGCCCAATCGCCAATAGAGAACCGACCGAGGAAACACGAGACTTGGCCATACAGAGCCCAGAAGGCGATGAGGAGTCGGCAAGGTCCGACACAGTCGGTTTTGGGCCGAAGTTCATCGCCGCTAAGGTGCAGCTCTTCGATTACCCATTTGGTCGATGGGCCTATATTCGGTCGCAAAGCCGAAAACCAGACAGAAACCACAGCCCGTCTCCCACGGCTGAGATGATCCGCCTTGCAAGACGCGCAACACATGTCAGAGATAACCGTATTTTGCTGACAGGTCGTCCGTAGTGCGGCAAGTTCTTTTGAAACTACCGCAGCCGGCATTCTTATGCGGTGCAGTCCAAGATCACCGTCTTCCACCACCTCCATCCCGCCGATGTCAAGTTAAGGGGACGACTGTCTCCGCTAATATCTTCTTCCCGGATACGGGGGTCCGCTCTCCTTTCAAGTATTCACGGTTGGCTCTGCCGCGTCCGATTCATCTTCCCGTTATACGTCACAACCGCTCGGCAGGTCCAGAGCGTCTGTCTATCCGAGGAGGATTATGCATTCTTTTTGTTCCCATTAGCATGAGGCATTGGAGTCGATCAGCATCCATTCAACGGCGGCGCGTCATTGTCACAACGCATACAAGTGATGCAGAGAACCTGGAATCCGCACTTCATCTGACTTGAGTCTTGACCAGTGCTCTCTAGAACAACTAATACCGCCCGATTGCTTTTCTCACTGCAGAATTTCAACGAAGAACTCGAAGCGGCCGACTCGAAAAGTACTCAGCGTTATCCTAGCGATCCTCGTCGCATTTTGGCAACAACGCAGCACGAGAACGGTCCGATCTCTGGACCTCGACGATGATTGTCCAAAAGACATGGCCGCAATACATTGCGGTGCGTCTGCTAATCATCATGATGAGGGACCTAGGGCTTCTAGGCCTGACCTACTTCTACGTCGTATTCGCATTAGGCGGCGTCAAGGCTATTGCTCATCCAGTTTCCATCTTCATCGAAGTCATTGCCGCCATCGAAATTCTCTTTTACTTGCTCTTCTTCCTACCGTATAAACGGTACCTGCAAACTTACAAGCCATACATGCCCGCTCGAATGAGTCGATCACAACGCGCCCGATTATTCTCCAAGGCCTTAAGTCTCGTGCCAGATGGCGAGGAATTTGTTCGAATGTGGATGCTCAATGCACATATGGAGGACATACGCCGCGAAAACCTGAAAGATTGGCTACTATGGGCTTTGTTTGAACAGGACAATACAGCTGGTCGCCCTACTAAGGAAGTTGAAGCCGAACTCGAAGGGTACGTCGACGACACTGAAGAAAAGTTTGGGATCAAATTACGCCCGGGAAGAGGAAATGCTGAAGCCCTGAAACTCGCCTTCGACCCTGTCATCATTCAACATCGGAGCTTGCTTTATTACATGGTAAGTTGCTTGCGATGGTTGTTTCTTGAAACTACCAGCGATACACGCGCCGTTAGAACAATTTACTCTTGTCACCCTCCGACTAGTCAATGTACCTTCACTAATCAAATTGTTTCCTAGGTCATTGGACTTTTCGACAACTTGATGGCCTTATATCTTCTTACCCAAGGCTATCGCTACTACAAGCAGTCGTTCTCAACCTTCTTCAAGGTTTTCCCAGTTCGATTCATCAACCTCTTCCCTTTTAAACAGTCCGCGGCGAGCAAAATGTCCTACTGGTATCGACCTCATAAGTCAGCAACGCAACGTCCTGTCGTATTCATCCATGGCCTGGGTGTCGGCTTGATTCCTTACATGTTTTGGCTCAACACAATTCCTAAGGACGTCGGAATCCTAGCAGTCGAGATGCTGCCAATTTCTTCTCGTGTCACCACGTGGCCATTGCCATCAACACCCGAACTCTGCGAGATGATTGCAAAGTGTGTGGCACAGCAGCGAGCTTCGCAACCAGCGCCTGGAGTCGGAGAAAGAGGAGCATGGGATGACTTTGTTCTTGTCGGTAACAGCTACGGAACCTTGTTGATGGGCCAACTACTACAAAGAGCAGATTTTGCTCCGCGCGTTGCGGCATCAATCTTGATTGACCCAGTGTCGTTGCTCCTTCATCTCCCGGATGTCGCTTTCAACTTTACTCGCAGGGAGCCTAGGCCGTCGATCCGTGGTAGAACGGGACATGGCAATGAATGGGAGATATGGTGGGCAAGTGCAACCGACGCCGGGACAGCATACACACTTGCTCGGAGGCTCTGCTGGCGGGAATCTCTCATGTGGCGCGAGATGCTCACTCCAAGCCTGCGGAATGTTGAGGCTGGCTACTATGCGTCTGGCTCGCCAGAAGAAATTGCGATATTCGGCAATGGTATTCAAGCCGGAATGCGCAGCACCGTTGTGTTGGGAGGGGAAGACTGCGTGACTAACCCAAGAGCAGTAGCAAGTTATGTCTATTCCGGAGACGTGAAGTGGACGATGGATGACTTAGAGTCGTGGAAAGAGTACGAGTGGAGCGGAACAGAGGAGTTGGAGCTAATGTTCTTGGATGGAAAGGACCATGGGCAGGGCATCATGGTTCCTTATCCTTTTAAGCCTATCCAAACAGTCATTGAGACATATTGTAGGAGGGATGATGGATTTAAAGCATTCGGAGATAAGTTCATAGGTGGACCCGAAAGTATTTATGGCCTTCGAGTACACAGAGACGAGGTTGTTGAGCTGAAGAACCTCTAAGCCGAGATTACTGTTTAAATATGTTCTCAATTTCAGGCGTTCAAAATCAAATTCAGTTTCTCTTTGACATGTTCTCATTGACCAGCACATTACGGCCCATGATCACGTAGCTTGTGCCAAGTGTCGTTCAGATCTCATAGGACTTTACGCATCGTTAACATTCGTACATTTTGACACAAGAAGCCTAAAAACTCTAAGAAGCTGGAACCTCAACTTCGATGACACTGAAGTAGTCTGGTGGCTTCTTCCAAAACTTGATGACTCTGAGACCGGCCGAGTCAAGCAAAGCCAACCACTGCTTTTCAGTGCGTTCTTTCCCAGAAAGATACACCATCATAGCTATATCAAATGCTGTAGTATTCATCTGGCTCTTTTCGTCGTCTAAGACCTGGTCATGAATGAGTAATCTGCTGTAGCCAGGTTTCATGGCGCCTTTCTGCATCTCTAGTATCTTCAGGGCCGAAACATCGGGCCAATCATGGATTATATGGTGCATGTAATATGCACGAGCGTCTGTATCACAAGTCAGCACCAAATTTGTACAAAGCGGTTTGTATAACTAACGTTTCACTGGTTGTGGCTCAAAAAAGCTGTATTCCACCTGCTTCACCGTGTCGGGAAGGAGCGCTTTATCCTTCGCGTCACAAATGACTGATTGGAGATCCTCGAGGTATAATCTCGAGCCTTCGTTGGGGTAAGCTTTGTAAAAACGTAAAAGATCATGCCCGATCCCGCCGCCAATATCGACAAGAAGTGGAAGGCTTGGATCTGATCCATCGACCAAGTTACGGTGAGGGTACATATCCATCCACGGTGGCTCTTTGTTCGTGGACGCCTTTTGTACGATATTGAACATTTCACCTATTTTCGGATTCTCGCTCAGAAAGGACCACAGGTCTCCGCTGTGCCCAGTAGATTTCCGCAAGATTGTGTCCGCAGGATCAGAGGGATCCTTATACCCTTTTTCTGCCAGATGGTCGGGCAAAGTGCCATATGCCCGGTGACCAGTCACGTAACTATGGGGCTTATAAGAATGCAAAATCACTTCGGTTTGATCGTGCCACTCACTAGAAGTTTGTGAGAGTGTGGAAGTCTGGCTTTGCTAGTTCCATGCAGAACTGGTTCGGTTTGAACTTTTCTACTGGAACTTGTTCCATAAGACCATTCGCAGCTAAGCTACGGAGAAACCTATCTATAGCCAATCTGTCAGCAGTGTCCGAAAATGATTCCAAGTACCCAAACCTATCACCGATGAGACTTACGAAGAAGCTGAGGATCACAGCTCCCTACAAGGCCTGCGAGCTGAGTACTCGTCATCGGGACAAATCCTTGTTCCTTCCATTTCATCATCAACTTCAAGTCTTTGATGATCTTTATCCCTGCGGTAACAGCAGACTAAAACTGAGTCAGCTCTTCATGATATATCGAAATCTCGTCTGCGTATTTCTTGGGCCTTACCTGATTTAAATGAATTCTAACATATGTGTCCCAGGGGGTCTCCAGCTTAGACAGAACTTCATACGTTGCCAGAAGTGCCTTCATGCGATCCTCCTCTGTCGTGAAAGAAGATGCTGTGATACCTCCAACCGCTCGCAGATAGTCTTGGCCGTAATGAGATCCGACGTTCATGCCATTGATTCCACCCTGTCTCGAAGCCATGAGGTCTGATTTTATATTTCGTATGAGCGTGAAATAAGTGAAATTGATACTTAGTGACTTGAGTCAAATCTTGCCAATGCTAGAGTACTTATTTGGTTTATGAGAAGAACAATCATATATATATGTACATGGTAAACCGTAAAATAATGATCAGCATCCAACTAGCGACGGCCTAAACTTCCTGAACTAGCCCACAACAACAAGAACCGGCGACGGATATTTTCACACGACCGCGCTACCCCAAGCGGAAGAGATCAGCCTTCGCGCGCCTTCGCTTTCGAGCCTGGGGCCGAACCTCATCCAAGAGGCTACTACCTATTTTCCGAGTCCAGTCATATTTGTACCGCTACATCCGGAAGTCCGTCCAGGAGGCGATCTCTAGTGTGCTTAACGCTTAAACAGCATTGAGCAATCAGGAAGCTTCATCGCTGTGGAGATATCAGCCGGCACGCTAAGCTTACCTTGAAATGGCAGGACCTTGAATTGAATGTTTCGCTTGGCAACTTTATCCAGACGTGTGGTATGACGGAGCGCAGAGCTGCCAACCAAATCACAAGATGAGATGTTGCACAGACTCTCGTCTTGAGAAACTCAAACTGTCTGATGATATGTTACCCAGCATTAGCTGCCTGGATGGCAAGTGAAAGGCAGCTAATTCGTAATCTTTCACGTGAATATGGAGATCTTTCGAACCAAAATGGTCAGCGTAATTACGAAGGGAGGACCCGAGGCTAGGGCTTTGGTTATTTGTCTTATTGATAGTGCATACGAGCAATACTAAGCTGATCGTACCTCGAATCCGCAAATACCATTGGCCGCTGCCCCTTAAAAAAAAAAAAAAAAAAAAGCACATCCGGCGGTTTCTCAATATCGGATCAAAGCTCAGGTCTTTGGTCGATTTAATGCAGGGATTATCTAGCACTCATTTACGGCGCGAAGTGCGCTGGCCGCGCGGGAAACAATGATGTCATTTGATTGCAGAAGGTTCCATCAGTACCCTCGCATCAGTTCGCAGTTTATGCTCCCTCTTGAATCAATCAAGAAGATGGCCTTGAAAACGTGCCATACCGGATGCATAGTCTTGACGTTTCTATGCGGGTTAACACTGCGCTTCTCGAATCTGCTGGGAAAATACCTTCGCACGCCCACGCCTCTGGTAAGTTGAAAACGAAATTACATGAATGTAGATCTGAATATCACACTGTAACATCTGGTAATTCCCGCCAAGTACCTTCATTATATTTTAGTTGTTAGGACTAACATTATCATTCTTAGTAACCGGATTCCTCACAGCACACCCTCGACAAAACTTGGACAGTGGTATCAATGAACAAGACGATCAAAAACAGAGATTGACTAACGAGGATGGGTTCTGGGAATCATGGGAAAATGGGTTTTGGTCATTGATACTTGCAATATTATCATTCCTCTATCTCACTTCATTTTCTCCAGGTTGTCCCATCTCCAAATCTAGAGCTTTCCTAATCGAGGCATCAAATACATGGCTTAAGCAATAAAACATGGAAATCGAAGGTGGATCAAAACACGAAGGCATGTGATTATTATGGTCGTGTTGATTCTCACTTTCCGGTGATTACGAGCTAACGGCCAGTACTCATTGTGGTACGAGGATTCGTCACATGCAATGTTCCAAAAGGGTAAAACAAGACGGAGGAAGAAGACCAGAAGGAGCATGCTAAATCGAATCAGAAAGTTCACTCACAACGGAATAATACATGTCAAAGCACAAATTCGAAAAGTGTCGCCGTGGTGGAATGGCTTGAGATTGGTTTTGGAATCTAATTATTTTCTGCTGATATTCTGATTTAGCGCTCAGGTGAAGAGATACCAGACTGCGACCCAGTCCGCCGGTTACCATATGGGAGGTCTTGATAATCAAGATTGCCGTATGTTCAATTTCATCCCTGCTAGATTCGCACACCATAAAGCTTTATTGAACTCTAAACTTTGACTACCTTGAGCCCACATCATACATGTTTATGAGAGAAATGACTTTAGATGAACTTCACTTGTCGCGAGCCACGTCACAGGCGCTGCAACCAAATGATTCAGTGTTATCATTCCCCAGTTGCTCTCACTCGGCACAAGGAAGTTAATTGGAGAAGTTGGGGCAATCTGGGGAAGTTTCGGCATACGGCATACTGGCAATCAGGACGTGGCACACGCAGGGCTTATAGACTCGCGGAACCGAGAAGCTTGACAGGGATAACGCTCTATTATCTTGATCAACATCGAAGTATTGCCGAATCGAAGAAGTCTATAGTGCGTTCGAGCACTGATCTACCACGTGCTGTTGGTTGACTAGCATGGCACAACCTTGGAATTGAGAGTTCTATCTTGCAGCCTATGCCAAACTGGAATCGAATGACGTTAACTTTTGGAACTCCCCCAAAGCAGTCAACAGATTGTCCTACGCCCTGGGAATGCCAATCATTTGTTCGCAGCTTTTGTCGCTGAAATACCTAGTGCAGGAGCTGCCCATCGCCACCGCCGGGTGAGACAACCATCCAATTGATATCGGCAGATAATTCTGTTGCCCTAGATTTGGATTGTAGAGCTATCACTCCAAGTAGATCTAGGGAGCCGCAAACAATACATACCGCACCCTATAACTTAAGCCTGTTTCCGCTCCAAAATTTGTTCTGTCGGGGTAACCGTCTAAGCAAATTTCTGCCTGGCATATATGTGACTCGGGTGGTTTTCATTGTGTGTGTGTGTGTGTGGGGTTGTAAGTCTGTCTCTACATTGGGGAAGACCCCTGAGACCACTGAGGTTGTTGAAGTTTACTTCCACATGCTCGAACCTAGCCAGCCTGGATCGAGGTGACAGGCCCTTGCTAGGATACCGTTCAATTAGAGAAGTTTTAACCTGCCGTTTTCTAGGACTCAATTATTCCCCAGGTTCAAATAAAAGTCCAAGCTGCTATCTACCTTACCCACACAAGTATTCCTTGTGTTTACCTTAGTCAACATTATTGCAGCCCCAGACTAGCTTCGATGATAACAAAATAGACAGCCGACAGAGCAGCTGGCTCGCACATCGGACACATCATGGAGATCAACCCGACACTCTTGGAAATATGGACTTTGTATGCTGTTGCGACTTTGATGATTGCGGCGAGGGTATTTTGCCGCACGAAGCAAGTAGGCGTGTCTGGATTTCGACCTGACGATTACATCATCTTCTTCACATGGGTATGCCCTATCTTCCTGTCACTAGGATGGATCCAATTTCGACTTACATCTTGGCAGTCTCTCTACACGTCTGTATGCGTGATGGCAACGCTCTTCGCGCTGATTGCCCAAGGCAAACACACCTCACTCCTAACCCCGGAACAGCGCGCGACGTTGCCAGAATCAGAATTGTGTGTGCGAAGAAAACTTTGTGTTCTAAACAAATTCTGACTGGAAGCAGCTATCAGTGGGAGTACGGCTCGAAGAATTTCGTCGCAGGCATGATCATCTATGCGACAGTAGTGTGGTCATTGAAGTTCAACAGTACGTGGCATGCTGTTTTCGAGGCCTCTTTCATGCTTAAACCTGCACTCATGCAGCAACATATCTAATACATGATAGTGTTGTTTTTCTATCGAAGATTGGTTGCGGGACAGTGGGTAGACAAGTTTATATTCCCTGTCATGGGTCTAGTTGGTGCCACAGCGACTGCGATGGGTCTGATCATTGCCCTGACCTGTCGACCTCTCTATCTCATGTGGCAAATTCGCCCAGATCCAGGAGGTACGTAAGCTTGAGTGAGATCCAAGTAGGAAACATTAACTTACAAGATCTGAAAAGAGAATTGTGTGCCACAAAATAAAATTTACTTTTACAGCATCTTCGTGATGAACGTCACCACAGATCTTTGCATAATTGCCATTCCTATACCCGTAAGTATCCCTCGGTCAAATCTGCGAACGGTCAGTGAATCATCAATCAGGTGATAAGTCTCGTTAGAGCCTCGATTTGGCGCAGAATTGGAGTGTATTTTCTTTTCAGCTTGGGAATTTTTATCATGATTGCTGCGACAATCCGTGTGGTTCTCATTTTTCACGTAAGACGTCCCATTCCCTCTTGGATTCCGAGATTTTGCTAATTATTCATCAAGCCTACAGGTGGCTTTGGCCCAGGGGCAATGTGGTCAATTCGTGAGGACTTCATTGCCATTTTCGTTGGGCAGGCCCCCATGGTGGTGCCTCTTTTCAAACGCAGAGTATGGGCTCAATTCTACCACAAGTACAAGTTCACACCGAAATCAAGTCAGGGCTCGGATGGTATAGAGTTGAGTGATGGGATTTCCAGCAACCACAATAACGACAAGAAGAAGCCGAAAGATCCATACAGTCTTACACAGCTAGGGTTTACTCATGTTACAAATGCAACCCTTGGAACACGAAATGAAGCAACCTTAGTTGCTAAGGATAGCTCAGAACCTCCAGCGGTTGCGGTGGAGGAAGTTTACATATTAGCTCCCATCAGAGACTTCGGGCCAGACCTAGGAGCCATTGAATTTGTCTCGAGAGCAGATCGGCACAGTCTCGAGATTACCGCTATGTCCGATCTTCCCAGGGACGAGACAATAAAATTGGTCAGCAAGAGAGAAGAGTTGTAATGAAAATTGGTATGCTGGAATGAGGAATAAAAATCTAGATGTTTGATCTGAAAACAAGAAATTTCCCAATCAACAAGGAGCGGGCCGTGTAGAAGCTCAAGCCCCCCAGAGCAACCGTTGAAAGATACAGACCCGACGCCCCAACTGAGCCCACCTTTTCCAAAAGGGAACCTCCTGCTGGAATTGCCGTGAGGGCACTGAAACTAACAAAGAATGTCATGGTACCTGAAATAACGTCAGTCAGACAATCATGGGCAAATTAGGGCCGGTATAATTTGGTGGATCAACTCACCATAGTATCTTCCGTAATCTTTGGGATCGCAAGTCTTGCCCAAACACACTAGCCACAAAGTCTTGTTAGTTCCAAATGAGATCTCGAAACTAAACATGCTAAGAATCCGCTTACCGGGAAGAATCGACAGGAAAGAGCCAGTGCAAAACCCCCACAAACCAGCAAATGCGTAGAGGATTCCGGCCGATTGGCCCCCGAACGGGACGAACAAGGCTCCAGTAAAGATCAATGAGAGACAAGTCATAAAAAGTATGACGTCGAAGTGGCCTACGTAGTCACCCGCAAGCCCAGGCAGTAGGCGGCCTAGGCATGAACATCCGTTGAGGATTGAGACCAAGGTATAACCCATCGCAGACGGAAAGCCAGCCTTGACCGCAAAAGTTGGCAACAGCACGCCCACGCCAGTGATGGAAAATTCGTACAAGAAGAACCCGAGCGTAATGAAGACGAAAGGTCCCGATCGGAAAGCGTCAAAGTTGAGTGCTGCTGATTTCTTCTTCGACGACACCGCTGAGGGTAGGATCAGTTTTGGAAAGGGCAAAAGCAAGACCATGCCAACGGTCATGAGACCTAGAACCACGAAGCCCATCACCCGGTTAGACCATGACCAGCCCAAAGCCGGGAAAGCCCTGCGGAGGACTAGTGGAAAGCTGATGCCGCCCAAAGAAGCTCCAGCCATCGCTGCACCCATTGCCAGGCCTCGACGGCGGATGAATAGCTTGCCTACTGCTGATATTGCGACAGTTGAGGCTACCGCGGAGGCAATGCCTCCCAGAACACCAAGGCAGAGAAAAATCTGCCAATAATTTTGACACTCGGAGAGAAGGAAGAATTTTGCGACGGTGAGCCCGACTGCGACTGGGGCCAGGAGCCTAGGACCATAGCGATCCATCAAAGGGCCGACCTGAAAGCCACATAATAGCGAAAGAGCTGTGTCTAAGCCCGTGATCCATCCAATATCTTGTGCAGAAGAGTCGCTCAACTGGTTTAGTTGAAGGAAAGATTGGACAGTTCCGATCGATTGAGAAAAGCCTAAATACTAATCAGTCCGCTCCGATACATGGGTGAAAACGGGTACGGCCATCCTGTGGTGTTGAACTTACCGTATGAGCACATCAAGAATAGGCCAGCTGCACCGACACAAGACCATCGCAGAAATTCTGTCTCCTCACTCGCGGCATCATTGTTGACGTTGGAGAAATCGCTGGTATCGGTTTCTGGGTTAATTGGTATCGGTGCAATCGCCAATGTTGGGCCTAAAGACTCCCGTTCCCCCATGCTTAGAGGCTGAGAAAGCTAATTGGCAAAGAAGTAACTCGACTGAGGTAAACCTGTCGGCATAAAGTAATTGAGTACTTGTGTGTTTCGACAAGTCCGTTGGCAAGTGGTGAGAATGAGGGCTTTTCACCAAAAACTTATAAAGCCAATACTGAATGTAATGTTTTTACGCTTGAGCGCACGCAAAAAATTTCGTTGTGCGTCAGGCGCGCCCAACATCCTGCGAGAGGCGAAGACAAAGACTTCGAGTAAGGGTCCAGAAGCATGCTGGTCTAAGTGACCCACAACGGAGACTTTTCCTCGCTTCTCGATTTGCCTACTTTCGTTTATTGGTGTTTTGAAGACCATCAGTGACTCTCCAACTCTAACATCATTTCATGAGATGACAGAGAAGCTGAAGCTATAAAACCTATGTGGCAGTCTTCAACGTACCTACGAGTCGAAGTGACACGACTTACTTTCAGTAACCACATTCACCGCAATTGAAGTCAACCGCACGCGAAGGCCTGTGGTCCGGGTTCGGACCTAGACTTCACGTTGAACAAGCTTGCCATTAGTCGATGGGTCCGGCCATCGCGATTCTAGTGTAAGGCGCACTTGACACATCCGACGTCGGGCCAATCATGGAGAGTGCTTTGGTGGATCCCGTGCCATTCCAACGCATGAAAGTGCGGATAGACTTCCGACGACTCTTCCACTCTTGAGCAAAACAAAGTCCAAGTCGAATGACTCCTCTGAGGGAACACCAATACGCAATTCACGTTGGACATTATTTCTTCATATCTTGATACGCCTTATCGATTCAATCACGCCCTATCAGCCCGATCTTTGACAGGGGCTTTGACATCCTTGACAAGCCTTACTGCTTCCCCAGATTTAGGCCGGGAGATTATTACCGTGGATACGGTGGTGGAATTGAGACTCGACAGGATGGATAACTCGAATGAAGCTACTTCCTCGACTGTAAACCAATTCGTGAACCTCGCCGAAATCTCCCTGCCACAGGAGCCCAGGGCCAATCTCGCTATCGAGAACCTCGCCGTCGACGAAGCTCTATGTTTCACACCCGTTGAACAATTTAGCGGTGAAAGCTCCCCATTCGTTTTCGACGGGGCCCTTGACTACATCAGCGATAATTTCGAAAGTGGATGGACGACGCCCTCGACATCTTGTGCCAACTGCACCGCATGGGGCTACCAATGCCAGCTCCCACAACAACCCGAACCTCAAGACCGCTGTATATCTTGCGTGTCTCTCGGGTGCAACTGTACTTTCTTAAATACTACGCCGAACTTCATTGGAGATGATTTCAACAACCTCATGAAGGACAGCCGGACTGTTACAACCAATGCTCAGCACCTCCCGACACCAGAGGCTTCAAAGAGATCAAGCGGCTCGTTCGAGCCACCCAACACTTCCACTACATCGACTCCTCCTCCACCTAAGATTGGCACGAGATTCTCTCGTGACTCAACTCGGATCTTGAGACAATGGCTCTCCTCCCACAGCCACCATCCCTATCCAAACGACGAACAAAAGAAAATCCTCCAGCACCAAACAGGCCTCAGTAAGATCCAAATCACTAACTGGTTAATCAACGCTCGTCGTCGCGGAAAAGTACAAGGCCGTCATCGATCTACGTCACCATACTCGGGAAACTCTGGTACTGGGACAAGACCTATCGATGTCCCCGTGAGGCCAGGAACACCAGCTCCTAGAAACAGCCCACACTATCAGGGGTTGAACCCGCTCGAGAGATGGGTTGACTCTCCTCCAGAACATGAGCCTGCTACTGTTGGCGATATTGCACGTGCCGTAGCATCTACTCATGCAGGATCATCAGGTAAGTTTTGTACTTTCATGAGCGGCCCTCCATTGTGTGAGTGTCAAAAGTCGGGGGGATATTACAAAGCTGATCTCTTGTAGCCGCAGACGACAGCTTCAATGCTAGCTTCACCGATGAGCCAGCACGGTCCCTTTATCACACCTCGTCAGCCAGTAGCGCTGGAACCTCGAGTGGCGGCTCATTTGCTTCTGCCTTCTCCCATGCTTCCAAAGACTCTGCTTCCCTTCCACGTCCCACTGTTCGTAGTCGAGCGCGGCAACGTAGACGTCCGAAGCGAACTTCTCTTGCACATCCTCGGAACCAGTACCAGTGCACATTCTGTACAGAGACATTTAGAACAAAACACGACTGGCAACGACACGAAAAGTCTCTCCATATGCCCCTCGAAAGATGGGTTTGCTCGCCTAAAGGGCCTCGGGCCGTCAATCCTGACACAGGCCAAACATGTTGTGTCTTCTGTGGAGAAGCCGAGCCTACTCAACCGCACATCGACAGCCACAATCCCTCATCTTGTCAGGAACGAACGTTCAACAGAAAGGACCACTTAAAGCAGCACTTGCGTTTGGTACACAATGCCGGCCTTCTCGACTGGTCGGCTAAACTCTGGAAAATTACCATTCCAGAAATCGAGTCTCGTTGCGGCTTCTGCGGTGCATCTCTCGATACTTGGGGTGTCAGAGCTGACCATCTCGCGGATCATTTCAAGATGGGTTCCGACATGGCGAGTTGGAAAGGAGATTGGGGCTTCAACGATGCAGTTCTGGATATGGTTGAGAACTCTGTTCCACCTTGTAAGAGAACTCAAAATTGTTCCGCGGATGCCCGGACTAATCCACCTTCCAGATCTCATTGAATATGAAAGATTCTCTCCGTTTCCCTATCAAGCAAGCGGCGTACCTCCAGAGTCGCCCCGTAGCGCCTATGAGTTGCTCACGCTGGAACTCAACCATTTTCTACGACTATTTTTCGACAGGACAGGAAACTTGCCCAACAACAGAGAAATCCAATTCGAGGCTTGCCGGATCGTCTTTGCATCGGAAGTCTCATCACCAGAAATTGACAAGGGTGCGAAACCCGAGTCGTGGCTGCGAGACTTGATTACCTCGTCAGAAGACCTCACTCGAGAGGCTCGATTTGGGCCGATAAGATCGCCAGCCGAAAGCATGATGTCTGTTCTGCAGATCAAAGGAAAGCGCAGTCTGTTTGATGAATGCCCCTGTGAATTGCAGCTTGATGCCTTTGTTGATAAGCACAGGCTACTTGGACCCAATGTTCTCAACAACCAGGAACTACAGAACGAGGCTTGTAAGATAGTCACACGTCTAGGCAAGAGTTGGGGAATGTCTCCGGCCGACTTGGTTGTCAACTGGCTAGTCAACCTCATCAGCTCATCAACTGGCTGGCTTACCGCGTTTCGCTCGAGAACACGTCTTCTTCAACACGAAAGCTCAAGTGCTCTACCTCCACTACGACATTCTGAGAAAGACCAACAAGTAGGACTCGGGGATCTTATGAACGAAAGAGCTGCTGCAAATGAACCTTTCGAGCCCCCGATGCCATTTCAACTCCAAGGCGTTCCTTTTGACAGAGGACTATGGAGGAATCTAGCAATGCCGAATCAACGCGCTTGGCTGCAGGATACAGGAAGTGACGTTCTCCCACCATTGCTACAAGAACCTCCTACCCAGGATGCTTCTCCAGCAAGCGATGTCGCCCAAGCTTCACCCGTGTCTCCTCTAGTCTCGAATACTCCCGACTGGCAGAGACCCGGAAGCACTGGACCAGATGGCCGCAGCGCACATCCGCAGTTTTCAACAGTCAAACGGAACTATGCGTTTTTCAATGACTCCAATTTCAATCGGTGGCTTGCTCTTGAGCTACGACGCTGGATCGCAGCAACCATGTCTCCCAACAACCCGAACAGTCACGTTCCGTCGGACCATGAAATTCAGCACCAAGCGCGATTCATTGTTTATGAAGAGTAAGTCTTGTCTCCCCGTCTTCTCTTGTAAGGGATTATCGAAGTCTGACTGAACTAGCGGCGATCCTTGGAATCAGACCTCGGCAGACAATCTTGAGTGGCTACACCGTTTCAAGCGCACCATCGGTATGTCGTCAGAGGAACCCCAAGACAACTTGCCAGGGGGGTCAACACGCGCCCTTCCCCAAATCCCCTCATGAATTGCAAGTTATGTGAAGCTACGTGAAGAGCTTCTGCTCAGAATACAACTGCTCCGAGAAATCTGAGCTCGACGCACTTCGAAGCCACCCTCGCTGTCTTTATCAGTGCATTCATGACGTCGCGTGAAGTGTGTTGCGCCTGACTTTGGTAGCCGGAACCCTCATTCAAAATCCGTTACGGAGTAATGAGTACAGGATTTATGGATTCGGAAAACCGAACGAGTACAGGAAATCATCGAGGACTGTGGCACTTGAGTGCCGATACCCGTCTACCCGACCACTAATCGCGACTCTGAAAAAGACGATGTGGGGATTTCAATCTAGTTGCGGCTCCCCGAGCCAAGCAATGGTTCAACGGACGATCCTCAGACAGGGGGTCTCCAATCTTGTCTCTTCACACTTGAAGGGGGTCCGAAAACTGGCTCGTTGAATACGAAACTCCACTTGCGTTGTCACTACCGATGAGTCTACACTTGAAGTCCTTTACTTCCTTTTAGGCTTGTCTGCCGTCTGCACGCTTCTCTGTTGGTCTTGTCGCGCTCCTGCTTAGTGATTGAGCGTCTTGCCATGCTAGTGATAGCTCCGAGGAAATGCAACCCTCTTTTGGGAAGGTTAAGGTTGCAGAGCCTAAGAGGTTGATGGTAGTAAGCATGATGCCTTGTCCTTGTCGACCCCATCGGGGTTACCAAATGAGAATGGGTTTCTCGCTTGGATTATTCCTTCAACCATCTGGCCAGGTCGCGTGGACCCTGGCGCAGCCTTCACAACCCATCGCGGAAATTGTTTGTCCACCACTGGGCTGTTTTGTGACTGGTTCTCTTGGGGGAGGATTCAGGTTAATTGGGAGACTGGATACGGCAGAAACACGCCGGACGGGTAAAGGGGGCATCAACCAGGATGAATTGTAGCAATCCAAAACGGTGAGCAGCCTTCCATATAAACCCTACGCTCGTTGCCAAGAGCACTTGGCGCTTCTTGCCGTCGTCGTTCCATTCCTTAGACTCCAGTCTACAATAATCCTTGTGATTGCTTCACCCCGGATTTTTCGATCTTTTTCGACTGCACCCCTTGCTGCTTTCCGTCACTCACTCCAAATAACCGTCAACATGCGTAACGTCGCTGCAGCTGCTCTCCTCGCTGCCGCCAATGTGGTGAGCGCTCAGGATAAGGTCGGGTTTGGACCAGCATTCTCCCTCGGTCCCACTCAGTCTTGGATCCGTGAGGCGACTACGACTCTCGTTCTTCCTCCCGTGCCGAGTCCCCAGAAGGATCGTCTTGCTCTTTGGCCCGGTATGGGTACCAGCGGCGGTGACCTTATCCAGGCCCTTGCTGTCTCCTTCAGCGATCCCAAGGCGTAATTACTTATATATTCTATCAGAAGGCAAAATCACAAGCTGACAAGTTTCATAGGAACTGCGGTGCTAGCGTCGGTCAGTGGTGCACTTGGGCCAGCACTCTTCAAGGAGAGCAGCTCGGAGGCACGCAAGTCCCTGCTTCTGCCGGTGACAAGCTCACCATGCACTGTAAGCCATAAGATTTGGGTTTTATCATGAATCGAGGCTGACCCCACAATACAGACAAATACAACGACAGCACTGGCAAATATGATCAGACCGTCTTTCTCAATGGCAAGGTAGTCTCGACTCTTTCAACGAGTAAGTCAAAGTCGAAGACTTGAGCGATGTCAATAAACTTGGATGAAAGCTTACAATGCAAAGGCTCCGGAAACGCGGAGGGCTGGGGTACTGCCGTTGAATGCCAAGACGATGCTTGCGTTGGTACGGTTGTTGCTCACAGTAAGTGCTCCTTGTGATGATTTATTCGCTTCATGGTTCACTAACCTTGTCATTCACAGAGTATACTGGCACGACCATCATACTCAATGCCGCCGATAATACCTTCGGGAAAACTCTCGGTCTCAACGAGGCCGACTCATCTGGGCTTACCACTTCCGACAACGGCAAGACCTGGAAGGTTGATACTATCAACATCCACACGCATACCTTCAACAACTGAACGGCCAAGGAAATCTGCACGTACAGATCCTATCTCTCATTTATTCATATTGTAAATACTTCACGAGGGTCTTGAAGCCTCTTCACATATTGAAAGCCCGTACATATTGCCTCACACTAATTATCGTTGAATCATTGAGGTCTTCTCAGAGCTGCATTTCGTCTCATAATGTACAGATATAAAAGAAAGCTCTGCTAATTTGACGTTTCTTCCTCCTCAATACTGAGGCAAGTCTCGTCAAAGTAGCAACTCCTTGTAGTCCGGCAAGTTCCACTTCACCGCACTCTCCTTCAGAACCCATTTCCCAAGGTTCATGTGGAAGAAAGAAATAATTCCAATAATCCAGTACAGAATTGCCATCCCAATGGGTCCCGTCGGCCACAGCTTATAAACAAAAGCGTCATCTGTGATACCTTCCTGCACTTGATCCATGAAAGGCCGCATCTTCCTTTCGTACTCGTGTAGAGCCGTTTCAATGCCATCTTGGCCGCGTTCGGATCCGCAGTGTTTACCGATCTCTCCAGCCAAGACGTAGGCGCCGACAATTGCCGAAGTTGTACCCATGCCCGTCATGGAGGATGGTCCGTACGCCGCGTCTCCGACAAGGGCGACGTGTCCCTCAGACCAGTGGTCAATCTTGACCAAGCCGATTTGCTCGCAGTAAAAGTCCTGGGAGTCCATCATTGCGTCCAGGAAGTAGTCCACTTGCCATCCTGCGCCCTTGAACGCCTTGGCAACAACATCCTTGACTTCCTTTCCGTGGGTTCGCCGAGCGTTCTGGAATTCTTCGTCATGAGATGTGAAGAAAGTGTACGCCTGAATCGCTTCTGGACTGTGTCGTCGAGTCATTACAATCCGGCTGTTGGTCGCGAAATAAGCTGTTGAATAGTACTCTTCGCCCTTCTCTATCGGTCGGGGTATTGTGAAGTAAGAGGCATGAATACCCCTGAGCGGGTAAAAGCCGTCAGAGGCTTCGGACTTCAGCATCATCTTGCGCGTACGTGATCCTTGGCCATCGGCACCGACCAACAGATCGAAATGTTCTGTCTTGCCATCCTTGAAGCGTACGTCTACGCCGCCGTTCTTCTGGTCGAAGCTTTCTACGGAAGTGCCGAAGGTGTACTTGGCACGGCCCTTGGTGGCATCGTAGAAGAGACGGCACAAATCTCCTCTCATGATCTCGTACTCGGAGGTGAAGTTTTGCGCTCCACTTCCCGAATGGTTCATTGGGAAGTGACCTCGCCTCCGGCCGGAACTGTCGACGAACTGGAGGCCTTGCTCAGGAACCGATTTGGCGCGGAATCCCTCTTCGAGGCCCATACGCTTCAAGACTTCAATGCCGTGTCCTCGGAGGTCGATTTGAAGTCCTGTAGCGCGGAGAGTAGGGAACCATTCCACCACGGTAACATCATGGCCGAGTTTGACCAGCCAGAAGGCGAGACAGCCTCCAGCGATTCCACCGCCGCTGATAAGAATCTTCAAGGGAGAAGGCATGTTTGATTGAACGTCGAAATTGAGTACTAAGATAGTGAAGAGTACCTAGGGCGGAGAAATGAGTCAAATGTCGTGTATCGTTGTTTAATCGGTATGAAAAGAGATTTTGCTTGGTTCTATTTCTACACTTAAGTAGTTCAGTTCTTCAAGGTGGCGAGGAGTCACATTCATATGCATGAGCTGTTATATCCGTGTCTTGGCCGCCTCGGCCGAACCACTGCGAACGCCCTTTCTTTGACAACATGTCAGCTAATGCCGATAGATCGAGCTGTAGATGCTCTCGATCAAGGCGAAGGGCCGATATGGGGACTGTCAAACGGCTGTGACAAGTAGCAGGAACTTCAGTCGCTAGTCAAACTGTAGCTGCAAAGAAATTTGAAACAATATGAAGGCTCTTCGATCGAATCTTGCGGAGATCTTTTTAAGCCTTTGAGTTAAATTAACTCTAAAAATCTCCTTCGGGTAGAAAAAAGTCAAAATCCCAATCAAACCCAAAGCCTCCCTGTTCGTGTTCAAGTCCAGAGGATCCAAAATCTGCTTCGGCCGTCGAGCATGGCGTCACAGTGCTTGCTTGACCCTCGAGCAAGGTGTGGCAGTATTCTAGACTTTCTTTCGCGCTCTTCGCAATCTCCAAATCTCCTGGGATGCCCATTTCCATGGCTTCTATTTGTGCCACAATCATTTTGAGAAACATGTGACCTTTGATATTCGTCTCGCCTCCGTACCTTACTCTCTCTGCCGCTATCTCTATCAACTCTAACATTGTTTTCTTCAGAAATTCTCTCTGTTGGACGTTGCGTTGCAACGTTCCATCACGGTGCTGCATCTCCGCTTGAGCGATGTACTCGTGGCTGACGGTAGCAAGTGCGTACCTGTAGCCTTCTCGGAACATGCCTCCCGCGATTCTGAATAGACGAGAGAACTTGTCATCCGGCACAGGTGACAGAATGGTTATTGTGGCGTCCAGTGTCACTTTCGTCGAGTACTGGAAGAGGGGATTTGTCTGTGCCTGGCTCGCGAACGGGCAGTGCAAGGGAATCAGGAAGCGACGCACGAGAAAATCGAGTAAGTTTTGGTGAAAAACAGAGACTCCGAATCGCTCGTGCTGCCTCACGAAGTGGATGTTGGTTCTGCAGGCATGAGTAATCTCCGAGCTGAGCTCCAGTGCGACGTGATAAGATAACTCATGGTGTATCCCATTGAGCAACTGAACAACTCGAAGCCGGCTCAAGAGAGAGTCTCTGAGCTGGAGATGTAGCGACATATCCGTGTAAGTGCTCCTCGGATGTGATCGTAGCTCCGTTTGCGACTCTTCTAATTCGTCATCATTTATGTTTGCAGGCGGTTGAGTATCAAACTCATCAAAAGAGATCCTAGGAGGCATTGCCGCATCTAGGGATGACTGGATTACCAGCTCCAAGATAGTAGACCAGATTCTTCTTCGGATCTCTGCTTGCAACGTTGACATTGATGACAAGTGGCTCGGATCACGGTGCAAACCAATTTGCATGGCCGTATGGAGAAGTGTTCCTGTGGAAATCCACACTAGATCGCCTCCAATCGATAATATATGCCGTGCCAAGATGGTCAAGCAGTGAATCTGGACGCCGTTTATACCTAATCGATCTTTTTCCAAAGGGCCGGAAAGCCAAGCCTGAGCAGCGTAAATCCACTGATGAGCCAGACGTTTGAATCCTGGCTCGACTTCTTGAGGGTCATGTAAACTTGATCCAATCGCAATGACGAGAAGAATCTTGAGGCGCGAATCGTTTTTGACACCAGCTGGATCGTCCCAAAACCGCTGATACTCCGCCCTGAAGGTTGGCTTGTGTAATATGCGGTAGGTCGATTCGAATGAATCCAGGTAATGGTCTACCATTGTATCAGCAACTTCGCGAGATGGGGCCGCCAGGTTGACTCCAGTGTTTCCAAAGCTTCTGCTGGGCCGCCAACTTTTGATGCTCCTGGCTAGGTCTTTACAATTCCGTAGTAAAGTCCCGGCCTCTATAGCCATGGCCTCAGTCTCGGCATCTGGAAATGGAGCATGACTCTCATTTGCAGCAGCCTTGACGTAACTCGTGTAGCAGTCCAATAATTTCTCAAACTGTTGAGACGTTAGCAGTGAGCACCTTGCTAAAGTAGGCACCATTACAGCCAAAGCACGTACCTCGGAAGCTTCACCCATCCAATCACTCCATCGCCAGACTCTTGACTTCTTCAGCACCACGCGTGAGTCTGTATCCTTCCCCATCATTCGCTGGGGAAGTTCTGATTGGCTTCGTCGTGCCGTATCAGTAGATACATCTTCCAATCTTTGGACGCGGTGTAAGAGATCTCGGAGAGCAGGCTCGGCAGGCGAAGCTTGAGCTACATTTCCTGATACGACGACATCCTCGCTGACATCATCGCTAACACTGTGCTGTCGACGACTGATATGCGCTGGTCCAGGCTCAGAGATGACATTGACATCGCCAGTAGACTCATGTGCCGGAACGATGGTTGGAGCCTGTGACAGGGGCGATATCATGTGAGTCGACTGCATTGGCTGGACAGCTTGCTGCACCGGTGGCCGGGGTGCCGGTGGCCGAGCTGCTGGTTCACTTCCGAATACTCGGTAGGTGCAACGGAGTTTTGATGCAGTGCAATGCCCACATGGCTCGTCGCGATCACACTTGATCTTTCGGCGTCTGCATTCTAGGCATGACAGAGCGGGTCTGCGCCGTCGACGGGTTTGTCGCTCCATGTCTGAACGGATGATTACGGTTCAAAAGTCTCGGGCCTCCGGCGATTGCAGGCAGACTTGGGGTGAAAGGGGAAGCAGCGGATGAGCCAGATGGACCGTCTTGGTGCTGAGGTGAAGTTGACTTCTGGAGACGGACGTAAGCGGACATATCACATGCGTGTTCGGCCGTAAGCGGGCGAGAATGCCGAAGCTGGCCCGCAGCCACAAAGCCGCTAACGTCATGACGAAGAATTGGTCAGGATGGCCTTGAAGAGGTCTGCTCGTAATTCCGAACCATGGTTTGAAAAATTCCCCTTCCGAGGTGTCAGTTCATGATTATACTTGTAAGCAACATTTGACCGAGCAGGTTTGGTTAGATTGGTAGCAGCGGGAATTCCCCTCACCGAGTACGTTACATCCCCATAGACTACTTGACTGAACTTCAACCTCTTTACAATCTCGGCTTATGCCCGATTCGCGTCGCATCTCTAAGCTTAACATACTTCAATGTCTCGCGTATAGCGATCCGTGATCTTTCTCCTTAGTTCTAATGGTCCGGAAAAGAAATGTTGACCATGTGCTACACTATGAAGCATGGACTGAAGTAGATCAATTCAAATTTTTGGATCGCCACATCATCAAGATGGACTTCAAGCTTATTCTGATTTTTGTGTTGACGCCAAGATCATTTTACCTGGACATTCTCTTTATCGCGGTGTACTAATCTCATTCTCGATGGCAAGATGGTCGATGCCTATTCTGTCCCGTCCATTCACCTTCGTATAAGACAGAGGGTGTCCCGCGGCAAGACCTGGTACACGGTCTACACGACACTAAAGAGAGGTAGAGTACGACCAGTTTCGATGAACGTCTTGTCCGTAGGCTATTCACGAGCCCCCTCAAAAACCTGGAATTATAAATGAGAACAATCTCCAGGGCCGTTTTCTTCAACGAATCGCTGAACATTTCTCGAGTCTCATGCACTGTCATCGGTATTGATTCCATGGGCGCAATACGTATCCAACGATGGCCTGATAATATTTCATCTCCCACGGTGCATATAGGCTATGATGCTGAGCCGCAAATCAGTCGCCCGAAAGTGGAACACAACCAAACAGAGGGTCTCTCGGAAAAGCACACAGCCCTCCTCTCGCCAAAGAACATGCTCCATGTTACGAATTCTGAGGCCATCGGTGTACGCAATCATATTTTGTCTAAAGAGAAATGCAGTGCGGTTGGTTAGTCAACCTCCTCTCCAGCCGGGCGACTGACTTCATCTTGGGTGCTGCTACTACAGGGTAAAGCGCCCGGCTTAGCTGCGGGATGAACCACGAGAATTCCTTGGAAGTTCCCATTATCAACAACACCACGAATCGATGCCAAGTACCCCCAAAGTCTTTTTGAGAAGGTTGGAGCCAAACTTACTTTGGCGGTCCTAAGTAGATATAAATGTCGAGCGAGATTCGAGACGTTACGGAATGATTGTCTTTCTTCTACTCATATCCTATCAACCCAGACTTGGCGGTGTAAACAAGACCGGCAGCTTCATTCAACAACAAACTATCAAGAACCAAAGGCATAATCCCATCACCGAAACCAGACAGTCGTTCACCTCTCAAAGTCCAAAATCCTTGGTCCCTTCCGCAAGATCAACATCATGAAACCCGCTCATGTAGTAAGTGCTGCTTCCAGTCTTTGTCTCGTTTCTGCCGCCGAACTGATACTGATGCCTTGATAACCCAGCTCCTCAGTATGTTGCTTTCTGGCACTGCCATCTCAACACCATCCCCGACCGGGGCAACGCCCTGCGAACCGATGTCTGATATTGAATCAAGCACCAGCTGTCCTTATCTAGGGGCCAATGAGGAATGCTTCAAAATAGAAAGAGCACTATGCACAGCAGGGTGCGGACCTCTTCCTCAGGAGAAGCTTTTCTGCATCACGTCCTGCATCACATCTTCGAGGAGGGGCTGCTCGAGGATTGGCTGCTGAAGGAGAGTTAGCACAGGCCGTGAGAATGGTCGGCCGTGGCTGTGGCCACACTTGACGGGCTGCTCGAGAGACCAAAAGTGCGCTTCGTCAAGGTGTGGAACTTGACTTGCAAGCCATTGTCAAGTATTTTGACGTGATACCACCGTCAAAAATGATTAGTTTCTATATAGACATGTTGGTTCAGAGACTATCTCTGAGTCGAACGTCTGAATCTGACACAACGTCAAGATAGCAGGGTAATTTTATCACTTCTACAGCACGCTCAAGTTGATAAGCACCACATTGGATCATGAACTTAAGCCTGTCATTACCGGGACATCTTGCATTAAGTTATACAAGAACTGCCCTGACTTTTCGACAAGAGTTTTCACTTGGCGCCTGGGACAATGCAACCCATACGACTTGTATGCGATAAACATGATTCATGTAGCCCAGAACTTCACTGCAACTGCGGTCAAACCCGCCCATCTACTCCAGTTCACGTGATACATCTAGATCACATCAGATAAGAGAGAGTTCAAGGCGTTGTCAGTACACCACGTGTTGTGACTCTGCCTCCTTGACACGTCAATTCCACCATCAAGCCACATGTCTCGATTCCTCCACCAAAGTTCCACTCAACTTATACCAACCAGCAAAGTTACCGCAGGTACCTCGTTGACTTGGACATATCCAATTACCGAGCATTTCTTTCAATCTTCCCTGCCTTCAACGTTCCCCACCATATTCGCCATCTACCGCATCTAGCCGGTTTCCATAGAGCCACTGTAACCACATCTTGATCATTATTCCCTTTCCTTCCGCATCTGCTTAGCTTCCATACTTCAACCCTCACATCTCATAAACGCTTCTGACGCCTCTATATCCATAGGATCGAGTTTCTAGAACATGCAACGCTAAGCCCGCAACGCGCCACCTGAAAACAGCCACTCTAGGCTCCCCCGCTATACCAGGAGCTCCTCCTACAGTATCCATCCCTTTGCTTCTCCCTTGCAAGGACTATCATGACTAGTACCTTAGGCAACCCCCATCATCCTTCGATTCCTCCCGAAGGCATCTCATTATTCAGCCTTGGAAACCTCTCGCGTACCCAGTCCACGCTAGACCCCCCATCAAAGTCAAGGCCAAGCTCTCGCAAGAGCCGAACCTAGTCCAGAGTCAGGCAAGAGAGATGGACGGGAAAAGCAAAGACGTTATGGCAACGCTTACTCAGGCACACAAAGAAAGCCCACAACTTTCTCAGCCCTATCCTCACTTGCCGTGCTTGCCTCTGCCCTGATGTGCCCTGACTATTCAACTGCAAAACGCTAAGCCCTTCGGACTAAAGCCTCCCTGTTGCACATCTCATATCCCAAAATGGAGTCGAGGTCGACAACCACCCGTCGCCCTCCATACCGCGATAGGCAGGTCAATCCCGAATGCGGCTTCAGAAACAAAACGTCTTGGGAGCTGATTGTCTGAAATCAGAGACCGCGTAGCTTGGATACGCAAAGATACCCAACCCTATAAAGGATCCAAGACAAAAAAGGCTGCGCCGACGAGGCTCTAACCAGTTCCATTGTAAGATCTTCACCTCGATCTTCACCTCTTGTTTTGTTGTCTCGGCTTAGAGAGGCTCCCACAAGCCAGCTTTCCCCGTCGTGCCCGTTTTCTTTCTATCTGTCCCCTAATCAGCTACCCTGTTGCTCATCTTATCCATTTCGTGCATAGGGTTGTGGGATCAGGAAACGAAACCAAAAGTCGGGAAAAAGCAAGTATATGCTGGACGACCCCCAGGCCCCCCATTCTGATCCCTACGTCAGCGCCAGAGATCCCCGTTCACCTCCCTTGCCTGCAATAGGTAATTCCCGCCATCGCTCCCTACCAGATGCGTGATCAAGGTCATGTATCCGTACGTATATAACTGGGCTACAAGGTACATATGCCATAGCGCAAGCTTGCAGCTCTCGATGATCCCCTCTAGAAAAAGGGGACTCAGAGACTCCAGACCTCCGTCATTCCATCTCAGCAGGGCTGCTGGCGCTGTCTGAGTCTCTGAGTCTCTGTCTGCCGCTGCCAACAAGCCCGCATGACACACCTCAAAGAGACAGGTCCAGACCACGGACCCCCCAAAAAAGCAGGCGGGGGCCAAGCCGGACCGCCGCCCTCCCGGCGCGCCTCGCACCGGCCCTCCTCTAACAAACGTTCTTCCCTACATCCAACGACACTAGCTCTCTAGTCTACCAGCGTTTTCAACATTCCTCAGTGCCAGATTCTTTAATTATGCCGTGGAACAACTTCTCGGCACCCGATATCTCCGGCCGCCACCTCTCCTTCTGTGCTCTTGAGCTGACCGAAGATCTGCCGCGTCCGCCCACGCCACACTGGAACCCTCTCCCTGAGCGCAGCGCAGCGCCGTGACCCGTGCCACGGCTCTCTCTCTCCGATACCCCCGCCCGGCCCCCGGTCCCTGAACCTGCAAGTCTCACACCGAGTTACCATCGGCCGGTCCCCGAGCCCGCGCAGCACCTCAACTTCCCCTCTTTTTTTTGGTTCTTTCCGCCTGCCGGGACAACTCCTCCCCGTGCGTGCCTTGCGCGCATCGCATTCGGCATCGCACCGGCGGAGCAGAGCAGAGCAGCAGCCTGTCAGAATGATGTACAGACACGACGTCAAGGGGGGGTAGACAGATCTCGTCGATACTAGCTTAGTAAATGGGTCATCCAAACCCACACTCCCATTAACCCCCCGGCCTCTTGTATTCCCAAGTCGCAGGTTTCAACCAACATGCTTCCATTCATGGTTCTTGAAATGCATTCAGAGAAAGGAATGAAGCTCAACAGTGTCTCTTTCTCCGTGTATCCAAACCATCTACTGCATCTCTCCTCTGCACAACACACACACACACCCCTCGGACAAAGACGAAATCCCCACTCTCCCTCAACTCCGCCTACCGTCTTTCCGCAGCGGCGTCTATACCCAAACAGTAAGAAAAAGCAAATATCCAAAGCAAGCCCTTTGCATCCCACGGACTCCACACACTCACAATCTCACCTCTCAAAGAAACGTCTGAACGCTTCTTATACAACATCCACAAAAACCCGCAGGCTGCAGCACCCATCATCCATGGGAAAAGCTGGAAAAAAGCAATTATGCCGAGCCAGCCCTAGTAACACCTTGTAAACCCCCCTTCCCATC